CATGAAAAATACCCGGGCCATCTGGACATTCAATACCTACTAACTAATACGAGATAGCGATAAATTTACCCCACAGCACGTCAGCAATTTTAAGTTAAAACTGAATACGCTAATTCTGGGTCTGTCACTCCTCTATCCGATACCAGGTGTCATATACTACGGGATAGTCTGAATAAAACTCCAACAGGGGACGTACAACATCTTTGAGTCTGAATCATGCCCAGGTGATTCTTGCAAAGAAAGAGCAGTGAGGCCGTCTCTGAGTTGCTTCTGGGGTCTCCTTTTGCCTTTTTGTATCCCTCACAGGCCTTTGTAGGTACGTGGCAAAGCGACGCCTGTCACTCCTCTGGTTCCAAAATTGTAACTCAAGCGGTTTGTATAGGTAGAAAGAGCCTTAAGTTTCACCTTGTAGTACAGGGAACACTACTAGTAAGGGTTTATGAGGCTGCCACACTGGCAGATGCGATCCGATCGCGGCTATGGACATGGACAAGAACAGAAGCTGCTATAATCACCGTCATGTAAAATTGAGCTTTAAACTTCCGGTCTTTGATTTCATTAAATGTAGCACAAAGAACTCTTGAAATGTTAGCCAAACGGGTGGATTTCTAGTCTTTGCAGTCGAATGGAATTTCTTGATGGACTCGTGTGATTTTTTTTGATGGTATCATTTAAATGCCACAACCCGGGTTGCAGTGGTAGAGAGGCGATATAGGGTCAATATTTTGACGATATTTTTTGACGAGTTGGAATAACATACATGGTAGATAGTACTCGAGAAGTGACTTTGAAGTCGAGGCCGGAAAATAGCCAGATTGACCTTTTTTGACCACTGAAATGTTTGCTGAGCTTGAAAATACGGCGGCTATTTCGAATTGGCTAAGAGGCGTTGAGAGCTAGGATAGGCAGACTAGGCGATAGTGGACTGTATTGATGGCCAGATAGATGTCATTGTTCACCAGCTGTAGACCAAAGCTGAATTGGAGACAATTTATTGCGACAGCAAGACCGGGGGAGGCAAAAAGAAGCTAAAAGACAGGATGGACGATGGGGATCAGATACGAAGCGTTCTGAAGAAACAAGCAACATAGAAGCTAAGTGATTTTTCGTAAAATCAACGGACGTGATCAACAGCATCAAAAGAAGAGCAGGAACGGGACAGAAAGAAAGCAGTAGCATACAGGCGAGGGGCCGAGGAAATAAGGCCATAAAATGCAAATACCTGGATAAGGCTGGCAAGATAAGCCTGCAGCCTGGCGTATCATTAATCAGGTAATGCATCAATGATGATAATAGCTTGCATGTCGAGCGTCACAAACAAGGACAGATGCTACGAATAGCTATGGAGGCTATTGATCGCTAACTAGAGGGTGTCGCCGTGGCTGTCAATGATGTAAATCCTGACCAGGTAAGGGACTTCGTTCACGACATGGTGACAGGAGGGAATTGGAGACAAGGTTGTTACAAAGACGGACACGCTTCCTCGAGATTGCGATATCAGGAATCAAGAGAAGCAAGGCACTTAGCATCTTTGCCGTCCAGTCTCGTAAAAGTCACGTTCAGAGTTCAAGGATCGTGGCAGCAGGGCTGAATGTGCCACCGGCACTGATCGCCGAGGCTGTCAACATGGTAGCTTGCAGCATTACGGGGACTCAGGACGACCATAGATCACCACCACACATCGGTCAAACGTACCCTTCCTTTAGAGCAACTGACGCATGGGAACCCCGCGCGGACCGGATATCTGCATTCTGGCAGCCTCGACGTCGACACGCGACGAGCAGATATGGCCCAGGCGGGAAATATCATTACCATCTCACAGATTCCAGATCGGCTCCCGAAACGATGGGCATTGTATTGAGGAAAGCGAGGAAGTTGCTTGAGGCGTACCATTGCGGGGACCGGCCAGTCTTGGCAGCAATGATGGCGGAGAAGGCGAGCCAATCCTTCAAGTAGGGTGGAACACCTAGCGCTGACGCCTGGCGCGCGCGGCAAGGGGCGCTGCGAGCTAAGGCTTCCACGTTGTCTGGAACTCGATTAGAGGTCAGCATAGACAGGAAAGTGGCTCAAACTTGGTTGGATATCTACTCAGCCATCCTCTTCAAGCTTCGAGGAAAAATCCAAAGGTCTAAGAGAGCCCCGATGCTGGATAACAGATAAGCCTCAAGATAGGGCTTAAAAATCAGAAGCGTTGAATGTCGGAAACACGCATGGGGGCGTAAGTAAAGCTTCCCAATCTTGGATGGAAATAGGTGGAGTGGTAGGCAGTTGATGGAAGAAAGTGGAGGAGAGGAGGAGGCCTCGGGTAGCGCAAAGAACGTGGTGACTTGGACAAGCCCTGGAAGTGATAGAAGACCGGCAAGCATGGTATCTCCGGGGTACCACCAAAGGCAGTGCCACCCTTAACCGGAATCCAATGGATAATATTCAGCGATCTCGGGATGGATTTCCACTATGTTTAGCACTGGTGCTGGCTGATTCTGGCCCGTGGATTTGACTCAGAGGATGAGTCACATCTCTGGCCCAATCTTTTCAATCCTCGGTGACTGGCTCTTCCTGTCCAATATGGTGACATCTTTTGATAGTGCTTTCTGATATAAAGCCTCAAAGCGGCCATAATGGGGCAGCACTGGCGATCAGGCATTGTTTAGAAAACCAATAACGGTCTTTCTACGAACCTTTGCATGTTTGTTTTAAATTGAGTCTGTGCTACCAAGGTTCATGATGGTCTCTACTAGTAAGAAGCAAAGTGCCCAGGTGTACTTACTAGCAGCTCCTTGGCGCTTGAGGAACATAACCCATACAGCAGTCATCTACCCTAGGCATTAGCCAACTCCCAGTGACATTTTGTTGCAGTACTTAGGTATCCATGGATATCATGCGATCCTGGCTCAGACCTGAGGGGATATTTTTGGTCTAGAGAGTGAGAGAGAAGGGCTTTTGCCAACCATGGGACCTTCGCCTTGGTTTTTGTTCAGTGGTACACTGCCTTTTGGCATTCAATTGTTCTTGCCTTTGCTTTATGTTCTGTCTTTATCCTTACGTTGCTATCGCTACTAGATGGTAGTTCTTATATCATTGTCTTCAATCTGTCTGCTTTTGATGGAATTGACATAGTACACTTCCTGTTTCACTACGAGATATTAAGTTGGGAAATGGCCTGCTGTGTGACTCGTCAGTTCTCTAGGTGTCTGTCGCACTCCTGTGTAGCTGGGTTTCCGGTGTGTATTTATCAGATCAAGTTGTACATCGGTTGTAAACGATTGTTCCGTCCTGCCAAGCTTTTTACTTCCAGTGATTCGGATATCAGATCAGTGTCGCCTGCTTTCGTTAAATAGAAGCCAAGTAATCGATACTTGAAAGCGCAATTTTAACTTTCATGGCCACGTGAATAGAGTGAGAAAATACCATTTTGAGAGATGCGCTAAGCGACAAGATAAACCCCTGTAGTAGATGATAGGACGAGTACAGGCACTTGGAAAGCATGATTATAAAGATAGAAAAGTCAACAAATGCACAAAAATAGTACAAAAGCAGGTTCAAGATGATCACAACAGCACAGCCGGTCGAGTGGGTCAGTCTTTCACTTGACGGCGGCGAAAGATTTGCAGTCTCCAGGACAATGTTCACAATTTTAGGAACGATATCGTTGACCAGAGGAGTTGCAGCTTTTATGGGCCTTACGACTCGATTCATGAGATACATTTCGATGTGCGCCTGAATCGAGCCTCCGAGTGGCTGTTTTGTTACCCGACTGGATAAAGCTTCATTGGACTTTGAGGAATTTGCTAAGTCCGATCCCTCTCTATCCAGCCCTGGAGAATGGTCTTAGATCGTTTAATCTTGCTTCAATGTTAATTCTGTAGAAGTTTATGAGGGGTCACAAAAAAGCGTTTAACTTGAAGCTAATTGTAACTGGTATTACCTCATGATGATCTAGGGAGCTAAGCTGACCTCGAGACTTGGAGCCTCCCCGAAGAGCTTTTCCTCGATTATAGGATTGGCGATTCCAAGGGTACATTTCTCTTCCGTGGTGCTCACCTCTACCATCGCTTTGTTAATCACAATCGTTGAAACGCTGTCGTTTCCGGAGTTTGCTGCAAAGCGTAATACTGTGCCAGGAGAGAGAAACACGAAGTAGCTATCGAGGTGGCTTCCGACCAGGATTTGACCTAAAAGGAAGCTGAGCTGGCGGAATAAGCTGATCGGGGCGCCACTGGCAGCCTGAGCAATACTCATGTCGCTCATACGGCACCTGCAGTTTGTGCGGCTTAAAAACTTCTGGAAACGCCCCGAACCACCTCACACACTGAGCAAGAGTTCCAAAACCGTCATCTTGACTTCTCGCATGGGACGGTCACGAGCGCTCCAGACGTGCATGCAATTACTTTCCACTATTGAAGACGGTCCGATTCGCCCGCCTGCGTACAGCTGGAATGTATCGGCGCCACGAGTGGGCTGTTAGGGGGACGACCACGGCAGTCCATAACACTTTAAGTTTCTGAGTCCGGAGCTATAATAACGGTCCCCTTTAAGCGGGCCCTTCCAAGGTTTCGAGTACCTACTAGTTATTCTTTTCCAGTACTATTCCAGCCTGGTATCATATTTCTTCGATATTGTTGTATTTTTATATTTTCTTTCTTTAATGGGATTGGTATCTGTTGGGAACTCAGCCAGGCATACTTCGCAATCAAACCCCCGATGGTGTAGTTGGATATCACGTTCGGCTGTAATATTTCATGCACTGGAAAAATTACTGCCCCCATCCGAATTTGGAATATCTTAGGTTTCAGATCCGTTATATATATTTTTTCGCTTTTCCTTTTTACCTTCCTCATGGTTCTCTTTTTGGTATTTTGATCGGCCTCACTGGTCCATTGAGCCGGTCGCGGCACCCTTCCTTCTGGCGTCTGTCAGCGATTGCCGTAACCAACCTTCTCTTCGCATGCTCGGGAGCCGGCTATCTCGCCAGCGTTCCAGTTTTTTGTCCAATCAACTGCTGGCTTCACCGACGTTGACGAGCCCGTAGTCCCCGCCGGGGCTACGTTTTCATCTTCCTCGCTCGCGGACGGATGCCACGCTGCGGGTTGATGTATCTTTCTCAGATGGAGATTTCGGATGTTTTCGCTCTCAGGGTTAAATCCCTGGGCTTTGCAGAATTGAGGCCGATGTGGGTTCCTTGCTTGTCGCAGCCATCCCATCCTTGACACTGCCGACATGCACACCTACTTTCTGTCGCGGCTGAGGCTTCTTAGCAAGTGCGGCCTCCGCCTTGGCAGACACCACCAGGAATGGCTTCTCTGTCGCAGTGGTCTGCTTTGCTGGTAATGTCCAATGGCTTTCATAGCCTGGACTGGAACGGAAATATCAATGAGTAGGAGGGGGGCCCTAAGATTATTGGTCCTTGCTACCACTGTTCTAAGGACGGGTGATCCGAGACGAGGATTATTGGTGGGGTAACGGTCACTGTGAATCTTGATGTTCGCTGCGGGAGCCACCGGGTATGCGGGGAGTACCTTGTTGATAGGGGCTATGTGACGAGGGGCGAGGGTAGGATTGCTGTACTGCGGTTAGCGAGGGCTCCGTCTTAGCCTTGGATGAGAATCAGGGCCCTGGGGGCAGGATGGCTAGGCTAGTGGCGGCTGTTCATCGGGGCGGGATCCTCAACCACAGCCTTTAGTTTTTACTTAGCCATTGGAGTTCGTGACCGGGGGAAGAGGGCGTTGTTCTTCCCACCCGGCGACGCTCCTGGTCCGCCATCTCCTTCCTCCAGTTGTCGCTGCCGCTGCTCCATAGCACGGCTCCCACTCTGTGGTCGTCCATGACTATCACCGAAAGTTCCCTCATAATAGAGTACAGCACTACTAAAGAGAACGCCGGGCAACAATTACAAATCCCATAAGCGTGACGCCTGCGGACAGAGCTGACTGTCTGGTCGACTAGACGGTGGCGGGGAACCAGCCAGTTCTTATGGATAAAATCAATATAGAGGCCTGGCGTTGTCTTGGCATTGTGAGGAGTGGTGTTACTCAAGGAGTTGGTCTAAGACAGCCGAGACCGGGGATGTTGCTGTGAAGTACTCTCGTGTCGAGGTTGGATCGAGATCATTTTTCGTCGTCCATGACTTCTTTTGTGATGAAGGAGCGGATGTGTTTCGAAGTGACCTCCAGGGCCGGTTCGATGACGGAGTAGAATTCTGTGACCTGTAGGATTTCATATCAAGCTGTTTGGCTGGAATCAAGACCGCTTATTTATGTACTAGTATGTTCCCAGGCTTGTCCGCTGAGCCATAGCTCCTCCGCTGACTGATGGGAGCGCATTCTACCACACCACAGCAACTTAACACGTTCTAACACTTACACTACGTTAAACAGTCAATTAAGAAAGTGATTATGATAAAAGATGAACCATCGATGCATTCATCGCTATAAATTAAAACGCTAATGTGTTGCGGAAATTGCCACTCCGTCACCTCGCTGTGTGAACAATGAATGTCATTAAAGAAGCCGGGACATCACGACTTCGCTTTCGGATGGCGAATCATGCAATAGAGCTGCAAACGAATGAGTTAGCTAAGAAAGAAAGAAACACACGAAGTATTTTCAATCCTTGCAGATATCTCTTCATCCGCACACTCAATCTCCTTGACGAGCTCAAATCCCATTTTTTCATAGATCGTCACATTCGGATATCCCTTCGAACTCTCCAAGTAACAAGAAACTCCTTTGTGATCCGCCTTCTCCATAACGCTTTCCATAAGCCGCTTTCCCATACCCATTCCGCGGGCTTCAGAACCGACACCGACCACGTTTCAGAAGTAATACCCGTCTGGATCGGTCTATAGAGCCTTATGGGCCTTGTTCTGAACTTGCTTCCAGATCCAGTATCGGGATACGTTCAGCCCGCCACGACCTAGGAAGCGGACATTATTCAAGGACTGGCGGAACGATAGGATGCACTCTTGCGCCCAGACAGACCAGGTCTGCGACGCCGACACGGACTGGGGTGACACCACCAGCCAACCCCGACGGCGGTTCCCGGTGTAAAACCGGACCTCTCCGTCGACCTCTTCGTCGTCCACAGCGTGGGCTACTTTGTGCTATCCCAGATCGGACAGTTACAGCCAGACCGCACTGAAAGTGCGCTGCTAGTGATGCCGCATTTCGCTGTATATTGAACTGTGCGAGACGGAGTGCAAGTACGAGTCTAAAGATGATCATGATACAAACGGGGACGAGGGCTGGCACACCTGCGAAGGATCGTTAAATGCCCATCGGCAATAAGGGTCATCCGCGAATGCTTTCTGCATACAGTCACAGCACCTGCGATGTCCGACTCGGCTGAGTGGAACGATTTCGATTGCCATGATCCATTACTCGTATAGGATCTTGCTCTCACTATTACGGTATTTCAAACATCACCGACCAAGATTCAGAGATCAGGTTTAGAAAACCGAATACCGTTTCTACTGACTCGTATAGGTTGGGCCAGATGCTATGGCATAATAGTGCGAATGGAGTCGGAGTGGATGAAGGGAGAAATTCGCCATCTAAGGAGACCGGGTGTGGCTTGTGCCCACTGATCGATAGGAACCAAAGAGAGGGGAGCTAGAGAGGATAGGTCTATGGGGTTGTTGCAAGCGGGTTGAGACTCTGGAAGAGTAGGAACCAGGGGAAGTGAAGTCATTTTTACGGCTCTTTAGGGGGAGAAGGCTCAACCTCATATCGGGCGCCCACTCACACTCCACTGCTGCTTATCCTAGCTCTTATCACTTCGCTCGCAGCGTTGACCATGCGCCCCTAACCTGAATAGGCAGCTCTACCTGGTCGATCTTTTCAGCAACCGTGGCTTTACATAGCATTAGGCAGCGTAATCCACGCATGTCAATGATTCGGGGTTTAGTCATGTCATCTCGCCCTTGTGATGGAGAGATTGTGCCGATAACCGAGAATATCCGCAAAATGCAAGGATACTACTGGACAGCTTTTACATCGACCTCCGCTTTGTGTTACTGAAACGTGGGGGCTTGTGGTTCCGATTCATGAGAGGCATCAAAATAGCTGGGGGAGCTAAGCCAGATTAAGCAGGTTGTCGCGGCAAACTGCATCGTATTGGCTCCTGTGCCGAGTAAAGCGGGTCACAAGATGCAGTCTTATCGGCAGTCGTTGATCTCAATGAATATTTAGAACAGTCGCTCTTGAGCCGAAGATCGAGTAGGGAGCGCATTATCGGAGATCGATAAGAGGAGTCCATGGTTCCTGTCCACATAGCGTGTAGCTTATTTTGATCCTGAGTCGTCATTGACAGGGGTTTGCTGAGTCGATCTGTGATCAGGTCCTGAGCGGGCTAATGTCCGCAGGGCCGGCTACAGAGCGAGCGTACCGATCGGCTCTTAATAGATGGCCTTGAATCCAAGGCAGACAAGTTTCTTTTTTGTATTCAATTGGCCTGCTCGTTCTACGCGAAAAACTAGCGTGGCCTGGTAATTGAAAGCCGAAATAAAAGCTTGAAAGGGATCTCTGACAATCAGCTTCATCACATTATTCTCGTCACGCCATATTTTTCACCATCGACTGGTATGCTAAGCAGGTAATATTCAAGCCCATTTACCGAGCACAGACATCAAAACAAGACCAGATACCAATGACACACCACCAGTCTACGCCTCGCCCAATTTCGCATTCAACATCTCGCCCCCTTTGACGATCCACTCTCGAGCCAGCAGTTCATACCATGCCAATCCCCAACTAGAATCCCTAGCAGAGAGAGCATCCAATGTACCCAGCACAACCAGATTATCTTTTCATTCCCATTCCAAGAATGCAAAACGCCAAGTCCGATCGCCATTCCAATTGGAGCTATCAGAGAAAAGGTACCTGCCATCAGTGCCTTGGATGGAAAGATAGCCCCAGGAAGCGTCGTAATCCGAGCACCAAGACGAGACCTTCAAAGAATTGGTGGAAGACAATCACCACCAGGATAGTTTTGCACAACGATTCCTCAGTAACGACTAAAGTCAGACCGATCAGGATACTGTTGAAGAGAATGCCGGCTTCCATGAGAAGGACCGTGAACTTTGTCGTGGGCTTTGTGGGGTCCTCGCCGTGCGAGTGGCCGAGATGTGCGATTGTCGCGCGTCGAGGGACCTCGATCCGCTCTTGCTGGCGTGGACTCTCCCTGATATTCAGACTCATCCGTACTAGGCGCAGAAGCGCTCTTCGCTGCACGGGAACTGCCATGACTCGACGGCCTGGGTACCCGAACAAAAAGGCGAGGTACACTGCCGACCATGACGATGGCGGAAGTTGTTCCTTCGTAGTCCAGCTCGCCGAGGCAGTCATTGGTGAACATCAGAGTGGCATGGGTATAAAGCTAGAAAAATTGCAAGTTTGGTTAAATCAACTTGTATTCGCAGATTGGGAGTCGAGAACTTACATGAATGAATGCTGTCGAAATAATGATGCCAGTCCGAATCTGGTTGATTACGGTCATGACGACCGAGTTCACGGAAGCAAAGGGCAACTTGACCAGTAGTATTGGGGCAAATATTCTTATCGCACTTGTAGCGAGCATTACGAACAATGTTCCAATCCGAAGCTGGATGTCACAATCTCTCGTTCCTACTCCACAGGATGAAGACGACCCTTCCGATTTGCCCGATACCAACGAAGTGCCTGAGATCAAAGAGAACGAATTAGCACAGATCGGATAATCACCAATCGAGAAGATTAAACTCACTCCACGCCGGCATGGAAATGGCAGTTGGTTGACGATTCTGTCGTCTCTTCTTCGCTCTCGTGATCGTGTGTTTCTTCTTTGCTAACGAGAACGTCCTCCCCACTCGAGTCGAGACAGTATCTTGAAGGATGAAAGGTCAGAAAAATTATTTCGGGATCAGTGCGATTGGGGTTATCATACGTTTGACTGCCATGTGAATGGCAACCTGTATAAGCTGCAGGAATCCCGGTCGTTGGCGTAGCGGTTACAGAAACCAGCACCTCGCTCCAGCCGAGTCAATACAATATCTGATCACAGTGTTAGATATATTCTCTGAAAATTGTAGAGAATGAATACGAACACGTCGTCTCCGTGAGCATGGCAGCCAGTGATCATCGAAGAATCACCGGTCGTCGTCGCTGTTGCAGCATATGCACGCGGAAACGCCAAGAATACGGCGACCGACTTGAAGATCTGCATTGCAATGAAACCTCGAGCAGCAGAAAACGAAACAAAAAGAAGAAAAAACTCCGAAACCGCTTTTCAAGAAGCGTTACTGCGTAGCGGAGTGAAAGACAGATCTAGGACGCTGAAAACGTGCGATTTGTCGACTTCCCATAAAGATTCCAACCTGCCACGGGGGTCGCTTACAAGCTGACCATTGCCAAGCAAGACAGACCCTCTTTCCGACCGCAGCCAAGAGCACCAAATGAGCCATTTCTCTTCGGGAGGAACCGCCTTTGTAGTATTTGTCTTCTTCCAAGGTCCTCGCCAAGCATCTCCTGCGGACTCCGCTCCTCTTGGTACTTGGCATCGGCGAGAAGTTGTGTGCCTGGCCGCGTGAAATGGGTTGTGCGGACAAGCTTCCTCGAAGGTCCTTGCTTGGCGGTGTCAGTGTCTCACTATAGAGAGCTTCGGTTGTTCGTGATCGGGTTTGATGGTGGATGGTTGCCAAGCGAGAGATGTGGTAGCGGTGAATGCGTCGAGCAACGGAGTTCATCGAGGACCTTCGCAGCAGGTTGTTGAGATGATGAGAGAGGTTCACTTCGGTCGATAGCCTTTGAATAAGTACATGCAGAGGCAATGCACTAAGTCTGCAAACTAGAGATGGTGTGCCGTTGTCGTCGTTGCAACAGCAAAGGTCTCTAGAGACCACCGAAGAGAGGGAGATGAGAGTGCGAGCAGTGTGGAGGGTTACAAGGCTTATCCCTTACCCGTCTTAAGTATTGATAGAGACGCTAGAAAAGCTTGCGCGACGGGGGGGGATTGCGATGGAAAGTTGTCGCCCATCACGAATCAACAATCTATGGGTGTGCGGCTGAAAAGGAGAGTGTATATGTGAAGAGTAGAAGCCTGTGAAGCATATACGCAGAGATAAGAAAGGAATTGGTGATATACAATGCACCGAAACAATCATGGGTTTTGCGGTGGAGGTGGAGGTCAATTTTGATATCTTTTGCGATGGAGGTCAGGATCGTGATTGGTGGTGTCAAGTGTAAGAACACATTCCGCAGGCGATGGAGATGTTGCTGGGGTCAGCGGTGACGCTGCAGTTTGGCATCGTGGTGACCATCTTGGGCTTCATCTTTCCCGATGGGGGGTTGCAAACAAAATCATCACCCACACAGTACGGATGTTAATACTAGGGCAGGTTCGAGGTCAAAAGGGTCAACTGAGAAGCGTGTGCTAACGCCTCACCAGTGGTGCAGTTGTGTAGCTCCCGCACCGCCTCCTAATCCGGGGATGCCCTAAACAAGGTACTGGGTAGTGCATGGCTATCTCTGGGCTATGCAAAAGAAGTCACAGAGGGGTGGGTGGCACGAGTGAGACCTCCCAGTGGGAGATACCTAACTCCGATAATGTCTTTTTTTTTATACTCTTTCTCCACTATTTTTCTTTAGTTTCTTTTTGGAGATTGATCTAATTACCTATAATATTCTTTTTTTATTCATTGAAAATAGAATATAATTATACTAAGCTGACAATTATTGGTATATCATATTGTGATGCTGGGATGGGTTGGAGTTGAAGTCTGTACAAATCTGTAAAGTTGATCCTCGCGAACATAGCCCCACTTAGCTATTCCCTGTTATGTCGGAGCGCGTCCCTATCCCGCTGTATAAAAGGCGTAACCACCTTCAACCTTGCAGGTCAGGGCTATACTTTCGGGGGCGGGCACGAACAAGAGGTTTCGTGATCAGCCGAGTTTTGGGGCTGAAAAGAAATCAGGAGATGATGATCCCTGCAAAGAGATGCACGGCCCCTATGAGGCTCATTCTTGATTAGTTTCTAGCTCTCAGTAGCTCACATGTTGGTCAATATGTGAGTTGAACTAGTAGCCAATGAATTTACCATCTACTGGTTTCTTTTTTCGAGTCGGTAGCCAAAAGACTAGCTAGCATTCAACATTCATGAGTACTCTACCCAATCATTAAAAAGCAAGTCAAGTGGTATATTCCCCATGAAATCAATAGACACCTCATTCATGAACATGCTGAGGTCATCGCCAGCGTCATCATTCATGGCGACCTGGCCATCTTCACCAAAGACGAGATTATTTTCACTTGAACGGATCCATGAGCTCTGGTATTTGCTGCGCGATATCGTTGAACAATGGCATTTGAACCTCTGAGCTTGCGTTATTTGGTAAGAGATGGTCTTGTGTGTCGAGTGCCAAATTCAGCGTTGGGAGCGATTCAAATCTGGTGCAAATTCGATCTAGCATCTCCAAGCAGCGTCTGGCCGAAACACTTCTCTTAGCTAATTGGCGAAAGCAGTCTCGAGCCTCAAAGACTGAATGGTGCCAAGCGGCAGTTCCTGGTTATATTGATATTCCGTGCCCTTGCCGAGGAATAATACTAAAATTACCAACGTGGCTTGAATCAAGCAATACGTGGCGTACCAGACTAAGTGGTATGATGCATCTTTGTAGCACATGCAGAATGTTGCAATATCGTGCACATTCTCCATGGCAACGTCCAAGGATTTCTCCTCTGCATCAAATCTGGTCGGTAGATAACTGTGGTATTTTTGACTGCCGCGCCAAAGAAGAATTCGAAGACCTTTGCTCCTTCCATCGAAGGACTGAGCGTGGTCCGATGAACCAGGGTGGGCAGTCCGTCCAAGTGAAACAGCCCCGCAGTGACTTTTGCCAACCTCGTCAAGTCTCGTTCGAGTAGTTCAGCCAGACGACACTCTATTCTAGACCCAGCGTGTTTCTTGCCCGATAGATATTCGTGATATATAACGTCTGCAATTCGAGCAAGCTTGGCTCGGCAATAATGGCGGAACAAGTTGTCGGGTACTCAACTTCTTCTGGTACAGGGAATTCAAGCGAGAGAACCCTATAATCGTAAGCAAGGGGTATTCCTGATCGTCTCTTGAAGGAACATTCATACCTTATCATAAACATTTCGAGGGAGGGCGATATCGATGAATCCATCTGTCATAGTTGGCGGTCGGCCAGTGGTGATATTGAAACCACCTTCGAAGCAGTACATCGTCCAGAAGAGCTGTTGCCTTCTTTCATGGCCGATGTGTATTTTGAGCACAGGCCACTTCTCGATGGAGCCCAATTCCAAGAGCAAGTCGGTAAGCAAGACCAATATAGTTGTACCCGGTGTCTGTTTGGTCTTTCTTCCCGAGGGAGTTCCGAGAAGCAGGAAGGCTGGACAGTCCTGACGCTACCTGATTCCAGCATCTGAAGCGACAGTCCTGCTCGAGCTTTGGCGTAAAATCCTGAAGTGTCTGGATATTCGGACTCGGTGTTCGAAGAACAAAATTGACCAATAGCGAGAACAAGGTAATAGGTAACCCTCCATGGAGGGGAGGCTTTGCGTTGTGAGGAGACCCTCTCCTGAACGTCTTCTCGTGTAAGACAGGGTAGTGAATATGATAGAGATGAAATAAGCATCGACAAGATTGTTTGTCACGTAAGAAATGCTGAGACCAGGAGGGTCTCTGGCAGACCGGCTTGGTGAAATTTTCTCATCCTTTGCGTTGCTGCATTTTCATCGTTCCGGTCATTGAAGAATCTATCTCTTCCAAAAGTTGTGAACCAGAACTACTCCCTGTGATACATTATTAATCAACGAAACAATCAAAGCTTTCTCGCGCGTTCTACTTACCAAGACACCCCGCCTCGGTGGTCGAGAGCGTGGCCATGCCATCCGTGGGGAGAGAGAGACCCTTCATTCCATTCATAGCTATCTGGAGTAGCCTCATCGCTCTATCAAATTGATGACCGGAATCGAAAGCATCGACGTGCTCTTTGAGGGCGGATTCGTTGGTACGTTCGCTAGCGCAGCTTCGATGTTCAAATCGGGATCGAGCGACTGAAGGAGTGATCGGAGCCGAGTGCACCGATACTTACAGTATCGAGATTTCTCCGAGTTAGCGGAGTACGATACGGGGGCCCTTCAAAACTACATGTCTTCCCCGTCTTTTCACAAAATGAGCATGGGCCGTTCTCGCCGGAGTGCAGACACTGGCTCTGCGCTTTCGACAGTTCGTACAAGCTCGTGCTGCAGGTGCAAGGGTATTTTTCCGTACAGAACGTCTCACGATATAAGGGCCTATATCATTTGCGAGGTCCTTAGTATAGATTACACAGATGCATGTCATTCAAGGCCTGAAGGACGATGTTGGCAGGCATTTCGTCATTGGATGCGGAATGTCGGAGCACAGCCGGCCGATGACGGATTTACCCCAGCATTCAATCGGTGGCGCGGGTACGATACGGCAGTTTCAACTCAGCTAAATAAACATCTATAATAGTATTTATGCATTCTAAACTGAATATACTTTGAAAATTCATATAATCGAGAAATATGTTTTTGATAATTCAAACTTTTTTCAAGCGGAATTTTGATTGACTTCCACTGTCGGTTGGAACGCAATCCAGGCGAAGTCGACAAGAGAAATGTAGTACATTATCATTCAATTATTTAGAGTGCAATGGCCCCTTCATCAACGACAATGTCTGCCCCATTGATATATGAAGAGCTCGCACTGCTAAGAAAGACGACTGCTCCGGCGACCTCCGATGGGCTACCCATTCGACCCATAGGATTGCGCTGGCGCCAAATTTCTCGATGCGGAGCAATTCCGTCACCCTCATTAAGGATTGTATCCACATACCCAGGGCTCACGCTATTGACGCGAATGCCATATCGGGCCCATTCAGCAGCAAGGGAGCTTTTCAACATCAAGAGAGCCGATTTGCTCACGTTATACTGCGACTTGTGGTTGGGGAAAGTACGCGGTGTGCAGATATGCTTGAGATGAACGTGATTGAACCTCCGGATCCTTGTTGACCATCTGTCGAGCGGCGGCCTGGGCGCAGATGAATGCACCTGTAGTGTCGATATCCAGCATCTTTCGCCATGAGGATATGGGCATCTCAAGAGACTCAATAACACCGACGATACCAGCAAACGAGACCAGTATATCGACTGAATCTCAGGACGCGGGCTGTCTCGTCTACCGCGGTACTGACAGCTTCTTCGTCCGTAATGTCGACTTTTTGGTATTTGATTTTGGTTTCAGGGAATTTAGCTCGCAGTTGAGCGATCTCCTTCTCGGAATTTGCAGGTTGATATCAAAGATCATAAGCCCCTGAAGACCATGCTCGAGGAGGGCATTGCATCCTTGAAGACCAAGAGTTCCGGCACCACCAGTAACAATCGCATTTCCTCGGACAGAAAATCGCTTCTCGGCACCAACAGCGGGGTCGCCTTCGAACGTCGATGCAGGAGCGGGGGTCATAGATGAGGGACTGCCATCGCTAAAAGCCATCGACGGGACTATACGAGAAGTAAGGTCTTCTCGACTAGGTAAGACCGTCATGTTGAGAGGTTTAGCTACTGAGTCGTATGACAAGGGTAGAATGGCGAAGGCTAGATTGCAAGCAGCATGGATGTGTAAGGTTGGAGTGATCAGAGGCCCGTGGCAAAAGGCTAAATAGCCAGCCACTAGGTCGTTTGAAACCGGGCAACATGGTATCGGCGGATCAAAAGAAGCCGTCGGCCAGTAGAAATCCGAACTAGAACTGTATTCTGCGAGGATGCAGCTTTTGGTCAATCCAGGCGGAGAGCTCCACTTATGTCGGGACACTGTCGACCGAAGGATATCGACAAACAGCATCAAGCTACATACTAAAAGCTAAATCATGTTAATTTGAATATCGGAGTCATGATGGCCGACATACTACGTTCGGCACGAGTTGGTAGATGCAAACCCCCGTTCCTGGTTCACTAGATCCGAGATCGGCAATGGGGTATTTTATCTTCTTGCTTATTTTGGATGACTCGCCTGCTGGTCTACTTCACCCCTTGTCAGACATAGTTTTCTCACTATATTCATTTTTTGGTAAAACATTCAATATTTTTAATTCGATCATTAGACTCATCAGCTCTGCAATGTCGTCTAACGAAGAAATAGGCAGTTCTCATGATGATGCCGGTCAGTGATGAAGCCCCAAGCAGCAGTGAAAAGCGCCATATCTCTCTTAATAACTCATTTTAGGCTATCGAGGAATCATTAAACAACCTTACATATTCTTCTTAGCATTTTTCTCCAGCATTGGTGGAATGCTTTTCGGGTAAGTCATTTGTCAAATTCATTACAACTATTATGACTAAATCCATATTATGGCCGAAATAGATATGACCAGGGAGTAATTAGTGGTGTGCTAGTGATGAACAATTTTGTCTGTCTCCATTGCGCCCTAGCTTCAAATGTCAGGAATCTCTAACATACAAGTCTAGGGAAAACAATTTCCTGTCCTTGCCGCCAACGCCACTCTTCAAGGATGGATGGTCTCTATTTTGACCCTTGGAGCCATGATAGGTGCACTGGCAAACGGACCTATTGCGGATCGCTTGTCCCGAAGATGGTCCATTCTTTTAGCCAACAGTATCTTTCTGGTCGGATCCATTATACAAGCTGCGTCTGTCAATACCGCAATGCTGTTTATCGGTCGTTTCATCGCGGGTTTAGCTATCGGTCAGCTCTCAATGGTTATTCCGCTGTATATCAGTGAACTTTCGCCAGCGAATCTTCGAGGGGAGTCTCATATCTCTGCAACAGGCTAGTATCACTTTGGGAATCATGGTTGCATTTTGGCTTGATTATGGCACGACAAATATTGGGGGAACTGGAGATGGACAAAGTCCAATTGCCTGGAGATTACCTCTCGCTTTGCAGTGTGTGCCGTCATTGATTCTAGCCAGCGGGACATTCTTTCTGCCATACAGCCCCCGGTGGCTTCTTATGAAAGGTGTGTCAAAACTATCCACTATGCTGAATATCTGACTCTGCTAATATTTTGTTTTGTTTTTTTTTTAAAAAAAATAGATCGCGAAGAAGAGGCACGCGCGACCCTGGTTCGCATCCGCCAAGTGTCTGAGAATAGTCCTTGTATTGAATCAGAGCTACTCGAGATCAAGGCCGCTGCCATATTCGACAATGAAACGTCTGATTTGCTTTATCCAAATGCAAATACTAATATCCAGCTCACCATTGAGAGATATAAAGCTCTTTTCACTGTTGGACATCTACGCCGCCGTTTAGTTATTGCCTGCACGATGCAAGTTATTCAACAGTTCACGGGGATCAATGCGATTATCTACTACGCGCCGCAGATCTTTCGGAACATTGGTCTCTCGGGAAATTCCGTTGATCTTCTCGCTACGGGGGTAATTGGTGTCGTCAATTTTTTGTCTACCATACCGGCAATCATGTACATGGACCGGTGGGGCCGCAGAAAGGTACTCATTATCGGCGGCATTGGGATGGGAATTTCTCAGCTCATCGTCGGCACTATATACGCCGTCTATAAGGACTCTTGGGCAAGTCATAAGTCGGCTGGATGGGCAGCCGCGAGTTTCGTTTGGATTTATATTGCCAACTTTGCGTTCAGCATTGGGTGTACTAATTGGATTATACCTTCGGAGATCTTTAGCCCTGGGGTTCGGGCACAGGGTGTCGGAATTGCGATTGGAGTCAACTGGCTCAGCAATGTAAGTCACAACAATTATGAAAAGCGAGAACTGTACTAATATACTTGATTTAGTTCGTTGTCGCCCTTATTATCTCCCAAAATGCTTCAAAGTATTCTACATTCGGAACGTTTTATTTCTTCCTCGGTGAGCCTCCAAAATCCCCAACCCTAAAGAAAGTGTACTAAAAATGGGTAGCATTCTGTATTGGTCTAATATTTTGGACCTTTTTCATGCTTCCGGAGACGAAAGGTGTTGGAATTGAAGAGATGGATAAATTGTTCGGAGGTAACCAAGGTGAAGCCGATATCAATCGAATGCGGGACATCAGGGAAGGCTGGGACTTGACTCTGGAGACATGGAAATTTCGAAAGATCTTTATCCTGAGGTGTCCCAAATCGAAAAGGTGTAGATGGGTTCATTCTAAATAGAAAGGTCGAGCAAACATAACGACTCTCAATTTTTTATCAGAATTGATGATATTTGAAGATAGTCGATTGGTAAATAGATCCTTGGATTTAAAAACTCAGTGAAAATAAACCTTGGGACGATAAAATGCGACTTCTCGATTTCACGCAGCCTGGACAATGTCCAAGCAGCTGGAAGTAGTCTGTATTTTGTGATGGACTTACGGATGATAGTCAACTCTGATAATACTCAATCTTCAAAGGTCTCGTGGCAAATGATTTAATAAGTAATTTTGAAATAAAGTACCACTCATTTACCTGGACATTATGAAAGTACTTCACTGAGAAAAGCATTTTATTTATCTACCTAATCACAGTTATCTATAGTCTATGTCTTCTATGACTGCTCTTTTGCGCGACTAATCAAGGCAAAACATAGCCTCCATCAATAAGCACGTCACTGCCGGTCATATAGGTAGAGGCATCACTTGCCAAATAGAGATACAAGCCCTTGATCTCCTTGGTATGACCTTGTCGTCCTAGAGATGACATGCGGTATGCCTCATTAATGCAGCCAGGGCTAGCACCCATTTTGGTATCGAAGAAGCCGGGGGAGACAATGTTCACACGAGCAAATTCTCTCCATTCGCGAGCAAGTGACTTTCCAAAGTGGGTGACAAAGGCTTTGGTGGCATTGTAAACAGGTTGATCAACGGGAACGTTGACAATTTTCGCACTCATGCTAGATGTGAGAATGAGATTTCCAAAGCCCTGGCGTTTGAAAACTTCACCCACAAACTTGGAGCAATAGACAATACCGTCAACTGGAGATAGTTAGAAGTGATCTTGATCTGAATGACGAGTTTTGCCTACCATTGACAGTCATCTGCTTGTGATATTCTTCCAAGGTCTGCTCCAGGATGGGCTTCGAGATTGCCATTCCTATAGAAAATAGTCAGAATACACTTATATCTCTTTTTGCGTCCAGAAGCTCACCAGCATTAGCGACGAAGACATCGATTTTTCCAAAGTCTTTCACCACCTCAGTGATGCTCTTCTGCACAGAATCGGCATTCGAGACATCGACCTTGTATGCCTGAGTTTTGATACTGTGAGAAGTAGCAAATTCTTGTGCCATTTTAATGGCAGCCTCATTCCTATGGATCTTTGTTAAAAATAGTCCGTTGGCAGAGTTTGTTCAAACTTACGAATTGTACCAAAATGCGACATGAGCGCCGGCCTCTGCCATCGCCTCAGCAACGGCCAGACCGATCCCATCCCCGCGCCATTTACAATCACCACCTTACCCTTTAAGCTGAGTTGGTCAAAAACATTGGTAGGTGTGTTAGGGAAAGGGCGAGGGAACCCGTCACGGACTTGGGCGCAATCCTGAGAGTTCATAGACATGTTGGGAGGTTGTAATTAGAAATATGGTATGCTGGAATTCGGCCCTGGATGAATGCCGTACCTGGTCCCTTTTAAGTCTCGGCTATTAGAGCAACAGGTCGTAGAGTCGGGTGACAAAAGCCCGCTTCGGCGCGTTGTCACCCGACATAATGATGTAGCATCGCGTTACCCCACACCCCGCACTAATCTAAAGAGAGGCCTCGGTTTCGCTCCATTTAAATACAGATGGCTTTACTTCTTACACAGGAACAGAACTATTTATTCTTTTAAAATCAAGATGAGAATATCCATGTATTCCTACCACCAGAAATGTATTAACCTCTTAAATGAACATTGCAATTGACGGCGGGCCATTTTCAAATTTAACCGACCGGAGCCGATTGGAAGGTATGTATAAATATGGGCAAATTTCTACAGCTCATCAATTTATGAAGTGAATTGACCATTTAGCTTCATCCACAATAATATTTGACGAAAGACTTGCAAATTCATTTCTCTTTGATAGTGTTGACCTGGATCACAGATCGTTGATCTCAGCCGGTTAATTAGCCGAGGCCAGAGTTTTGTTGGATACAGGCGACAGAGGGCTTGAAGATTTTTTTGAAATTACAATATGAACTTGAAGAATTCCAAGGTTTTCTCTAAAAATATTACCGAGCTTTGACTTATATTCTTCTGGTGGAATTGTTGGTGGAAAAGCCTGAACGGACCGAGGATCGTCGCTCGAGCTGAGAGCAATATTTTCCTTCGATATTTCAAGTTCCACGATAGTTCATACAATCTGAGCTCCAACTTCTTTGACAATATTTTTAGAATCTTAATGAATTCATTTACGAGCGATTACTTGATGACCTAGGTATTCGATGCGATTGGGCATAGAAAGAATTTTGGAAACCAGATCAGCAAATCTATTGCCACTTTATAAGATCTATACAATAAAAGAATCCCAGTCTATAACGCCATATACATGCCACGTCTAGTTCATCATTCCATCAAGTGCAAATTTATGCAGAAGCACAGTGACCACCGTCAACACGCAGGTCGGCACCAGTCATCCAGGCGCTGGCATCGGTAAGCATGTAAATGGTGGGTCCCTTGAAGTCCTCTGGGGCACCCAGGCGACCGAGAAGAGCTCCGCGCATCCAAGTCTCCTCGACCTCCGGCTTCTCCTTCAGAAGGGCATCGGTCATAGAAGTGCGGATATACTAATTGCGCTATTAGTATTATATATAAGTGTTGGATTTTAGAGAAACTCACTCCAGCGGACAGGGTGTTAACGCGGATGTTGTGCTGGCCCCATTCCTGAGCGACTGATCGGCACATCTGGTGGACAGCGGCCTTGGAGGAGTTGTAGGCGGTGCAAGTGAGACCCTAAAATAAAGGAAAATCGTTAGCACTCTGATTTTATCTGTAGAATTTTTTGGAAATCCTCACGCGGTTGGCAATCTGGCCGGACATCGAGGCAATCATCACAATGCTACCGGGTGCCTTCTGCTCAACGAGAATACGCGAGAAGTGCTTGGCGGGGATGAACGTTCCGAGGACACTAGAAGAGATAATGATTAGTATTCTGGTTCGAGTAATTTCATCGACGTCTTCAGGGTCGCCTTACTTGACATCCAGCATCTTGCGATATCCTTCAACGGGGTAGTCGAGAGCAGGTACCATCTGTTGGATACCGGCGCATGTGATAAGACCGCGCATGGGCATGTTGCGTTGCGAAGCTTGCGCGGCGATATTTTCGAGGATCTCCTTGGTCGCGGCCTCATCTGTGATGTCGCACTTGGTGTAGGTCGCCTGCAGACCGCGAGAAGTGGCCAGCTTCTGAACAGCAACCCACTCTTCGGGACTGGGCTCAGAGAGGAGATCCAGGCAAGCAACATCACCACCGGCTTCAAGGACAGCAGTGGTCAGGGTCATGCCGAGTCCACGACCACCTCCAGTGATGACGACTGTGCGACCGCGGAGAGGAAGAGTTCATTGGTGGGCGCGAATGCGGCCGGAGTCTCGTAGGACTCTGGCACGACTGCCGGGAGTGTGTGGTCGAGGGTGGTGTTGGAGATAGAAGGAGCCATTTTGGGAGGTAAGATTGAAGGAAAAAACTTTGAAAGATGTCAATTGCTATGTTTTGGGAATGTGCACTTCATATAGGGCAGATTTTCCTGATGCAATGCAACACCAAAGCACCCACAGCTGGCCATGGTGCAGAGTGGTTATACATTGCCCAACTAGGGAAGTTTTGGGTTGGAGAACCACAGTGGAACGCTTGCCAAAGCAATCAATTTGCCTAAGCTCCAATTTCCAGACTCCTTCTCCCGAGTCCGACAAATCATGCCGATTATCGCTGGCACCGGCCCGGCCGATAGTGGGGTTTCTGGAAGTGCATATGGTTACGCTTTATGGTAATTCATGGGGTTGCTCAAGGGGCGCGGGGCATGGGGTAAACCGAGATGGAGAAGACGGGCTGGGACATAGGGCTGCGAGACAGAGGCGAGATAACCAGAAGGCAAGGAATCAGCGAGGCGTACAAGCTCCACATGACGAGCAAATCAGAGCGGAATATTTGGTGCTTAAATCTACCTAATCTGGAAATATTTTTGACATCCTTCTCGGTAACCAATCACGCGCTGGAGACATAGCTTTTAGCCGGGACGACGAGGTCACTTGTGGGGGGGATGACTCGGTTCGGCCCACCGATATCTTTTCATCGGAATCGCAGGTACGTGAGGGTTGCCGAGTTTTGCTCGTGCGTCAAAATTAGGTCTACAGGGGTTTGGGGCTAAAGATCTGAAGAGGAATGATGAGGATAATCGAGCTTTTAGCTCGGAGGGAAGAGTTGGCATAGAGGACTTTAAACTTCGTGATATCTGATCTGCAAGGAGGGCGACCAATACACGGGAAATGGCAGGACCAAACCTACTCGATGCGGTATTTTTGTGCCAGAATTCTTCCTGTGCACCCCGCAATCCCGGAGGTCGCCCGCTTTTCAGACCCGGATTTTTACGATTCCGGGGCACGCGTTCTTCTGATTCCCCGGTCCCCAACTACGCCATGGATTCCTGGAACCTTGAATGGCGCCACTGATTCGGGCGTCTCAAACGTGGGTGACACTTCAGGGTCGTTTTATAAAAGGAGCCAGAGCCCCACTACAATTGGACTTAGACAACGTGCATGTTTACTTTTGCATCGCCTAGAACTTCTCACTGCGGTTCTTTGTTAGTGCAGTTTTCCCCTCAAAAAGAACTTCTCCTTGAACGGTGCCATGACATTTCTCACCGGACGAGAGTTGGCCTGGGCCATCACGGCCACTGCTGGCAGCGGTTTCCTGTATGTTATCCTTCTTGAGGTGCTCAAATGATATCCCTTGCTGACCTTCAAAGCCTTTTTGGCTACGACCAAGGTGTGATGTCAGGTCTTCTGACTGGTGATGCCTTTGTTGCGAGGTTTCCTGAGATCAATACAACCAAAACTGGACATGGTAGTTCTGCACTACAAGGCACAGTGTAAGTGGAGATGTACCAGCAAGCGCGAGACCGAAAACTGACAATTTTTCCTATTTAGTGTTGCCATCTATGAAATTGTGAGTCAATCGAAGCAAGGCATCCTCGGTCCATATTCTGATTGAAACAGGGCTGCTTCTTAGGTGCTATAATCTCGTTGTTTGTCGGAGAGATGCTTGGTCGACGCAAGTGTATCATGGCTGGATGTGTTATCCTCAGCATCGGTGCTGCTTTGCAATGCAGTGCATATGGAATCCCCCAACTTATTGTTGGTCGTATCATCGCTGGTGTTGGCAATGGTCTCAACACAAGTACAATCCGTGAGTTATTGTTGTCTCGGGGATGCTTTTCAGAACCAACTGACATATGTCCCCTTTTCTAGCTGTCTGGCACTCTGAGTTGAGCAAAGCAGCAAGCCGTGGAAAGGGAGTAAGTCGCCTTATTTTTAGTAGAATAAAAGGAAGTATACTGACAGAAGACCTAGCTGGCTATTGAATTGGCCATCAACATCTTTGGTGTCATGCTCTCCTACTGGGTTGGTGAGTAAAGCTGAGTCCCAACTCCATTATGCATCTTACTTACGTCTGGCAGACTATGGTTTCTCATATGTCTCTAGCGAGGCACAGTTCCGCTTTCCAATCGCACTCCAGATCGCCTTTGCTATCCTTACATTTTTTCGGCGTTGTCTGCCTTCCTGAATCTCCTCGATGGGTACGTCAAATGACGCTTGCATTATGTGAATAGCATATAGACTAACCGCAATCTAGCTCATTAAACATGGGAAAGAGGATGAGGCCCGCCATATTATTTGGGCCCTGCAGGACAATGCACGTGAAATCGATGAGCATGATACCGTCGTCAGTGTTGATGTCAGGGATATCGCACAAGCTATCCGCGAAGAGACTGAAGCTTCAGCCGAAGGGTCTTTCAAGTTGCTCTTCAAGGATGGCCCGCAACGTTTCTTTACCCGAACTCTTCTGGGCATGGGCGGACAGATGATGCAGCAGGTATCGGGCATCAACCTTATCACATATGTGAGTAGCCAAGTTCACCCGATTATCTTTACTTTTGCTCATTCAAGGATAGTACGCAACAGTCATTTTCGAGCAGTCCGTAGGAATGGACCACAACACAGCTCTGTTGTTGGCGGGTTTCAACGGCGTGGCTTACTTTTTCTCTTCTCTCGTGCCTATCTGGGTCATTGACCGGTAAGATCAAGTACATTTGCTATCCTGGGAAGAAATACTAACATGATACAGTCTTGGTCGCCGCAAACTTATGATGTTTGCCGTGATTGGACAGGGTTGCTGTATGGCTATTCTGGCTGGTACTGTCTGGGATGGATCCCATGCCTCTGGTTTGGTGGCCACTGTTATGCTGTTCCTGTTCAATTTTTTCTTCGCCGTCGGTCTTCTGGCCATTCCTTGGCTCTGTAAGTTTTTTCTATCCCTTCCTTTATTCTTCCTAGCCATGCTAACATCTCTCACAGTGCCTGCTGAATATGCACCCCTTGCCATCCGAACACGCTCGGCATCCTTGGCCACTGCTACCAACTGTACGAAATCAAAGTCAACCTATCAATTGTTATTCAAACTAACATAATAAATAGGGATATTTACTTTCCTTGTTGTGGAAATCACCCCGGTCTCAATTTCAAGCATAGGTTACCGGACCTATATCTACTTTGCCGGTATGCACCTCTTAATCGGGATTCTTTGACTATTTCCTCTTCGCAGCTTGCTAACATGAGAATAGTTTTCAACTTCTGCTTCTTTCCCTTGATCTACTTCTTCTATCCCGAAACACGACACCTTACACTGGAGCAGATCGATCATCTGTTCACCGGCGAAAAGGTCAAGCTTTACTGGCAATCATCTATGGGAGTGGCTGGAGATGCAGAGACTCGCATTGCCCACGACAAAGATGCCGTTGCTCACAGCAAAGATCCTGAAAGTGTGCAGGCCCAGCATTTTGAATAGATTTATGCTTCAACTTGTAGTTAATTGAAATATCATGTTGCAAGCCTGCAGCAAACTGTGTTTACCTTTCAAAGATCTTGTTATTTTATGGGATATTGAGCATTATACATGTAAATTATCGAGCAATATCATGGATGGAAATTATGCTATGACGCAACTTCTCTCCAAACCAACATACATAGTAAGTAACACTCAACTTAGACCAGACTGGTCCTGACGATCACCTCGCTTCTAGCCGAGTTCCTGGTCAGTTATTGTCCTATGACGAGTTCCGCCGCTTTTCGGGGAGACCCCGGAAAACTCACTCCACGCCGGCCAAACTCCTCGGGAGGCCGACCAACGGCAACGCAGCCGGTGGGGCCGAGTTGGCGGTTAAAAGTTCTCTTTTCGGCAAGTGGCTTTTATGTAGTCCTTCCATCCCCACGTCCTCCAGGCCCTCCATCCCAACCCCGGATTCTGGCCTTTGACCAGCAAGATGACAAGCACAATCGTCAATATTCTCGAGGCAGCCATGGATACTGACAAGAGCCACCCACCTCCATTTTCGCACGAAGATAGGCATGATACGAAACAACTGGAGCCTAAGAAACGCACCCGAACTGGCTGTCTCAACTGCAGTCGTCGCCGACGAAAATGTGACGAAGAAAAGCCGACTTGCACTGGTTGTAAGCGACGAGGCGATGAGTGCCAATGGCGCATGCTAGGCTCATTTCGCGATTCCAACATCAAAATACTGGAATCTGATCACCCATCGATGAGCCAGGGCGGCGCCGTGAGCAAAAACAAGCGCCAAAGTAAATTCAAGATCTTGAATGCTTTGCCTGATCAGCATCGCACTAGAGGGGTCAAACGTCCTATCGAAGAAATCTCCGATCTATTGGCGCGAAAAAGCCCCTCTATATCGCCTTCTAACGCCAATAGCGCTATGCCAGCAAGGGTTACGGCGCCAGAGGACCAGCGAAATGCCACTACTGCTTCTGGATATGCGGATCAACCTTCCGATTCGACTGATATTGGTCCTCCTTTGTCGCCCCCGCTGACCGGTAATGCATCATCCCATACGTCACAAGGCCCCAGTAAAAATTCCCCCCACTGCGATGTCATCGAGCAGGATGCAAGTCATTTACACCAGCATGGATCAACTAGCCAAGATCAATACCCGGCCAATCTGCATTGTGATTTTCAGCCTCAACTATCTGATCATGATTCACCTCACGCCTATTTGGACTCCAGTCCTGGATACGCTATCGATGACCTTGCTACGCTAAGGAATCTCAACGGCGCTCAATTTCATTCCTCTGTGGAGGGCTCATATCAAAACGTCCCGTCTCCTCTCTTTGATCATAGTGTCTTCTCCGACCCGGCGGATCTCACCAATGATGTCTTCCTTCCGGGGTCGGCCTACGAGGCCCTCCACACGGCGTTACGAAACCGCCAGTTATGGACTGCCAGACCGGGTGTTACAAGACGGGCCAGCTCACAGGGCTCTATCTCGCAAGCTCATACGCCGTCAGGTCTGAGTGATAGTTCTTTCAGTCGATCTACGCGACAGCCTCAGCGTTCTAGTGCAGGGCGATATTTTGACTTGTCTCCAGAGCGAGAGCACGTTTTGTGGCAGAACTACCTGAATGAAATCTGCTCATGGGTAAGCTTTTTCGCTCTTAGCGCAGCAAACATTCTTTGGCTAACCATTGATAGCTCGACATGTTCGACAACAATCGGCATTTTGCTTCCACGTTTCCCCAGATGGCAAAGACATCGCCGCATTTGCGATACTCAATTCTAGCTCTTTCAGCGCGACAACTGGAGAGAGAGCAAAACGAAAAGTCCCAATCAGAGAGTTTGTCTTTGTATCAAGAAGCTATTCATCTTCTGTTCCCTGAATTAGAGAGTAAGAGTACGCCCGTGATTGCCTCTTGTGTTATTCTCTGCGTTTTGGAAATGCTGTCCTGCAACCCAAAAGAATGGCGACGCCATTTGGATGGGTGTGCTTATCTGATTCAAGCCGCCGGTATCAATGGTTTCTCGGGGAAAGAAGAGCAGGCTCTTTTCTGGTGCTTTGCCAGAATGGATGTTTGTGGTGGTCTCATCTCCGAGGAGGACACTATAATCCCAATTCACAACTGGAGACCCAAAGACATGAGCTGCTCCGAGGCGTCACGTCTGTTTCTTTCATCCAACAAGACAAATTTCGACACATATGCCAACTATACTGTCTACTTATGTGCAGTAACACTCGGTGTCCTGTTCGGATCGACATCCAAAGCCCCGCACCCCTGCACATCTTGCCAGTCATTTCCTGAAGAGGATGGAAATTCTTATGTCCACCGCTGGGGAGAGTTGTTCGCCCATGTGGAACAATGGTATGAGAACCGGCCCAGCCAGATGAAGTCTATCTTCACTGTTTCCAACCCTAGCCAAGTTTCGAGAGATAGGCCCTTTCCAACGGTATTATATGGGAATGGATGTGCCAGTATGTTAACCGCCATCAAACTACTTGGCTCTTGGAACTAATCAGATCGAACAATTTCCAGTCTCTGGTAATCAGCTATACCATGTCAGTGCCTTGCTTTTACTCCAACGGAAGCCGAAGACAATAGTACTTTCAAAAAAGCCGGTATGTCTCAAAAGTTTCTCATGGCTTTTTTCTCATGAATATCGGTTAACAATATCCAGAAGTCTGTCCTTTGGCATGCTCGCCAAATTTGTGCCATCTCTGCTTCAAATGCCCATCAGTAAGTATCTTTGATTTTTGATAACTCGGATGACCAAAATACTGACTGTTTCTCTTCTTTAGTGGATGCTGGACTAATGCACTGCAGCCTCTCTGGATAGCCGGAAAGGTCATGTCACATTATTCAGAGCATGAAGCTATAGTCGAGACGCTGGTCCGAATCGAGCGTGAGACTGGATGGGCAACTACATGGCGAGTTGAGGATCTGAAAGAATTCTGGGGCGAATATGATAACGAAGACGAGTGCGATGCCGACATGGACTAAGGAATATGAGTGCTACGAATTACGAGCAAAACGCATCTAGAGTTTTCATCATGAATATAGAAACGCGAGATTCACTCCGTCGATCTTCTTTCAGCCAAGGTCAACAAATAAATGATCATTATTTCTCGTAGCACTTTGCTTGTACGATGTTGTCATAGTAGTGGTGTCATGTTCTCGGATCATCTCCGTGCGGGGCTGGTGTCCTCGAGTCGAGGTCCATCATCCACTCAATATCCCAACGAATCGGAGAACAACGTCGCTCGCAGAATGACCCAATAATCCAATCACCTTGAATATAATCTTCTTAGCTTCCAGGGAGTTAAGGATAAATTCAATCCTTCCAGCGTCCAGCTTACCTCGAGCCGAGCCAAAAAGACTCCTAACCCCGCATCTTTTTTGACCTTTATATACAAATTATAAAACTGCGGGGTCCCCAGGATAAACAGTCTCTCTATCTCTCTATTTCAGTGGTAATATCCCTTAAATTTATTGCCAACCTTTCCAAATTTTCTATACAATGTCATCTTCCATCCCTTCGCAGTCCACACCCGTGGAGCCCCAGACCAAGATTGCACTTGAGTCAAAAGTCATCGCTAGTTAGTAACTTCTCTCCTCGTCAAATTTCAGAAATTGACAATATACATCATAACAATAGTTACCGGTGCAAACCGAGGAATCGGACTCGGTGTCGCAGAATGCTGTCTCATTAACGGTGCCGCTAAGATCTACTCTATCGACATCGGTGAAACTGGCGATGAATTCCAGGCCTTGTCTACGCGTTTCCCAAACCAAGTCTTTGCAGTTCAAGCCGATGTAACACAAGAAACCAGCATCTCCGCTGCTGTTGATAAAATTGTTGAGGAGGCCGGTGCGCTCCACGGGATGGTCGTGAATGCAGGACGGACGAACCACAAGGCCGCACTGGACTTCACGACCGAAGAGATCGAGGCTCTATTTTCCGTTAATGTGAGTCTCATATGACGCCTTCTGATGAGCCAGACCTCAGGTCAACAAGGTTTACTAACTGGAATGCTTCAGCTCTTTGGCGCATTTTACACAGCCAGATGTGCTGCTCGGGCCTTCATTAAGCTGGGAATCAAGGGGGCGATTGTGTTCACAGCCTCGATGGCTTCTTACCGTCCTAACAAGGTGTGTCAACCCTTTGGAATTTGTCTACCTTTCTATCGGGTCTTTGCTAGTCGTATTTCCTGATATTGTCGGCTGACTTCTGCAGCGCGTTCCATCCACCCCCTACGGCGCGTCTAAGGCTGGCATTCGAAACATGACACACACCCTCGCCATGGAGTGGGCTCAGTATGGCATTCGCGTTAATAGCGTCTCGCCTGGTCTTGTGAACACTGCCATGACGTATTGGGTGCCCCAGCAGCCCGATTGGGAGCAACAGTTGAAATACTACGGTGGATTTCCACGTCTGGCGGAGGTTCAAGAGCTCGGCGGTGCATATGTGTATCTTCTGAGCGATGCTGCGAGCTACACAACCTCGATCGACATTCCTGTCAACGGTGTTATTGGAAGTAAGCCGAATCAACAGGAGCCCCCATCAAGAAAGGTCGCTAACATTTGTAGTTTGTTAAATACTATTATGATATCGATAATAAAAATGCGCGAATTAACCTACCAAATTGGACAAAACTGTAGAAAGTATCGAGATCATTGGACTAATTCCTTGGGTTATCTGGAGGCCTCCTTAGCGAATAATGAATCACAGCCTTGAAAGTTCGCATTAACAAGCTGTGAGTTAGGTATGGGTTGCGTATCTGAAGAGAAGTTTGGGCTTAAAGTAGCTTTGAAGCTACTATCTTCGATCATGTCTCGTTCAAATATTCCTCGGCTCCTGTCTAATAGGATATAGTTCCAACAATTCTTGGCACCATACGGCTTGAATAAGCATTATACAGGAAAATATGGGCCGATCAGATATACGAAAGGGCGAAATGCTGTCTGTAAAGCGCGCGACGTTTCACGAGAATGACCCAACTAGGCCTGACTCCGACGTTCGAATTCTATCTTGGCGATCGGATAATGACTCCTAATGCCCTTTGCCGGCAAGGGGCATGAAATTCCTTCCCGTAGTCGATAATTGCTTTTGATAGGCTCGCCGAATGAGCGACTATGACGGGAGAAGCATTTAGCAATCGCTCACTTCCACACAAACATCTGTCATTTTGCACCCAGGGTTCTTTGGCAGGTTGGGGAGATTTTCTTCAGGTCTCAGCATCCTCTATCATTGGGTACTTATGCAAATAGGTGGGCCATAGTGGACCCTTTGTTCCTTCGGGGTCAAGGTTCGGGTCAGAGGGATTCTCCCTCCCGACTCCATTTTTAAACTCCCACCTTCGCCCCAGCCCCGCCAACTCATGAAGTGGGAGAACTCGCGCACCATCAAGTGCTCATTCTTACCGCCAGCATGGGTGGTAAGCCCTTCCAATCAAAGGGCTGCACAAATTGTAAACGGCGGAGAGTCAAGGTACATACAAGGCCCACTCCATTAATTACCCCTGGACCCCGAATTTCGACACTAACCCGGGGGGGCGTTTAGTGTGACACTCAACGGCCAGAATGCGGCAATTGTCTGAAAAGAGGCATTCAGTGCGAAGGCTATGAAAGAAGACTTGTTTTTGTTTATCAGAATGGCTCTGATCAAAAAGATGAACAGAAGACGCCACGAGATCGTCGTCGCACGGGTCAGGTTGCGGTGCGACCGCCAATGACAGTGAATACATCTTCATTCAGCCGAGAGCAAATTGTCGCTTCATATATTAATGTCTACTTCCCTGATGACATCACGGGAACTACGGAACTCGATCCTTGGTATACGCTGCTTTCCGGAATATCCGCATTACCAAATAAGTCCGTGATGCTTGAGAAAGCGATGGCGGCAACGTCTTGTATCTATCTTGGCAAAATCAACGATGACACTCGCATGCTCAATCATGGCCTTCAGCTATATAATGGTGCGATACACCGTGTATCGCAGGAGCTTAGCCGCAACAATTACACGGATGAGCTTTTTTTTACAATGGGGATTTTCACGATACTGGTGGTATGTCGTCAAGTTGTTTACCAACTTTTAAAACCCCCCAATGCAAATCAGCTAATATCGAATCCAGGCTCTGTATTGCCCCGGTGGTCTTGATGTAATAGTACACCAAACAGCAGTGACCAACGGAATCTTCAAGAATATTTTATCACATTCAACTAATAGCCCAATCATCAAAACTCTATGTCTGGCATTTCAGCGAATGCGACTGGTAAGTTCCCCTGTCAAGCCCAGAAACTGATTTCGCTATCGATCTTGTGCAATGCAACTAACTGTCGTGGCATTAGTTAAAATCACTTTCACCAATTGAAGCAAATAATGTAGTAGACCTGGCGAGAGAGCACGCCCCGACCGCTGTGACTTCTCACGAAAATGTGGTTATTGACGAATTGTTTCAACTCATGGCCGACATTTCACCAATCGCAGCTGCAGTCAGTATGACCGATGTATCCGATAATACGGCCTGCCACCTATCACTCTATGACTGCCTTGCGCACAGGGAAAAATTATTATCATGGTACTCGCGCGCTAAAGTCCGTATCGGCGGTGGCCCTTACGTCGGCGAAAGCAGCGATTTTCCGTGCAAAAATATTCTGCCATCGGAACATCTATTCGGTCGACCCTATGGCTTCTCCTCTCTGGACAATGCGAGAATTCACATTCTCTTCTGGTCGGCGCTGTCTATCCTCCAGGCTCTGCTCGGTCAGACCCATGCATACGCATATACATCAGCTCCACCCGATCCTTACACCAACAAAGAATATCAACTCTCGGAATACTACGCAGACGAGATCAGTCGAGCCATGCCCTATTGTTTGCAGGACAGCATGAAGGCGTGGGGCATCAGCATGACGATCTTCGGTATGGGCCAAATCGCCAAGGTTTACATGGAACTCAGACGTGAGGAGAAGTTCTTGTGGAGCCAGCATCTCTTTAAATACGTGGGCGATATGGGATCAGATCTCGGTTATCGTGTTGGCGAACTTCTGCAGTTTGGCTGGAGTCTTTTGGAGCAATCTGATCGCAACGAGCGCCCAGAATTGTCATCAGTGGCCTCGAGTCCGGGATCTAACGCATCTTCTGCATCTCCAGTATCCCCGGCATCTAGTACATCAACCGCATCAACCGCCCCCTTCGTGGCAGAATATGTACCCATGCATGAGACAATAGATTTGCCAACACGATCAAGATGGGAACCAGACCGGTGAATCTTGCACCTCAGGATGAACATAAGTTGCAGATGCTGGCATCGCATTTCCTGGTGAAACAACAAAACCGGCATATATTGGATATGACTGATGCATTCTTTCTGTTTTGTGATGACGGGTCAAAGGATGGCTGAGTCTGTCACTGCTAGTATATACAAGTATAAAACATCCCATGAACATGTTCGGTTTAAATAAGAAACTACCATAATTATCCATTATCGAGAAGACAGTAGCCTATAAATTTTAGGTAGTCAAATGCCTAGACGGGTTAGAGAAAGCTACCTAATATACTGGTAGTTGCTAGTTAGTGTTCACAAGCCCTCCCTGGAGTCATCTGCCATGGCAGGTACTAGGCTGATTGTTATTTTCAAGCTGCCAACTTTAATTAGTGCCTAATTATGCAAATACATACGTATGGGATAGGACTTCCTCAAATCCATTTGAGTTCAAGTTCAAGTTCAAGTCATGGTTATCGATATCCATAGTGGATGCTAGGTGCGCAGTACCTTCATATAGCTCGAAGATATATCTCCGGGTACCCGAGTCTAAATCGCCCACTGGCAGGTAGGACCTGAATTCCAAGGTTCCAAAGGTTGAACTTGAACGGGCTTACATCTTCACCGTGACCATGCTAAAGACCAATTAGAAACGCTGGAATATGATTTATATGTATATCTATAAAACAATTCACTATCTTCAATAAAGATACGCTAGGTAGGTACCAGGCAACGCTTTCGAAGTACTGACTGTTGTGTGCCAAGGCGGGCCGCCGATCGCGACAAATCAAGACTTACATCAACAAAGAAGGAAAATTACAATACATACACGCAGAGACTCCCCTGGGATGATATGAGAATTGATTAAATCGCGATTCAACATCTATAACTATCCAAGATTACAGAGTACAAAGTGAAAAAAAAACTACCTGAGACACACGTTCCGAACAGCTGGACGAATCCACCTTGTAATGAGAGCTAGTTAGCGGCGCCCCACAAGCCTTTGCCACACGAGGCTGCTTGTATGACCGGACAGAGTTCTACGGAGTACGGAGTATCATGCGATCAGTTGGTACTTGCACTTTGGAATAGGGGAAGGGGGTCGGACACGAACACGAATGCGGACAACGCGAAACGAGAGCGCACGGGGCGGCAAGAGGATCGGCCGCTAGGCATGCATTCTTGTCCGCAAACTGCCAATAGCTGCGGCATTGACTCCTGCAGGGGTAGTCAATCCCTTCTTGAGTGAGTAGGGAGGAATGCATTGAGTAGGCCGCACGAGACGTTGAATCAAGGGATGATGGCAAAGACGGGCAAAACATTTGACCTTGCAGTGCGGCAAAACAGGCTCGTTGCTGAATCACTTAGCCCCCCCTAACTACTCCGTACAGGACAGGGGAGAATTTGAATCGACCAAGGATATTTGATTAATTGGGCACCTGGTGGAGAATCTGGCAAAGGAGATCTTCAGCACGTAGAGTGACGAGACGAAAAACATAGCTTTCAGATTTGTTTGTCGTTTGTTGTGATTGCCTTGCGTGTCTTTGGACTAGCGTTCTCTCTGAAAACTGTCTTAGTCTTTGTTGACGTCCGTCTTCGTCGAAGTGATGCGCTTGCCCCGGTCTGTGTGGACTTGGAGCGCATTCCAGGTTGACACCACATTGTTTATGTACGGGGGTGCCCCCGCTGTCTCCATCTCCGTCCCCACCGAAGCTTTTATTCAACCTCCACCGACAACTCCTCGGCACACTGAAGCCAAGACCAACCAGTCCAGTTTAAGGAGAACCGCGAGCAAGACGTCAAGAAAGTTTCGACGATCACTGTCCTCCATTTTCTAAACAAGCGGTGCCACCAACTACACGACCACAACGAAGGTCAACGAGAACACGATGAGTCTGCATGGATTAGGAGTGATTGGGGCCCAAGTGGCCGCATCAATCAAGGGAAGCGATGACAAACACGAGAAGAAGCCAACATCCCCACGAATTCGATCACCAGCATGTTCCATTCAGTCTACTCCAGAAGTCATCAACCCTCAGGACTTTGACCCGACAATAGGGGCAAAGCCTTATTCCCCATTCTACAAACACGGATCACCTACGATATCCTACGAGCAACTCACTTATGAGACGAAGAACAATCTCAGTCAAAGCCACTTGCGAGATATTGAGAACGCTGGACCTTATTCGGCAGGGAGGACGGATAGTCCGCGACGATCAAAGCTGTGGGAAAAGGAGCAACCGAAGCGTTCGTGCATGCAATCGCTGACTACTCGACAACGGATGGCTTTGAAGGCAGTGGTTGCAGTTGTGACAGTAGGAAGTATGATTGCTATCGCTTTGGGGATCACAGTGGCAGTGGGTGGGGCGGCTTGGAGGTCGAGTGCGGAGTCAGTTACGATGGGTGGATGGTGAGTTTCCTAGCGATACGGATGCATTTAACAATTATGTGACCTCGGCTGACCAGAAATTGCAGATAATATGGAAGCCATGAGTGGAGAAGAGTTATTCCTTTTAATCGCGGTGATTTTCTTTGGGTTGCACCACTCTGGGGCAGACCTCCCGTTTCGGGGATTGTACATTATGGATCACTGGATGGTACTGGCGGGAACAGCAGGATGCTGATAATTGTATTCAAGCTGAAGTGTCAATTGAAATGTAAATGGAAACACCAATGCAAATGCAAGTGCAAAGACACAGAAGATCAAAGATGAAGAAAGAAGTTGTGGTGGATGCAAGGTGGATAGTGAACTAGTCCGCAATAGGTGTAGTATCGGCCCGAGATAATCCGACCACGTGACCACACGCACCTACAAAAGCGCAAAAATTGCTCCCCTTGACTTTCTTTCTTCATCGAAAAAAAGCAACTGAACCTGCCACGACCCTCGTCCTGTCTCTTTTGACAACCTTCACGACGTGTGTTGCCTTCGGTCCTACGGGACTGATCGGTTCAGGAGAAGAAATTCCCCGATAGGAAGTTCGCCCCCCGTTGGGTCCTCTTTATTGAGGGCGATGGGAGGGGAATGTCGAAGACGGGATACATCCCACACTTTTACTACATAGTAATTGTTGTGAATCATAGTTTGTGTAGTAGAAATTCCATTGTGCGATGGGGAACCCCATAGTCCCTTGTAGTCGAAATTCGGAAAGCTGAGGAAATGCCCAGATGTGCTCAGATGCTCTAGCTGGCAGACCTCCGTGGAGATTATAAGCTCCCCGAGGCAACAATGATTGTCCTCGACACTACCCAACATGGCTTCCCCCAAGTTGAAAATGCTACCCTATCTGGGGCTACGATTACTCTCGATGCTCTCGATGCTGTCGGCGATTTATGATTCATCCGATTGACATCATGGGAATGTTGGTTGAACATGGCAGAGTGTTTCAACTCTTGACCTGCTGTCCAGCTTGGATGGCCGAAGACTCCATCGCCCATTACTGAGCCCCTGGAGCGCACCAAACGTAGACCCTTAATGGACCACAGGCACTGTCGCACTGCCCAGACAAGACCATGCCGTCATGCTACTCCTCGACGATCGGCCAAGGGGCCAACGTGGTTGGCCAAGTCAGTCGGAAATACCGATCCCTCGATGATATCCCGTGGAATGCCGCACCACCACCTGCGCTGTGATTCACGCAGCATTTGTTTACAGTGTTGATGGCAGCCGACCATCGCAGGGGCCCAAGCTTGTTGTCTGTTTGCTTGTCTTCCATTCCCAACGGCATTCTGATGGGGCCTCTGTGACTTGGTCGAGCCTCGATACCCCGTCAACGCCAGTGTTTGGCCCTGCATGCACATTCCACCATGCTAATGAACGATGGTGATCATGAATGTAAAGAAACTACTAAAGCACTACTAACCTCGATATCCTACCATGCTTGCCGCTGTCTGGGAACACCTTCTTCTAATCGTTGCCATTCTTTTACTTGCTCCCGTAGCATCGGTCTACTGTCGCTCTTTAGCTAACGCTCAATTCTTTCTCATTCCCTTCTACAGTAATACCCTATTGCATTTATCATCATGAAGGGATTCGTCGGTGGAATTCCCCTGGCCCTGCTGGCCGCTGCCGCTCAGGCACAGGCCATGGAGCACACTGTAAGTCAAGATGTGTCGTTCATTGTTGACGAGCCCCATCGCTAATACATATCCAGATGAACAGCGGCGCCGTTCAGCCTCGCAACCACAATGGATTCGGCCAGCCCGAGGTCGGAGGCACTGCTCTCGGTGGACCTTCAGGAAATGATGAGGATGGAACCTTCAATGTTCCCTATGCCGCCAGCATTCACACTGACACCAACGTGAACGAGTTCAGCAAGGATGATCACTCCGTCAAGATCAAGGACACTGATGTCTACCCACCTAACGTTCACCCTGGCCCTGCTTTCGCCCCTGGTGCTGGTCCTTTCCCCATCAAGCGCAGCTGGCCTTCCGGCGGCACTGCTGAGGGCGGTCCTTCTGGCAACGATGAAGGCCAGACCTTCAACATGCCCATCACTGGCAACTTCAACACCGACGTCAACGAGTCTTCCCAGGACGACCACTCTGTCGATATCAAGAACAAGGATATCCACCCTGCTCCTGTCATTGCTCCTGTCCACGTGCATCCTCCTCCTCACTTCGAGGGCCCTCCTGCCCATGTTGAGGAACACCCTGTTCACGGCCGTCCCCACTTCGGTGGCCCCCCTCCTTTCTATGAGGCTGATGGCAACAACAACGACAACTTCAATGGCGATCACTTCAACGTGGTTGAGAACGATCTTCACCACGACTGGGTGAAGCGTGGTGGCCCTGGAGGCCCCCCCTCACTTCGGTGGCCCCCCTCCGTTCTACGAGGCCAATGACAATAACAATGGCAACTTCAACGGTGACCACTTCGGCGTCGTTGAGAACGACCAGCACGTCGATTGGGTCAAGCGCGCCGCTCCAGGCGGTACTGCTCTCGGTGGACCCGGAGGTGGTGGCCACGGCCCTGCTGGATACCCTGACCATGTTTCTGGAGGAACTGCCCTTGGTGGCCCATCTGGTGATGATGAGGGGATCAGCTATGGCCGTCCCATCACCGCTGATATCCACAGCAATGTGAACGAATACAGCAAGGATGACCACTCTGTCGATATCAAGCACACCGATATCCACCCCGGCCACCCCTTCGGAACCCCATTCAAGCGTCACTGGGGTCCTCACAACGGCGGCACCGCCCTCGGTGGTCCTTCCGGAGATGATGAGGGACAGACCTTCAACATGCCCATCACTGTCAACACCCACACTGGTATCAACGAGTATGCCAAGGACGACCACTCCGTCAAGGTCAAGAACACCAATGTTCACTCTCCTCCAGTCTTCCCTGCTGGCCCCGGCCCTGTCGTACCCAACGGTGGCCCCTTCCGCCGCGCCTACTCTCCTGACCGTGTCTCTGGAGGTGGCGGTGGCGGCACTGCTGAGGGTGGTCCCTCTGGTACTGACGGTGGTGAGGACTTCGGTTCACCTGTCGACGTTGGTGTTGACAGTGGCGTCAATGAGCACAGTGAGGACAACCACGCTGTCAAGATCGACAGCACCACTGTTCACCCTCACTACGAGCAGCCCGAGCTTCCTTGGATGACCTACCCCGAGGCCGCCACCTATGATGTTCCTGCCTCTCCTCCTGCTCACGAGGTTGAGCAAGCTCCCCCCCGTCGAGGAGACCCACGAGGTCCCTCAGGCTCCTCCTCAGGCTCCTCCCCATGTCGAGGTCCCTGAGTACCAGCCTGCTCCTCCCGCCGACCCCCCTCGCGAGAACCACGAGCACCACGAGGAGGTTCCCCAGTGCGCAGCTGAGACACACGAGGTCGTCCGCACTGTGACCAAGACCCAGTTCAAGGAGGTCCACCCCACTGCGACCACCACTGTCTACGAGAAGGCCCCTACCTCCGTAGTCACCCAGGCTGCTCAGACATCCGCTGTTCCCCAGGGCGCCACCCCCATGAACGACCCTGAGAACAAGATCTACTCCAGCGCCGTCTTTGGCAGCCAGGCCGCACCCTCCTCGTCCAACATCCCCTACCAGAGCTACAACTACAACTCCCAGCGCCCCATGAGCACTGGTACCTACTCCATGATCCCCGTCAACGTGCCGGTGCCCTCCTCCACTGCCATGATGAAGTCCATGGCCACCCCCTCCGCTAGTCACGGCATGCCCGTCGGTGCCGACGCCATGAACAGTGCCAGCGCGTCTCCCACGCCCTCCCACGGCGCCGCCATGTTCCAAGGCGCTGCTACCCGTGCTTCCAGCGGCATCTTCTCCGCCGTCGCTGCCGTCGCCGGTGTCCTGGCCTTTGTCTTGTAAGCTGTTGCCAGTGTATAATGGATGTGCTCAAGAGTTATGAAGGACTCCTTGTCGATCGTTAAATTTCATTACTTATTTTCATTTCTTTCTGTGTCTCTTTCGTATACTTTTTGTTCCCTACCTGATTCCTCTGCTTAATGGTCGATTTGATTTCCATGAGGTTTTGGCGTTGAGAAATATGACTTGATTCTTCTAAATTGTTTCCGGTGACGTCTCCGCTAGATCCTTGTAGTTCCCCTTAGCTCCTGGGCCTGCTTCTTCGTGGCATACTCGCAATCATCCCTCTCAGCATCGTCGTTGATCTCACAGTTAGGGCTACACGAAGTTGCCTTGTTAAGGCGCATGATACCAACTTCCACCTGCCACAAGTCCATTCCTTCAAGCAATTGCGATAATCAAGATCAGGAACCCCGCGCTCAGCCTCCCAGTTCGAGAAGGCAAGTCCAAAAAAAATCAAGAAATACTTACCACATCGTGATATCATCCCCCCATCATTCCCCACGCTTCGAACACTGACATCAGGCCCAACCCACGCACTCATCGCCATCAACCTATATAAACTCAACCAAGAACAGAAATTCCATTCAAAAACAACTCTCTACTCTTCACAAAACCCCAACCCAACCCAACACAAAAATGGCCCGCCACACCGACTCAGACCCGCACGAAGGCGGATCAATCTTCGACATGGCCCAACAAGGAACAGCAATCCCCAACGACGCAGGCCAAATGCGCACAATCCCCTCCGTCCCCCGACCCGACCAACACCCCTCAAGCAAACACTTCGACAACGATGGCCTTGCGAAACCCACAACCGCAACGGCTGCCGACAATGACACCAACATGCCGCGCTCAACCCGGGACGTCGGTCAGAGCGGCGAAGTGCTTACCGGTGCGGGCGATTCTTTGCCGGCGAGCGTTGAGAGCAAGCGTAATGTTTCCGGGGCGCGGGATACGAGGGCTCAGACATCATCGGCAGAATCGAAGGGCGTTTGAGAGGTATATTCATGAGGATGAGGATTCTTGGGGTGGGGGAGTGACTTGAAGGTGGAATGATTGATTGATTGATTGATTGATTCTGGCTGGTGGAGGGATCGCTCATCGGATGATGGATTGGATTGGGTTGTTGTTGGCGTTCTCACTATACAGTATCCCGGCAGTATGGATGGTGCTAGACGATGCTGCTTTAATGAGTTCCTCTCAATGTAACATGATAAATCAAATATAGTCATGTATGATTCTTCTGTATACCTCGATCCGAGCTGCAGGTCCTGGGTATACAGAGCCTCTTAGCTCAGGTAAATGATCTCGCCTCCTCAGCCCCAAGAAATCCCTTATAGATATCGTCCAAAACATCCCTCTTCCTCTTACGAGTAGCCTCAGCTGCCTCCTCCTCCTCATCCAACTCCCCATCCTCCTCCCTCGAAACCCACGACCGAATCGTCCCATCCCCATGCGCAGAAAAGAGTTCCACCCCTTCTCCACTCGCCCCATTCCCACGCCAAACAAGATCAGTTATACGCGCAGCACTGAGCGCACTAGCCCGACCCCGAACCTGCGACTGCGACATCGCCACGCCGGGCAATTTAAGCCGTTTAACAAACGTCCCCTCCCGCAACTCAAACATAAAGATCTCGCCACGATCATCCTGCTCGTTGAAATTCGGCCAGAGAAGCGTCTCATGACCCGGCGTCATGAATCCCTTCGGAACAAGTACCGGCGCCCTCTCAGCTAAATGCGAAGTCGAGCTATTACGCACCCTCGGACCGAAATGAACGAGTGTATTTGCCCCGCTCGCAGCATCCCATACCCTAATGCGCGCATCTTGTCCCGTACTCACGATATGACTACCGTTAGACGTCCACCGCACGCCGGTAACGGGCCCATTGTGTGCGCGCGCAGTCGGTGAAAAGGCCGCGCGGGCCGTGTAGGAATTCGGCGCTGATGCCGGATTTACTAGACCGACCGGGTCGTCCATGTCTAGCGTTGCGATGGCGGAGTTGTGGCCTCCTTTCCGGACGTCGAAGATTATCACCCTGTTGTCGACGGAGCCTGATGCTAGGAGGTAGGGTTTATGCGGTGCCCATGCGACGGATAAAACGGGTGCATTGTGGCCTGGTAGGCCGTGAGTTGCCAGGCCCGAACGCAGATCTACCAATCGGACCGATTGGTCCGAGGTCGCGACGGCGAGTAGGAGCGTTGAGGCTGGGGCGGAGGAGAATGAATGGGCGTAGGGTGTGCAGTCGAGGTTGAAGGTGTGGAGGGGTGTGATCTCGGGGGATTGTAACGCTGACCATTTCAGGGTGCCGTCGTGCGCGGTTGAGAAGATGGTTGATGGGACGGGGTCGAATGGGTAGATTGATAGCGAGGTTATGGCGTGCGTGTGGGCGGCGCTGTGTGAGGGCTTACTTACGGACGCACAAGCTCGGTGGATATGTTCGAGCTCCGAGCCTCTGCTCTCGAGATCCCATAGGTGAATGGAGGGGTCGGCGCCTCCAGAGATCATACTAGATGTGCTTTGGTTAGAACTACAGTGCAGGGCAGGGAAAGGAAGGGGTGAAGGGTTGAAGTCACGTACTACCGTCCCTCGAACTGGTCGATTGCAAGACAGTTCACGCCTGATTTGTGTGCATACAGCTTCTCTGTGGGATCGAAGTCTGGGTTTAATGTTGTGTCATCTTCAGACTGATCTGGTACGGCTTTGCGACTGGAGAAGCGAATCCCCGGTGCTGGTTCGAGGTTGCGCACTAAGCGCTCCGTCTGCGCGGTGTGGAATTCATTTGGAGCGACAGAGCCCAGGGCTCTGTTGAGCAGATAGGAATTCATTCATTCCAGTGTGTAATCGTCAAAGAATCTCTGGAGAAGGCCGAGGCAGTCACTAGCGATCGCGACTGGCGCGGTGACCTCATCGGATCAACGTTGAGCCGTCGCATTCTATTGAGTGCCTGAGGGGAACTTTACAGTCTTTCCTTCCCGAGCATTGTTGATCTTGACTGATCGCAGATTCTCGCACAGCAGGATGTCGTTCGCACGCTCGGAGAATCTGACTCGAGGTACATTTATCCAGCCACCAACGACCAAGACACCAACTTCTCGGAGGAAAAGAAAAGAGAAAGTTGAAGAGCCAAGCAAAACAGTCAGATTGGAGGATATCACCAACCCTCAACCAAAGACTCGAAGACGCCAGGCCAATCTCTACGATGCAATCGCCGGTAAGATCTAGATCTTACTCACATGAGTCCCACTTCGTCAAATTGGCTAAGATGGAATGCTGACGGTAGATAGGTCGTGTCACTGCCCGAGGGTTCGCCCTATCTACACCTATAGCCTCCAAGTACCGTGATACTGCATCGTCGGGGGCCCGCATTCAGCGACCAGAAGAGGTCCTTTTCCGAAAAGATCATCCCATGAGACAAGTCGAAAATGGCGAACCATATTTTGCGCACGAGAATCTCCCCGCAGACCGGCCTCTGCCCAACTCGGATCTCCTCCAGTCGATACACGCCTACGCCTCGGACTTTTACAAATACACACTAGGCGAAAGCGGGAGGAAAAGTCATTATAGCATGAACGAATCTGCACTGCTGGCGGTGGGGATTTTAGTCGAGGAGATGGCGAAGGATGGCCTGGGCGACAATGGCCATTTGCTCATGATCGAACCGCAGGGTCTAAAGGGTGATATTAGCGGCAATGCGGAGAACTTCCTCCCTAAGCGTGGTCGGCCAGTCGGCTGGAGGGCCGATGTCGATGGAAAGAAGCCGAAAGCACCCCGGCGCAAACGTGCTCAGACTATCATCCAGCCCCGGCGCAAACGACCTAGGCTCGACGAGCTCATGGGACCTAGCAGGAAAGGCAGGGGCGGCAAAACTTGAGAGGTTGCATCGTTGGTGGGGGCGTGCAAGAGTGCACCTTGCAGCCACCTGCATATGATATGATAACATTTATTGATGGACAGGGGATATCTACTAATGCCAACCTGAAGACCAATGGCCATGACTCGATAAGGATATCCATGGCATGCAGCCCAGTGGAGGCTATTTGAAAACCAAGCTGCAGGTCGTGGTATGGAGTACGGAGTAACTACTCCGTATAGGGTCTGTGGCTACTACTCTGACCGACTGAGAGGCAGCAACAAGGTCGGATGCAGCGCCAGATGTGAAAATCGGTGGCATCCAAAGCCTGCCTACAGACAAATACTGGGCAGGGCAGACATCGCTGTTGACCCGACTGGTCTACTCTGTACTTTGTAAAGGCGTGGCAAGGTCATGGTGCTATAAGCTAGAGTATGAGGCGAGTGTCACGCAGCCAATTGCCCAATTGAACTAGGGAAATAAATTTCAATCAAAAACCTCAGAATGAGTAATCGGGAGTATTCTTTAAACCAGAATATACAATAGTCTACTCCGTACTCCAACCCCAAAGTTTCAAAGTTAAGCGTTGTGAGGTCAAAGAAGGTTGAGATGGTTCCAGAAAAGGAATTCCCTCAGCCGCTCCTCTCCACCTCCTCCACTTGAATTGCTTAACTCCCCGTTGTTTCACCCGATCAGGAATGGCTCACCGTTAGACTTTCCTTTTGATCTGCTTTCAGGACTATTTCCCTCGGATCCCTCGGGATCCATTGATCCCAGCCATGGTATGTGATTCTCCCCCCCCTCTGCGGAGTGCGGAGTACTATCACTATTGGTGGTGGATTGGGCACGAAAGACAAACCAATAACCTACACCGAGATTGATCCGAACAAATCTGACTGACGCGTCCAATTCGACCCCAACAGCCACCGAAGCTATCGAAAAGTGACAAACAAGATCTCATTGTGGCACATCTTCGGGCGACAGGTACCTGTCACACGCTCAAAGACCTGGAAAAGTCACTCCCCTCGGTGGCCTCGATCAACAGCATCCAGGTCAAAGAATACATCCAGGCACTGACAGACGAGAACCGAATTCGCGCCGAAAAGATCGGCAGTGGGAACTGGTACTGGAGCTTTGGCAGTGATGAAAGAATCCAACGCGAACGCCAGTTGGGCCGGGTGAAGACGGAAGTGGAGCAGGCCCGCCAGAGCAGAAGCGATGCGGCGGCGGCCCTCGCCACTGAAACCACGCGACGGGAGCAAGAGGCCGATTCCGGGCGCGAACGTGAATCAGAGCGCATGGTGCTGCAGGAGCAACGAGCCGAGCTTCAGGCAGCGGTGGACCGGCTTCGAGCAGCAACCACGGCAGCACAGCCCGGTGGAGGAGGAGTCAACAAGGGTGTCCTGCAACTTCGAGCAGAACTAGCTGGATTTAGGCAACAGGCGATACAATGGACGGACAATATCTACATCTTGGAAGAATATCTGCGTCGACTGGCGAGCGGGGACCGGGAGATTGTCAGTGCGGTTCAGCGTGAGTGTTATGGAGACGAATACGTGGACGGGGGCTTGCGTGAACTAAGCTAAAGAGGAGAGGAGAGGAGTACGGGAGTATAGTCTTGTCCAATTGCCAGTGGGAGTCCCCAAAGCCCGGAAAGGAGAGAAAAGGAGAAAGCTTAGCATTCTTAGTCTAGGAATACCAACATCACTTCCAACACACACATACACACCTCTATCAAGTAAACTAGACTATCATAGGAATTATATCACAAGTAGATAATGACAAAGTAAAATCAGAATAAAATTCCAAGTGAAAAGTACCACCAAAAGGCCAGAGTCACGAAGCTTGACTCTGACCTTATGGACTTTGGGGGAGTCTGGGCTTATCGCGAAACCCTCCTCCTCTTTCGAGTTATGCACTCCCCCCCCCCTCTTCTTCCTCTTCCTACCAACTTCCACCTCCACTACTTCCATTTCCTCCTCTCCTCTCCACTCGCTTTCTTATTCCTCACTGCGCCACCCCTTCCATTCCTCCCATTCCTCTCTCTCTCCTCTCCCCCTTCAGCCACCCCCCTCGTACCTAAATTGTTCTCCCGACTCGACTCCCCGACTCCCCCGACTTCCTTTAGGCTCCGGCGCTTACCATCTTCCCGACTCCCCCGACTCCACGACTTGTTCGGCCCCAACCCTCCCCCCGCGACCTTCGCGCGCTTCCTCGAGAAACAATGTGGTCGAGGGATAGTCGCTCATAACTGCCTATTCATCTGGCCTCGTTTTTCCCCCCGGATATACCCCGTTGTGTTGGATTTCCGCTCCGTTCGCATCTCGTCCGAAAGACGTCGGGCTCTCAACGACCAGGACGTGCAGTCGCGTGGTCCGACGTATCTTTTGTTATTCGTCCTCCGATCGGCTTCCTTGACATCCTGATATCCTCCAGTCCAGACGAGCTCTATCGCCCACGCCGCCCACATCCACATTCTGCCCAAGCATTCTCCCCGATAGATCGACCTCCGCGGTTTCCTTCTCCAGCCACGACCTCGAACGTGCTGTCACCCCCTCGCGATTGGATCGGCAGCTATCTGATTATACCCTGTTCCTCTCACCCCACCTTTCATCTGGATCATCGCGGCAGTCTGGTATAGATGCAGCGATCCCTGGCTGGTCATGTCCTCCAACCTTCCCACCCAGACCAACACGTCTCCGGTCATCAGTCGGAATCGGAATTCCTTTCTTTCCAAGTTTCGCTCCCCGCTCGGTAATCGAAATCGAAGCGTCACCGATTATTACATCGATCTCGACGATCCCTGGCGCTCTTACTTTCCCGGCGATGTCATCAAGGGGACCGTTATTGTCACCGTCGTTCGCCCGGTTCGCATCACCCATATTGTCGTCTGTCTCCATGGATTCGTCAAGGTCTTCAAGAATGCGATGCCCGCAGGGGAAGCCGCACCGGATCTAGGTTATCTTGGCCCGGGTCGTGGCCGGCGCGGCGCGGAATACATGGGCAACGGATTGGCGAGTTTGTTTGAGGACGAAGTCGTTCTCTGCGGCGACGGGCGTCTTAAGGAGGGTATCTACAAGTTTCGTTTCGAAATGAGTCTCCCACCTTATGCTCTCCCGAGCAGTATCAATGTGCGCATTCACTTCTTGCCCACCCTTTCCCCCGAATGACTGACTGACCGACTTCCTCCTTCTAGTTTGAGCGAGGCACTATCTCCTACTCCCTAACCTCCACCCTCACCCGACCGACCACGATGAACCCTACACTCACCTGCCGAAGACGGGTCAATCTTCTCGAAAATATCGACATTGCGCCATTTCCTGCCCCCAAGGCCCGCATTGTCACTCTCGAACCAATCTCAAAACGCTCCAAATCAAAGGCCAAGGCCAAGTCCGTTGCCTCTGATGCCACCCAAGGACCCGACACATCCTCTATAGATACCCCGATCAGCGGAACTGCCGCTTCAGTCGACAACCGCCCACCACTCAGCCCTTCACCCAGCAACGTCAGTTCTTCAAGTCGACCGAGCAACAGCAGCCAGAGCTTTCATATTGCCAGCGACCCCAGTTCCTCAACAAGTACAGGTGGCGGGCGCAACAGCGAAGGTCGCAGTGCGACCCCGTCAGTCTCAGATCGCACAATCACCGCCAAAGCCGAGGTTCTACGTGCAGGTGTGCTACCGGGCGACACACTACCCATCAAAGTTACTATCAACCACTTCAAGCAAGTGCGCAGCGCGCAAGGCATTGTCGTGACTTTCTACCGGCAGGGCCGTATCGATCTTCACCCTGCCATACCTATAGGTTCCACCGCGAATGGAAAGAAACCGGTCTACGAGGATTGCTATCCCCGGTCCCGCACAGGGCTTGGTGGGTTGACGTTGGGCACCAGTCGCACCAGCAGTACCTTCCGTAAAGACCTATCTCAGACATTCGCCCCGCTCATCGTGGATCCCACCAACATGACGGCAACCGTCAAAACGTCCATCCGAGTCCCCGAGGACGCATTCCCGACTATCACCCGCGTGCCTGGCGCCATGATCAACTTTCGTTACTATGTGGAAGTCGTGGTTGACTTGCGCGGCAAGATCACATCCACCGACCGTTTTATCCCACGCTTCAAAATGGTATCAGGCGGCAGCAATTTCTCCCCCAGTGGCCAGGTTCTGAACCCGGCCGACGCCAACGGGAGTAACCTCACCGCCAATTGGGCAGGGAATATCTTGGATACGGATCATATTCGTCGAGAAAAGGGCGTGATTTCGGTAGCCTTCGAGGTGGTTGTCGGCACGAGGGATTCGCAGCGCGGCCAAGCTTCAATAGAGCGCACTACATCCAACGTCGCCGAGTCCACCACATCCCAAAATGCCCAACCTGTTGCATCAGCGGCCTTGATCAACCCCGTTGATGGAGAGGAATGGCCCGAGGCCAGTCCGATGCCTGTCTCAAGTGCTGAGTATGGCCAAGAGGACTATGGATTCCCCGAGGGAGCTTGGTCGGAGTACCCTGAAGACTATCACGAATATCCGCAACCCATTGGGCCCATGATGGCTCATCCCGAGGTGGAAGAGCCCGTGGACGAGAAGACTCGACTACGGCGACACGAGGAGGCTCTTTTGCCTGGTGCGCCAGACGAGGACGAAGCAGGGCCCTCAAATGCCGAGGTGACGATGCCGACAGCGCCTGTTCTACCGGAGGACCACCTGTTGCAGGACTATCAGCATTTACCTTCGCCTGTTACTGAGGGTGTTCCGCATGCAGGTCCACACCCGGTCCGATCAGCCGAGTCCTTGCAGACCATCGTTATCAACGGCAGCGCTCCCGAAGCCAGCGAGCCCTCCGCTCCGGGTGAAGACAAACAAGAACTGGAGCGGCAGCGATTGCTTGACCAGACCAGCGCACCCAGTGCACCACCGGAAGAACCGAATGGCAGTGGCACTGCCAATGTCAATGGCCATGCGCACGGCGAGCCCGGTGAGGGTCCAAGCGCTCCGGTGTTTGATGAGGATGACCAACTCGTTGGCGGAACAGCGCACGCGGACGAATCCCTACCTCGGTATCAGCGATGAGGAAAGGATTTGATCTGTTGTTCAATTCCATTTTATTATTATTATTACTTGTAAATTTCGCATTTTTGGGGCCAGGACATGGAAGATACCACTACTCGCATATTTCTGAACACACGGCGCGAGGCGTTAACCGAATGTAACATATGGATAATGGGATAGCGATAGCTCAACTATATCATACAATCATGGATCTATGCTATTCATATACAATCTGACTATATTCTTATCGTCTATTTACTCCAATTTACCACCTCCAACACTAAAACCAAACATAAACAGGTGGCATCAACCGAGTGGCTTATCTCCACGGGGAAAGCCTTGGAAGCCTTGGCGCCCCGACTTTGGATAAACTTCTCCCCCTGTAACCTTCTCCTCTCCCACCACCCCAATACCTTCAAAATGGCCTTCAAGAGCGGGTCGTTTGCGACCTTCCTCATCCTCTGCCGTATGTCCAGTCCAGCCCAGTCCACTCCCATCCTATCCCATCACTCAACCCTCACCCCAATCCATCCACCCACACCACCCACATTTCAAATCCACCCCAGCTAACCGCCCCCAGCAACCTGCTTCTTCCTAGGAATAATCTTCTCCCTCTTCCCATACGACTACCCAATCCTCTGGTCAACAGTAACCACCCCAGCCAGCCACTATGACTACTTCGAAGCGCACCTCCGCTTCTTACACGCCAGCCCGCCCCTAATCCCACGCATCCTCCACATAGTAATCTTCCTCGGCCTCGCCGGCCTCGTGACGAAACTCTACCGCCCCTCCGAATCAAACATGCTCTTTGACGGCGCCTCGCTCGTGCTCTACATGTGCGGTATCACGGTCTACATCGCGAATATCGTCAAGGGCTTGCGTCTTGCGTCGGCGGGTCGGTATGGCGCTGATCTGGCTAGTGGATCGGATGATAAGGATCAGATTCTTGGTCGTGAGGACTCGCTCAAGGTGCTTGCTGCTAGCAATACTATTCTGGCGCTGGTGCTTGTGGGGATTCTGGTCCTGCAGGCGGGTCAGTGGTATGCGGAGCGGAAGGATGCGCAGGAGTTTGAGAGCTTTGCTGTTGGGAAGAAGGAGAAGGGTGCCAGTGGTGAGGGGGAGGGGCAGAGTTCTGCGACGGCTAGTGGGGTTAAGGCTGGGCGGCAGGGGAGTCAGAGGAAGAAGAGCAATTAAGTTTTGCGGAGGGGTTGTGACTTGATCTGACTTCTTGCTTGTCTGGGGCGGGGGGCGATCAAAGGATGATACTTGGGTCGGTTCCGTGTTTACAGGGTGTTCTTTACGACTTTTCTCTTTGGTTGGCGATGCTCCGCTATGAAGAATGGCACCTTTCCAGCTGTGACTTTTTATGATTTGCATTGTGAGGCTCGGATGGTGTCGAGTTCGCATGTTTTATGTACACAGGTCCCCCGGTGGTGCGCTATGGCATTTGTCTGTACGATGGATGTGGAATGAAATGCAGAAATTCAAAATGGATCTGGACCTTGAAATGTGGAAGTGTTAGTGTTGGGCTTAATAGATGCAGTGCCTAACGTATCGTATCGCATCGTGGTGCAGGATTGTATGCGGGTGTGTGGTGGATGATAATGGTAAATGGATGGGAAATAATGGAAAAATATATCGGACCGGATCGATTCGATCATTGTGAAAAGATGGCAGGTAGATGTTGGGAATAATGTCGTCACATCGCAGAAGGGGAATCATAAGGCAGTGCAGGTCATAATGAAGGGTAATGGTGACAATATTGAATGTCAAGACAAGGCATAGAAATGCACGAGGCGAGATGAACGATGGTATGTTAAGCGAATGAGAATGGGCTGCGGGGGAGATCTGGCGAGCGCGGGCTCAGGGCCTTTGCGAAGAGATCCTCGCCTGAGTCGGCGCTAGAAGTGCGCACGATGGAGCTCATTGAGTTGATGGGTGCGAAGCCAGGTGCGTCGGTGCTGTTCTGCGCTTCCTGGAGAGATTCAGGCGGGTGCAGGGCAACGGGCTTGAGTGAGTCCGGTGCGGATGGGTTCAGCTGTGACATCGGCGTTGGGGTCGGGTTTGTATCTGGAGTTGGCATGGAGTGCGGTGCTCGGTTGGCAAGGTTGCGGAAGGAGCTGAATGAAGACACAGCGACATCCGGTGACTGCGGGGACAGAAGAGAAGGTGTTGATCCTGTTTTCATGTCAGTCAGCTTCTTCGAAGTATATTTGATATCAGACCTGCGCTGAACTTACCGCCGTTGGGTGAAAGGTCTCGCTCGCTTGTCTGCAGCTTCAATCCTTTGAGCTTATCAGACAACTTCTTTCCACTGACGGGCGACACGGGCGTGGCGGGGTAAATAGAGGAATGATTGTTGGACGATTCGTGGCTACTGGCAACACTTTCGATGCCATGTGCTCCCACGCCGAAGTTCGACTCGATCCACTCCTTCTCTTGCACTGCCATGTGCAGCGCAACTCCCTCAACATTGTTTATGCTCTCGTCGCGGATCTCATTGTCCAGTACACGCAGGCGCTTCTTCGCCCAGATCGTATGCAGCACACCTTTCTTTCCGGCAGAGCGACCAGTTGCTCCCAGCTCCGGCGGAAAAATTGCAGGTAGCGGGTTCAAGCGCAGGGTATCAGGGGCCGATGAGGAACCGATGTTTGGCTCGTATGATAGTGTGACAACGGGCGGGATGGTGGTGTTCGGCGGAAGCAGGAAGTAGAAGCGGCGGGTAGTATCATTTGGTCGTTCGTCAGCGGGCATGACGGTAGTCTTGCCTTCCCAAGAAACATGCCACGAGCCTTCAGCGGAAGAGCGAGTAATGTCATCATCTTCCCATTCGATCATTAGGATCTTAGTTCCATCGTTGGCCTTGCCAGCCTCGAACTCGAAACGAGCGAGGGCTGTGATGGAGAGGCTACCAGCCTTGGGACCGCGCGGGGTCTCCAGGTCTGCGAATTCGCTGTCCGGAGTGAAGGTGGGCGGTCTGTAAGCCATGTCGATACCGATAAGAGCGCGTATAGGAGGGTGTCGAGGATCAGACTAGGGAATGGGGCGGAGTTCGGGGCTGGGGCACCGCGCAAATAGGGGAGAGAAATGCAGGGCAGGTCGGCAAAGGGCGGAGAGGGCAGCGATGCAAGAGGGTTCGAGGAATCTTGGAAGAGAGGGGCTTCCTGGAGGGTCGCCGATCACGGGAGTAGTCACCCTACTACCTAGTTATTCCGGAATTGTGTGCAGTTTCATCTTTGTGTTTGGGATGCAAAAGGTGTGAGGGGCAGCTCTATTGGTTGATAATTATAGAAACCGCCGCTCTTGGCATGCCAATTTACATTACGGACGCGCTTCTTTCATACTCGCCACAAAGCTACCAGTATACATATACACCTGGGCACATTCACCAACCTTGGAATATAGGAACATCCTAGATCCTTCGATCAAGTATCAATAGAGATTCGCAACTCGTATAGAGCAGGTTCAACTTGAAGGCTTACCATTATCTTGCAATCGGTAGAATATAGATCCGACCAGGGTGGAACAGAGGCATTGGACTAGATTGACCCCAAGCGCCCTGGACAAATATGAGTAAATGAAAAGTCATTGGTCTGGTCCATTTATAATGGAAGCAGAAGACCCGGCGAATTTGAATGAGAAATCACTCGACGGGAGTTCGACAAAAGAACAGAAACCCAGAACACAACCTTGGAACCTGCGGGGAGGGAATTTGAAGGACGTCCTTCTATCACGTTCACTCGTTCAATTTCAAGTTGGTTCGGACTCGGAGTTTCCACGGGGACTTGCAGTATATTTGCCAGTGCCCAGGTGGCTAATCTGTCACAGCTTTCAAGTTCCAAGGTTGTGTTCTGGGTTTCTGTTCTTTTGTCGAACCCCCGCCTTCTAAATATAGATCTAAGGAGCTTGTTAGCCATCAATGCCTCAAACCTTTGTCTTTCCAAGGATTCGACTTGAATGTGGACTGGATGAAATCTTGTCGCAACAGGAGAGCAAGAGGGACTTAGTCTTTTACTTTGAAGTAAAGTGTTTTTCAACTGAAAATGTTGACGGTATGGACTGATTCTTGTGATGGTGAATGACCGAGCGGGAGTGTGATGAACCCCGCACTGCTTGCATGAGAGTTTCTATTAATATACCTACCGCCGATTCGAGCCCATGTGCCTGCATATCTTGCGTAACCCTGGTGATGAATCTTGTATAGTCATTCAACTTACCCCAAAGGTGCAAAGAAAAGCCGTTAACTTTTTTCTGTGTTTGTAGGTTCATTCAGTCTTCCTTGACCTTTCATGCTTCAATTTTTCATTAGCCCCAAGGGCTGTCCAAAAGATGAGCGCAACTTGAAAGGGTCATTTCCTCGTAGAGCTGGTAAATATCGAGACAGTGGCAAAGGAGCCAACAGTTCAAATATGTCTTTTCTTGGAAATTCAGATTGATCCCTGGTAAGAATCAATGTCCTCGTGCTATTTTTATCTTAGTCGAACTACCTAGGTAGAGCGCTGGGTTCGGACCTAATCCAGACTTGTGATGGTCAGAATACCACTGTGTCTGCCGACTGTCGTCGTAAAGTAGAAATGTCGATCCATCAGCAACTTGGCAACCTTGTTCGCTTGAAATTAGATAGAGTAGTATGATACTGTATCATACATGAGCTGTATATACAGCACCGGTATGATCTATTTGCATGATCAATATATAATTAGAAGTGACTGAGGGGTGAGCTTGAACATCTTCGGCAAGGATTGGCTTCAATGTCAAGAGTTCGTCACATTGTTCTAAGGTTTGGACAACGGTCAGGGAAAGATGAGCAGTCAGCTTCAGGGGCGAGGAGCGGGCGGCAAGTATATTGGCCCCTAAATAAGAAATCTCATGGAGAAGGAATTGATTGGATATCGAGCATACCTGATATTCAGAATGGATGCATAAACACGGTGCAGAATGGAAGTGATGCCGATATAAAGCCAGTCCCCGCTCTAAAGTTGCTAAGTTTAGCAACACCTGCCTTTGAGCAAAATATTTCATGACGCAAGAGCCAATAGATTCCACATATGAGGATCATGAAGCGCTGAGAAGAGGGCTTCCCTGCGTGTATAGCTCCCCACACCGACCCGACCTGCTGGTGCAGCCGAGCTGATCAACGTACAGGGTACGGAGTATATGCATTTGCATCTATTTCTGCCGTTGAGAGTGCTGATCACGTATAAAGGCTCCATCAGAAGCTATTCTTGGAGCTGTGGATCTCAGATTTGTCCAGTAATGTGTGTAGAAAGAGCACTTACTTTAACGCTCATAGTATGAAAACGGCTCACGGAGGGGCAAAGTATTATTAGCAGATGAATGTTTCGGCCAATCTTGAATTGGATTAGATGATTGGCGCAAAGATAATACCTAAAGAAGTTAAAGGCGACACGAGATAATGGGTACTCGTAGTGATAGATGTCGAATGGAAAATTAAGCCTTACCTCAGGAGATTGGAAGAAGAACAACAGATACTACACGAAGAAAAAGATCGATCAGAAATCACATTGTGCTCGCGCTTCTTTTTGGACAGTTGAAGTGGTTTTTTCAGGCTCATTGCCAGCTCTAGATATATAGTATGTTGGCTCAAAGATGACAGTCTGCTGTTGGAGACCTCCCGGGAGCCATGTTCCAAAAATAACCATGCATATTTTAGAGTGAACTTCCATGCGGGCAACACGTGATTTTCAATCATATTAAAACTTGCTTCGTCTTCTCCGTCTATATTACGAGTACGGAGTACGGGGCACAGAGTATCTAGAGGTACCGAGCAACTGGAACAGGCAAAATGGAACCCCCCTTGTTCCATAGTGCTATATCCACAGTGGAGGGCCAGCCTTGTGCGGACGGTAGCTGAATGCGTATCCTCGGCGGTTATTAGACTGCTCTCATTGGTCACAACATGCATATGTGCTCGAAACCTGCAGAACAAACCGGCATCTAATAAAAGAGTCTTCACACTACTGCACGCTGGGAATAGGTCTCAGATCAGCGATTGATTCAGTAGGAATGCAGTTTTTGAATATCTTTCCCTCCTGACTGGTCATACACGGCAGGAAAACATTGTATACAACACCAGCATCTGCGTAGTGTGAATGATAATTCCAAGGTTTGGGTTTCTTCCGACTTTGGCAAATCAGTGCAGCTGACAGAAAGTTCCTCGTCGCCAAAGCCGCGTCCTCACGGATCACGGATCACGGATCACGGATCACAAGGGATGGGCTGTGATCGCTTGCCACGTTACACCATATAATTCAAGTGGGCAGCTTAGTTTCGGACTCCACAGTGGGGCTATTGTTTCCCGTAAGCCAACCATAGCATGAAAGCGGGGGGGTTTCATGAGCCCATGCGGTAGTCTAGTGTGATTATAGAATAGCGTCGGCGCTTAACGATATTTCAAACCTCACTGGTGGGCCATACCCTACGCTGAGCGGGTCGCGAATCCTTTTGAATCAGATATTGAGGTCTCTATTTTGTATCCTCAATGGCCAATTTCCCTTGAGCTCATCACCCTTCTTCTCATGGTGATAGCTTCTGAAAGTTTGTGATTCCAGGAGAGTTGATGCTCATGGTGCGGGGTGTAATGAAGATCGATACGAAATTGTATCGATACATAGCTGCCTGTGACACATTCAAGGTTCAACGAAGACTTGCAATAGGACAGCGCCTTGGACAATGAAACCAGGTGATGGGGCTTTTCTGTCTCCCAAAAAGGACTAAAGCCTATCTAGGAAACGTCAATTCCGGTATCTAAACTAATGTACTCGAGACCCTTGTATTTTTGAAATCAAAATTACATACACATATACTGTATTCAATCGGTCTACGTAATAAATTGGGAACATTTGGTAATTTTAACAAGACTTCTGGTACGCAACGAGTCCACATGGACGTTATCCATATGACAATAGGGGAGAGCACTCTAGATTTTAGGTAATAAATAGTCATAAATATTGTAAGATTCGGGCTTGACTGGAGTCAGCCTTGGAAACATTATTCTTGTCTACAGTTTTTGTTTTCTGAGCCGCACTGCACAGTCAATCCTTCAAACTGCGTACCAGTCCCTCGGGGCGCTTCGATAGTATACTTGAAAATGGGGGCGGTGATGTGGCGGTCTGGGCCACAAAACCTCCCCGAATGAGCAGTCGAAATCTTGGCGTGGAATGCTTCAGTATAATATGGATTGATTACTGGTGACCTTTGGAGCCTCTAGATTGACTCGCAAGCGGTAAGAAATATGGCGGAAATAGAGGCTATCGTCTATTCCTTGGTCTGATTTGTTTACTTGCTGGCGCCAGGATCTCGCCATCTGTGTGGCTTTGAGGTCTGTGGGCGTCTGAGAACCCAAAGAGAGATTCAAGCTTCCCATTCAGATTGTGAACAAAAGTACATATAGTATAATTCTGAAGGAAATCTGAATGGGACTTGATCAGGATTATCAGATTTCAAGGTTGAAGTTAAGAAATCTGTCGCATCTTGCTAGTGAGATGCCATCGACGTCACCCTTTACAAGCCCCATGGGGAGGCTCTTTGGTGAGACTCCCTGTCAAGCAGATATTCTCCGAGTTTTCGGGAATAAGCTAAGCCCTAGAAAGATAAAAGTAACCGTCCGATGGCACTAGTGAATCAATCGGAAATTTTGAGACCTTTTGGACTGTTGGTCTTCTGTTGGTTTTTTGTAGCCTTGTTATTCGTTACCATTGAATGCATCCAACACGTGGTATCAGCTTCCTATTAGCTATATGCACTGTCGTACAAGTAGAGATCTTTAAATGGACGAAATAAAAGTGAGTCTCGCCTCAAGGCTTCATTTTAGGCCCAGTTCGAACAAGCGAGGTGTTCGAGGCGCTCCACGTCCTTCGATGGCTTCCGCTTGGGCCTGATGCCGGGAGGCTAAAACCCTGGCCAGGACTCCGACATGTGAACTGTGCGTCGGGAATTAGACAAGTCATCGACTATTACGATGTTTGGGTACCAATAAGTGGCCAAAAACAGTGTGAATGTTATTGTATTCAAAATTTATTCTCCTATCTTCACGTAACCAACACCTGCTGTCCTAGGTATAACACCAAAGATACGAAACATATGACCCAGATAGATGACTGCATAAAATACCAAAAGCCAGGGCAATATTGCAAATGCGAGCGTATTTTGCCGTCGAAGAAATAACTTTAGTAATCAACGCCAACATTTCCCAATACTCCAACTCCTCCCGACGCCTCTTGGCCCCAGACCATTCCGAAAGTTCCCCAATAAATAATCGTAGACGGTAAATGATTTATTGCTAGTACAATACTTACTAACAATCTCACCCCGTCCTCATGCAAGGTCGTTAAGATGCCAATAAGCTCAAAGTCGAAAGAAGACCAAATGGCATCTTGAAGCAAGAAAGAGAGAATTGAAAAAATAATAGATGGAAACACAATATACCGATGAGATATAACCAGCTTGGTCAAACCTCTTTGCATTCACGAGCTTTGTTGCATTCATGAGTCTTGCGTCGCTTGCCCTTGGGAGGGGGATCAAGCGGTGTGCGTTTGTATGTGACAGTGCGTGTGACAACCTGCCTAACACTGACAGGCTTTGTGGATGTCGCACTTCGAGGTGTTGCACTCCTGGGAGAGCTAAAATAATGGAGCTTCCAGTTTGTGGGCGAAAAGGGTGAGTGGATAGCTGACGCGCTTCGCGGAGTCGCGCTCATTGGGGTTGCTGTGCGGGGCAAATCCTTTGTGGAAAGTGTCTTGAGTGATTGCGGAATGCGCAATCTCCGCAGCGTATGAGGGGATTTTGAGATTTTTGACTCTTTCAGCTCCTTCAGTCCCTTAGGTGATGGCGGCTTGACATATCGAGGTGACGGGGGTGGAAGAGTTAACGATGGCGACTTGAGAGATGGAGCCGAAGAAAAAGCAGGACTTGTCGCAGTAGACGGTTGTGACGTGGGCGATGGGTCGAATGTGAATTTCGGAAAGCTCCCACCAGCACTAACAGGGCTCGCAAATACTGGGGTAAGAGCATTCAAAAACTCCGTGTACGCCGATGGTGTAGGAATGGGACTCTCCACGTTGTCTTCTTGTTTAATGACCCGCGGACTGCAAGGTTTTGGGTCGTTTTGGATTTCCGAAGGGAAAGTAAATGATTTAGGTGTCTTCAACGGGTGAAGATCAGGCTTTGGGGCTGGCATGGCGTGGGGGGGAATATAAGTCGAAATGTAATCAAAAAAGCGAAGACAAGTCCAACGAGAGAGGGACGTGGTGACGCAATCCCAAAGGTGATGGGCAGCAAACACCAAGACGCGCCGTTTGAATTTAACGGCCCGACAAGATAGTATTTCTATGGGAAAGAAAGAAAAGGTCAGGAGGGATGAAGGAGGAATATGTAAGAACCAAGAAAGGAGGGGGACAACCAAGGCTTACCAGAAGAAACTCAGGAGGGCCTCACGGGTGATCTTCTTTTCTTTCTATATGGACGGAGTACGACCGAAATGGTGAAACAATAAAGTACCGTAAAGACTTTGTAAGACCAGTACCGTACCAGACGATACCGTCAGATACAAGCTCGGTCTGACCGAGTCGACACTTTAGCCCCAGTCCGTGCCACCTGGCGTTTAGCCCGAGAATATTGGGGCGAACTCACCTCTTTGCTGTTTTAAGGCAGATTGGAAGGCTGAGCACAGCTCTCAAGGAAAGAAACAAAGGATTCAGGCTCCCAAGATTTAGGAATTATCCGAAGGACGAGTAGGGATTGGACGCGTATACAAGCAAACCAGCGCTTGACACGGATGAACGAATGGTGTGGTATGTCTAGAGAGACAGAAAAGCGATACGGCTGACCGTTGATGGCAAGCAAAATGATAAAGAGAAGAAAGAAAGAATCAGAAGCTGAGGAGTAAATAGACTACACAGGTAGTATTCTCCTGATGATGTTATATAGAAGGAAGTCAACTTGGCAGTGGTTGGTAACCGCCCTGGCTTGCACGAGCCCTCCGACTGAGACTGAATCCACGTTGTCGCGCGCCTTCTGAATCTGACCCTCAAGCCTACCGCCCACGAAGCGACAGAGGCGTTACAGAGCGGCTTGGTTTCTCGGGCAACCGACTCTGGACGCAGATGTTTTACATCTGGTTCGTCGGCCTGGGAGCGCGCGGCACCCATGACGTTAGCAACTACCCCTTGACCTTCTACAAGCCACTTGGACTACTTCAAGACCTCAATACGGTCGCCCCTGAAGGTCTTGGCACTGAAGATCTTGAGGAATACAACCGGGTGGGAGATTGGAACCATGTCAGGGGAATCAGGGCCGCGGGTTTCACTAAACGCTTATATTTCTCTACGTGCCAAATGTCCAATGATTCCTGCAGAAGAAGAAGGGTTTGAGGTGTAGCTTGACTAGTGGATCTCAGGGTCTTGCGGAGCGCATTCATCAAGACTTACCTTGCAGAGCTTCTGAAACTTCACTGGGAACAAGCGTTGATGTGCTCAAAACTATAGGCTGATATATCGCGAGGTCTTCGTCAGGAGACCTGTTCCTGTTTCATTCAACTAGAGGTTTTGAGATTTTGCATACTAGTATCCAGACTCGGAGTTTTTAATTTAGAAATATCTTGTTGCCGGATATGCAAGCAAACATAGATGAAACGTGGGGGTTGGTCAGTCGGGCTGCGAGAATTCATGCTGGATTCAAGCTCTGTCGCTGCCTGGGGAAGCTATTTACAGGAGTCTGTTCCGTCAAATGCCTGAAAAGACACTAGAGGTTAGTAGTATGTTGCCTTTTGGTTTAGATCTGAGTATGCTGGAAGTGCACCGAGTTGATTAAGGTTTTGAGAGAGAAAGTTCCATTGTTCCTAGCTAAAGCTCCTATTTATGTGCCCCTCTCAATTTCCCTAGAGGGGCCTTTCAAGGCTCTAAACAAATATAACGACCGAAGAGGCTGCCTAAGGGGATCAGCCGAATGAGATTCCACCATCGGACGCCCATGGTTGAAAGCAGAGGCAAACCACAGTGACAAAAACAACGAAATAAAAACCAACGCCATCGTCACACCATAGGATATCAAGGTATGCATAAAAGAAATACGCCAAATATTCATCGGGAGAACTGCAAACCAAACCTGATGCAGAGTCAAAACGAAAATGTCATGAACTGAGATCAAGTCATAGTTTTAACATAACTGGCTAGAAGACAAATCAAATAAGAAGGTAGCGCCAGCCATTGCGGTTCATGACATCTCGCCAATGCACTTGCTGTCTTTTGATTGTTCGCATTCCAGGCGAGGGAAGCGGCGTGGATTCCAAAGAGTGGTTTCTTGGTTGATGAGCTTGGTATACTGGATCGGATGGTGCGTCGTGGTGAGCCGGGGAGTCGATGGGGTCATCCGTTAGACGCCAGAATTCAGTCATTAACTGGAGCATCCGACCAAAACTACCGAAATCCGCGAGCTCCCCTAATGCGATAATTCTGTCTTCCATTGCCTGACGGAATGTGCTTCCCGGGGTTGAGTTGGCGCCGGCGATAAGTAGAGGCCACACTAGCGAGCGATCGAAACCAAATGCACCAGCTGGAATGAAAGCCAAAGTTTCTGCTACTGCAGAGACAAGGTTGCAAGTACTTGAGTCGTTGCGGTCTGCTCCAGGAACTAAACTGCAAAGGTAAATCCTGGCTGCGAGACGAAACATAGCGGTCATGTTTTTCGTTAGAACCTCAGGTCGAATACTCCCATTTGGCAAATAGGGGCTTTCGAGCGAAGGGTCAGCGGGTTCAGTGTACTCGAGTTGATTTCCAAGGGCTTCGATGTGAGCACAGAGCGCGATCGAGTCTATTCGATTGCCATTCTTCAGAGACTCCAAGCATGCAATCTCGGAGATTAGATACATAACACGATCGTCACATCCCATGAGTTCACGGAGACCAGAAGAGGCTCCACTCAAGTGCTTGTTTCGGTATGTATGGGCAAACTGGGGTGTCTCGCCGAGCATTGTAGCGCCCAGAATATCAATCCATGATGTCAATGACATACTGAATGGAGGTACCATATAGGCAGTTCCACAGGGAACCATTTGGTTTGTGAGATCTAACTTGTCAACCAGATTTGACACAGCTTGGAAATGATCACTCCAGTGGATATCGGGAAGACAATCATCGGGCGCACCAACGGAGCAGTGGAAGAAAATCATGGCAAGTGTAGCATCGAGAATGTGTTCATGATCAGAATCCTTCCCCAGAGACTGGCATAATTGGGAAATTGCTTCATATCGGTGTCGCATAATGTCATGGTCAACTTGCTCATTGTTTAACCCACTGGTTGTCTTGAGGTGGATAGCCGCAACACTTAGACAGCAGTGGAAATAAGATTTATTGTTTTCGAGGGACTGCAAGACAGCTCTAGCACGTGCAGAGCCTCGTTGGTGAACCTCAAGTATTGGAAAAATCATCCTCAGAACATTCTCCACGAAGTGGTTTAGAAGCGGTCGGTCATAGTCATCGACAGGGATATTGGCATGAAGTGAAGCATATGACTGTCCAACCCCGTGAGTTCCTGCGACGGAATCTTCTTCTGGATATTCATGAGCTGGCTCAAAATACTCTTCTTGAAACCACTCATCGGCAGGGAAAGTGGGAAGCGTCGCGTGCAATTGTGGCGGGCCCATGGCGCTGAAAGTCGACACTGTGGAATCATGGCGCAGAGGAACATCGTTGACAAATGTCTGACGTTCGGTTTTGACGTCAACTTCGTACGGAAAGTGATGACTATATGTAATGGGCACGAAACCCGGCGTGGAAAAATGAGGACCGTAGGAGTCAATATCGCAGGCGATGGGGCGGTTGAAGTCGTGCTCGCTAATGAGTGGGGGCGGAGAGATGCAGGTCTGTACACGGCCGCCGCTTTCTATAGAGGGATACTATCAGCAAAATTCTGAAGTTTGATCATGCGGCTTGACAAACCTGAGTTTGAGGCACTCCTCTCAAGTGATTTAGTTTTCTTAATGATATCCTTGATGCGCTCTTTTTGCAGTCTCCTTTGATCTGGACTGCCCCACCACACTGGCCGTTTGTATTCGCACTTGACCGATAGGTTTGTACAAGCTTTGCAAGACGGGTGGCCTTCGTCGCATTTCTTTCTTCGGAGTCGGCAGGTAAAGCAGCCTGTTCATTTGTCAGCTCAGTTTCTGTTTTCAGAACCTTCGATACGGTCGCCATAGCTCTGCGCATCACACAATATTCGTACCCGAGCGAGATCTTTTATGCATTTTCGATACTGGTTTGTCCGCAGCCAGTCGGTTGTATTGTAGGCCAGTAGGTCGACCGGAAGATGTGGCATCCATGCCTTTTGTCGAGCCGACACTAGAAGTTTTCGCGGTCGGCATTTTCGCGTCTAGTATTGACGATATCCAGTATCGACAGCGACAAGAAGTAAAAGTCAATCAATGACCAAAGGATTGAAAGATAGGTGCGGCACAGCCAGCAGACGAGGTACAACACAAATTCGAGGAGGAGCCAGCCACCTTTCTTTTGCTTGAAATGACGGCGGAATAGCAAAGCTGAACCGGCAGCGATGCAATCTATTAAATTATAGAAGGGAGGGGGTGAGGGAAACGAAGGTCGGAAAGTAACTCAGCTTCGAGACGGTTTCGAAGAAGAGATCTTTATCTTGAGATCTTGGATGCGACTAGTTATAAGTCAATACTACGATCAGCAGCCGAGCTAGCCCATGCTTCTATTTTTTGTTGGAGGCGGCAGGCGAGCCCAGCTCAAGCCGGAAGAATATGCGAACATCGGGTGGGGTCGATGTCCCAGTAGCAAATCAGTATCGAGATAGAACTTGTTGGTCTGGAAATGCAGGCTAATTTTGGGACTTAACAGGGGTGCAAGCACGCAGCGTGACGGACGACAGGTATCCAACGTCGATCTTGACTAGCGGCATCTGCAGCTAACGGGGTTGATCTGTGGTAGGATGCACATGGTGCGTCCGTGGTGCAGGTTGGTTGTGGTGGGTCTCATCACATCCCTGCTAAAAACCAACTCTGTTGGAGTAATCACATACAATCACCTTCCTCCGAATCCTTGACCGACGGCCCAGTGGGCCTTGCCTCATGCTGGCTGGAGATTTGATAGGTGCACAAAATTATCATTAATTTGATTACACTTTGCTAGCCTATGTTGTCACGGCCAGTTGAGTCGCTGCAAAACCTTTGGCTGAAGAAGGGCTTGAATGTTTTGAACGAGATCTAATCCGCCCAAGGTAATTTTGATTTGAGCGCGGCATGAAACTAGGACTTTTCGACCAAATAGTCGGCTTTTACTAGGATGCAAGCTATTGCTATCGTGTTGGACTTCGGAATTGCTGGTGGGATTTGAGATGATCTTTTTCTGTCATGCCATTTGTGTACTAGCCTGATTAGAGAAAGCTTTCACCCAGAACCAGTCCAACAGGATATTGTTGGTCAAACCATGCAGGCTGGGATGTGATGAAGCAGCGGCTCTTGCATGCCAAGCTTCTATTTCTCGCCTCTCGTTGGCTGGGCTGGCAAAGTCTACTAGGACCGATTAAACTTAGCGGCATCGGCGTTTTGTACAATGGAGAGCTCTGGGCCAACCGTGGGGCCCGGCCCGTGCAGAGACTGGGGATTGCTCATGCGCCAAGATTGACGCTCGGACTGTGATAAAAACCATCTCTGGGAATAATCCTTAATTAGCAACATTTAAGCGCTTTAATGTAGACTAATCTTTCTATCTCTGGTGTCGATGGGCCAAATTTACCCCTTTACAAGATGACTCAAGAAGTCTTTGTCCCAGGTCAATTCCTATTAATAGCCATATGAGGCATTATAGTGCCCGATATGATCGAATACTACCATAATTAGCTGTCTCAATTTTGGAATAGTAAACTTAGCTCATTTTGATGCGGGGTAACTCGTCATTTAATCCCAACATGGTGGAGCCTTGATCCTCGCTTCGGGTTCGCGCAGGTCCAGGGCGCAATACAACCCTTTCTGTCACTTCCAATGCTACATCGGGTTATTCTTCGGAGGTGGATGATGTCTGCCAACTTTGGTTAATCGAGCTGTGCTAATTTTGGAACTTCACTCGATAATTATCCAACATTATCCTAATTCGGAGCTGGACATGTGGTAAAGTAGCACAATTTCAAGTCTATGGGCTTTTTTATTCAAATTCAAGGCTCGTGGGAGTGTCAGATAATCGACCCCTGAGCCAAGTGATAAATTCTTGATCCATTATTTGGTTACAATGAGTCATCGGACGAGTATCAACATGGACTGGCTAATTTTAAATGGACTTCAGGTCCCGGTAAAAGCACCTGGGCAGTTTATTGTTCAAATATTGACAACTCCAAAGGTCAGGGAGGCCATAGAACAGCCGGATTGTAAATAAAGCTCTCCCAGTGGACGGACTTGGCACCGTCTTGAACATTTTTCATTTAAATTGTATTAATTACATATATTCCGAAACTCTGTCTACATACGGACTATTTACGTACTCCATGCTTCTAGAGATTTACAGTATCGGCCCATTCCAAAATCCGCTTCATACGTCAACTTCCAAGGTTGCTGGCTTCAGGGGATGGAAGTACATGGAGTTGCAGAGTAGCTATGATGAAAGATGAAAACTCCCTTGGGCCCCAAGGATAGTGTAATTTGATCCTTTGAAATTGAAACATCAATGTAAGTAGTCTCAGGGGCGGGCATATCGGTTGTGTGACTTGTACATGGAGGATTTCAATTGAAGCTGGTACCTGCTTAAAACTTCTAGTGGTCTTCGCGTTACACAAGAACGTGTTGGATGTTAATAAATCCTTGAGGTTCAATCCATCTGAAGATAAATGCCGACTGAGCCGAAGCAGTGCCTATTCTCGAATACTGTATCTCAGGGTGGGTGTCAAAGGGTGATGGCTCTGGTCCTAGTACTCGTATCAGTTTCAAGTTGTAAGGGCCTTTCGGTATACTTTTCTATGCTAAAGCAAAATGCTTAGTGTATGTTTAGTTTAAGAGCAAATAACAGCAGTCAGCTTGAAAAATAAATTGGATTCCGTGTCTCAATCACCTAAGATGTTAGGGCCAATGCTGTCACGAATGCATGCGGTGTGCTTCATGCAGAGATAGTGTGCTTCACAATACCGTTGCAGTGTGGAGTCCTCTGGTTCAAGCACGGGAATATCCGTTTGGAATCATCCTCAGTAACTAAATTGCTATCAGAGTTGTCTAGGAAATGACTAGTTGCCACTGTGTTAGTATGGCTATTTACTCAATTTCGACTCCAAGAAAAGTCTTTGTTGATGATCAAAATGTCCTCTGTTTTAATTTGAGAAAAGAAAAAGCCAATAATAGTGCTAGCAAATATTTCTGTGCATCTCTGTACCAATCGCTTCTATCAGCAAAAAATAAGTGAGGGGCGGGTGTGATTCGCGGTGTGATGGGGGTTGGGAGATTGCGGGTGACGGGTGATGAGAGATGCGTTGTGTGACAACTTCCCGAGAGCGGGCCTCTCCAAGTCTTATTCCTATTTTGGGAGAAATCACGGCCAAGCTTTCCCGATTCTTAAATTTAGGAACAAAAAAAGGCTGACTAAGATAGAATTAACAACAGTTTTTGAGGACCAAGGGACGTGGGGGAGGGGGAATTTCCTTGGTTGGGATGATATGGTCTCTTGAGTCTGATCGTCGTCCAACATCTCATGGAAATGGGACGCCCAACGATTCAACACAATGTGCTAATTATCACAACGAGGTACGAACTTTTTCCAGCCCCCAGGTCCTCCAAAGGCTGAGCGAATGTCCCTCAATTTATAACGAAGAGTTCTGAAACTCATTTACGCGCCATATCCCACGTTGAGTGATCACCAGCCTCTCGTGATGTGCTGAAGGAATTGTCCCAGCAGTAGCGTGGCCCCCAGCCGCCTATCAGAAGCCTTCATCACCCGCCGGCTTCTCTGCTCCTGCATGATCGAACTCTGGTGCATATTCCTACATCCAACGAGATTGTTGGACCCCGCTATCCGCAGTATGATCCTTGATTTTTTCGCTCTCCTTTCGGAAGCTAGTGTTCCAGATTGGCATGCCGACCCTACAGACACACCTAAGAGGACGCTGCGGAGTGCGTTTGCCGCTGGCCCAAAAGCCCCCAGACCGTCCAAGCAGCAATCCCAATTTGTCAAGTCCAGTGAATCACCCGAATCCCGGGAGGGTGAACGTTTTAACTGGTGGCCCCACAAAAGGGTTGACTCGATGGATCCTGAAGGTGGACTCTGTACATAAACTCTTCTGGCGCCCGAACTACCCATTTCTGGTCAACTTTCCCTAGGGCTACTGTGTGGCTCTACTCTATTCATTTCCTTTACTATAGCGTCTCAACAGCACCAGCCTCATTTGTCTCACGAATTATTTCTTCACTTTCGCACATATTCCTAACTATCGCCATTTCTCCTCCCTGCACGTTAGCCGGGCGAACGGGCCTTTGACATGACAAAATGGTCCGTTTCAGAAGAAGACATCCAGAAATATCTCAACTCACAATCATATAGGATTTTCAATATGCTTACGACCTGAACTATACGATGGTCCCTTATAAGGAAGAGCCGCTACCTCTATTTCCACCGCGAACGGCGATTCCTCGTCCCTCATCCGAAGCGACCGAGATCTGGGAAGATGAGGAAGACCATTCCAGTTGCCAAAACCACTCTCCTATGCGAAGTGTTGCTTCTGTGAGTCACTTTGGTCAATTTAATATATCCCAGACCGCTAACCTTGCTGTTTGTCATAGCTTGGAACTGGAAGCATCTCCACTGTCTCGACACCTGACAATGTGACCACTCCAGAGTCTACAGGACTGACGGCCTTCGACTTTCACATTGATGATAAGCATGTCAGAGGACCACAAGGTCCTCATCTATTCAGATCGTCGATCGTGTCTAATCCCAAATCAGCTCTGGAGGTGGATCTGGTCTACCAAGAGACACCTGTTAGCGCGGTGGGCCCTTACCACAGCCGAGCCTCGAAGCTTGATTCTATGGGTTTCAGACGTGATACCCCTGTTCCAAACCATTTACTGGCTTCAACTCCCCAGCCAGAACAACAATACGCTGCCAGTGTCGAGCGGGTCTCGTCATCTTATACGTCCAGTGTTGGTGACTGGTCACCGCATGAAGTTGTGGAGTGGATGAAAGGCCTTGGGTTTGATAATGAGACGGTGTACAAGTTTTTCCAAAACGACATCTCGGGCACAATTCTCCTAGAGCTCCAGTCGGAGGATCTCAAAGAGCTTGATATCATGTCATTTGGGAAACGACGCCAGTTGATGAACGCCATTTCAAGCCTTAGAAACAGTGTTGTTCTGAGCAGCACTGCTACAGGCTCTTCTCGAAACTCAAGTGTCGCAAGTGATATTCCATCCACCCAGCGAACATCTACTATGATGTCAAGCAATAGTTACCAGTCATGCCCAACAACGGATGAAGAAAGCTTCAGTATCCGACCTGAGACAACGGCGCCAACATTCCAATCCTGATATTCCCGTCATGAGTACTGCCGATATTGGCCCAGGAGACTCTGTATCCATCGTTGCAATCGAACAAATACTTCCAAAGCCCCATTCTTGCTCGAGGGAGAAGCCTGTCGCAAATGGCAAAAACAACAGGCGAAAATCGCTCGGCTGGCAAAGGATCTCCCAATCGAGGCATTTGGATCGAGAGCTATTCTCACTGGGGACCCTGGAAACCCCAAAACTGCGCCCAATCTTTTGAAGTCCCCAAAATCAGAGATCACACCTTCTTTGGTGGCATCTTCTGATGCGATGGGGCCCAACGCTGCTTCAGCCTTGTCTCGAGAAAAGCTGCGCGAAGTAAAGCCACGCGATCCCCAGGAGAACGTGCGTAACTTCTTGAACTTCCAAAGCCTCGACAAACTCCGGACTGTCAATGATCCACCAAGCCCACCGAGGGAATTCATTTCTTCCCCTGGGTTAGATTCGCCCGACTCGGCAAAAATTACTCCCACGCTCGCCCAGAAGGTTCGGGATCTTCCACGGCTCCATATCCCCAGCATGCATGGCTCGGCAGATTCGGTTTCCACAGACAACATGTCCGCCCTGAAAACTGTTACGCCGTCGGTGCTGTCCAGGAGGAACCAGTTGTACTCAGGTGAAATGACGGCAGTTCCAGGAGGACAGTCATCTCATTTTCGAACAACAACAGCCTCGCCGGGTGATTATTACCGCACAGATCCTTGTTACAGACAGGACACACCCTTCTCGGAGACAGATGCGCCAGTTACGGCCCTTCCGCTTGACATGGTGGCTAGAGAAGAATCTCAGTCTGTGCCACCCGACATGCGATTCGGGAACAATCAATTCGTTATGACAGAGCCAATCATTCGTTCATCGTCAACAAACCCGGAGACACAACGTCGCCGTCCTTCGATGCACAATGTTCAGGTACTGGATCCGCTCAAAGAAGGCCAGAAGTTGAGCCCGATTGATACCCCTGAGGACCTTCAGAGAGCACCTCGCGTATCACAATCTCGAAGCAACACCTCCTTCTCGACAAATGAAAACGGACAGATAGATGTAGTCCGCAAAGGATGGATGAAGAAACGAAAGACTCGTTTCTTGCGCCATGACTGGCAAGACCACCACTTCACGCTCAACGGCACTCGCCTGGCGATGTTCAACGACGAAGACTCTGCGAAGCGAAATTCCAAGGCCCTCGAACACATTGATGTCGATGACTATGCAGTGGCCTGCTCTTCTCTTGCATCAAGCTCAAAGCTTACTGCAGCATTCAAGAAGACTATGCTCAAGCGTCGGGGGAGCGCCTCGGATGATTCGGTTTTCCCATTCTCTTTGGTTCCTGCCTCTGGCAACGGCATGACTGCGGACAGGAGGATGATGTTCTTGAACGGCAAATCTCACCATATGGCATGTTCCACTCGCAAGGATTGTGTGGAATGGACGCGAGATATAATGCTAGCCAAAGCCCTCAAACGTGGTCGAGACGCGGGCGCCTCTGTCCACATCAACGGCATGAACATGATCTAATCCACCATTATCGCACATTTCCTTTTTCAACCCGAATCATATTACCCCCTCTGCATTGTTACGAAATCTACATTTGACTCTTCAGATACCCGCTGTTGGATTTTCAGGAGCATTATTTCCCTATTTGTTTTTTTTTCCTTCTCCTCCTCTACACAACATTGTTTCACTTCTTTCACAATCTTTTGTTCAAGCTCGGAACCGACACGAATTTCATAACAAGTATTCAATCTTTATGTCATGATATTTGCTTTTCACTCAAACTTTGGAGCTATTACTTAGAATTGGAAAACTGCTGGGCAGACGAGAATATGGTTCGCACCACCCGTGTCAGGCTAAGAGTTCAAGTTGCCTTCAGTAACACAAAATTCACTGTATCAATCAAATTCCAACTTGAAGGTTCTCCAACATAAATCAAAACTTGAAACAACCTTGGAATTCTCAATTAAATTTCCCTTCGAGTGTCACGAAGTCCGCCACCTTTCGATTCTTCGTCGTATCCCCATAATCCTATGCCATTATTGAGCTCTTTTCAAGCCAATTTCCTTTAGGGTAACTGAATGCACTTAGCGGTGAGCTGGCCTAAATTGGCCCCGAACCACCCTCTGCATGTCTGTGTTGTGATCACACCTTAGGCGGTTAGGAAATCCTTATAAGTGGCTGGTCGCCGGGGAACGTGCGAAGCCCCTCTGCCAGCCCTCACGGAAGAGCCTATGAGAGGCAGAAGTCCCAGGGCCGTATGACCCAGCATTATCAAGTCTTTTTCGCGTAACGCTTTGCTTACCCCCCAACCCCGGATGGAAACGGCTTCTTCGTGGGTCCCCGCTCGAATTCGGCTAGTACTCCTGTGTTTCAGGTAGCGCTTTGCTACTGAGTGTGCCAATCTGATTACTTCACGTACAAGGTCCTGCGCTGGTCAGGCCATTGCGTTAATGCAGGAGAGGCTCACATGGCTCCTAATGAGTAGCCATGTGTTCAAGGTTTCTAAATACGATATGGCTTTTCTAGTATTCAGTGCCGATCCGTCAGAAAATGCCCCGGAGTTTCCAGCGGCTTTCCAAACAGGCAATCGCTTGCTTCCCCAAAGCCGATCGGCGCCGTTGGCTTAGCGCCCATAATTTCCGCAAGTATGCCTTCTTAGCACATTTTCTTTCTCCTTAGAACATCAACTGCACCACCTGGTCGGCAGACTCTCATTCAATATGGCCAGCGGCCAAGCAATAAGAGGGCTGGTTACGAAAGTCTCTCGATCTATCCGAGCTGTCCTGCGCTGCGTAGGGGGGAGCAGAGAATCCCAGGAAGGATCGCAACGTGCCCTTCTTTTGCTGAGCGAGCTTCTCGATCTTCTCTGTCGACTTCAAGATCAGTTGGCCTGGGCAGAGGAAAAATGGATTGTGGATTCAGGACGTCTGCTGAGCCTCAAAGAAGGTCTTCATTGCTTTGAATCGACAATTGAGGCAATTGAGATTTATTTCCAGCCAGGTGGTGTCAGCGCACGTCTTTTCAGGAAACGTTTGCTGGAGGACACATTCATGCCGAGACTCGAGCATTTCAAAGCCATGATGGTTCTAGCCATGCAGCCCGAATCCAAGTATGAAACCCTTGTCTATTCTTGTTGGTACACATAACACGAACGATGCTGACCGAAATTTTTGTGTTTCAAAGAGAAAAGAACCGTGCCGAAGAAAAGCTTCGACAAATAATCCGTCAGTATCAGGAACTAGATTCAGGTAGGACCAGATATTCGTCACGAAAAACTTCATCTAACTTTCGAATTATTAGACTCCATCAAAGCCAACACCCCAAGTTGCGAAGATTTCAGCCACATTACATCTCAACTTACAACTAAAAGCTTTATGAGATTGGCACAATTTTGCAATCAAAGACAGAAGGGAACCTGTGACTGGATATTCGAGAATGAGATCTACAATAGGTGGTTTTTCGGTTGCTGTCGGACACTTTGCTGTGTTGCACCAGGTATGGCATTCCGATCAAGACTCCCGTGTGCAAATAATTGACTCGGACATTTTATAGCTGGGGCTGGCAAAACCTTTCTAGCGTGAGTCGACCAAGAATATCCAAAGCTGTGTTGTCTATCTAATATCGAAATTCAGATCTGCAATCATTGATAATTTGCAGCGGACCTTCAATTCTCCTGATGTTGCTATTGTGTTCATATTTGGCCAAGATGAGACAGAAGACGGCTCAGCTTCGATTGGTTTCTTAGACAAGATTCTTGCTCAACTTGTATATCGAAAGCGGACACCATCCCATGCAACTACCGCTTTGTACAAATCTACCTCCTTTCAAAACGGTGGGGCTTCTGCCAAGGCCTTTCAAGATGCAATTCGAGCGGAGGTCAATCAATTTTCTCGGGTGTTCTTCGTCATCGACGGCATTGACAGTCAATCTGAGAAGGAGCGTATTCTGAATCGCCTCCAAAAGCTTCCCGAGCACGCTCAACTTCTAGTTACGATGCGAGAGGCGAGGTATGCTTCGAAAGACGAGCATGTCTCATTTCTCGCTTCTGAAAATGATATCGGGACATATGTCAGTGCACGAATTGATCAAGACGAAAGCCTAGGCTCCTTGCTCAACCAATATCCGTCGGAGTTAAGAGCCGCAGTGGTTAAACAGGTTGTTCAAAAGTCACATGGCCTGTAAGATTCCCGAAAATTCTTCTATCTGAACAAAAATTGGAATATTAATCCATGAGATAATTTACTAACTATTTGTTGATAATAGTTTTCTTCTATCTAGACTTCATGTGGATCTGCTATCGCGCTGTAACGATGGGATTTTGCTTCAGAGAGCGCTTTTTCATTTACCGGAAAACTTGCATGACGCCTATGGCGAGTCTATGACTCGAATAGTCAGTCAGAATCATTATGCGAGTCGATGTCTGTACTGGGCTTTATACGCATGTAGGCCTCTGACTGTCTCTGAATTGAATTTTGCGGCAAACTTTGAACCGCTCAGCGGAACAACTACGAAAGACCAATCATCCACTGAGCAAGCACTATTAAAAGAGACTGCGGGCTTGCTGGCTATTGACCCCATGACTGGGCTAGTCCATCTTGTTCACAAGACAGCCAAAGAATATCTGGGTGGCCCGGCAGCAAGAGTCTTCTTCCCGACTGCTAAGAAAAATATTGCAGACACCTGCCTTACCATCATAACCTCAGATGAAGTGGTGGATGACTGCTACGCCACCAGCACAAGTAATGTTCGACAGCCTCGGGCCAACTTGCTTGACTATGCTACCACTTTCTGGGGTCATCATGCGCGAGAAGTGAGCGAGGATGAGCAAACTACGCAAGTTCTCATCCGTGCTTTTCTTAATAAGCTTTGCTGGAGAAGGCCACCTGGTGAAGTTCCTCTAGTCCCTGGGACGGAAATTCCGAAGCAACTGGGATTTGGGCGGTATTTTGCCGATTGGAGTGCTTTGCATGTCCTCGCTTATTTCGGAATCATGGGCAAAGCAAAGCGATTAATCGAACAAGGCGCCAACATCAGCGATAATAATAACCAGCTCGGCATTACAGCTCTTCATTGTGCAGTTCATCGAGGACATGAGGAAATGGTCGAACTTTTGCTCGAGAACAAAATCAATCTTAACGCTACAAGCAAAGAAGAAAATACCGCTCTGCATGTGGCTGCCGAACAGGGTCACCGCAAGATAATCAAGCTTCTACTCCATCGCCGAATCAACTCTCGAACTTCCAATAAACAGGGACTAACAGCACTTCAGCTGGCTGTTGGAACTATTCATGATGAAGCAACCGTTCCACTTCTCATAAAAAGTCGATTTGACATGGATGTTCAGAATACCTTAACGGGGAATACTGCGCTTCATCTTGCAGTGGAGCTGAAAAGGCCGAGAATTATCTCCTTCCTGCTCGAAAAGGGTGCCAACACGAACATTCTGAATAGAGATGGCATAACCCCACTACAATTAGCCTGCAGGATTGACAACTGCGAGGCGGTTTCACTATTGCTGGAACGCGGTACAAAACTGGATGTTCGCTCATCTAATGGCGAGACTGCATTACATGTGGCCGCAGCCGCTGGAAATTGGGCAGCCTTTGATCTTATCATTACTGGAGGTGCAGATATCAATATTTGGGATGGAGAAGGGGAGTCCTTGTTGCACAGACAAGCGCGGACGGCTTCAACAGTATCGATTGCCGCCCATTTGCTTTCAAAGGACGCAAATATTGAGGCTTGCAACTCAAAGGGATATACCCCCTTGCAGTATGCAGCTCTTGCTGGGAACAAAACAATGTTTCTTTTCTTGGTGGCTGAGGGCGCAAATATGGATGTTCACACGGCGAAGGGCGAAACCCTCCTTCACATCATACCCCCCCTGAACCAAGATTGCCTTGATATTCTTACAACACTCCTCGCCTTGAGATTTGATGTCAATGCCATCACATCCAGTGGCCTTACACCGTTACATCATCTCATTTTCAACCAGGGGGCCGTCTCCGACCCAGCCTGTGACAAAATCATCAACTACATTTCACTTCTTCTTTCTCACGGAGCAGATGTCAATGCTAAGCTGTCCTCAAAGACATCTGACACGGCCCTTCACTTGGCCGTTTCTTCCAAAATGCCCCGAGAAAGCATTGTTTCCTTTCTTATCAAAAATGGTGCCTCGTTGGATGCAAGAACAACAGAAGGAAAAACACCTTTGCATCTGGCCGCTGAACGTGGTCGACACGATATTTTCAAGATTCTTATAGAAGCTGGAGCGGATCCTTACCTGAAGACCGACCATCCGTTCAAAGGTAACCTGAACAAAAGCATGAAGGGGGAGAATGCTTTTGATTTGGCTCTTAGAAATCCAGTGAGCGTACTTTGGTTTGATGATGCTGGGGGGGTTTAGCCTCTCGTCGCCAGATCAGCGTGAAAGTCTTGCTACTACAATTGAATCCTTTGGGGTCGACTCTGAGCTTGACGAAATGGCAGGCGATACACTTGTTAACGAAATTGACTCCGCTTGGGGATCTAGGGCATCTACAACATCTACTTTGGATAATCCTTCTATCATTTCATCGTCGGTTTAAGATACCCTACTAGTATTCTTCGCAAGATACGTTGGTTTTTTAAACTTTTTCTTTTCTTTCGTTCATGGCATCTGTGCCTCGTTCTATTAGCGTTATTTTGTCACTCAAATCAATCGATATGTGATCAATCGCAGGCTTTAAGTCTCGGGTTAATGATAACTCCTTTGGAGAACAAGTTCGGGCGTAGACCGTTTACTTCATTTCGTGTCATATTACCAAGCTATCCCATCATTCGCACTACCACATAAGCCCATCCGTCCCCATAAGCAGCACTTCTAACAACCTCCTCAATTGGGGAAGACATAGGAAGCACAGCACCATGTAGAACAGGCTTCGCAAGAACTGGAGTCCGTCGACTGGGAAACAGATTGGGGAGGAGGTTGTGTAAAACACCGCCAATAGTTTGAGGCTGTGTGCTCGGACTTGAGCGGGCGCTAATAAATTGGCTAGACTGAATGCTGGAGCTTGGTATCAAAGGCGGAAGTGGCGACTGGACCACTTTCAGTGATGGGGACTCTTCATCTGGGGGAAGTGGCAAGAATATTCGGATTGGGACATTGCGGAACGGCTGTGAGGGTGGTGGAATGAGGATATTTGAGATGCGCTGAAAGGATGGAAGATCAACTAGCCGTTGCTATGAGGTTAACATACTGTTCGAATATGTCTTTCTCGGGGTTGTCTTGCTTACCGTTCTCCACTGCCTTCCAGAGGCCGGCGGAGTCTTCCTTGGAGAGACTCATGATACCTTTGGCTGTTCCGTTGCGTAGGAAATCCGCTTCTTTAACGCTGTTGATAAATGCATCATTCAAGACCATTCCCTCTGGATCAAGGCGGACAAGTTCTTCGACTGGCCAGTCACTGAAATGAACAGTCAACCGCCAAGGGAAGGGCGATTCAGCCTCTGGAGACTGTTCACCCCCAGGGGTGGTCTTTGAAGCAGGGTCAACCCCAGCATAAAGATCAAAAAGTAAGCCGATCGGGTAGTGCCATTTCAAAGGCACGCCTTCGAAGGCAAACCACCCTTGGTGGTGTTCGACGTCTGGGTTGATCAAAGACGATGCGAAGAAAGCTCGAAGCCTCGGAAGTAATGATGGAAGATATGAGACTCTCGAGAAAGAAATCTTCAATTTGTCAGAAATGAATTCTCATTGTGAATCAACAAAATGATGAAAGGTCATACAAGATATGGATTGGTCTGATCAAACGTCCGACTCTCCGCTGGAGCCAAAATGATTTCTAGCGGTATTCGTCCCGCCCAGATACTGCGCTGGATGGCAGGAAGGGATGCTTGTTTCTCCATGTTGATATTTGACTGGTAAAATTGATCAATTTCCAAGGCCAGATAAAAGAGAGATGTATTTAGTGGTTCTACATTAGCCACTTACCGAACCGAAGTTGATCTACTGATCCACAACTGATATATTCATGCCACGCTAGACAGGTCAGGAAAAGGGAAATTGGATCTAGACTACCTCAACTTAAAGGAAATCATGGTCAAATTTTTCAAAGGTCACATAGGCTCTTGTGGCTCCTCATCTTTGTTGACGAGTGAATGTGGAAGTTGAAGCTGAATGTGAAGTGGAAAGCGAAGGTGGAGTCACACCCCACTCACGTGATCTTAAGGTGGTGTGCCTGGAACGTGACTGTCAACGTCAACAAACAGGCAACTTGTCTCTACCACAACTCAACTCGATCAGATCGATCTCTGACATCATTTTTGTGTACTTGAATTCACACTGATTTTAAAACTTCAAATTTTCTCCGGTCGGGCTAGCCGCTTTACCCACTACCAATTCCCCCTCGGGGATGTGATATTCTCCAGCTTCTCCAGGTCTAAGACCAATTTCTCGATTTTGTTTCGTCACGCCTCGCCGGGATATTTTGCAGTGAATTCCCTGGCTTTTACCACGATTGAAACATTTACTATGACATGAAATACACTCTATAGCCCTGTCAGAGTCCTGACTCTTGAGGACCACGCCGCCATTTCCCATCGCTATAATCGCTCGTCCATACTTCTTATCCAATTCTAGCGTATGCAAACGCGCGGTCTAATCAACCGGGTTTCAAATCGCCTCGTTCAAGCATAATGGCTGCCGTCAACCACTTATACAGCTACTTTATAGACAGAGGACGTCCTTGTTTTTTATACCGAAAGCAGTCACCCGACTTCCAACCTTCATGCTTCAACATTGCTTCCGAAATTCCTTTTTCAAGCTCATAATACATTCTACGGGGTTGGCGATTTCTGCTGGTTCTCATCCCAAGGAATACAACGGTCTCAACCGTACGGCGTGTCCCCTGCCATCGATGTGTGAGACTTCCAAGGTTGGCCTGAATATTGTTTGACTAGGACCATATTTGAGCTAGTCATTTCGTCAATTCTTCTGTCGGGTACGATGGATCTTTTCCAGGATCCTGTCCAATGGATGTCGAAACAAAGTTGCCATGTCACTTCCGAAAGCCATTTGGTGCCGATACCTAGGTACATAGAGATCTGGTCTCCAACATCAGAGGAGCAAGCGCCTAGGCAGTACTACTCTCATCCGTTTGTACGCTGCGAAACACTAGGCTTCCCGTTTAACTCACGTACATGATTGGAGCGTTCCTACGTAGGTAGGCATCTCAAATATTTAATGGGTATACAGGTTAGTTCTTGCTTCGATGTACGCCCAAGGTACCCATCTCTCCTGCGTTATTCAAAAGTGCCATCGATCACCTTTCATGGCCACGGAAAATAGACTGCGACGATAGTGCATGGTTGAATGCCGTCCGGGGCCAGACATTTTGAACAAACGTCCGAGTCGCTTAGAGACCGGCCTTTGAGTGGTTCTGTTGTCACTCGCGTTTGGTCGCTGGGTGGTGCGCCATGACAGATAGAATTATCATACATAACTTCACTCATAATGAAACAATTTAATTGTTACCTTCCAATTCGCTCGGCCCTTCGGCGCTGAATATTTGCATCGCTCTCTTTCGCTGCTTCGATGCCGGCCGGCCCGCAAAGGTGGCGATGGCTACACCGAAAGCGGCCCGAAATGAGCTTAATTTTGACTAATTCGAATTCTTCACGGCCAGATTCCTCGGCATAGCTGATTTTTGCCCTAAGTGGTGCCCCCTATTGCAAAAATCTGAATCCTCACATGAGATGAGATTTCAGTTTTTGCTTCACCGGTGACAGTAAATAGCCTTACTCGGCATTTGTTTCTCCACTTGGTGTCAATTGCGTCCACCCGCTGAATGTTCCCGAAGGTCCTGCTCGGCTTTAATTCTCGAAAAAGCCAAAAGGGCCAAGATTCAACAAAAAGCCAAGGTGGCTAAAGAGAAGATATCGGCCGGCTATTCGAATCCCATCACTTCTTACTTGGCTGCAGCTTGGCCTCTGCAGAGCTCTCTATTCCGCGCACCTCGTACTCCGTACGGGGTAACCCCTTCCCCCCATTCTTCCTCCTAGGTTTTAAGATCTTCCTTGCGGGTTGCCGATCGGAGCGGAGATGACGATTAAGGGCGACACGCCGCCACGGGTTAGATCATTTTCTCTCGAAACCCGGGGGCCATTGGAAGAGCATTCATGCTTATGCAGAAATAAACTACTCCGCCACTGAGCTTGATCCAATCATAAACGCTTAGACCTATATCTGCTTTTCTACACGTGATCGGAACCGGTCAACCTGCCTATTGAAGTTCCAAAGGTTTGCAGCTCGGCAACCTTCCGACTCCACTGATGGTTAAGGGTTCTCCCCGTGGGCAACCTACAGTAGGTTTACGGAGAACGCGTAGCCCACGCGAGACCAATTCAGCCAGTTGAGAAAGGGGTATTCTATTAACAAGCCCAACTGGACTGTGCATGTCCCTGTCCAGTGCCCCAGCCCCCACAATTCTGATTCCGCTTGATCCGGGGACAATCTCTATGCCCTATGCATTATTACGCAGATGTGGCGATGAAGGTTGCCCACCGGAAAATGCCCCTCCCATTTATCCATCCAACGGGTAAACGCAGACCTCAAAGAAGTAAGGACCTAGTAGCAGTCATATATCCATTAGAGGACCGCCAAGGTACCGGATTATTCCCAGAGTGGCCGCCGAGATTCTCGAAGGGATAAAATTCCTTGTTCAAGAAAAATTCCAGCCAAGGAAGTAGGGTTCCGTATTAGATATATACTGGTGGCCATTCGTTCTCCCCGGCTGAACGTTTCAACCGGGGAAAACGCTACCCCGGCCCAAGGTTCCCACCCCATGGGATCAGAAATTCTCCAAACCTTCGTAGCCTCACTTCAAACCCCATAATACTGCCCCAGAGGATGGGGTTCTACGCGACGTAACTTGTGGGGGTGCATTCGTTAGGGACGGATTTCCACCCACCCACAAACCCACCGAAAGTGGGAGCCTTTACTACTTAGGGGCCCCATCCCTTCTCAACTTTTCTTTCCTTCATCTTATACCTCGAAAAAATTTTCGCCCCTTCCCCCCCAGTCATCCTCAATCTTCTAAGTGTTACACTTAGCAGCCATGGGTGGTGTCCTTCATCTGGTCGAGGACCGACCAACTCCTCCTTCGGTTTACAACTGGCGAGTCTACGTCCTCGCCCTCGTGGCATCATGTGGTTCCAACATGATCGGTTATACAAGTGCCTTCATCGGTACAACAATCACATTGACCTCTTTCAAGCAAGAGTTTGGTCTCGACAAAAAGACCACGGCCGAGCAAAGTTTGATCAGTGAGAACATCGTGTCTCTCTTCATCGCCGGTGCCTTCTTCGGTGCCCTCCTCACATACGGCCTGAGCCACTGGCTTGGCCGTAAGGTCTGTTTGATGATCGCTTCTTCTACCTTTGCTCTTGGAGCTGGCCTGCAGTGCGGTGCCAATCACAACCGCGGACTGGGCATTCTCTACGCTGGACGTGTCTTGACTGGTCTGGGTACCGGTGTTGCCTCCAACATTGTTCCTATCTATCTCTCCGAACTTGCTCCCCCTGCTATCCGTGGCCGACTGGTCGGTCTGTATGAGTTGGGCTGGCAGATTGGTGGTATGCTGGGTTTCTGGATTAACGTAAGTCAAATTGATCGACATTTCTCCTTTGGACGGGAAAAAAAATGGACCTGAGACTGACCGGTATGATGTTTTCAGTATGGCGTGGAACAACATATTGCACCTTCCACACAACAATGGATCATTCCGTTTGCTATTCAATTGGTCCCGTCCGGCATGATGTTCATCGGATCCCTCTGGATCCGGGAATCGCCCCGTTGGCTTTTCCTTCACGACCGCCGGGCTGAGGCCATGAAAAACCTTACCTGGATTCGTCAATGCGATGCTACTGATATTTACATCACTGAGGAAGTGTCTGCTATTGACCAGGCCCACGAGAATCAGCGCAGCACCGTTGGATTTGGTTTCTGGAAGCCATTCAAGGCCCTTGGTGCTCGTCCCAACTTGATGTGGCGACTGTTCCTTGGATGTATGCTTTTCTTCTGGCAGAATGGCTCTGGTATCAATGCCATCAACTACTACTCGCCTACCATCTTCAAGGTAAATTTATATTACTCCCGTCTTATCCGGAGCGCTCATATACTAATGATTTGTGCAGAGCATTGGTGTCGAGAATAACACTGTCAACTTGATGACCGGTATCTTCGGTGTGGTCAAGGCCATTATGACGTTTATCTGGCTGCTGTTCCTTGTCGATCAGTTCGGTCGCCGGAACCTTCTGCTTGTTGGTGGTATCACCGGCTCCATCTGCATGTGGGTCATTGGTGCTTATATCTACGTTGTTGCACCGCAAGACAACCCTACCAGCTCCCTCAACGGTGGCGGTATCGCCGCTATCTTCTTCTTCTACCTCTGGACTGCCGTCTACACCCCCACCTGGAACGGTACCCCCTGGGTCATCAATTCGGAATTCTTCGACCCCAACTTCCGTTCCCTGGCTCAGGCCTGCACAACTGCCAGCAACTGGCTGTTCAACTTCCTCGTCTCCCGCTTCACCGAGCAGATGTTTGAGGCTATGGGCTACGGCGTGTACTTCTTCTTCGCGTCTCTGTCCTTCCTTGCCTTCTTCTTCGCCTTCTTCCTCATCCCCGAGACCAGCGGTATTCCCCTGGAGAAGGTTGATCGTCTCTTTGAGCAGAAGCCTATTTGGAGGGCGAACAAGAAACTCAAGGAGATCCTCAAGGAGGAGGAAGAGCAGTTCCGTTTCGAAATTAAGGACCAGGCTGTCCACACGGAGAACACTGATGATCGCAAGCCTGAGGAATATGCTTGAACAACATGGCTTGAACCATAAGCATAAACTTTTGTATAGATTTATAGATTCGTACATAGACTTACGTTTTTGACGATTAAGCGTGACTTCTTTATCATGCTAGATGAATTTCATTCTACATACCCTGCATAAACCCTTTTTTTCCACTCTCCCTCGTACTAGAAAGTCCTACATCGGTGAAGAGCTACATGCAGCGCAAAGCTCAGGTGTGCGGAAAGTCTTCAAATGCAGACTAGATGGTGGTAGTTGAGATCAAATGCAGAGATGAGTCCGCCAAAGTGCACAAGAGTCGTAATGACTACGACTAGTACTAGAAAATGGAAAACCTTATGAGAAGGGCATCCCATGATATCAATCTTCCAGGTACTGAGCGTTCAGGTAGTATATGTCTAAAGCCACCTGGGCAGTCATCAGACCTGTTTCCCATGTCATTTCAGGGTTGTCAAGCCAACCTTGGAACTTTAAATGCAACGACCGACCGTATAAAAAAGCTACTAGAAGTACTAATAGTGTGGATATATATTTTTGAATGCAAACCAATTTGAAGGTTGATTATATATAATACTGGATTTTCTACTTTTCATACCTAATTGCTGGTACTACCTAGGTCACGGTATCCATTACTAGTACATGATCCCGGGGTCAATAGCAGATTATGGGATAATGTGTTATTGTGCTATCAGGTTATTTGGTATGTGATCTCTGGTAGCCATGAAGTTAGGGGGATGGATGGTATGCATGAGAAAATTAGATATGCGATCGCGAAAAGCAATTTTGCCTCCTATAACCAAAGATTGAAAACCAAATATCAACCAGCTCGCGTAGCTCAGTTGGTAGAGCGCGGCACTAGTAATGCCGAGGTCTTCAGTTCAAATCTGGACGTGAGCATTGTCTTTTTGTCATTCCTGCATTGTTTCGAATGCAAAGCTTTTTTATGGACTCGTACCTTCGGTAAACTGTAAAGGTCAAAGCTAAGTGGCGGATATATCTTTTCTCTCTTAATGACAGGCGTTTTAGACTGTATTTTGCAATATGTGCCAGGTGCCCAGGTGGCGGGCATTGTCATTGTAGATATTTTCACGCCCGCAACCACAACCCCTGCGTTCAATTAAATTTCCACGGTCCAAGGCTTATTTACCAAACGCGTTGTGATTAGAAAAACTATCATGGGTAACCGAATTTACCCTTACTCTGAGTGTAGCTTCGCTTCAACTTGCGTGGCAGTTTTCCCCCATGTTATTGTGGCAGATGTCCGACCTTCAAAAACAGACTTCAGTCAAGAGAGGTCAGCATAAGTGGTCGGCAGCAATCGAGCAAAAGTCGAATTGATCAATATATTACTTAACAACCACAGGACCATACTGGGAGCCGTGAGTCTGGATTAAGGGGCTTGGTCATTATTCGATAAATAGGCCGCACCTACAAGGCGTCGCCACTTTAGTCAACGATAGAGGCAACCTCAATGTAACGCCAAGCATCTTCAATCAATCGAGAAAAAAAAGTTTACATTGATTCATTGCTTGTATCCATTCAGTCATATGGCCAAAAAAACATCCCAGCGAGATGCAAAAGGAAATGCTCACGTCCAGATTTGAACTGAAGACCTCGGCATTACTAGTGCCGCGCTCTACCAACTGAGCTACGCGAGCTGGATGATAATCGGCTTCAATTTCTGCATATATCAAGGAACCTTTCCAGAACCAGCTTCAAATCAACAAAAAATGCCCACAGCAAATCTCTCATCCCTGCTGAGACACCCAAAATGTGGATTTAGATAATTTATTTTCCTACTCATCCAAGTCAGACAGAACTAGAGATGAAATGCCCTAATCGTGAAATGCTGATCTTTTGATGCTTGAGATAAACATGTCTGGTACCCAGGGAACCGAACGTATCGAGGTTGCCGTTTCCGAGGTTGCCATCCTTTCGAACCTGGGAATCCACTGTTTTACATCGCTTCCTAGGAAATTGTAGGAGAAATTGAGTCAAGCAAAAATTCAATCATATCTACCAACATCTATCTGACTCGTCGGTTGGGAAGAACATCCCTGTCGATGGCTTGGAAACTGGCATATTATTGGTCAAACTAAATATCGGAACTCGACTACGATAGGCCGGGATACGGGCGACTCGGAGTTAAGAGCCATCATTGAACAGAATGAACAAATCATACACGATGTAACCTTGATACCAAGCTATTCCACTTCGATATTGGACTAGGCGACATTATAACATGACTTCGGGCTCCTCTTCTGTTCTCTCATAAGCTTTCAACAAAACTCGATTTTTCCTAATTTCGGAAAAGAATAAATTAAATCAGTTGATTTGAGAGCCGTGTAGGCGCTATACGTTCGAGGTGACAACATGGAGGACCATATAGCGACGAATCTATGCGGCGATGGTCGGTTTGGCCCTGTTGTTGCGACTGAAAGTTGTCGCGGAGGGTTTGATTTCACGGTGCTTTTTGAGTCTACCATTCTAGCTGTCATTCCTAGTGTTTGTTTTCTTTTGTTGGCACCACTTCGATTTTTTCAGCTGTCGAAAGAGTCGCCGAAAGTGAGATCATCTTTCCCCCGAATGGCGACATTGGTAAGTTCTCGATCCCTCAAATTTACCCCATTCAAAGCCAAAAGAATGACTGAAAGGGGGTATTTTGTAGTTACTATCGGCGCTGTTTGTATTTCTTCAGATTCTTCTTCTTGTGGTGGTCAAAACACAACACATAGGAGGGCATGCTTTGCTTGCAGGTAGAGCCCTCGAACTTGTAGCAGCACTAGTTGTTGTAACACTTATCGATTTCGAGTATTTCCGCTCCATTCGTCCTTCATCTGTCACCGCAGTCTACTTATCTGTGACTTTGCTGTTCGAGACTGCGAGAACGCGCACCGCGTGGCTCTTACATGATAACCCGTTATACCCATCGTGTCTTTCTACCTCTCTCGTCATAAGACTGCTTCTGCTCATTGTGCAGAACGTTGAGAAGAAGCGCTGGCTTTTAAAGAAGACAGAGAAACTATCAGATGAAAGCATTGGTGGCCCATTTAATCGGGGGTTTTTCGTGTGGCTAAATAGCCTTCTCCGTCAAGGATATACTGCTCTATTGAATGGGAACGAGCTGCCACACATCCATGAAAAACTATCATCGCAAGATTTATCCAAGAGTTTCGAAGCTGCATGGGACAATTGCAACCAAAACCGCAAAAATGCTTTGATGTTTGCCATAGTCAAGTGTCTACGTTGGGAAATTCTAGGCATTGCCATGCCCCGGCTTGCTGTTATTGGATTCAGCGTTGCGCAGCCATTCATAGTGGGCAGAGTTGTCGATGTCTTACAAGAAACCGACTCTTTGTCACTCGATATGGGATATGGGCTGATAGGAGCTACTGCAATTGTTTTTATCGGGATTGCTGTATGTTACCATGGTCTAATTTGTGTTGATATGCGAGGGTCTAAATGAAATCTACAGGTGACAAGAGCTTTATATGAGCACCTGGGGTTTCGGGCCACAACAATGATTCGCGGAGGTCTTATGGCCCTTGTGTACAAACACATGATGAATTTACCTCTGGGGAGCACAGATGAGTCTAGTGCCATGTCTCTCATGGGTTCTGACATAGAGATGCTTGCCGAATATTTCAACTCTACTGTCTGCGAAACATGGGCGAATGTCCTTCAATTAGGCCTGGCAACATGGTTACTGAAAACCCAAGTGGGAGCTGTCTGCATTGCGCCAATTATAATTGTGATCAGTATTTATGCCCATCCTGATCGGGACAAAAACAACAACAAAAATCATCAGTGAAAGCTAACAACTTCTGTGATAGTATTCCTTGCTTTTTCCTTTGGCACGGGGAATTCAGTGTCATATCGACAGAAGAAGTGGCTCGAGGCAACTGAAAAGCGCATAAACTTTACGTCTGCAATTCTTGGCTCCATTCGGAATGTCAAAATTCTTGGCTTGACCGAGGTTATGCAAAATATGATCGATTCTTCACGTCAAGATGAACTTGAAATATCCAAGAGATTTCGCCGAATTCAGACTGTTCGGGTTTGTACAGGTATGCCAAATCTCTGGTTGACGCAACTTTGATGTTCTGACAAGTGTATAACAGTCAATTTGCCAAATGTCTTCGGTCAACTTGCAACTTTTGCTGCATATGCTATAGTGGCTAAGATTGAGGGGTCTGACGGAATATTTGTCGCGCAAGCCGTCACATCGCTCTCACTGATCAATCTGATGATATTCCCACTCAGCAGCTTGCTTTTGGCCATACCTGACACATTTGCGTCAATGGGTTGCCTTGACAGGATACAAGACTTCCTGAGGCATTCGAAGCGTCTTGGTAATTATCACACTCTCCTACATTTTTGTTCATGGATCCTTGAAATAAATCTATTTGCAATTTGCAAGATAAATTGAAGTTAGACTCACAAGACTTGTTACATAGACAAAAGAGCATATCCATCATCAGCGCTCGAGTCTTCGATAAACGATGGCCCTACATCAGATATTGCGTTGAGCTCAATTCCGTCTCCATTAGAGATCAAGCATACCGTAATGTCCTTGAAGAATGTTCGATTTGCCTGGCAGCCCTCTTCATCAAACAAAACTGGCATAAACCTCAAAATAGATTCCTGCTCAACGGGAACTTTAGTTTTGATTATTGGGCCAGTTGGCAGTGGAAAGTCTACTCTTCTCAAAGGACTTGCCGGCGAGACACCGGTAATTGAAGGCGATTACTTCATCAAACACCCCGATATGGCCTTCTGTGATCAGAAACCATGGCTTATCAATGCGTCAATCAAGGACAACATTGTCGGGAATTCGAAGCTTGGGCTTGATAATGAATGGTACCGCACGGTTATAAGTGCATGTTCTCTCGACACCGATTTCATGAAGATGCCGGAAGGCGATCAGACAGAAGTGGGCAGTCAAGGAGATAAGCTCAGCGGTGGACAGAAGCAGAGGATCGTAAGTAGCACATTCCAACTTTTCTTCATTGATTTTCTGAAAAGGTCAAATGGGCTAATGAGAATCTTACAAAAGACAATTGCACGAGCTCTATATTCCCGGAAGCGAATCTCCTGTTTTGATGATGTTTTGAGTGGCCTGGATAATGCCACTTCGAAGCTAGTGTTCAACAGAGTATTTGGCTCGAATGGCCTACTGCGTCGACTAGGAGGCGTGACATTCTTGGCGACACACTCTAGTATGTTGACTCCGCCGAGGTCCCAAGTGAAATATCCGAACATTTCCGGACTATGCTTACAATGTGAACTCTCTAGTCGATTACATGAAATATGCCAATTTTATCGTTGTTTTAGGAGACGATGGTCAAGTGTTGGAACAGGGCAGCCCAGAAGATATTCGAAGTTATGCCACTGATGTTCCTGGACCAAATAAAACGGATGAAAAAGAGACTAACACAGAAATTGATTTGTTTGATGACCAAGAAAGTCAACACGAGCCTCAAGAGTCAACACTGGAGTCTTTGGGTGACTCTTCAGGCAGCGATAAACGCCAAGGAGGAGCCGATATGTCGATTTATAAGTATTACTTTTCAGCTCTCGGCTGGGAAAGAATCTCCTTCTTGCTGCTTTTCCTGATTATCGACTCTGGAATAGGAGGATTCCGATGTGAGTTTTTATATGAATTATAAGCCCGTGAAAAGACTTAGAGCCTGACAATCTATTCAGATATATGGATCGAGCTTTGGTCCTCCAGCAACTCACGGGGTTCCAATCCGGACTTGGGCTACTGGCTCGGACTTTACACCTGCTTCTCATTTATTGAAGCAGCGGCACTTACCCTTGCTGTTTAGTAAGTTTTGAACTAGCTAATATTGAGAATACCCGAGTGGCACAGATTAGTTAACATGATTTGCTTTTAAGCTGGACTTGGGTCGTGATTGTACCGGTCGCTTCTAGAAATCTACATTCAAAAGTTCTTTCCGCTTGTATGAGGTAAGTCAGTCTACTCGATTTTATTTCTGTGTGCTTATCTATTTAGTGCTTCCTTGTCATACCTGTCGAATGTCGAGACTGGGTCTTTAGTTACCCGCTTTAGTCAAGATATGAGACTTGTCGACATGATTCTTCCTCGAGGTCTCATCAATGCCGGCTTTCGTAAGAATAGCCAATGAAACTTGAGAAAAGACTTGTGACTAATTATACTCGCAGAATTCTTTGCGGCCCTTGCTCAGGGTGCTATTGCGATAGCGTCCTTGCCATATTTGGCAGCCGTTATTCCGGTACTTCTGGGACTACTTTTTCTGATCCAGCGGTTTTACCTGAGAACTTCTCGCCAATTGAGATTACTGGAGTAAGTTTCATAATGTGTGACCTCCAGCTAAAACATGAAAGTATTCTAACGCATCCATAGAATTGAACTAAAAAGCCCCTTGTACACCCACTTCATTGAATCACTCGCCGGAGTGGTGACAATCCGATCTTTTTCGTGGGTGGATAAATCTGTATCTAGAATGATCTCGATGCTTGATATGGCACAACGGCCGTACTATCTCCTGCTGTGTATTCAGCGATGGCTAAGTCTGGTTTTGAACTTGGTTGTGGCGGCATTGACAATCCTTCTTGTTGGGATGGGATTTGCTCTCCGCAGTAAAATAAATCCAGGTCTCCTCGGAATCGCTCTCGTGATGATGATAGATCTTGGTCAGGTATTGTCATCGCTTATCCAGAGTTGGACATTACTTGAAACTTCTCTGGGGGCGATTTCGCGCATCAAAGACTTTTCGGAGAAGACTCCCTGTGAAGAGAATGATGTACGACCTTTGATCAAACCAAGTCCAGATTGGCCAAATCGTGGAGAAATCGAGTTTGTGGATGTCGGCATTTCGTACGGTGCCACTGACGAGGCCAAGCCCGTGATAAGTGAAATCTCGCTTCGGCTGAAGGCAGGGTCTAAGGTCGGAGTCTGTGGCAGAACTGGAAGGTAAATAAAACTCGAACCAAACTTGAAGGGACCTTCGGAAATTCGGGAAGAAAGGCTGACTGAAATTTGTCGTTAGTGGGAAGAGTAGCTTGGCAATGTCCCTTCTTCGCCTCAATGAGTTGACATCCGGTCGGATCATCATAGACGGACAGGATATTTCGAACATATCCCGATCGACAGTTCGACAGAGCATAAGTAGCCTCAGCCAGGATCCATTCTTTTTCCCGGGCTCCATCCGACAAAATTCTGACCCTTGGGATTGCGCAACGAGTACGGAAATACTTGATGCCTTACAGCGGGTTGGTATTTGGGATTCTTTAGCAACAAAGATTGAGGGCACCGTCGATGATGTACTGGAAACAAAACTGGATCACGGTATTTTATCTCAAGGACAGAAGCAGCTATTTTGCCTCGCGAGAGCGCTGCTCAAAAGAAGCAAGGTATTGATTCTAGATGAGCCAACAAGCAGGTATGCAGGTCCTTTTCTCACTTCCCAATATAATACCGTGTGCTGCAAACTGAGCGGGATACTAATGAAATTTGACAGCTTGGATCGAGAGACAGATGTCAAAGTCCAACAGGTCATACGGGAATCCTTCAAAGAATGTACTGTGATGATGATAGCGCATCGAATCCGTACCTTACTGGACTTTGATCAGATTATAGTGCTCGATAGCGGTCGAATCATAGAACAAGGGAGCCCAAGCCAATTGATCGGTCGAGACGGCGGGGAATTTTCTAAGCTGTTAGGCCTTGAATCATGAGTCCTTGTGGGTTACCATTATCACCACTAGCTCGAATGGGAAAATTGTCATGTTCAAGTTGTTGAAAGGGAGAATCCTCCAGGTTGAAGAATTTCTCAATCTATTAGTACTATTGAGGTACTATATAAATCTGATCGCTCCCTTTTTGAAAACCGTGGAGCTTCAAGTTGATCGTCGTATTGAGGGGTAAATCAAAGAAAGGTTTATGTAGTGCAAAGTATCCGGTCACTCGGGGTGAAGTTGAAAGCAAGGTTTGCTTTTGAAAGCTTCTTAACACTTAGTGGCATCATCATTCAAGTTGTCGTATCCGAGTCTTTCCTGATTGGGCGGAAGAATCAAGGAAAGTTTAGCAAGAGGTGGTGTGAGCTGGGAGACTGTCTGCATTTGAATAATTTTCTTTATCTCAAGATTCATTGGGAGGTATTGGCGGGTCCATTATGATCTCCTAATACTAGATTCAACCAAGCCGCCATGGCCTGAAACTGGGAGCCAGGGGGAAGCTTCAAACCAAAGTTCGTGATAGGCTCGACATGGAACTCTCGAGCGATGCGACTAATGAAAACACCGGAATGTTCGGACTTTTCATCCAAAGAAAAGAGTGAGATGAGAGTGGATTTCGAGTCAAGGAGGGCATACCTTGATCTTGTGTGCCAATCTCATAATTGAATCCAAAAGAACCTCATCCCCTCCAACTCCGATAAAGATATCTTCCACAGGAAGTACTCTCCACCACCCCGCAGGTGCCTCAGCCGGATGACTGTATACATCACCTTGTGAATCACCAAGTAGTGCCTGGGCCCATAAACCGAGAGATTTAGCCGAAATAGCATCTCTATCTGCATTGGTATGGAAACTTTTATGATCGAGTTGGAAATCAATCCACGGTGACAACAGAAGTGCCCCGCGGAGATTCTCATTGAGCGTCAGAGGTGCTATGCTGCTGTGCGGATGGGGGTGAGCGAGATGCGATAGCACTGCAAGTACCAGATGGGCACCGGACGAGTCGCCTTGGAGTATGATATCCGAGGGGCGTTTACCCAAGACTTCGATCGCATACTGAAGGAGAGATAACGCTTGCTCTAGTTGTCGGGGCCATCGACCAAGCGGAGCTAGGTCATAGGTCATAAATAATATCCCTGCATCTTGGCCATGCTTCTCAAGATCTTTGGCAAGTGCGTCGACGAGATCAAAATGTCCTGGCAATGCGGGAATACAGTACCCTCCACCGGGAAAATAAATCACCAATTTTTCGGCCTTGGCATTTTTAAGCCAAAAGGCTATGGTACCATTGGGAAGCGTGATAGTACTGGGCGTGCGTTTTTGACGCTGCATGAGGGTTTCGTAGGCACTTCGAGCGGACTCGGGTGGAAGGATAAATCTATCGGCAAATTGATTAGCGCCCATGGCATGATATCTGAATGACAACTTGAAGAAGAATGTTTGAGGCATTCTCAGGTTATGGAACATGGAAGAGGAGATCAGTAAGGTGTCATGGCTTACTGTATCTGCTCTATGGAGGCAGATCCAAAGAAAGAACGTGCAAACGACAGAGCGACATGCTTGTATATTGTAGCTCCTCCTGCATGACCTCGGTAGGGTGCGGTGATAGCAGCCCGAACTGCAACGGCAACTTCAAAAACATGCAGGCACGCGTTAGATGCAGACCAAGACAATCAGGCAGAACGTCTAGCCACTTACGGGATTTGCCAGCTACAAACCCCAGCCCTAGCCACGTACTCAGCATCGGCAGTGTGTACTGTTTGACGTTCTTAGAGACGCCAAAGCATGTTATAAAACGGATAATAGCATAGCATAGAAAAATTCTAGAAGGCGATAACGCTTTGTAGAATTAAAGGAGGTAGAACCCGGAGCCCGGACTCTCGGCGGAGAAGGTTGATTAGTCCAACCTTGCAGCCCGCCTTCCGGCTGTGCATTAGCAGATCCCCGGAAATCTTCCGCCGAGTCGGCGGAAGAATACATTTGTTACTCCTACTATGTTGATGCCGATTTGCAACCTCTTCCTTTTTTTAAGTGCGCTATGATATCGTGAAAAAGCAATACTCTCACTAATTAATCCTCTTCTCGTTATCTCATTTATCTCGGATTGTGATTTTCTTTCGGAATTTTCATGTCTACCAAAGCACCGCCGTCGCAAACCGATGACACGGCGCCTTCGACAACCTCAACAACCTCAACAACTGCAACCCTTGGAAACCCCGAATGTGATGCCCAAATCATGCAAAATAATCAGGTCATGAAAGAAGAAACAGAAAGGCCTGATTCTGGCGTTCATGATGACCTCGGTGACACTCGCCCCGGCGGCTTCACTTTGTTGATGACCGTCGCAGCTCTAGCCATGAGCATGTTCCTGGTACGATCTTGCCATGGGACTCCCTGGATCTAATATGACCCAAACTAATTCTTGATGGCGACTGCTAGGTTTCATTGGATATGGTGAGCACGTTCATTGAGCACTCGATTTCTGGAATTACAATATTCTATCGAAGGGAAGCTAATCGGTATAATACTGCAGACGATTGTGGCAACCGCGATTCCAAAGATGACGGATGAATTTGGTGGAATTAAGGACGAGGGGTGGTATGGATCCGCATTCTTCATCACCCTGGGCAGTTTTCAGGCAGCATGGGGCAAGGCGTACAAATACTTTCCTTTGAAAATATCGTTCTTGATATCCATTTTCATTTTTGAGGTTGGAAGTTTGATCTGCGGCAAGTTTTCTCTCCCAATGTAATCGGGTGTTTCAATGACTGACGATTTTGCTTTTAGGTGTCGCACCCAGTAGTATTGCACTGATCGTAGGGCGGGCTATTACTGGCGTTGGAGGCGCAGGCATTTCCTCAGGCGCATTTACCATCATCGCTCTGTCCGCTCCACCGAAACAGCGCCCTGCTTATATTGGAATCCTGGGTGCCTCTTATGGAATTGCCGCAGCTATTGGTCCTCTAGTCGGAGGTGCCTTTACCAGCAATGTCACTTGGCGATGGTGTTTCTATATCAATCTGCCCATTGGTGGACTTGCAGCTGGTATTATTTTACTGTTCTACTGCGCCCCTCCGCCCCTGCCGTTCCTAGATGCCCCATTGAAAGAAAAGGTTCTTCAAATGGATCTGGGTGGTACTTTATTGCTACTGTCTGCTCTGGTATGCTATGTTCTTGCTCTGCAGTGGGGTGGAATCTCGCTACCTTGGAGTGACTCCAAAGTTGTTGGCACTTTGGTTGGATTCGCATTGCTATTGATTGTCTACGGCATTGTACAATGGATACAGAAGGAACGTGCAGCAATGATCGGGCGTCTTTTCCGGCGAAACGTGATTATCACCATGATCTATATCGACTTACTGGCAGGTACATTTTTTTTGCTTGTTTACTATCTACCCATCTATTTCCAAGTTGTTTCTGGCGTATCTGCTGCTCAGAGCGGTATCAGGAACTTGCCCTTGATTCTTGCTCAGAGTGTTGCAACTGTGGTGTCAGGTGTGACTCTTAGCAAATATGCATACCCGCAGCCCTTCCTCCTAGCCGGGGCGGCACTCGCAGCAATCGGCTCAGGTTTGCTTTACACCCTTGAGATTAATACTGGATCTGGCAAATGGATTGGATATCAGCTACTAACTGGTATTGGCATTGGATGGTGCTTCCAAGTTCCCGTGGTCACTGCACAAGCATCCGTCAAGCCGGAAGACTTGCCATCTGTGACGGCCATGGTTTTGAGTAGGTTGACCCATTATCCAATAATGCTATCCCTCTTTTTGCATGACTAATATCTAATAGCTGTGCAAACAATTGGAGGGTCTCTCTTTGTAAGCGCTGGTCAATCAGCTATGGTCAACGTTTTGCTCAATGTTCTCCGTGGAGAGACTTCAACCGTCGATGCCTCCAAAGTTGCGATGACAGGCGCAACTGAGCTGCGTGAAGTCTTCTCTTCCGAGCAAATGAGTTTTATCCTCGGTGCATATATGCAAGGTCTTCAGGCAGCATTCCTGGTGGCCGTTATCGCATCTTGTTTGGCCACTGTGGCCTGTATGGGTATACAATGGAAGAAGCTTTCGGGGGCGGTTACTGTTGCATCAGCCGCCTGACCGCCCTCAAATTCTTAGATGTCCTTGGCTGAGATACCCCTTAGAGTAGGCCTCATACTACTTGTCAATCTTGAGTATTCTGGGATTCTCCACCGCTGCGCAAAACGGCTTTTCTCCATTTCCCCCTTCTATTCGATCCTTTATTACGTCGTATAATTTCACAGGTATCTCTTTTTGGGTTCTTTCTTCAGTCTATGCGGAGCTTGATTTTTTAACACTACCGAAGGTTTTGACTCGGTTAAAAAGCTTCTTTTATCTTCCAGGTACATATTTTTTCCACTTTTCTCCCCCGTGTTCGTTTCTTCAGTATTTAATTCCCTTTCGTGTATTACTGAAGTTTCAGTTACGGAATTCTAGATTAGGACATGGATTCCGTAATAGGTTTTTTATCTAAGTTTTAATCCGGACCAAGATCAGGAAAATCCTAGACAGTGCTGTTCTCACACCTCCGCGGGCACATCAATCGACCAACCAGGTATCACGACAATGTTGTGGGAGTTGTTGGAATATTGGGCATAAGCAAAATAAATTTCCTCATAAGACTGACAGTAGTTAGGTAGCTTTAATAAATGCAATCGGTGGTGGTTGAATGATCTGCGAATATATAGTAGGTAATGGTCAGGGCTGTTCGGCTCGGTTGTGTTTCGGCTTGCGTTTGAATAAATTCGTTATCTGAAAGTATCTATATGCGGTAAACCTGCCGACCAGATCTCCCAGACATCTGTGAGGTAATCAGGTGTTTACAGTTCTTCTGTTAGACTAGGAGGTAAGAATATCAATTACGAAACCTTTCAATCTTAAAATGATCTCAATATAGCTAGTTTATTATCTCTACAGCTCCTCCTTACGTTATGCAGTTCCTCTACCTAGGTAGAGAACACGTTCGGTATGAAAGTCGGCTCTGGTTAATAAAAAGCATAGACGTTCCATTTGAAAGCCATATTCTACTTTTGGCGATTAAGCTGGCTAACGTTGCTTACATCTTCTTGAGACACTATTACTACCAAGGCAATTTTCACTTCCGGAGCATGATTCTCCAGGACATAGTAGCTGGAAAGTAGTTGACTGGTGGCCATTTGTGTTTGAAACTGGGAGTGATTTATCCACAACTTGGCACTTGATACTCTCCACAAGGGCGCCGACGTATTTTCTGGAACCTTTATCTGTTCTTGGTGCAGAAAACATGCTGATATGAGTGCGGTCAAAGAGTACTATCTCATCTTCATACCATTTATCACTGGATATACCCATTATTATCATTTAATGTAATTGAAGTACGGTATATATTGTACTAGTAAAGTGTGCACATATGCTTCAGGCCTGGTTCTGCCTCACAGGGAATATAGATCGATCCAACATTACGAAAACTAGTAGATATTAGCCTCATTTTGAAACTAAATAAGAGAGGGAGAAGATAATCTCGAATAGACTCACTAATATACCAAGATCTTCCGGCATGAGCCATCAATGGGTAGTTCAGATTCATGGGATCGTAAGAGCTGGTCGGTGTAGATAAGAGCTTTCCTGGGAGCTGCAGATTGCCCAAAGACCGCCAGAGGACCTGCTACTAGAGCAAGGAGTTAAAGAGTGGAGACTGGCATACTGGATGCGTGAACTACGGCCAGTTTAGAACACCACGACCTTTTGCTTCACTTAAGATCGAGTTCCAACTTGAAGGTTTTAGATGGTTCTGAGAACTCCAGGGCTCGAGATTAAGATTCATGACTGGCCTCCAAGTTTCACGTGTTATCCTCCACTGGCACCTGGGCAGATGGCGGCATGCCCAAGTGGCTCATACCTACTAGTACTAGTAGGTACCTAGGCAGGTCTCGGTAATAGGTATATTTACATTAATCATAGGCGATTTTGGCATGGTGGGAGGTGGTGGTAGTGGTAATTTTTTTCTCAAAACTTTTTGGCGATCAATATAGGATAAAAAATGGCGTATTAATAGCGCTCGGGCGCTTGGCGCAAAGAGAGCCAAAAAACCAATTTATTGCTAGTTCAACCCACATGTTGTCAGGCGTGCTGCCATCGATTCCCCTCTTCGATAACCGGCCCCCTCAAGCTTATAAGGTGATTGGCTACTCGATATGCAGGCGGTGACGGACGCTGTTTGTTAAACGTACGACGTACTACGAATGCCCCTGTGCGGCTGGGAACTTATCCTGACCTCCCATGCCCTTCCCCACTTCCAACAGGTTAGGTCAGTGAGTCCATTTCACAGCGAGTGTGATTATGCTTGCCAGTTTGCATTCACCACCGCCCCCACCCGAGGACCAACGACCGCCTCGCAAGAGAATTCGAAAGGGAACCCGCAGCTGCTGGGAATGTATGTACCGACCAAGTGGTACTTTCTATTATTTGATATAGTGGTCTTAAACCAACATTTAATACAGGTAAACATCGAAAGGTTCGCTGTCATTATGTCTCCGATGGCGATTCCAGTTGTCGCGAATGTTTGGCCAGGGGAACGGAATGTCGCAGCCAAGATTTCCCAGAACCTGACTTTCCACGCGAATCAGACCGCGCATCACTCAATGATCGGCTAGGTCGCGTGGAAACCCTCCTAGAGAGAGTTTTACGGCGATTGGATACCCTTGGTGATAACGGAGAGCCGCCAGTTTCACCAACAACAGGGACCGTTGATAGTAGCAATCCGAGCTCGAACACAGCCATTACACCTGCCAATGAAAATGCCCCTGTTTTATCGCTTTTCAACAATGAGGTGGTACGAGTTAATTGTGCTATTTTGCATAGAAATTCCACGCTGACATTGAAAACAGTTAGGCTTTCAACGATCAGATGCCTCCCCGCCAAATATCACCCTATATGACACAAGGAATCGCGAGTGGGAGAAACTCCGTCGCGAACTATTAGACCTCCTACCATCATATAGTACGTTGAAAAGACTGGAGGTCAATAGCTGCTGGTGGCTGGTCCGAGCCCAATGCTTTCAAGACTACGAAGAATCACTTATTCCGTGTTCACTAGCTTCTTTATCAAAACGCCATCCTGTTGTCATCGCCAAGGCTCTGTTGTGGGTTGTTATCTGTCTGCAGCAACTCCCACGGGGATTCGACGTTGATTCATTGGAGCTTCCCTGCCCTCCACCAGAACTCATCGCAAAATGCGTCAGCATCGTCGCACATTCGATTATTTCTGATGAGACGTTGATAAGTGGCATTGACGGACTAGAATGCTTAGTCCTCCAAGGAATTTTCTACAACAATGATGGGAAACTACGAAGTGCCTGGCTATCTTATCGACGTGCTCTAAATGCGGGTCAAATTATCGGACTTCATCGTCTTTCCCTAAAGGGAGAGCATGATTCTGAATCTATATTGCGGGCAAGGCATATATGGAATCACATAATCTACGCAGATCGATATCTTTCCTTGATGCTAGGAATGCATCATGGCATTACCGATGTGGCATTAGATTCGCAGCGCGTGCCTAGCGAGACACCTTCTTACTCCATGGATCTGCTTTGTCGCATTGCTGGATCGATAATCGAACGAAATCAAAAGTTTACCACAGTCACTCCCCTAATGGCGAGAATGACACAGACCATTGATTCAGAGCTTATGTCAGTCGACCCTCCAGAAGTAGCCGAAGAAACCGGTATTACTACCTCAGGAAAGTCCATACAACGAGCTTGGGGGTATAATAAACTCATGGCGAGGCTATGGTATTACCAACTTCTGGCATGGCTACACCTCCCACTTCTTCTCGAGTCCGGAACCCATCGACGGTACGACTACAGCAGGCAAAGTTGCCTCGAGGCATCTCGGCACATGATTACATGCTATATTTCCATGCGCCAGCTGACTGCCGAAAGTTTCTGCTGCAAATCGCTTGATTTCCAGGCCTTTACTGCCGCTGTCACTCTCATGATCAATATAATCGGACCAGGTGGTCGGCTCCAGTCCAGTCCGAATGATTGGCGCGCTGTTGAAAGCGTCATGGAAACGCTGGAGAAATTGGCAGAAGGACAACCACCTGACAAGGTGGCAACTCGAGGACTGAGTGTGCTACGCACATTGAAGAATGTTGCAAAGGGCGAGAGACCGTCACAACCTGCCAACTCTGCAGAATTCTCGACTGAGGATGACCAGTCCAGCCGCGTCAAAGTCGACATTCCGTATTTCGGTACTATCTTCCTCGATTGCGGTATTCACGGTGATTCCTCAGACAAGCAATGTCTTGATTCCGTTCCAACACAGCCGCCTCGGCAATCATTTGATGTGGGCCTTGGCGAAAGTTCCTTGCAGGCAGGGATGCTTCCTGATGCGAGCAATACACAGGGTCTAGTTACGGATGGAGCGCCTTGGCCGGGGGTTCGCGTTGAAATGGAACTCACTGATTTTTGGACATTTGACCCGGAATTGACGATGCTGCCTCCATTCCTATCGGAGTTTGGAGACAGCTGGGACCTGGGTCTGTAAAAAAAGAAGTATCCGAGTGAGTGGTAGAAATGTAAATAGAATAGTAGATATAAACATAAAACATAATCAGAATTCACTTGCATGAGAACTTTGTACACTTAAAAGGCAGTTATTAGCGACGCCAGTCCCTGAAAGCGGGTCTGCGGGTCAAAATGATAGCCGAAACAATGGACCGTGAATTTCCCCGCATATCGCATTTGCCTCTTCAGCCAGCGCAACGCGCTAATGCCATGCTTCAATCCGCAGCGAAATTGAGGACGAGGACTGGTTGCCTGCGATGTAAGTGATATTGTGTTGCTTTCGAGGCATCCTCGATGGCTAATTGGACCTGCATGAATTGAGCAGGTAGAAAGCGCCGAAAGAAATGCGACGAAGCCCGGCCACGTTGTGCAGCTTGCACTCGCAATGAGCTCGACTGCGAATGGCCATCTGGAAAGGATCCTGTAGATGGTCGAAGAGGCAAGAGACGCCAGCATGCCGAGTGCGAGGCGTCTCCCCAGCCACTGTGCAGTCTGTCGATCGTGCGGCAGCCATCATCTCCCATAATGCCTTCGCCGTTTCATACGGAGGAACACTATTGCCTTTTTCAACATTTCACTTCTACAATACTTCCACGGCTAGTTCGACAGAGCTCGATTGATCAGACTTACATGATATGCTTGGCTCCGGAGTATCCGCCGTTGATGGGCGCGATGATCTCCGTTGCCGGCATGCAGATCGCGTCGCGACCGAGTTGGTCAGTTAATTGCGCTGTAAAAAGCTATCTTTACACTATCATATCGCTACAAAAGGCTCTCATGCAACTTGAAAAAGCGGGAGACGATGATCGAATTTTGGCGACCGTGATCCTGCTTTCCGTCTTTGAGGTATAGTCAGACCAACCAGCCCAGAAATACAGCATTCGGCTAACTTGAACCCCGTACAGGCTTCTCGACTAGACATGGCACCAAATGTGGCACCTCATACTACGGCGTCGGGATATCTCCTAACTCAGCGACAGTCGCACTTAGGGACTCGCTCTATGGCCCCGGCAGTATTCGATCGCATATGCATCGAGTCATTTATTTATCATGCGTCTATCATGATGCTCTTTGAACCATCTCTTGATGCCCTTTCATCTATACGGCAAGAACTGGATATACCCAGATATTTCTCTTATGTGGAAAAGAGCGAGATATCGCTTCCCGTCCAACCAATTCTCCAAACGTCCTATGACTTCTTCCTGTCGATCGCTGATGCTACAAAGCTCGCTCGCATATCCAGATCTTTGGTCGATGCGGAAATAACGCTGTGGTGCAATACTTGGCTAAGACTAATTCAGTGGGATCAGGTTGATCATACAGATGACGCCTCACTAAAGCTATACTTCACTGCCCTTCAAATACTGCTGCTGAAAACGGCTCCTGATTTGTTGAACGAAGAAAAGACGCTTCAGATATCTGAGTGTCTTCAGGATGGGCTGCAAATTATCGTTTCGTTAGAGCCTGAACAATATGCGTCTAGCTATCTCTTGTGGCCGCTAGCAATTCTTGGTTCTATCAGTGTATCTGAAAGGGAACGGAATGCGGCAAGAGACTACATTCACATGTTGATTCAGTCTAAAAGAGGAGGTCAAGCAGTATGGGTGCAGAAGCGCTTGGACAGGGTTTGGAACCTGACAAATTTTTCTGCAAATTGCCCATCCTCGGGAATGAGACTTCGAGGGCTGCAACTATTGCTTGATGCGACATAATACGCTGAATGGAAAATCCAAGCAATGTTAAAAACGGTGAATTCATACACCCTAACATACGAGAAGTTGCAGCATTTTTACAAAAGAGATTCAATACTAGAGGCCTCCATATTTCAAGTTCACAGTTCAAAAATTTCTATCATAGACAATCCTGGGTATCAAAATACTAGCAATCCTTCTTACTCAAATCACCCGCGGGGAATTCCCTTTTCAAGTCCCCCTTTAACATGCTGGCGACTAATGCGTAGGCTTCATCTTTGGCAGCGCACTGGGAACTGCCCCTGACGGCTTCTTTATCCCACCCATGAGCGCAGCCATCCATTCGCTTATATACAGAATACTTTCCATCTATACCCCCAAGCTTCTGAGCAAGCTCCTCTGCCTCCAAGGCAAATGAACATTGAGACGCCGTGATGGTCAGTACATTGTCGGGGAAATTGTGCAGATTTGCAAATTTGGGTGAGAGACGGGGGTCCTTTAGGTCTACCCCATCCGGGATCGAACATTTGTGGCAGAGGTGAGAGAATTCAGGGAATATTTTCCGCATAATCCAGTTGGATTCGTCCACTTGTGGCTTTTCAGGCGTTGGCAGAGCCATATTTGTTGGACCGTACATTGAGATGACGGTGTTGAAAATGCTCGGCTGGCCTTTCTGGCAAAATTGGGACGATGAGGAGGAGACGCCGAGAGCAATATTGGCGCCTGAACTGAATCCGCTTAGAGATATCTCCGAGGCATCGAATCGGTCAGGTTGCGACCGGGCCCAATTCACAACATCTTCGGCGTCGTGGAATGCGGCCGGGAATGGATGCTCGGGCGCGAGTCGATACTGTACGTCGAGGACGGAGTATCTAGTCTGATTTGCGACAAAGCGACAAAATTCATTGTCATTGCCATACGTCGGAAGAACAGATCCACTACCGCAGAAGTTTATTAAGACAGGTGTGGGGTGTGTCGCGTTGGCAGGTTTGTAGAGATGGACTCTGATGGTGCGCCCGGCGTCTCGAGATGGGATCAAAATTGTCTCATCTGGCTTCGGGTCAAGGTGGAGTCTAGGTCGGACGAGCGCACGAAGAAAGGTAGCGATTGCTTTATGATAGACATAGTGCAACCCCATCACGCTCTTGGGGCTCAAAGCCTGTCTGGGCTGGATTGTGCAGGTATCCGGATTTTGGCGTGGCAGGATATTTGGGCCAGAATTTAGTCTAACTGGGGCTATCTGTCATTAAAACCGACCTTTTCCCCCTCCTGACACGCGTGTCAAATCGCCCCTTAGACACATTCCATTGTGCTGGATCCAGGTTTTGATCATGACGATGTTGATGATCTCTACGTCATCGCCAAGGTGTCATTTGGGGGTTGAATTTGAGGCGATATAAATCTTACGCATGGACTCGAAGCCCTTTATTCACTATGAAGAGAAATTAACTGACCATCCCCCGTAGAGTTTCTCTCAACTCTCAAATATTGGCTCTTGATCAAAAGTCAAGGGGTCGGGCATGTTTGTTGTGCCACCATCTCAATACAATAGATCCATTTATGGAAGTATCCTTGTCGATCACCGACATCATCACAAACAACATGACCATAAAGACAAGCTGCTGAACTTTCAATGCCTTCTCTGTTTAATAGCACTCAAGGTACATGTCAGGGCATACAGCAAAACTGTATATTCTAGCATCTTGAGACTTTCGACGTGACCTTCGTCTCGGCCTACCGACATCATTAATCTGAACCGTAATCCCCGAGTGCTTAGAGAAGGTGAATTTAGGCCCCGATGTTACTCTCTTCAAGAAGATGACGAGCGAATGGGAACGACAAAAGGGAGGAAAGTGCTGGTGATATGAGCGGCAGAGAGACGAGGGCGAGGCTACCTAAGTATACCTAGGTACATAGAGACGAAAGTCATCGCGTGTCAGTCGTGGCTGCCTAACATTACAGTTACCTTATAGCCAACCCTCGAGATAACCAAAATGCACACATCATCCAACCTCAACTTCGCTCTGCTTCTCTTTCAATTTGAGCTCAAATCTGCACGGTCCACACAATGTCTCTTCTTTCCTTACCCGTCGAGCTTCTTCTTCTAATCACATCCGATCTTCACCGACGCGATCTCAATGCGCTCATCCAATCCCATCCTCATCTCCACCGTGCCCTCAACTGCTCCCTCTATTACGACAATGTGCACAACCGCGATGCCTCGGCACTATTCTGGTCTGCTTTCCATGGGTCCATCGAGACCCTAGAACATCTCCTCATCGCGGGTGCCAATGTTATCTGGGACTCAACATACCAGCAGCAGAATGAACACCCGTCATCGAAAAAGCATCCGATCTCATTTGCAGCTACCCATGGACACGTCAATATTGTGGCGAAATTCATCGAACTCGGCGTCGATATCGACTACAAAGATCCAATGGGCCGTAATCCGCTATCCCTCGCGGCACGCGGGGGCCACATAGAGCTGTGCCAGTTCCTCGTCAATAAAGGGTCTCTCTTGTTATCGCCCGATGTCAATGATATGGATCCAACGAACCACGCATCAGTTCAAGGCCACGGGGAACTCGAAGACTTCCTCTTTGGAGAAGTGCAAAAACGCCTTATCCACACAAACCATATCTCTGCGAAATCAATCATTCAACAACACCTCCATTGGATGCTGAGAGCCGCAGCAGAGAGAGGAGAGAACGATCGCCTTAAACTCCTCCTGACAAATCCCGAGGCTGAATTAGATATCGTCCCCGCCCTTCTTCAGAAGGACCTTGTTCCTGACAGACGCAGCGGTCCCCCTTGGTTCCCAACTCCATGGGGAAGCCAAACCCCTCTGATAAGCGCCATACAATCAGCGCCAGATCCCATAAGCACGGCCAAAATACTCCTAGAAAACGGGGCCGATCCAAACGTTCTCGTCGCCGTTCGAAGCACTGTTCCAATCTCGATATTTCCCTTGAAGATCCTCCGCAAATTGTATTTAGGAATGTATGAAAATGCCGCATCCGCCGCTCTGAGAAGAGATCAGAGTTACAGTATTCTCGAGCTTCTACTGGAGCACGGGTTAACACCCGTGAATTCGGAAACGACTGTGGTCCGAGCCGCACAGCTCCAAAAACTTGATGAATTCCGCCTCCTGATCGATAATGGTGCCTATTATCGGAGCCAGGCTTACCGTTTATGGCAAGTCGGGTATAAGCCTATACTAGATTTACTCTTGGAGCGTGAGGTGGATGTTAACGAGCTTCTGAATTCCGAAAATGATCCGTTTGGCTTTGTCCAGAGGCCGACTCTCCCGAATACGCCGCCCGGAACAAGGGCTGAATGGGCTATGTATTTGAACGGTCATCTGGATAAGGATTGATGCCCTTATTATTGATGACCAGGAGGGATGGATGATGGAATATCGAGGGATGGATCGATAGGTTGATAAGTATGGGATGAATAGCTCTACTACACACAGCACAGTAGGCACATCATAACTCAGCACTGGGAACCTGACCCTGGAGGCAGGTCGGTCAAAGCCTACTCGACTGTTCAAGTTTTCACTACTATTTAGTGCCTACTAACTAGTACATGCAGTGAGCGAAACGAAGATAAAATAAAATCGAAAAGATAAAAACTTTTAGTTTCATGGCCGAGTATCATAAAGTTCTAAAAACATAGAGAGATGCATATCTACCAAAAGCAAGCAAGAAGGAAGCAAAAAAGGGGGAAAGAAAAACCCCAAAAATAAACGCCGTCTATAAGATCTTCCCATGCGAAATTTCAAAAGGCACAAGCCAGTGGCATGACAAGGTATGCAAAGGGAAATACAACATCAGCAGGATAACCATTACGCATCATTTCATCCATTCCTTCAGTATATTCAGGTTCAGGTTCGGATTCGGATTCATTTACTCCTCGTCGTCGGTGTCGACGGGCTTGGGGGTACCCTTGGGAGAGTTGAGCTGTAAAGCATGTTAGCGGGGTGGTCATAGATAATGGCTTTAATGGGGTGGAGGGAAAACATACCCATTCAATGTGACGGAGACGACGGCGGACCTCGCGATCCTTCTGCTGAGCGCGGGTCATCTTCTTCTTCTTCTTGGCGCGGAACTTGAGGTCTCCAGTATCCTCGGCGCCAGAGTTGACGGCCGAAGCGGCAGCGCTGGTGGCAGCTGAGGCGGCGGCAGAGACACCGGCGGGGGTACCGGGGGCGGAGGGAGAGTTGGCAGCGCTGTCCTCGAAGCGGTCGAGGCTGATGGCGGTGTTGGTGCGGCTGACGACGCGGCCATCGGCAATGTGCAGCTGCTCGGGGCAGAGGGCACCGACGAACTCCTCGTTGTGAGAAATCATCACGACACCACCCTTGAAGTCACGGATAGCGACGGCGAGACCACCGAGCGAGTCGCGGTCCAAGAAGTTAGTAGGCTCGTCAAGGACCAGCAAGTGGGGGTTGTTCCACATGGCACCAGCAAGGACGACCTTGACCTTCTGACCACCGGAGAGACCGGAGATCTCGTTGTGGTTGGCAATCTCGGGGTCCAGACCGACGTCCTCGAAGTGCTTGGAGATGGTCTTGGGGTCGAGAATACGGTAACCCAGACCCTCGCGGGAAGCCTCGTGATCGTCGAACTCCTGCACCATCTTGGTGAAGCCGCGGGCAATCAGGGTCTCACGGGAGATCATGGTGTTGTACTTAGGGAGCAGGCCAACCCACTTGACCTCGTACTGGAAGGTCTTCTTGTACTTTTGACGACCGATCAGGGTATCGATGCGGCGGGGGCCACGGCCATCGCCAAGATCAATGGGGGTCTCCAGCTGCTTCTTGTCCTCCTCGGTCAAGATGCGAGTCTGCTTCAGGAACACCTCGCGATCGTCACCGTTGGCGTAACGCCACATGATGTACTGGCTGGGGGTCTTCTCGAGATGCATCTCAACGTGCTCCAGAGCGTGCTGCTTGATGTAACCAATACGCAGGTTGGGGTGCTTCTCGACCTTGCCGCCCTGGGGAATGGTCTCACCAGTCAACATCTTGATGAAGGTAGACTTTCCGGCACCATTACCACCAATGATGGCGACACGGGACGAAAGGGTCAGGGAGAGAGAGGCATCCTGGAGAGAAGGCTTGGGGGCTCCGGGATAGGTGTAAGAGCAGTTGCTCATGCGGAGAATAGCGCGGGTGTTGGACTTGATACCGGACAGGATACCAGGAGGGGGGGAACTTGAACTGCACGGTGGAGGCAGAAAGAGTGTAGTAGCTCTTGCCCTCAGGGTTGACCTTGACGAAGTCGGCAAGGTTACCGGGGTAGTTGACCAGCTTCTTCTGCTCGTAGTGGTAGATGTCGGTGCAGACCTCGTCGAGGAAACCGGAGTCGTGAGAAACGATCAAACTGGTAATGTCGGTGTGTCTCTTCAGGTACTCTTGCAGCCACTTAACGTTCGCAACATCCAAGTGGTTAGTAGGTTCGTCAAGAAGCAGGACATCGGCCTTGAGAAGCATGGCACGGGCCAGAGCGAGCTTCATCTTCCAACCACCAGAGAGAGAGCCGACAGGCTGGGACTGACGGCCCTCGGGGCCATCGGTGAAACCGAACTCGGTCAAGACGCTGCTAATGTGCTCCTTGCCCTCGCCAGCAACGGCGGGGTCCTTGGCAACATACTCCAGGATGCTGAGATCAGCATCCTCACCCTGGTTGTGCTCGACGAAGCAGGTGCGGACCTCCTCGGGGGGGAGGGAAACCCTCCAGCTTGTCGTTGGCGATACTGCGCATCAGAGTCGACTTTCCGGCACCGTTGCGACCGCAAAGACCGTAACGGTGGCCCTTGACAAGACGCAGGTTGGTGTGAGAGAGCAGGAGCATACCACCGTAGGCCAGGGAGAAGTTGGCGTTGACGATGACAATCTCATTGGGGTCGGCCTGGACAGGCTTGCCAAACTTACGCTCATCCTCCTCGGTGAAGTGAGCCTGGACAGCAGTGGAAATGGCCTCAATGCTGTCTTCGGCAAGCAGGCCACGGAGGTAGGGGGTAATGTTGGAGGGGATGCGGTCAAGCGTGCGGGCGTTGACAGCCTCACGGACCATACCAGCGACGAAGTTCTTGGTGAGGTCGTGGAACTTGGCATCGCCGAAGCCGATGAAACCACCGTGCTCCTGGATCTTGGGGTTCAGGACAGCGAGGACCTCCTCGGGAGTAGTCTTGGTGATGGAGCCGGAGGCAACATCCTTATCGGCCATGGCCTTGTCCATGACATCGAGAGCACGGGTAGCCAGTTCACGGACCTCGGGGAGAGAGGCACGGTTCACGACATTCTTCACACCAGGCTGCAGCTTGGGCAGGAAAGTACGGGCCTCAGCGGGGTCGTGGACCAGCTTGGTCAAGTTCTCGACGACAACAACGGTCTGGCGGAGAGTTTCTTGGGGAGTGGTGGGGTCGTTGAGGGATCGCTCGAGCAGAGGAGTGAGGAGGGCGAGCACGGGGGAGGTAACAATAGCGACGAAGGTGGTCTGGGAGAGAGCGTGGATGGCCTTCTGGAGAGTCTTGGCCGACGGCTGCTCCATGGTCTGGATGAGCAGGGGAATACGAGGAGCGACATCGTCGTTGGAGAGCAGAGTGGTGAGAGCATTCATCGACTTGCTTGACTGCTTGGCCACCTCGCTCTTCAAGTCGTGCATGCCGTTCTCGACGATGGGGATCAGCTCCTTCAGAGTCTTGCCGAGAGCCTCGCGGAGAACATCCTTCTCGCGCTCCTCCTCCAGGGAACCAGTGCCCATTTGGGCGCCGACAGCCATCTTCTCAAGGAGAGAATAGCCACCGACGAAACCTTGCCATTTACCGCTGCCCTTGCTCAGGTAGTTCTCAAGAGCTGGGACCAAGGCGTTGACCTTGGCCTCGGGGCTGAGGCAGGCGTAGAGAGCATCCACGGCGTATTGAGCGGCGTCGCGGACGACGGCGCCCTTGTCGGCCAAGGAATCCAAGACGACGTTCAGAAGAGCCTGATCTTGGAGAAGGAAAACAGCTTCACTGAGAGGGAACTCGCGGGGGAAGCGCTCAAAGAGGGCACCGATGATCAACATGGCACTCTCGCGCTTGGCGCCGTTCTTCTTATCGGCAGCGGCCTTGCGGGCCTCAGCGACGACATTGTAGTTGAGGAGACCGGCAGTGCCGACACTCTGAATGAGGAGGTTGGCGACGGCATATGCGCCATCGAGGGAGACTTGGGAAGACTCGGCTGTGAAGATTGTGTTCAGGAGAGAAGAAATCTCTTCGTTGGTGGGGGGGAACCCCGGAGGGGGACTTGGCGACAACGGTCGGCATGGCGGGGGTCTCAGAAGGAGAGACAGTGTGTGGCATGGTCTCCTGTGAGTCGCGACTCGAATCAATCGAGAATCTCGCGGGGGGTATCTGGGTATCTAGGAGAGAAGAAGGGGGATAGACCCGCGATGCTGATGATAGTGGCGGGGCGGGGCAAACCGGGGCCCGAGGAGAAAAGAAAGAAGCGAGCAGGAAAAGCCTAGCTCAGTATGGGATTTGCGGATAATTTTGATAAAATCGCGCAAGACCACACACAGACAAACCACCAGAAACAGGGAAAATATACAAAGAGGGGAGAGTTGAGAAAGAAAGGAGAGATGCAACCAAGTCTGCAGCCCAAGCGCTTACAATTTTTTTTTTGTTTGGGGGGGGGGCGACCCCCAAATCGCCAATCAACCAATCAGCCAATCACGTTCCCCTCGATTCCTAAGATTGTCCTAAGATAGTACTGCCGCTAACCAGAATGGGCTTATCAACAATGGGCGGTATGAAGTGGCAAATCATTACTCAGCTGGAGTTGGTAAGGGCAGGCAGATTAATGTCAGCTGATGGATGCCTTGGAGCCTTACAGCCTTAATGCCTGACTGCCTGATGGCCCAGCGTTTACTCGCACACCTGCTAGACATTCAAGTTCTTAATTGAGTCAAGTGCACCATTAAGGATTCTTCAATCTCATTTCCTTCAAGTTAAAATGATACGCCTACTCTGAAATACCTGCACATCGATGCCCACAGCCACCTGCAAGTGGGCACTGCAGAGATATACATCTCGCGTTCCCGGAATCCAGGGATAGCATTATGTCTCCGGCCTGAGGTTTGCCAGTGTCCGAACCAGTACTACACGTACTGCTACAGAGGTCATAACTAGTAGTTAGTAATGCTAGTACTAGTAGTAACAGGACTGTAGTATGACTAGAGCTGTTCAAGTTGCTGCTGGTACGTCATCAGCTGCATAACTCCAGCATCACAAGCATGTGTTCCCACTCGGTCGGATGGCCGACTTACAGCCCTAGCGGTACTTTAATTCTAGCCTGACAATCTCCGAGCCTCTTTATTACCATCCGACTTCGCTGCTTACATCTCGTCCCTACATAGTATTCTACTATTACTCCGCTCCCCCTCGGCCCCCTGCCTCGAGGTGTGCCCGAGGCTACAGGCGGATAGCGGTTATCGGTAGGAGTATCAGTTACTCCGCGGGAAGGGAATATCAACACCGTGGCCTAGGTTATGAGATAGAAACAACTTGAACTGCCCACTGGCAAGTGTATATTACTACTTATTTTCTGTATAGAATTTGAGAATATAGTACTATAACCGCAGCAAGTAAACAGTAAACCACCGATGTCGGTGACCGCATGCAGTCGGGCCTCGGTTGACCAAAAACGTGGGAGCCCCGCGTCCAGCCGAAGTGAATGCATGCTGCAAGTCCCGGTCGATCACAAGTTATCCTTTTTTTTGTTCATCCAGGGCTATTTCGCCTTTTATCTCTCCGTGTTCATCTTCACCTCCCTCTCCTCCTTCTCCTTCCTATCACCACTTTTTTTCTCCCTCTCCCTCTCCCTCTCCCTTTCCCTTCACCCCCGCAATTGCTCCCGCCCCCACACTATCCACATCTTCCCCAGACTCCTCTTTCCCTCAACAATGGCTCTGAGCTTCAGGACCACCCGCCATGCCACTCGCCTGATCCAGGTATGTGCCAGGGGAACACACCCAATCCCAATCCCAATCCCAATTCTCATCCCAATGAGCTGCAACTAACAATTACCAAGGCTTCGCGCCCCTTCCTCTCGGCCCGCACCTATGCGACCGCTGAGCCCGACCTCAAAGCCACCCTGAAGGAAGTCATCCCCGCCAAGCGGGAGCTCCTCCAAAAGGTCAAGGCCCAAAGTGACGAGACCATTGGTGAAGTCAAGGTCGGCAATGTCATCGGTGGCATGCGTGGCCTAAAGGCCATGCTCTGGGAAGGTTCCGTGCTCGATGCCGACGAGGGTATCCGCTTCCACGGCAAAACAATCAAGGACTGCCAGAATGAGCTACCCAAGGGCACATCAGGAACCGAAATGCTCCCTGAAGCCATGTTCTGGCTCCTCTTGACCGGCCAAGTTCCCTCGACCTCCCAAGTCCGCGCCTTTTCCCGGGAACTCGCCGAAAAGTCTGAGCTGCCCACCCACATCCTCGACCTCATCAAGTCATTCCCCAAGACCATGCACCCCATGACACAGCTCTCCATCGCCGTCGCAGCCCTGAACACAGAGTCCAAGTTTGCCCAGGCGTATGAGAAGGGCCTCAACAAGGCCGAGTACTGGGAGCCTACCTTTGACGACTGTATCTCACTGCTAGCCAAGATCCCCCGCGTCGCGGCGCTGGTGTTCCGCCCGAACGAGATCGATCTCGTCGGCACGCAGAAGCTCGACATCTCCCAGGATTGGGCATACAACTTCGCCGAGCTGCTCGGCAAGGGCGGAGAGAAGAACGAGGATTTCCACGATCTGCTCCGTCTGTACCTCGCCCTGCACGGCGACCACGAAGGAGGCAATGTCTCCGCCCACGCAACCCACCTCGTCGGCAGCGCCCTCAGCGACCCCTTCCTCAGTTACTCTGCCGGTCTTCTCGGCCTGGCGGGTCCTCTGCACGGCCTGGCCGCGCAGGAAGTCCTCCGCTGGATCCTGGCCATGAAGGACCAAATCGGCACCAAGTTTACCGAGGCCGATGTCCGCAATTATCTTTGGGATACTCTCAAGTCTGGCCGTGTTGTGCCCGGATACGGTCACGGTGTCCTGCGCAAGCCTGACCCCCGCTTCGAGGCCCTGATGGATTTCGCTGCTACCCGCCCGGACGTTCTCGCCAACCCTGTCTTCCAGCTCGTTAAGAAGAACTCCGAGGTTGCTCCTGGCGTGCTCACCGAGCACGGAAAGGTACGTTGATACTCTACGCCTCGGAATAGATCTTCGCAATAATGAAGTTGACTAACTCGCCCTTCGCAGACCAAGAACCCCCACCCCAACGTCGACGCCGTATCAGGCGTTCTTTTCCACCACTACGGTTTCCAGCAACCTCTTTACTATACGGTCGCATTCGGTGTGAGCCGCGCCCTCGGTCCCCTTGTCCAACTAGTCTGGGACCGCGCCCTGGGCATACCCATCGAGCGCCCCAAGAGCATCAACCTGCTCGGTCTCCTGAAGAAGTAAGCAATGCTCTTGCTATTTGACTCGAAGCTCCACCCGGGTGGATGAAGCCGAGTGATGAAAATGATGCTAGCGAGTTCTTTCTTTTCTTTCTTTTCTTTCTGTCTAGACTGCCTTTTGTCTTTATGCAGTGGCCGCGGTCGATCCCGGTGGTTTTCATAGATTACGTTTCCAGCAATGCAATGCGCTTGAGGTGAAGTGTTTCTTGAAAATACTTTGCTACTTGACGTGGATTTTCCTGGAATTTGGGCCTTCTTGCTTTCGTAGTGTAGTGCGTGCCGCGATGTATGCGAAGATTTGTTCACCCAGTACACAGACCAATTTATACGGCTGTTTCGAGTGTATTTCGATCGATATCACTGAAATCTGTATGGTGGGAACGGGATTTTTAGATTGCCATTCCCACCTTGTTCAATACTATATGATACCTTTGATATATTAATAATATATCATTTAGTTCAAGTAGTTTAGATATTATCTTCTAGGTAGAGTTATTTTAGTGAATACTGGGCTATGCAGAAGGGAATTTACATGACGATGTGCCCGCTGTCGCGAGGAGGGGAGATTGCGGAGATGGAAGTGGCCGCATGGCGCTGCAGGTAGTGGCAGCAGCCGATTACCTTCATTGGGGCACTCCTAAGTGGACACCCCAAATCGATAAATGAACACCCCTCCTGCCTATTGAGGAATGGCTCTGTATATGTATCACTATAGAGGGATCAGTTCTAAGCAAGATGTTGTGGTTCATCCACACTTTTTGGACGAAGCGTGTGGTGCAGTATACCACATACACAACAACTTGAAAAAGGGACACCAGTCGCTGCCGCAGTCTATGGTTATAGTCAGCTATGACGATAATACCCTACTACACTCAATCAACACTAAAATATTCAAGTCTGCAAGAAAAAACAGCTTCGGTTTCCTTTTTACGAATAGCTCTATCCATATTCTCTATTCCTTCCAGTGTTAATTAATTGTATGACGTTGGTGATAGCCGCTGACCTCGGACATGCTGATATCAACTAAAGGATGAGATGGAAGATAGTGCCACATATACTACGCCACACATCTCGTCCAAAAAGTGTGGTTGAACCGCAACATTCTAATTAGAACTGTCCCCCCCCCTCCAATAGTAATACACATAAAGGGCCATTCCTCAATAGGCAGGAGGGGTGTTCATTTATCGACTTGAGGTGTCCACTTAGAAGCTCCCGTTCATTGTGGGGTTTTGTTACCGCTTATAGGATTATTACTTATTTTGCTTTGGCAACACGCCGTATTTACTTTGTCTCATGTTACCGCGGATGTGGCGTTAAGATGGTTCTGGTTCCCGATGGATGGAACGCCTACATAGCCATTACGTTCGAAAGTGTGGCTGAATTAGGTTATAGAATCCTGGATTGAATTGGATTGAACAGAAAGCACATAATTCCACGGTTTATGAATAGTAATACAAAAGCATATTAAGACTTGGAGCTATCTAGAATTAATATAATAAAAGAAGCACACTTGATGGAATGGTATTGTTATGGGGGGTCGTTACCCAATGAGACATGGGAGATTCGATAGCGTTTTGCTATTGCTGTAAAGTATAACATGGGCTTTCCTTGCTTCTTCGCATCCAGCCACGTAGTTCAAACATCTTTATAAGCCATCAGAGCTCATCATGAGTATGGTCATGACTTTCTACTTTCCAAATATCTGGTCGCCGGACAAAATCTCTAGCCCTATGTGCAGCCCCAATTGCCGTCACAAAAGTTGGATCCAACTCATTTCTAATGATTCCTTGCCATCTTCCGGGGACGATTTGTCGAATGGATTGACCAAGACTTTCCACAGACTCCGCAGAGGCTTCACCACTAACAATAATGACCTGCAAATCCGTTGCCTCTTCTGTGGATGAAAATTCAGCTATAAACTGCTGGATAGCCTGATGTATCTGCTTTCCCTAAAGTTGGGTGGAATGGTCAGTATGCGATGCTTTCATTTTCTCTTCCGCTTCCAATAATAGATCATATCTTTCAAGGAATAGGGCAAGACAAACCTTTGACTTATCATCATCTCGATTAGATACTGCTAGATCAGGCCGTCGAAGAGAGAATGGTCCCCTCTCAAGTAAGCTAGCCGTGTACTCGGAAATAGTTGCGACCCAGATATCCAGAGAATAGGCGTTATAGTCCACATACATCACGAAAAAATCATCGTCGTGGAAGGGATTCTCCGGAACTTTAGGCCCTGGACCATCAGCTCTATCCAAGTCATAAGCTGACCTAGTGGCATCAAGAAAGCCTATCATCTGTGAAGACTTGGTGACTAGAGGAATCGAATCACTATCACGTAAAGTTTCATACAAATGATCTCTCGCAATATAGTCCAGACCCTCTGGAAGATTGACTGTGGTGATTTGAGGTGAAGAGCCTAGCTTATGGGAAAGCTCGTTTGAAAGATCTCTCAAAGCCTGACTAATAATCTCTTCATCTTTCTTTTCGTAACCGCGGTACTCGTTGGGCGCTGGGACTAATTCACCACGACTATCATGGACGTATACCTCGCCAAACTTGTACCTGTATTTGAAAATTTTATTAGTGACTGGCTAGAAAGAGGATTTCCCAAGGGGACACCTAGCACTCACTTTCTTTCTTCGGATTGAGATGCGAGTTTCCTCATATGAGTTTGATACTCTTCAGAACCCTCGATCTTGGAGAGCAGATCCGGTTTATTTTCATCGGTAAAACGAGCCGCTGTTCTGAAATTGAAGCCCTATTAGCCAAGGACCCCAAAGATGAATACAAGGGGGGAAGCATGAGTCTGGAGTTTTCACTTACATGAATTTGAATCCAAGATTTACCCCAACAGCTGCATCGGAATATAGTATTTAGCAACTGGTATAATAAATTTCTGCCGAAAGGTCTTTTTTCTTACGATAAGTCTCTAAGGAGAAGACGCTTGTAGCAAAGCATAGAAGCCAATGAACAACCCTCATAGCTAGTACTATGCGAGACCGAATGAAACAGATTTCGGAAGAATTTCCAGAGAGGAGCTGATCTGACCTTAAATAGTAATCTAAGTGCTCGCACGTCTCCCAATTATTTTTAAAAACAGCTGAAATAAAAATCCACCTAATACCCTTGATGACCAAATGAAACTGAGCGATTTCGACTAGTCTCATATTCCTGATTCCATACTATATAGTATCTATTTTTAGGATTCCTGTGGGTCTGTTGACCTATCCATATAGAAGTTCACGAAAGCCAATCAAGATCCCGTAATATTTGAGGTCCTGTTAATGATCAGCGCTTGATTACTTTGATAGGAATTTGGAATTTCCGCCCCCACAGTCTGTTCCCTTAGGATCCTTAAGGGTCTATGTATTCACCTATATACTGTTAAATGAGTTTGGTGTGAAAATTCGACAAAATACCCAGATAGGCTAAATAGCGTACAACACTCAATCAGCGCTAGTATTTTAGTATCTAATATTCTGGAACATCCCGTCAGAGAGCTTAATTGTATACATAGAAGAGCTACCTGGAGTCAATGAGAGCGTATTATTGGAAGTTACTTTTCATTGTTGTGGTCCTTCCTTCCAAGGTTCTGTGTTTCACTACTGAGCTGTCTGTGGCCCCCCTCGAGGGCTCGTAGCCCCCTCGAGCTGGTGGCCCCCTTGAGCTGATGGCCCCCTTGAGCTGGTGGCCCCCTTGAGCTAGCGGCCCCATGAAATGCAGTAAATGTAATAAAATTTACTGCTTCACTTCAAATGTATCAACAGCTACGTAGATACTGGTACATATTTGTGAAAAAATAAACCCCTGAATGAAAAAAGTTGTTTAGTTATGAAGTTCAAATTGTAATTTCAAGTTATAATATTCCAAGCCCTGGAGGTTTGCGATACCTAGGTATGTTTTGGGGCCTCCAGCTCTCGGGGGGCTGCGAGCTCGGTAGTGAAACACGTTATGGGGCAGGCCTAAGGCTTTAGCTCCTTTTTTCTGGTGCTTTCCTCATCTCCGATACCAGAATGATAAGCATTGCTAAGAATTCCACTTCCTTATAAGTGGTAATATATTATGTCGGTTTGACATATGAATTTGTTAGGTTTGAGTGGGACGTTCAAGTTTGTTGTATAGGGTAATAGGGCTTCCGGGCTCATAACTGTCAAATGAATTTGGGGTGAAAATTCTACATAATACCCGACTAGGTCAAAAAGCACGAAACGATCAACAGGGCCAATCTTGTAAATCTTCCTGCTCTGACACATATAAGTTCACAAAAGCCTATCAGGATCACGGAAGATTTGGTGTCTGGTTGGTGATCAGCGCTTGAATACTTTGATAGGAACTCTGATATTTTCGCCCCTATACAGGCTGTGTACCTGAAACTATGATTATAGCCCCATTTGAGATCGCCCTCACTATATGGATATGTGGATCCAAATCTAATTAGCAATGTCAAGGAAAGCCTGGCCTGGAAAATCCTTCCGATTCAGATGAGCTAATGAGTTGACGCCTATTTAAAGAGATGGAATTGGTCCCTTTTTGTCGCCTTATACTAGTATATCCATTTTCTATTATTCTCATCGGAAATCTGATTCCAAACCTGATTACATGGTACAATCATGAGTTTACAGCAACTACTTTTCCTGGTTTTGTTTGCGACTTTGTTTCAAAGTTCGATCTCAAATCCTGTAGTCGCGAGAGCGAAAGATGACCCTGACCACTGGGTGGAACACTATGAGAAGGTTTTTGCAGGGATCTATTGGAAAGAAGCCTGGGAAACCTGCTCCGAACGAGAATTCTTCCTGCTAGCCGATACAGTGTCATCGGTTACTGAGTGGATTGATCCTAGCCAAAACGGGGGAGTTGAAGACCGAGATACTCCTGGATGGACACGCTTCTTTGCAGGAAGGTCGGTCAGCTATTCCTGGACGGTAAGTTACCTAGATCTGAGACTAATGATACCGTTGATACTAATGGAAATCTTAATCTTTGTAGCACAAAAAGCTAGGCTCCCCGAAAGCCTACGAGAACATCATATGTGAGATATTACTAGTGGATCCCACCGCTTCAGAGAATTTATCATTTGACACATGACCAGTTGCTTTGGAACAAGTCAGAAATTTCCCTATCAAAGGTAAGGCAGGCAGAAAAAAGGGTAGTGTCTCAAAGGGGTCTCGAATTACGTTCACTTGCAAGGAGCCTGAGAAGAACAAGGGACATTGTGCGAAAACTAACGCGTAAGTATATCTAGGCCCGAACATCAATTTTTCACAAGTGTCGCTAATATTTTCCTAGGGGAGCGACTACCGTGCAACCCAGAGAGAGGGGCGAGTTGACACACGCAAACTTGATTTTTTTCTGCCCCCCTTTCTTGGATGACTATGATACCAATAAGTCACCTCCTAGCACAAGAGGAACTAGATGGTCCCTGAATCATCGTACGTTTGATGTCAAGACCAAGAATACAGGTATCGCTGAATTGGAAACTCTCGTCACAAAAGAGCATATTATGCTTCATGAGTTCTTCCATTGCAATAACCTTTTGAAAATTCCCGTGCCTAGTGAGTACTTCGGCTGAATCCCTCCAGAAAACAAAGCTAACAAACATAGTCGTGGATTTGAAGGATATAACACTCCCTGATGGCGAGAAACTCGTAAGCTATTGATTTCTGGGTTGGATGTTCATTCACTAACTACTGAAAATCAGCCTAGTGTTTATGGAGCAGCAAGGTGTGCAAAACTTGCGTGGGCGAACATCAAATTTGCTAAAACAGCAGACCTCACGAAGATTAACCCGTTGGTCTCAGAGAATGGTGGGTTAGTTGTTCATGGAATAGGAATTAAATGCTAATCAGGTTCTACTGTTTCAGCTGATAACTATGCCTGGATGTTTACGTTCAACTGGTTTAAGAGAAATTGGGGTTGGTCCACAGATGGAACTTATCACTGGGACGACAATACCAAACGAGATGTTTCAGGATCAGACTCAGATGAAGCATTCAATGTCGACGGCGATGACTCCCTCACTGGATCGACTGGGGTGTCTGTTGAAGAAATCAATGACTCTCCGTCTCTCCCAAATTGCCAACAAGTTGGAGATGATGCAGCTGATGTACAATGTGCATATGTTGGAGAAGACAGCATTGAAGAATGGTCATCGAGCCACCCGGATTTCACCATGACATCTACCCCCATGACAGCCCCAACAGTTGCGGTCATATCTAGAACGATCACGACCCAAGCTACCACATCTGCTGCTTCTGTTTCCTGCTACCACTATCAGAATCCAGGAGTCGCAAATGGCTGTGAGTGTGAAGGCTTAACGGGTATCTTCGCTAAAATGTCCAGTACAAGTGGACAAACAAGCTATGAAGCCTGTGGTTGGACAACAACACCACCTCTGGCCAGCTCCACACCAGCTTCAACAGCAAACGTAACGGCGAAGGACGGAACGATTAGCTACTGTACCAGTGCCGTACGTGCAGACGCCGATGTCAACGATGCCCTTTCTTGCGCTGTCACCGCTACTCCCATCGCTACAGATAGCGCCATTGCGTCCAAATATTCAGTCTATTTGTCGTCCAAGGCCGCTGCCGCCTCCGCCAGTGCCACGACCAGTTCGGACATGTCGGCGGCAACTACGGGAACGCCCGATCTCGAATTTTATTTTGCCGTGCTCTCTCTAAAACCGGGGATGGCTGCAGGCACTCATTACTCTTGGAATGTCTATACGCGTGATAACTCCGGGGGAGATGATGTTGGGGGGTCGTTTAAATGGTGCCATTCTAATGGTGCCGACGAAAAATTAAAGGCCTCGAGCATAAAGACAGACTCATTCCCCCCAACTATTCGCTTCCAAGATCTTTCAAAAGGAATCAATAATAAGGCCCATGATAAATACCTGCCATGTGTTTATACAGGGGCTGATGGTGGGGCTGGAACTATTGGGTGTGAGGGTTGGAAAAATCAGTTCAAGTGCACCACGGATTTCTCAGAGTACGGGAAAACGATAGACGGGAGCTCCCAGGGCTGCGTGTCTGCTCAGAAGGCCTATCCGAGGGTTCTTTGCAAAGTCTGGACCGACGCAATTGTGAAAGACAATGACCCTTAAACTTTCCTTTTGCAACTTTACTGCATTGTTCCTTTTGTGAGGAAGGACGAACGCATAAAGAGTGGAAGCGGTTAAGGGGCGGTGACAAGCAAAAACCGGAACGGTACTGGGAGCCGAGAGACGCCTTATCTAATGGCTCCCTCGTTGACAATGTACATTTCTTATATCTCTAACCCAGGCTTCCAATCAAATGTTATTGTGTTTGTATTCCTTTCTGTGCAGTAGTATAGGTCTCCCATATTCCAGGGCTCGGGCTATGAGTACTAGGTGGTTATTTAGGTCATCCTATAATCATAAGAGCTTAATAGATATCCCAGAATCCTTAGGTTGGGGTTGATAGCGCATAGCAAGCTTACCTGGGTGCTAAGCAACTTATTGAAAGATCGCCCTCAGCATCCAAAAAAGCTACAAGACCACTGTATGGGGCCTAATTAGTAACGTATCTTACCAAATGGCATATTTCAGAGCTGGTTTGAATAGGGATGGATTGTTTTGGAGAGACTGAACTAGGTAAGAAACATCGCGGCTATCACATCACACGGGGAGCGGCCTCATAGCATAAGGGTAATAATAGTCTCTTAGCGCTAAATCACCAGAATTGACTTTCTAGTAGTTACTCGGCCTTGTGATAAATTCTACAGGTTAATCAAACTATCAACTCTGTATCCATCGGGTGATTTGCTTGAAGGCTAACAAGTAACACAATAACCTGAATAAGTCATGTCCAACCCAATGCTTTCTCTTTACACGTAAGCCCACTTTGTTTCACGGAGACCGATAAAATCGAGTGACAGAACTTCAACATTGTAAAATGAACATGCTATAGACTAGGTTTGGATTGGCGTTGTGACACCGGATGATACTACTAGTTAGTAAACGCAATAACTAGTAGTATATAAAGCTACTCTTCACGGCGAGACTCGGAGCAATTTGGTCGATTCCGCCAATCCTCTCTTCTGAATCATATCTTGTGTGCTCTCTCTACCAGTACCCACCACCCAAGGCAGTGATTCTTTCTGGCTCGCAGACAGGACGTGAGAGTGTCCACAATGGCCTCCTATCTTTCAATGCTTGGGTTCAGGGGTTTTCCGCCATGTGAACCTAATCATGAATTCTTATTGAATTTCAAATCCATGTGCAAGGACTTGGCCCGAGGCTTCGAAAAACAAAATCGGTCCATCAAGTTTCCGAAAAACTCCTCATTATGTCGAAAATCGCTCCTTCAGCCCAGAATATACTAGGTCTATCGATTTCGTGCATGGCTATCGCAACAGCAATAATAGCCGTGCGATTTTACACCTACTTTTGTATCTTTTGCAAGAGGGGTGTGTGGATTCTTACTTCGGCAACTGCTGGCTGGGTATAATTGAACCACTATCCCTTTCGAAATGTCCTAGCTGATAGAGACAGATTTCTGGCTGCGCTAGTACAGTGCTTTATTTGTATATCATGTATAAGAGTGCTGTTAACCCCGCTATTTATTGGATGGTCCCAAGTGGTCAGGTATTTCAGACATTAGGAGTTATGCTCGTCAAATTATCCGTGACCCTGTATATTCTCGACCTGCAAGGTCCGGTCTACGTTATTTGGAGATAGTTTCTCATATCTGCTGCTGTAATTAATGTGAGTTCATTATCGGTATTAGAATCAACATCGATTATTCTGCAAAGCCCAGCAAGCTAACTTTCTATCGCGACTGAGCGTAACGTTACTAGTCGATTTCACCATCCAATTGCTTGGCATTGCTTATTAACATGCTTTCTCATCGTAATATTCTGTCAAATAGTTTTTATGAGGTATTCTAAGTTGAACAGACTGATACAATGTTTCCATACAATACTACATTTCCCCAATATGACCGTTTCCAGGTCGTGAAACTTTCAGTTTGATGTAGCTCGTCACAGCCGTTGTGGTATCCGTGCTGATATTGTTGCCACATACGCCATGCAACAACGTACAGACTATGAACGTCTCGCAATGCCATGATTATATAGTCGCTCTGGCATCCTGTGTCATCCTGTAGGTCATATATGATACTGCGTTGACATATGAACCATGACCATTCCAGTGTTCTATCGCTGAAAACTTCAATTTAACTGATCACCGCCGTTTGGCGGTGCCCGCTTTAACGGATGTTCTACTTCTCGTATACCCGGTGATAATGATGTGGCATCACCGAATAAGCAACAAGCAAAAGTTTCTAGTTTGCATACTACTCAGTCTAGGAACCATCGGTACCGTTGTCAGTATTGTAAATTATCTTCTTGTCTTCCAGTCCGAAGGTAAGTGAGTTTCTACTATACTCTGACCTTGCCTACCCACTCATGCGTTCTCACCTCAACATATCAAGACTGGATAGAGAGTAGTGGCTAACACGTCATAATCACAAATTCAGCCACCATGGAAGCAACGATGCTGCTCAACTTGATGGGGCTATGGACGATCCTAATGGCTTCAAGCGCCGCCCTGTTATGGCCTCCCTTCCGAGCTTTGTCCCAGAAATTGCCTATTCAAAGAATGTCTACTGAATCAAGGAGGAATGAACAGAGTTCTAGGGCTGGAGATTTTGAATCAGAATCCGAACTTGTGGCGCACCCCTCTGGTACAACCCCACCGACTGAGATGGGCCGTGGAGGTACGTAGATATAACCGAGAGCCAGGCGGCGATTACTACCGGACCTCTGCGAATCAAACTCAGAACAATTAAGATTTAGAATATCATCGAGGCCAGGAGACCTACTAGCACTTTATGCGGAGCTTTTTCTTGTACTCGGGGAATCGTAACATTCTGATGAACGACCGGAGTCGCGCACCAAAGTAGACAAACATGTTGTAGTATCAAGTATCAGCCTGCGAAGCAAAAGTCGGTGTAGAAAATAAGACATTCCCCGTACATTATAATGTAGTGTTTGAGCTATTTCTACCTTGCAGATTGTATGCCGTACTGTATGTAGCTGAAGAGAACCGCGAAACTTTCTGCCCCTTGCTTCAGCTATCTCTAATATCAGCATAAATACCAGCCTTTGCCACTGGAGTGACATCCACGCAATTTATCATTGACATCTCTTCCAGAGCTTATTTTTCAATATTTCCCAACCCCCCGTGAAGGCCAAAGAATATCGCCAATATGAAGATGTGGAATATCCTCGCTGCGGTCGTCTTTGCCGTCTTTGTGGTTGCAGGCACCGAGAAGGAAGGCAATGATCAGGCTGAGAATAACAATGTATGTATTTCAGAAGATTTCTTTTTAGATTTGAATATAAGCTGACAAAATCGTTCGGGAGTAGTTTGTAAGAACTTGACCGCTCTAAGCCGCAAATGACTCGAAATCTAGGACTAACTATGATATGCTGGATAGTGTGTAAGTGCTTAAAACACTCGTTTGTGAGCCGCTGAGGAATATAGAGCTGATCAAAGTATGATGTTAGGATGTGAGTACTTAACTGCTTGCTTAATAGTGTACGATTTTCTAGACCTGTAGGCTAACGGAAATATAACATTGGTAGTCTGTGAGTGCTTGACCTTCTAGATGAGATTTGATTTCAGAGTATAGGGCTGACAAAATGGGCCATGAATAGAAGGTAAGTGCTGCTCTTGTGGGAAAGGCTTTTAAAAGTACTGATCCATATCGGTAGGGTGTAAGTACTTATATTCCGGCCCAAAAGACAAATTAAAATCATAGTTTAACAGGAGTGACGTGATTAGGTTGTGAGTATTGAATCTCTAGTTTATAGAATGGCTAAAAAATACAGTACTAATTAGCATTCAATACAGCTGGTACGTCAATGCCTGATTCCTCGCTTGAGAGATAACTTGAGAATACAGCTCTAACCATAAAATTATTACTAGTGTGTGAGTACTTTATATACTCCTTATGAGACTCGCACATCTTAAAAATTGAAGAGCCAACTGACATATGATGAGAATAGCTTAATTACTAGCCACCAGTGTGATTAACCCCTGCTTGAAAGGTGCCATCTTAGAACCTGAATATCTCGATACTAATGAAACCTAATAGTAGACCCCATTCTATGCGATTCCGTGATACCCTTGTGTCGATCAAGTTTTCAGATTAATGTGAGAATCGAACATGGTCATGCTGCCGGGCGACTTGTACCTCTTCCTAAGTACCTACTGATGTGTTACCTAGGTATCTACTAGGATACTAGGAACTAGCTACCTCGGTAGTAGGTATTTTTGAGGAAACCATGGAATCGCCTGCCTAGGTCTCTCTCTATTGGATGGGGCTCTCCAGTACCTACTTCGCAGTAATCGTCTTGGCTAAGGTTTTTCCTATTTAGTTAGGTTTTCCTCTAGTAACATAACGCAAATGCGAAGGCAAAGATTCTACTGGAAAATAAAATACATCTTACCTAGTAGAACCCCCCCTACACAAAACTAGTACCAAAGTATCTAGTACTAGTAGTGTCAGTGGTAGTTGAAAAGAGCTATTTACCGGCATGATGGCTGGAGTGGATCTTCAGTGGGATGCGAATAGAATCAAATCGAGTATGGGAAACGGAAAAGTGAGAGAGTAAGAAAATGAATATGGATGTTTGGACGATCTCAGTGTGCTGTGACTCTATAGTTGTCACGATGACGCTGCGAACTCATACCATATTTCCATTGCCATTCTTAAAGGCTGCAAAGGAATTCATGCGAATTAACCGAGCAAGAACATTGAAAAAGAAAAATAAGAAAGAGCCTAGAAATACAGAGAAGAATGAAGATGGGACTCAAGTTCAAGCTAACTAATGAGACTGGGTTCTTGATATAAAAGCCGAATTTCCTTACTAACCATGAGCTTCTAATAAAGAAAAGCTAGCTGAGATGCGACAGAAAGAAACTTGTCCCACACTCAATCATCATCACTTCTTCCTCATCCAAACTCGAATCGACAAAATTAAAACTAGACTCCGCCTCAGCCAACTCCCGACAAACCCATAACACGTCCACACCTTATGATACTTATAGGAAATAGTCTCTCTCGCCTGATCAAGAATTTGAAGATCCACAGTTGCCGACGCAGGATTACAAGGCAAAGACATTGACGAGACATATGCACCCGCACTAACCATCGGCAAAACATCATCATAAGGCCCCTTATCATTCGACTTCACCTCGCAGAATTTATCCACAGCTCTACTTAACTGCGTCGCCACATCTAGAATAGAGGTCGAATCGCCGTCCGCAACATTGGCGATCTTGGCTGGATCCAAGGGCTCTTGGTAGAACTCGCCGAAATTGACGCGCATTCAATGCCATAATCGTTCTCAATTTGAAACCCTTGGAAATACTTTGTCTCGGTGAATCCTGCTACGACTATGGACTCGACGCGCGCGGCTCGGTACGCGAAACCTCGCCGGAGAAATGTTATGCAGTCGTCGACTTGGCAGAGGAATACGCGGCCCTTGGATATAAGGGGTGATTTGAGTGCTTCTTGTAGATAGTTGACGGCGTCTAGGTAGAAATGCTCTCGAGATGAAATATGATATTTCTTTGAGAACAATAGCTCGATTAGTTTGGGTTGGTAGGAACTCATGATGGTGGGAGTGGATGTTGGATGTAATGGAATGTGACTGGATCAAATCGAACTGAATATGGGTTTGGGAGAGCAGAGTGATAAAGTTAGGATGTTTGATTGGAAATTTCAATATTTTTGAAGGTTGAATATTAGTGTGCTGCTAATATGTCGTTTTCAAGATCATCATGACGTTGCAAGCTTGCACCACTATCAACTTTGGACGGTTGGTACTGTATAGAGGATTGGGCCTTGGCCAGAAATATCAAAATGAAAGCCAAAGCCCGAATAGCCAAGCAAGAGTTAGGCACGCTAGACCCGCGCATGTTGTTGCTTCTAATTTATCAAGGGCTGTTCTAGTAGTTGCAGATATTTATCATGTAGAGCTCCAGTACATAACCTACCGGGTGCTTAGACCCTGCCAGAACCTCCAGAAAGAAACAAGCCCCGAAGCCTAGCTAGGCCAAGCCAAGCCAAACGATCCTAAGAATAGTGTCTCAGAGTTGGACTTTTAATTTGACTCGTGTGAGACACATGACCAGCCACAGGGTTACTTCGAGAATGGCAGCTGCATTGTCCACGTGTAGCCCTAGATTGGCGGCTATTTACCCCGCGATCTGCATTTGGTGGAGGGGTGGGGTACATACAGCATACAAATTCGATGCGTGAGATGAGAGATTTACTATGCAGTCTACTGGCATAGTACCCGATGAGAGCTTATTGACAACCAGGAAACTTTCGGCCAGTTGAAAAAGTTGTTTCTCAAGTCCATCAACGTCTTTCATTGAATGAACGTGGAATAAATTCCCTAACAAAAAAGATAAAAACCATAGTAACTTCAAAAAGGGTATTGAATATGGACTAATGTTTCCATCCGCCCGACATAATATGACATAACAATGCATAGAATATTAACATGACTGATCTTCTTCTTACTCGTTGTCCCGGACATCGATAACGGTCTTCTTGAACTCTCTGGCCGGAACCTTGCGGTTGAAAAGAATGTCAATCTCACGGTAGGAGCGGTGCTTAAGTTCAGGCAGACCGAAGTAGGCAAGGAGCCAGCAAACGACGGCGGTACCAGCCCACACGTAACCGCACTTTCCAGCCAAGTTCCAGCCAGTGGTGTTCAACATCTGCGAGGCGAGGTAGATCATCGGAATCTCGGCGATGTAGTAGGCAGCGCGGCCAACACCAGTGCTCAGGGCGCGCAGGCGGACGGAGGAGGTCTCGGCGATGATGGTGTAGGAGATGGGGCCGAGGGTGAGGGCATAGCCGAAGGAGATCAGGATTCCCAGGATGGCTTGGGCGTAGTTGGTAGCGTTGGTCTGGGCAATGGAGGCACATATGCCCAGGATCACGAGGAGGGTGATGTTGGTTGCGGTACCGTAGAGATAGATGGTTCGACGACCGAACCAGGAGGTTAAGAAGAAAGAGATGATGTTGGCGACGAATTGCAGGCATGAGTTGATCAGGTTGAGCTGGAAGGCGCGGTCCGGAGAAATTCCAGCTTCTATTGGGGAGTCAGTATGGCTATTTCCTTCAGTCAATGGCGTAGAGTGTACTAACGTTCAAAGAAGTATGTTGCCTGGTTGGCAATCAAATTACCGGCGAAATTCTGCGACGCATACATCAAACAGGTGATGATGGTTCGGCGCAGATCAGTTCCCTTCAGCAGGTCGAGCAGGGTGGGAGAGCCACCCTTGTTGGCCTCGATTTCAACAGTACGCTCAATCATGGCCAAGCTGCGCTGAGCATCGGCGGGATCCTTGGTACCGAGACGCTTGATGGAGCGGAGGGCCTCCTCCTTGCGGCCGCGGCGAATAAGCCACCATGGAGATTCAGGCGCAAACCAGACGAGAAGAAGAAGAGGGGTCTAGAAAAGTCAGCTTCATGTCCGCAATGGAGATGAACGAAGAGCACAACAAGATGGAACTCACAGGGAAGATCCACTGCAGAGCGAGAGGGATACGCCAGGACCACTCGTCGGTACCCTTGTTGAATCCGTATGTCGCACCGGCAACGATGATGGAGCCGATAGACCAACTCAGCTGCAAAGTAGCGGTACAGGCACCACGTAGGGAGATGGGAACAATTTCAGATGCATAGGCGGGGGAGTTGGCAATGAAGAAACCCCATGGAACACCCTCCAGCGCTTGACCAACAGTTAAGAGAGCAAGGGAATTGGCCTAGAGATAAGAAACAAAAGGGTTTTGGGTCAGCGGAGTTAAGCTTCGGGGCTAAACGGGCTGGGCGACTCACAAAGAAGGAAATGAAAATGGTGGCGTTCATAAGCATCAACGCAAACATTGTAGTCCATCGATATCCCAACTTGTTGGTGATAGGACCAGCAAGGAACACACCGACAAATGCGCCACATTGACCAGCCTGGAAGAGGGCACTCTGCCAGCGTGTCGGAATCACAAAACCACCCTTGCCATCGGGCACGCCATAGTGTTTCTGGAAGGAGGGGAGGGCGACAAAGTTACCGTTCAAGAACATGTCGAAAGATTCCATGACCTACGATTGGTAAAGATGGGATCAGCTGATGATCGCCAGGATGGGGGCCAGAATTGCGCATCGTAGCGCAGCGCATTGAACTGCGGGGGAAACTTACGATGGTAAAGCACATCATGAAAGCCCAAAAACAAGCCCAGGGATGTTTCTTGGCAGCCTCCCATGCGCCCATCGAATGCTCGGCATTCTCACCCTCAAAGGCATCATTCATGAGTTCAGGGTTGTGGAGGACTTCATCCTGGTACACCTCGACCTTTTCCACCTTGGCGTTATCTTCATGATCATTGCCTTGTAGCTCCGAAGAGCGTTTGGATTCGGACATTGGGAGAGTACCAGAACCTCTGGAGAAAGGAAAGAGCAGACAAAATGTGGAGAAGTGAAGTAGAAGAGGAGAGAAGAAGGGAAGAAGTAGAGAGAGTGCGGGGAGGAAAGAAAAGAAGGCACGGGACTTATATGAAGGAAGAAGGAAGGAAGGAATCCTTTTTCCACTTTTCACTTTTTGACTCCGCAACATCGTGGACTTTCACCTCGAATGGCACCCTGCACCCCAGACCAATCAAATCAGATCACCTGCCTTTCTCGATCCACGGAGTACGCCTTAGCCAGATTCATTTCCCGTCCGGTGCTGCAGGGGTAAGCTTGTGCCACCAACCTTGAGCGCGAGAGCCACAGCCGCAGCCGGGTCTCTTCTCTTCGTGACCATCCAATTACATTTAGCCGAGACCGTTCCAGCTAAGCTTGTCCAAGCAACAGGTCTTGTCCTTTGACTCTTACGCCATCCCCGTGGTTGGTGGAACATGAGCGGGGGTGACTTACTATCCCCTTTGCGGGATGTGACCAACGCCTCATGAGGCCGGGGGGTAACGTCCTCCGAGCGCCACGGTCGTGTGCCGAAAAGCCAAACAGAGTCTTACCGAATGCTGCTAGTCACTACCAGACTATTTCGATGCAGTTCAAGCAGGATGAGTCCAGCAGTCGTCGTGGTATATCTCAGGGGCTGTTGCTGGCACTGGCAGTACTCTCAGATCGCACATCTTATCTCACCTCACCTCCAAAATCCCCATCCCTTGCGGGTCCGGGGGAAAACCCCAGACCCCGGAATCGACCCAGAGAGGATCAGGCCGTCGGACCACTAAAAGTAGTCTAGTAACCCTGAGACTGTTCGGTGGGGCCGACCACACCTTGCGTTTGGGCGTTGGGGGCCGAGCCCTCATTTTCCTTCGGCGAGCCGACTCTTTCAGTGGCAACGCTTACATTTCTCCGTGGTCTCGGCCTCTTTACGCGCACTCTGTATCTCCATTGAGTCGGCTGTAAAGCCCTCTTCGGGCATATCGAAGGATTTCCTAACGTTCCTTGCTGGATGCATCGCTATTGTGGCAGTCAACCAAACCCACAGCTTCGCCGTATCCGGTGGGTCTAACTGGATGCGGTCTAGATGACAGTCGGCCGTGCAACCTGGCATGTGATTGGGTTAAAGTTTCCCTGCCCAAAATTGGAGATATCATACGCCGGACGGAGGAAGGACTACAGAGCACACAACTCCCATGTAGGAGTCTGAACCTTTGTTTCTTCTGGTCTTTCGGCTAATATTCATATGATAACAGGGATATCTGATGGGAGTTAGCCGCTAAACCGTTGCGACGGTTAGTCACTCAGTACTATAGATCAATATCGCTTATTCCTCTCCCTCCGGGATAAGCCCGACAGCACGGCACCTTTTAACTTACCTTGATTCTCGGATTTGATTTCCCGTATGTCAAAAACTAGATTAGCGCGCGTCTGCATCCCATCGATCTCGGGCTCGGGTATAACATGCTTTACTATCAATCCCTTCGACTGCACCCCATAATCAACCTTGGAATTATAAGAGCCGCCATGCATCTGGCGTGGAATTCCCGAACGGCCCTTTAAAATTAACTCACCACGCTGCCAAACGCCCCAAAACAAGCACGCGCGATCATCGCCGATATTAGCATGGTCACGGTGCAAATTTCATTCGTACAATCACCAGCAAAGCATCCCCATGATATGAAATCCAGTACACACGCCTGTCTGCCAGTGTACCTACTCGTTGGTACTAGTATGAATAGATTTGAAAATCTTCGATTTGATTGGATACGAAAATTCTAGCCTCACCATGCGACACCCGTTTCAAAACGACCTTCCAAAATCAAGCTTTCTGATCACTCTCCGTCTCCACCCCATCCCAGCGTTCCCGAAACTCCCGCATCAAAACCGCAGCAGGTGGCGCTGTCGCCACAAAGTCTCGAACAGCAGCGGCGGGGAAGAGCCAGTGCAACGTGCAGTATACAGCGGCACTAATGACGAGACCGGATAAAAAGCAAATATAGTACAAATGCGTCAGACCAGTAGGGACAGAGACTCCGGGATTCACGTATGCGACGAAGCCAGGTAGCGAGGGGACTGTGCCACACGTCCACTATAGAAACAACGGTTAGATTGAATCCTTTCTTTCCAGGCAGGATCGGAATGCGGAGTGCTAGGTAGTACTTACTGCGACGGCGGCACGCCAGTCCAGACCACATGTATACCAGTAGATACTGGAAGAGTCCCCGACAAATAAATCATCGACTTTGATTTTCCGCTTATTGATGACGAAATAGGACGAGATCATGAGTCCGGCCATCGGTCCTAGAAATACTGAGTAGCTACTCAATACCGCTAGAAAGGTTGTTGCCGTGTTCACGAGTTTCCACGGGTTGCACGCGATGGAAAGAAGCGCGGTCAGATATGCGCCTCGGCGAATGTTGATATACTGCGGGAAAGTAGCCGCCATATCGAATCCTAGTTCACAAATCAGTAATTTTCAATACGCGAGCATTAGTATAGCCTAGTAGATGAATTCAAAGAGTCTTGACGTGGATGGAATCGAGAAGAAGTGAAAGAAATACCTCCAGCCAAAGAATTCCCGGGCACATTAACGCCAATCTGCGAAATCACCAAAGCAGCACCACCAAAGAAAGCCGCAGCCCTCGATCTCGATCCACCATTCTCAATAACCGCACTAAGCAGCGTAGGTAAATTCCACATCGCACCGCCGTACCGCTCCTGCGTCGCGGCCGTGACCAGAATCCCAATAACAGAGCAGATAATCGCGTAAAAGGGGAAACTAATCAACTGTCCCCAAACCGCATCCTTCGGTCTGCGAGCAAATCGCGCATAATCGTTTTGATTGAGAATGCCCGCGGCAATTGAGCCGATTGTGCTGATTATTCCGAATGCGATGATCCACCCGGATGCTTGTTCAGTACCCGGCTGCGTTGAGCCTGAGATTGTCGAGCCAAAGCCGCCACTGCCCATCGTTGCAAGGGACCAGATTAGAAGGACTAGTTCGAAGATTAGGATTGTGGCTGAGGAGCCGTAGAAAAGAGGTTTAAGTTTGTGAGGTCGGATGTAGATGAATGGTAATGAGATGAGCATGAATATTACGTAGCCGAGGAAATTGGCGGTGGTGGTACCTGTAGAGGCGGAGAGGTGGTTTGGAATACGAGACTCGAGATCAGGCCATATTGCTTGGAGGCAGACGTAGACACACTCGCCACCTATCCAGGCTTGAAAGCCGTCTATATGCCACAGTCAAAGACGGTTATTTGAAATATTTCGAGGCCTTGGTGGCGAGGGCTACTTACACCAAACTAACAATCATGATCAGCATTTCCAGAGTCAAATGAATGTATCATTGTTCCATGAATATTCTGGGATCTCACCGATAGAAAGCAGAATTCGATTCAAAATTACGAATGTACTCCCGTACATACCCCAGACATAGCGATTTACAACAGGGAACCCCACTGATAACATGAATTAGTGGAAATTATGGTAAGAATGGACATGCAGGGCGCTCACAATGATAATAGGCTCCGGGCAGGGAATTTAACACGACGAGCGCGGTTGCTATCAGCTGTCCAATAACAATCGAGATGATAGCTTGCCACCATGTTAATCCTAAGGCGATGAGAGAGCTTCCAGTCATATATGATGAGATGTTCGAGTTGACAAGTACCCCTGACGGTGTGGGTTGTTAGCCAGGAAATTGGCAGTCAGCCCACAAGATTTCAGTACCCACAGAAGTTGTGAAAGGTCCAAAAGCCCCAGGTTCGGCGTTCTGCCTCGATGGGCTTGATGTCGTTGTTAATCCATCTATTAGGTACTGGGCCCCCTTCATCCTTGATCTTGAGACTTCGCAGAAAGCCCTTGATTGACATAGTTTTGACGGGAGAGAATATGAGGGCGAGAGTGAGAAAACCGCGACACTAAAAATGTCGAGAAGCATCAGCATCCCCGTCTGAATAAGGGAAGATAATACGATGTAGTAATACACCCCGACCCCTCACTCTTGACCGACCACGAAAGTGTCGCAGAGCAGCGATCGGCCAACTAGCAGGCCCGGGGTAAAAAATGCCGATCAATAATAATACCTTATCTTCTATGTTACATACTGCATCCTGCATTCCTCGCTACGGTCTTCAGTTCCCCGCTCGATAGTTAGCATTGCGATTGGTTGGCGATCAACTTCTCCTCACCTCCGCGATAACGAAGAACGAAACTAGACCAAAAAAGATGTCTGAGTAAACTACTACGATAGAAGTAAAAGAACTCATCCTGAAAAAGAAAGTACACCCAGAGTGAAAATTATACTACATTATATTGCTAGAATTAATTCAGATGGACTCATTACTGGAGCAATTCTTACGAGGCCATAGTATCGGCGCTCTTGGACAATATAACACGCCGAGCGGGGTCATGTTTGTTTATAACCTTGGAAACCTTCCGTTTGGAGTCAAAAGTTCCTGGATTCTACAAAACCCCGAGTTTATTTCCAAGTTGCAAAGGTTGAGCGTTGCCCTTTCATGGCTCCTGCGTTGACCACTAACTGACAACCCTGAGCTGCTTACTCCCCGAACCTCGGAGTATTTTGGTATTCCATTTCTTTCCAGCCCAACCTCGCGCCATGGCCCAAGCTGGCTCCGGTCCGTTTCGCATCGGCATCGACGTCGGCGGAACAAACACCGACGCAGCCATCGTCGACATCGCTGCCACCGCCACAGTGTCGCGCGGGGTATGCGCCTCGAGCAAGACGCCAACAACAACCGACGTGACGTCGGGAATTTACACCGCGATTGAGAACGTCCTGTCCAAGTCGAACGTCGATCGCAAAGATGTTCTCAGCGTTGCTATTGGGACGACCCATTTCGTTAATGCTGTTGTTGAGGCTGATGCGCGACGCTTGAGCAAGGTTGCTGTCGTCCGGCTCTGTGGACCTTTCACAAGACAGGTAAGTAAAATATGATACGGCCAAACTGTGTGATATGCTGGTCTGCTCATCAGGCTAATATATGCCCTCGGGTCATATTCTAGATACCGCCCTTTTCAGATTTCCCACCGATTCTAAAGACAATGATGTGCGGCCCAATCTTCTATCTAGATGGAGGTGAGCAGAGCTCTCAAAAAGCGAGGCCTTTCTAAGAAACTAACCTCTGGCAAATAGGGCTTGAGATCGATGGCCGTCAAATAGCACCGTTGAACGCCGATCAAGTCCAGAACGCAGTCAAGTCCATTCAAGATGCAGGGGTCACCAAGGTCGCCATTGTGGGCGTTTTCTCCCCGCTTGATCACGACGGTCTACATGAAGAAAAGGTCAAACGCCTGATGCTAGAATTAGACCCCAAAATGTCGGTAGTTTGCTCGCACACGATCGGCGGCGTGGGCCTTCTCGAGCGCGAAAATGCGACCATACTCAATGCTTCGATTCTAAGTCTCGCCCAACGCACTGTCCATGCATTCTGCGATGCAATGATAAAACTTCGTCTGGATTGTCCCCTTTTTCTCACGCAGAATGATGGAACCCTTACAGATGCTGCCACGGCTGCAGAGCTACCGATCAAGACCTTTGCTTCGGGTCCGACGAACAGTATGACAGGGGCCGCGTTCCTTGCGTCACTTGACCGTGAAAACACGCTTGCGAAATCAGATACTCAGGTCCTTGTTGTTGATGTTGGAGGTACGACGAGCGATGTTTGTGCATTGCTTCCGTCCGGTTTCCCTCGACAGGCGCCCAACTTTGTGGAGGTTGGTGGTGTGAGGACCGCTTTCTCTATGCCAGAGGTTCTGTCTGCTGGATTGGGAGGTGGAAGTATTGTTACCTACGATGCTGATTCGGATCATGTCTCTGTCGGACCTGCATCTGTCGGTCACTATCTAACCACCAAGGCGATTATTTTCGGAGGGGACGTGCTGACCGCGACTGATATTGTCGTAGCGTCCGGGAAAGCGGAAATCGGAGATGTGAGCAAAGCCAAGACGATACCTAAAAAAATAGTTGAAGGAGCTCGGAATCAGATAAAGAGGATCCTCGAACGTGTTGTAGAGGATATGAAGGTTTCAGACCTACCGGTCAGCCTTCTACTTGTTGGTGGAGGATCCATTGTCCAAATGGATGATCTGAAAGGCGTCTCGGAATGCATTATACCGCCACATCATGACTCGGCGAATGCTGTTGGTGCAGCCATCGCGAAAGTTGCTGGTGAAATTGATTTTATTGAGATTCTCGCCGACCAGGATGAAAATGCTATTCTCGAAAAGGCGAAACGCCAAGCGATCGATGCAGCAGTCTCTCGTGGCGCGGAGAGAGACAGCGTCAGGATCGTGGCGATTGATAAAATCCCTTTGCAATACGTCACTAACAAAGCGACTCGGTTGATTGTCAAAGCTGTCGGGACTTTGGCAATCCCGGATCGTAACAACACCAGCGGTGTCAGTGATACGAATCCCAGCGAATTGACCAGCTTTGCTCGTGGGGATAGCAAGGATGAGACTGAGAAACAATTTCATCAAACGCCCCCGGTCAAGAACTTGCACCGTTGGTCAAACACTCCTCTTTCATCGATATCGGTGCGTACAAGCCAGACGTGCGTGGCGGTGTGTGGTACATCTCGCCAGTGGATCTTGAATTTATCGCGACGGGAACCGGAGTGCTGGGCACTGGCGGCGGTGGATCTTCATATCTCCAGTATCTGGAATGTTTAGAAAGTCTAAGAAAGGCTGGTGCTTCGGGGAAGATGAGAGTGGTCTCGCCGGAATCCCTGAAAGACTCAGATGTTTGCGTGCTTGGGTCTTGGTACGGAGCTCCTAGTGTCTCAGGGGAACGGTTGGCTGCGGGCATGGAGATAACGACTGCTATTGATTATTCAGTCAAAATGTCAGGACACTCACATTTCGAAGCTATCGTCGCAGATGAGATTGGGGGAGGCAATGGGCTGTCTACATTCCCATCCAGTGTTCATTACGACATCCCCGTTGTCGATGGCGATCTAATGGGTCGCGCATATCCGACCCTCGAGCATGGTATGACACCTCTGGTTGATATGGTTTCCCTTCGATTTTAACCTACCCAAGGCACCCCGTACGTGTACGGAGAATCGATAACCCCTTGCGTCATTGCGGACGGGAAGGGGAATGCGTCAGTTGTACTGGTGAGATTACACAATTTCAGGGTGGCGAGAATTTATTGACAGCCGAATAGAATGCGGAATCAAATGCGCGTGTTGAAACTATGCTGCGTACACAATGCGTGGATCTCGGCTTGATGGCTGCAGTATCATGTGCGCCTCTGAGCGGGAGAGCCATCAAGCAATACGCGATCCCGAATACAGTTTCACAGGCCTGGTATATTGGCCGCGCAGTGCACCAAGCGCAAAAGTCAAAGGAAAATCTCATCGATGCTATTGTATGAAAGATTAGTTTGATTCTCGAGAAAATGCAACTTGGAGCTAACTATATTCTCAGTTTGAAACAACCCCAGGCCGACTTCTATATAGCGGTAAGATTATCGATGTTAAGCGAGACGTCAGTCGGGGTTACACCATGGGTCAATGCACCATTGCGCCACTCAACAGTGACGAAGAAGATGAGTATATCTCAGGGTCTCAGAGCTCGAAGATCGATACCATGGATCAAAGTCGCTACCTGATTATTCCGTTTCAGAATGAATTTCTCTACGCCGCGTACGCCAGCCCAGACAAGCCGAATGACAAGTCTCAACACGAGGTAATCTGTACTGTTCCCGACCTTATTTCAATACTTGGACAGGATGGAGAAGCAATTGGCTCGCCGGAACTTCGATACGGACTGCGCGTCAATGTTATTGGCATGCCCGCGCACCCTTTGTGGAGTGGTACTGAGCGTGGTCTCAAAGTTGGCGGACCAGCAGGCTTTGGCTTGGATATGGAATGGACTAGCCTGGGGCCATACCAAACACCAAAGAGTGTGCTGGATGAGTTTGATACCGCATGATTTGATTCAGCTATCAAGCCAAGCCTGTATCAAACCTACCAAGTATGAAATTCAGGTAGGTCATTGGAACGGATCCTGATTCCAAATCATCCATAGGATGTCGCAGATGCAGCAGTCACCCTAGAGGGTATTTCTCATATACCATATGTATTTACAGAGCATTATCACTGAAATGGTCTCATTTCATACTATGTACTCTCTAGCCAAATTTATAACAAAGTCTCAAATGGCCTCTCAAAGTCTTGCCTGGCCATTACTTATCCTGTCCCACTCTTCCTTTCCAAAGGGCGAATACTCATTTTCTCCGGGAGCGAGCCATAAAAAGTTATCATCCCCACCATCAGCCACCTTCGTGCCCCTAAGCGACGGGTCTGCACCCTCATCGCGCAGCGGAACCTTGTTCTGCTTGTGGTTATGGATGTGTGTTGAGTTCTCCACAACGCGCAGGAAGACTGGAACAGCATATCGAGGCAACTTCGATTGGGCAAAACGCGCGAGTGCAGCAAAGTCGAACGTCTGTCTAGCCTCGGGCGTGATTTGTAGTGCGGCGCAACCGGCTCGACCTTCATGGTTGGGAAGTTTCACACCGTAGACGTTTGCCTCCGCAACGCCGGGGAACTTGCCGATGACCTCGGAGACTTCGGCGGTTGCACTATGAAGAGACCAGAAATTAGCTTGCGATGAAATGTAGCAGATACTGCTTGACAACTTACACATTTTCGCTCTTCCAGCGGAAAGTATCTCCAAGACGGTCGAGGAAGTACCAGCGACCATCACTTTGTCTGCGAAGTGCATCACCGGAGCGGTAGTACAGATCACCTTTCTTGAAGAGATCACGTAGGAACTTTTTCTCAGTTGCACTCTCGTTCCGCCAATATCCCTGGAAGGCTTCTTGGTTTGGAATGTTAACCACTATCTCTCCTCCTTCCTCGTAGGATGCGCGAACGGCAAATCCGGTCTTAGAGTCTCGTAGAACGTCGCCAGTCTCGGGGTCAATCGCAACGGGCACAAATACATTATGCAAAAGCCCGCGCATTATCAGGCCGTGGTGGCCAACACTCCCGGCGGTAAAGGGACCGCGATTATAATTGAAGAGGCCAAAGATACCCTCTGTGCTGTTGAAAAACTCGCCCACCTCGAGGACGCCAAATCGCTCACGGAATTGCTCCCAGACATCCGGGCGCAATCCATTGCCGTACATGCAACGAACCTTATGGACTTTGTCCTGGGGCGACGGAGGAGGTGCGAGCAGATACCGAGCCGTCTCGCCAACGTAAACGAAAACCGTCGATTCCGACTCTCGCACATCCTTCCAAAAGTTGCGAACGCTGAATTTGGGGCCTAGTGCGATACTAACACCATCTACTAGGCAGGTGATTAAACTGATGGCAGCTGTTCCGTGATATAATGGCATGCAGCTGTACCACCGATCGCCTTGGGGTCCCACTGTATCATTCATCGATCCACGGCGAATGAATAGCGTGGTGTACAACCGGGACATGGTGTAAGCACATCCCTTGGGCATACCGGTTGTGCCGGATGTGTAGAGTAGAATACCTGGGAACTCCCCATCTACTTTGAGCGCAAGGTCCTTTGGCGGGAATGTCGTCGGGTACGAGCGGATTCGTGCTTTCAAAGCCTCATCCAATGTCTCGAGCTGCATTCCCAGTTCCCCGGTGAGCGTGCTTTGAACCTCGTCCACGCGCGAGCGACAGGTCGGATCTTCATCAACAAGCGTGAACTTCGCCCCGCTGATTCTGAGGCAATGGACTAATGCATCGCCGGTGAGATTGTAGTTAATAGCGGCCGGGGCACAGCCAATGCTCCACAGGGCAACCCAGGCAATGATAAACTCAGGGCGGTTCTGGAGATAAAATCCCACCAGGTCGCCTTTTTTCACACCTTGAGATAGAAAGTAATGCGCATACTGGCAAGCCTGTTCCCGTACATCTTGGTAGGTGTATGATATCTCCCGGGTCCAGAGACAAGTCATGTTGGGATATTTCTTTGCAGTTTCGAGTAGTACAAACCACGGATTCCCCTTGCCTCGACTAACTTTTTGGCCGTTAGCACCCTTGGAAAGGTCTGACTCAAGCCAGTTCATGTGAAGACCTACCTGCGCTTGCATATTCACGTTCGCCCTGCCGGAGGGTGAGCACGGCCTTGACATCTTTCTTGATGTGAAATTTGGCATCGAGGTACGCTGCGACCGTTGTTCCTCCGAGGAGAGCCGCGGCAGCAGTCCCTGAATTTGAAGTCAGAAAATGGGTATTTTTGCACTTCTGCTTCTTCGCAACATTCACTTACCCAGGTCCATTGTGAAGCTGGATTGTTCTAGTTCGGCTTGCCTGTTCTGGTGATGGATGTCTTATGACGACAGATTGAGAATAACACGGTGCAACGGTTGGCGGGATAGAAGGCAAGGTCAACTCCGAGTCTCAGTGGAAGGTGGAAAGGCTCCATGGAAAAGACAGCAGACACCAGGGTTGTCTAGGAAATCAATGCGGAGAAGGGTATATTGCCGCGAGCCGAGACGACTGGGAATGAATCCTCGGCACCGTGGCATCCCCTCCGCACAGATGGCGAATTTGGCCAAATCAGCGAATCCGGAGCACTTGTTTCTTGAATCGGAACTGAAATTATCCACTCTGAGTCCCACTAGAGCTCCATTTCGCAAGGGATGCGGGGAATGCTCCACGCTAGGATATGAGTGATCTGTGCTAATTATGACTTGGACCAGCCGAGGCAAATTTGCCATCCCCGCATAATTGGGCCACTGTGCAATCGCATAACTCTCTGGGGCTCCGATGGTCTTTCCCCACTTGGTGGCTCCGGTTTCAGTGGATTTCACCAAGTTCTCTGCCCGGTCTTAACTTGGAATGCACCCCGCCTTGGCTTTTTGTTCCCTCAGACTTCCATGCCCACGCCGCATCACGATCGGCCCCGTTGCTGATCCCTGCGAGAACATTTGCGACGTATTTACCAATGGTTGGAAGAAATTTCCAGCAGTGAAATGAACCACCCGCGGCTAGGTACAGGTTGGACAAAAGGGGGTGTGGGTGGGGCGTTATCAAGGGGTGTTGGTCTGGTGTGATCGCATCCCAGCAGAGGCGGTAGTAATCGATTTGGCGGCTATTTGAGAGTATCTGGGGTAGACGAGCTTGGATAGCATTGATGCATTCATCGCGCAAACCCTTCGGGGCATCTGTCTGGTTTTCTGTTGGGACAGAAATAGTGTGATGGGTAGGTGTGTGGATTGTATTGCGAAAGGAGGTCGAGCTGGTAAATTTCAAAATGCCAGAGCTAGTAGGAGGAATAGTTTCTCCTGTTTTCGCGGTCAGCGTGATTGAGAAAGCCAGTGGTTAGTCATTACAGTGTTCGAAAGCCTACCTTGTCCCCCATAGACGTAGACCGGCAACCGGTCGTACTGAAGTCGTTCCTCCTCGGAGAGTTGTACGTGTGCGACACAAACGCCCGCTGCTGTCATCTGAACCTCAACACGATCCTCATTGGCAATCCTAAGTACATCCTCAGTAGATGTCATCAGGGCGCTCGTCCAAGCTCCAGTGCAAAGAAGGACCTTCTCTGCAGTAAGCTTGTCACCAGCCTTAGTCTCAACGCCTTGTACCCCAGTCTCTTCCACAATGAGTCGCTCTGCTTCGCCGACAACGTATCTCACGCCCATCGCCTCGATTTCGCGAGCCAAGAGCTCCAATGCGCGACCGGCATCCGCCCATCCAGCGAGGGGATTCCAATAAAACGATCCGAATGGACTCAGATCCGCGTCTTTCAACACACCACCCCAATTCTGACGAACATCGTGCTCGCTCAGTTCCTGCATCGGATCAATCCCGATAGCTTGGAAATTCTTCCGAATCCGCTGTCCAAGATCACTCCCCCTCTCGTCGCACATAATCCATCCCGTTTGATGATAAACACCTCCATCTTTGAAGATCGGGTTATTCTGCCATGCCTCGATTGCCTCCAGTCCGAGTTCGGTATATAATCGATTCGAGTAGTCCGCTCTCACAATCTTGTTGAGATCTGTGGATGCAGCGCTTTGCGACGGTGGGGTTGCACGATCGAGCACGATGATCCTCGAAGGGTCGGATGTGCGCTGGGCTAGGTGATAGGCCGTGCTGAGGCCGAAGATACCTGCACCGACAATGATGATTTCAGCGTCCATGCCAATCGAGCAAGGTTCTGGGGACTGGAAAAAAATTTCACTCGGTCGCATTCAAGTCGAAGATGGGAAGTTCAAGTTGGCGAGAGATCCCCGCTCGGCTCGCGTGACGAAAGCAAGTCTTCTGCAGGTCTGATGCAATATACCCAGTAGTTATCACTCAGGCGGGTTTCATACTTTTACAACTTCACTGTAGCACAGCTGGAGTAAAAATACTAATTCAAATGGGTGGAAAATTAGCGATAATCGTACCAGATTTGATTCTTGGAATAGATTTTGGTGTAGTAGACAGCAACGCCTCCAGGGGATTCATTAGGATAAAAGACAAGTATTTCATATATGAAACAAGTGCCATCAAGCTATGTAATAGGATGATACTATCAACCTTGGTGACTTACAAGATTGAATTTCAAGTATAATGCCGCCCCTTTTTGATCTGGCCAACTGGCACATCATTTGTCAAGAGTCGCTAGCGCAATGCGACATCTCCTAAATATAGCTTCTCATCCTTTCGACATATAGCCCAGTCATCGGAAGACCATGTCGAGGACCCAGTAACTCCTGTTATTCTGTTGTTTAGAAAGACAGCAGATACCGACCCCAGCACGTCTGGGGCGAACGTCATGATACGCAGAATTACACCTATTGCTGCGAAAAGGAAGATTCCTAATGATGCAGCAATAAGTACGCCGAGCCAAGCCCGGTTACACTTGACAACATATTGCTGCGTAGTGACTGTAACATCCAAACCGACCTAGCTCCCACTAGGCAGATAACTCGACTCCAAGCCATTGAACGAACCAGTAAATGCCGTGGATTCAATACCAAGATAAAGAACCAAATTGAGTATCTGGTCTAGACATGTTTCAAAAACAGAGCGACCAATTAAATGGACTGTCATTGCCTGATAACCGCCTACGGCAGTAAGTGGGTTAATTAGATAGGATATGATGGGTTCCTGACCACCATTCATTTTAGTAGTAGGGAATAGCTCGTTGATGACAGTCCGAACTGCCGAGGTATCGTCTTGGCTGAAACCGCTTTGACGGCCTAAGTCAAGAACAGTCCAGTAACTATCTACCGGAGGGGTGGGCGAGCGGCGGACAGAGGACAGGGTACAAATGCTGCTAGCTGAATTGGAGGAAGAGCCCCCGGTGCAGGTTACTTTGACATCCACAAATGTTGTAGTGAGATCGCATGTAGCCCGAGTGAAGAGATGTCTATCGATCTCGTCGCCCTTTCTCGCAAAGATCCAGTCAGCGGACTCCCATTTTAACGTGCGGGCACCTCGAGTCTAATTATTCACGTTCGCAGTAAAGCTAAGTCAGGGCACTGACATAGTAATCTGGTATTGATAGCCTCCTTTTGCGACTTGCTAGCTGCAATCTTTGATATATCTGGTAGGGGTGCCCTGGTAGTTGTGAAACTGCTTAAGTTCTGATGCGCGAGAGAGAATTCGTAGCAGGAGAGAGACAGGTAAGAGCCTGGCAGTGTAAAGGGTTCATTGCCAGAGATAGCTATACTGGAGATCGGGAGCCAATGAGAGAAGTATAGGTTGAATCACTGTTTGGAGGTATATCCATCCAGCTAGAGCCGCTGTCTGAGATATCGCTAATCACAGGAAAGCGAATGTTGCCCTAAATGTACTGGTTGCGGTGCTTGAGCAGCCTAGATGACATTATAGATGCAATGACAGGATTCACTATGAGCGTCTGAGCCATATCCCGCCATCAATAGTGCCGTATTGATATTCAGTGAATGTATCCACAGTAGTCAGGTCAATTGGGGTGTTTGGGAAGTGAGGCACGAGCGAGATAACCCGGAGCGGTATGGCTTCCCAATGGAGAGAGACACCATAATACGAGAGTGAACGCAGCGAGAATGTTGAGAGCTCGGAGCCGAATCTGGCTCAGAAAGACACTCGAAACTATCTGGCTACCGAGGCATTGTTAAATAAGCCCGAGAGTAGCTCCTTGGCTAGTCTGGACGCGCCAGGCCGCGATGCTTTTTATCCTGCTTCCACCTGGGCAGCGATGGCAGCAAACAAGACAGGAAAGATGGTAGGTTTTTACAGCACAATTTTGCTGTTAGTGAAGACTCAGTAGTATGCTAGAAGACACAAAGAATGGTGAATCCAAATTATTGACATATTGAGACACTGCGAAAGGTTTGGCTTTTCTTGACCCTGGACCTGCGGGATCCCCGTCGGCTCGAAAAACCAAGATGCTAAAAACAGCGAAGAGGAGCGTGATTACGGCAATAATCAAATCAAAAGCCAGGCGTGAAAATCTCTCAAGCCAAGAAAGATTTAAAGGCTGGGGCATTTTGTGCAGCGGTTGGTCTATTCTGTTCTACTAATGCACACTGGAATCCAAGGCTTAGACACCTGCAGTTTATATTTCCATGACGCCCCGCTTAAACATATTGGCCGGAAGCCACTTGAGAGTATGGCAGCGGTCGTATCGTAGTTCAAATGCGTTGGTAAGATTTTTTTGTATAGCCAAACGGAAACCACCTAGGTAGTCTAGGTAGTACATATTGTGAATGATTGAATGTGGAAATACAACAGTTTAGTACTAGTAGTACCTAGGTACAGCATGGAGGTGGAATTCGATTCTGCCACCGCAAAATATAACTATATTCTAGAGGTTCTTCCCCCAGCCGGGATTCGAAGACCATTGGAACTTTGAAACTTGAATTTGAAGTGTCCCGATTTCTTTTTTCTCTAGTGGAATTTCTACTTCTTCTGTTTATTTATTTATTTATTTATCTATATCCTTTTTTTTTCTCAAAAAAAAAGGAACCACACCAAGTGAAGTCTTTTGCACAGTTTTCTTATTTTGAGCCAGTAGCAGTATAAGGAAATGATCGACGCGTGAACAGTTTGAAGGCGCGAACACGTCACGGTCGGCTCTCCCCCATCTGCTCCTTGAAAACAACAAGATGTATGTTTTATTCCTTCCGCTCGCCTTGATATTTCTCTCTGCCAAGAATGTCTCGGCGTGTAACCGACCCTATTCCGCCTGGATGGCAGACAGCGTCATTTCACGCGGTCAAGCTGTTGTTCAACAGGGGTCAATCCCGTCGGCCTCCACTTATCTCCAAGTGGGATTCTTCCAGTCAGCCATCATCCGTTTAATCGACTACTACCACACGCCTGGATCAGCCTGCGCACAAAGCGACTGGGAAAGTTACCTGCAAACTAGTACAGATAGCATCAAGCCATATCTTCTCAATGCTACGAGAGATACTAGCTACCCCCTCGACCGGCTGTCCACGGGCAAAGGGCTCCTACATCAATATGAGCAATTCCACACTTCTACCGCTTCAGATGCTCTTCACTCCTTGCGAGATTCCATCAACCTTCAACCCGAAAATGCGCTCGGGGGGGTACTGGTATTTCGAATATCCCAACTGGAGCTATCTTGATGGAATGTACTCTCTGATCCCGTTCCTCTTATCCTATACCGCTCGCTTCGATGCCAAGAATGAATCCGTTTCCGACGATATTATCCACCAACTTGATCTTCTTTGGACTCACTGCTACCAGAACGAGTCCGGTCTGCTTGTCCACGGCTACGACGCGTCAAAGACTGCCTCGTGGGCGAATCCAATTACCGGGGCTAGTCCAATTGTTTGGGACCGCTCTTTAGGATGGTATCTACTGGCCCTCGTGGATAGCTTGGAACTTTCATCGTCATTCCCGCGTCGCCTATATGACTATCTTCAGCGGAGATTAATTCAACTAGCCGAGTCCGTAGTCTCGGCCGCTGACTCGGAGACAGGATGTTGGTGGCAAGTCATGACTCTTCCCAGCAAGCAGGGGAATTACATCGAATCTAGCGGGTCGGCAATGTTTACGACCGCTTTATTCAGAGCGGCTCGACTGGGCTATCTGCCTGAAAATCTTACTTCCGAAGCAAGGAACGCAGCAGAAAAATGCTATAGCCATCTCCTTAACACCTTTGTGGTCAAGAATGAGAATGGGACCCTAGGTTATAATGGAACCGTCTCTGTTTGTAGCTTGAATTCTTCGGCTTCTTATGAGGTGAGGTCCTACCATTTTCCATTTGTTTCATTTGCTAACTGCGTAACTAGTATTACGTCTCGCAACCTCTTCTTTACAACAGTATTCATGGGACGGCAGCCTTTGTGCAAGCGAGTCTAGAGCAGGAGATGCTGAATGACGCTGAAAACTCTTAGTCGAGATAACTACATCATAAGCTTGATACAGCTTAATCCAAACCCAATTCTCGCCGATGAACCAGCCAAATATCTCTCCTGCTCATTTATGAATCTCTCAGACTCTATATGTCTTAGTGTCTCGAACCTCTTGCTGATAACTACATTTGCTGTCTGAAAACCGGGCACACTCAAGCCTAAATCAGAACATCCCCTTCTCTCTAAATTTGATCCAGTTCGTGCCTGGCAGCAGCATTATCTCCGAGCTTTGAACCCATTTGACGTCATGCATGAAACAAATGCGGGGCGTTCAATGCACCCGATTATCGGCTACCACGAGCTAGGGAAACACCCTGGTCACTCAAAAGTACGCATTTGACATAGCCCCCAAGATCTGAAATTAGAACAGCCGTTTTCATCTAGCCAACAAATATCGTCCAGTTTTGGTGTGAAAATGGAAAAAGAGAATGTAGATTCACATCGTGAGAAAACACATCCATTTCTGGATTGATGAGATTGGCATTCACATGTCTCCCCGAGCACCGACCGCTATGTTCCAACTTCAAATCCGTAGAGGGTTCGGGCCGCTCGCTCGTCCTGACTAAATCGCCCGTGCACAAAACATCGGTTCTCTCAAAGATCAGGCATCTCTCATCAGCCACATTCTCGACAAGGATTCGATTCCTTCGCCAGCTCAGCCCACCACACTTTCATCCACATGGCGCCCATTTTGCACCATCCCCCTCTTCTGTTTCCTTGCTGCCTGTGGCTAATGCTGCACCATCACTCTTAGACTGTGCGCTTAAGATGTAGTGTGGCTGATCTCAACCTGAGTAGGTTAACATCTGGACAGGGGGGTTCCCCTAAATATGGGCGCTCTAAATAAGGCACATTGCGAGGCTGAGCCTCGTCCTCAACAACACATTCGCACATAAATGTGGCGACGGTTGGCCTGGAAATGAGAGATCCAGTTTATTCTGGCAATTCATTCGGCCTTCAATCGTTGCCACAGCATCCGCGCTGCTTACAGTCAGATCAGATTGGCTGCTTGATACAGAATACAACTTTCTACTACAAATACTATTTTTATCGCCATCTTTCATTCGCCGCCATGTCGATGCCGACCGATCTTTCTCTTGGAGAAATTCTCCACATTTCGCTCGGCGAAAACGTAAAGTGCTTCGGGCTTACCAAAATCTCTGGAGATACCAAGCCATGCAATCACCCGCTTGGCAAGGGGAGGTTGACCGAAGCACGTATCATTCTTGGACAGACTCTGGGTCACATTGAGCGGGCCGGGCAAACGATCGACCAAAATCTTATCAATCTATCCAATCTACTTGTTCATTCATTGACCCACGGCTTACCAGGCGAGACTCGTCGAGAAAGCTTGAGATCTGGATGGCAGGAAATCATACAGGACTTCCGACGAGCGCAGAATCATTTAGAGCCTGAGATTGAAATTTCGTCTCAGTCTGAGGATGATGAACTGGACGACACGGCGGAGGATGAAGATCTGCAAGAAGGGCCCGGCCCCGTTTTGGCCATTGAGAGCGACACCGCAACCTCAATTGTAGCTACCCGGTCAACAAACACCGAGCTCGACACTACGCCTGATTCTACCCCTTTGCCGGACCTGCCTGCTCAAGTTACAGAAAGTCAAGTGCAGATCAGCCAACACCGTACATCCAATGTTTTGCGTCCCGTCCCTGAGTCATTTGGCGATCGTACATCTCTCACTCCGGCCTGCGTTTCCGTTACTCGCAGATCCACTTCTTCCAATGACGTATCGGTATCTCCTGAATATGTCTGGTTTCTCCTCCTACAATTTTGCTTTGGGTTCCGGGCGCTGATGCTCCTGAAATTCAATACTGTTTGTTCTATTGACGGCTTTGGTCGCTTCTGGAAGATGTCTTTTGCGGACTTGCAATTCCCTTTCCGGACGAGGTTCTTTTCAAATAACTTGACCCAAGCACTGGTTTTTATGATTCCATTCTGCTATGGTCTGTATGGCCTGCTTCAAGTTTTGTTGAGAAGCTATGTGTTGATGGTTTTGTGATTGAGATAATCTGTGACCGGCGGCCCGGGTGGGTAACCAGGCGGAAAATCGGATCGCTGGCCGATCACCGCCCAATGTTGATACTATGAATGCGTGTTTATGTATTTAGCGTTACGAATAATGACGGTTCCCTTTGATTTGACAGAATTTTCCTAAATTGGCAATAAATTGTATGCAACCAGTCACCACTATGGCAGTGACATTGGCACTGGGCTTCCTTTCCCCGCCGAAACATTCCGTATGAGCGCTCGGTGAACTCTCGGAATCTGCATCCTGGGCTGTAAGGCAGTGATCAGCACGGGCCATAAGCAATATGATGGGGGCATGCTCACCCTCACCATTCTGATTCTCGCCCCTCCACTTCAAATATGGAGGTCGTTATTGGTTGTTCACGGGAGGGGTGGAACCCTAAGGAACGGTGACGCAACGAAGAGGGGGAAGTTCAACAGAACCGCCAGTGCCGCAAGCGTTTACGGTGTGACTCGACGAATTACAACACCAATTGCTGACATTGCAATATTGCATCTGATAAACATAGGAAGGGAAGCATAGACCAATTCTCGGTTACAGTCGGACCAATTTTGTGAATCTCCGAGGGAAAGTTTTGGGTTTAAGATTACGGAGTATTGAGAACAGTAAGGGGAAAGGGGGGGAGAGAAGATCCCAACAGAGTATCGTCATGGCCAACTAACTCAACAGCTGAGAAACTCCTAAATCGGCCGTTCTAAAAGCCAGGAGATAACCGGGTAACTTGGGAGAAATTGAGTTTCTTAACGGAGTGTTACTTAAGTGATTTACTTAACTTTCAGGGCTGCTGCAGTTAAAGTTGGCCCCGAGCCCAGCGGAACCAATAATCGCAGGTGCTTTCCCCACAGAGTCATCCGTGACTGCTTCACTTGACATTTCCCCATCGCTTTCTCCTCTTCTCTTCTTCTCGTCTTTCCTTTCCCTTTCTCCCCTCCTCCTTCCCCCACAAAATGTCTGTCCCCATCACCCGGTCTCTCCCTCGGTCCCTCGTACGGTCGTACGGGACTGTTCAAGGTCCTGCAAGCACTGCAATCCCCAACAGAATCCCCAATGCCTTGGCCGAGGCTGTCACAGCTAGTGCCCCGCGCACTAGTTGGACCCGAGAGGAGGTCTCTCAGATCTATAACACCCCTTTGAGCCAACTGACATACGCCTCGGTAAGTCATCCTTAATAGAAAGAAACCATCAAAAATTCGATCGGTATCAGAACAAGAATGCCGGCTAATACCTCTCCAGGCAGCCGTCCACCGCCGCTTCCATGACCCATCCGCCATCCAGATGTGCACTTTAATGAACATCAAGACCGGAGGTTGCAGTGAAGATTGCTCTTACTGCGCCCAGTCATCCCGACACGACACTGGATTAAAAGCAACCAAGATGAGCCCCGTCGACGACGTTCTTGAGAAGGCCCGCATCGCCAAATCCAACGGCAGCACACGTTTCTGCATGGGTGCCGCCTGGCGCGACATGCGCGGCCGCAAGACAAGCCTGAAGAACGTCAAGGCCATGGTCTCCGGCATCCGCGACATGAACATGGAAGTCTGCGTGACTCTCGGCATGATCGACCAGGACCAGGCAAAGGAGCTCAAGGACGCCGGTCTGACAGCATACAACCACAACCTCGATACCTCGCGTGAATTCTACCCCAACGTGATCACCACCCGATCGTACGACGAGCGTCTGCGCACCCTCGACCACGTCCGTGATGCCGGAATCAACGTCTGCTCCGGTGGTATTTTGGGCCTGGGTGAGTCGGACGTTGATCGTGTCGGTCTGCTTTACACCATGTCTTCGCTACCCAAGCACCCCGAGTCCTTCCCTGTTAACGCCCTGGTACCTATTCCCGGAACTCCCCTCGGGGACCGGAAAATGATTCCCTTCGATCGGATCTTGCGGACTGTTGCGACCGCGCGTGTTGTGATGCCGGGAACTATTGTCCGATTGGCGGCCGGTCGCATTGCACTTACTGAGGAGCAGCAGGTCGCTTGTTTCCAGGCCGGTGCGAACGCTGTTTTTACCGGCGAGAAGATGCTGACGACTGAGTGTAATGGATGGGGCGAGGACCGTGCTATGTTTGACAAGTGGGGATACTACCCCATGAAGAGCTTCGAGAAGCCTGAGCCTAAGCAGGCGCCCTCCGTGACGCCTACTCCTCTTGATGAGGCGGAGACTGTTGCGCCGGTCGCAGCTAGCTCTTAGAACTGCTATAAAGTTATAAGTCGGGCGTCAAAAAGCCTGCAAAATGAATTGTTGAAATAAGTTTCGTTCGAGCATCCAGCTACCCGGACTCAGTATGCTTGAAATGACGAGTACATGAGAGTAGATAGTTCAGTGTACATCATTGTAGAACTTCCAGATGTTTACTACCTATACAAGAATATTTAGTATAGGTACCTAGGTAGTCAGTAAAAGTAGCTTCTCAGTCCCAGCAACTCTAGGACTTCAACCATGGATCTATGCCATAGGATCTAGACTCAGGGAAGACCCATGAAGCCGATCCACTCTAGCTAGACCAGACCAGACCAGATTGAAGCCCTCGGAAAAGACGATCCCCGGAAAGGCTTCCCCAGTTTAGTCGTTTTCCTGGGAATACCCCCGGAAAGTTGTCAGGGAATTCCGATTTTTTCCTTAGTCGTGGAGATACTCTACCCGAAACCGGCGAATTAAGGAAGTGTCCGCGAGATCTCATGCACGAGAACAAGTACAAGCGCGAGCAGTAACAAATTTGCAGCCAGAGCGGCACAGGGTTGTGTTAAAGATCAGGAGTCCGAAGAGATTTAAGAGCGAGCATATAGCCATATAGCCATCTCTCCATATCCACCCAAACCCCAGTCTCTTCCTCTCTCACTCCCACACGGTCGCAGAGGTTTCCGATTCGGGTTTGGGCTATCGACGCCCTGTTCACTAATTGCGGGTCGATTCTCGACCAGAGACGCCAATTATATTGCCCCGATTTAAGCGAGCCATCTGTTCCTGGCAGGCGATCGCAGATCTTCCATTCGTTGACTTTCACGTTAGTGCCAGCCGAGGCTAATTTTCTGCACGACGCCTCAGACCCAGCATAATGTGCATCATCTAGAATAACCTTGATCAATTGATCTGCATCCCATACGTTATGGGACTGCCCTGGATTGGAGAAAATACTCTTTACCCCATAGAAAATACTGCATAACAAACCCTTCTCCTCCATGCCCGAAATCCTCGGCAGACTATGCGGGGAGAACCTTCACATGTACGAACTACCGGTAGATCTGCCCCAGTTTCCCATGGGGCCCTCCCGATCTCTGTTCTTCATTTGGTGCGCATTTTTGTTGGGGAGGTTTGATCCACTCAAACTAGTCAAGGTATGCGTCGCAGTTTTGCGCCTTCACATGTGCTGTGAGGAGATGGGTATAGATATAAACACATCCACCCATCCACCACGATTCCTCGTAGCTCGATCGAACCAAGCAAAGTGTGAAACTTGAAAAGCACCTCTAGTTCGCCTGCAGACTAGAAGACACCATCATGGAGAAGCCTCTAAACAAGGATTCCATGAAATCCACCTGGCGCACCGCCGACCGCAAAGAATGGAATCACAACCACTGGGCCCTAGAGCTCCTAAACGCCCACCCCCAAGATCTAAACAAAGAAGTGCCCGTCCACTCCAAAGATGAAAAGATCCCATACATGCCCCAATGGTCCCTCCAGCGCTGGGTCCTCTTCTACTCAGCCTTGCCATTAATCTTCCACCAAACCTACATGATGGCAACAGGCCGCACACTAGGCCCATTCGCAACATTCAACCTATACTTCTTCGCCTTCAACGCAACAGTGATCTACCAAGTCCACGTCCTCCGCCGCCTAGGCCACAAATACGGCTTCCTGAGACGGCGACAAGCACGAGCGCGATGGCGTGCCAGACGTCGGCATCGCAAAGGTCGTAACATCCCTCTACAAAACGACCGGCTCCCGCCTCGTAATGGCAACATACCTCTGCTACAACCGCGACGCACTCCCCAGCTCACTATCATGGACCTGGCTCCCGCTCGAAATCGGGCTGTATGGTATTATCCTCGACTTCTGGTTCTACTGGTACCACCGCCTCATGCACGACGTGGGATTTTTCTGGAAATTTCACAGAACGCACCATCTGACGAAACACCCGAACCCGCTCCTCGCCGCGTACGCGGACCACGAGCAGGAATTCTTCGACATGGTCGGCGTGCCGTTCATGACGTATGCGAGTTTGAGGCTGTTGGGGCTGCCGATGGGGTTTTATGAGTGGTGGGTTTGTCATCAGTATGTTGCTTTTGCGGAGGTTTTTGGACACTCGGGGTTGAGGATGCACCTTACTGTTCCGACGACGTTGAGCTGGCTTTTGCAGATGGTTGATGCGGAGATTGTTATTGAGGATCATGATTTGCATCATCGGAAGGGGTGGAGGAAGTCGCACAATTATGGGAAGCAGACTAGGCTTTGGGATAAGATTTTTGGAACATGTACGGAGCGGATTGAGTCTGTTGAGGAGAATATTGATTATGAGAATGTGGCGAAGATGCCGCTTTTTTAGGATAGCTTTTGGGGATGCTGTTGCTATCTGGCTTTTTTTTGGGTTCCTTGATATGATTTATGAACAAGTTCTATGCTTTGACTTTTTTTTTCAGCCTTGGATATCGAGTGGCGCTGGATTGATTAGATTATATCCTTATTTATGCCCATGAAACATTAAAATGGAGGCAAAAACTTGGAATGCATTTATAAAAATTCCAAATTGGAAATTCCTTCGAGGCTGATTAAACTGACTCTAGCTCGGACAGTCGCGATAATTCGTCTCCGAACTGATGACCGACCCTGCGCTGGTCACAACACGAATATGAATAGTATTGGCGCCCTATTTGTAGCAAATGAATATTCATTCTTCGTCACGAATGTAGTTCTAAAAGCATTATGGTAATCTTTGCATTTAGCACAAAGCCCCGAGGTCGTTGCAAACTTCGGGACGTTAAATAATCATAAAATCGCTGTGACCAGATATGTTTATTCATCAGTGAGCTACATATGAAGTCGCATCTTTTTGTTCAAATAATCAATATTCTCAGTGGAACCCTTGGAGTACCTGTGAAACGTACAAGTGCCCAGGTGACGCAGTATGCATGTATTCTATCCCGGGCTCAGGATGCACAAGACTTAGTAGTATCCGGGCGCGAAGGCATATTTAGAATTGCTTACAATTCCCCTCCGGCTCGAATATTAGATTACTGATTTCAATTCAATCGCTTCACTGACACTGACAGGAATAGTATAAAGCATCAATCTGTAAACATCGTTTATCTGAATATCTTCATCCTCCAAATCGAGCTTGCCAACAAAGCTCACTTCATTTCAAATCTCACAACAAAATCTTACCAGACACCCAACAAAAACCTCATCATGCCCCTTTGGCAGATCTACCACCCTCCAAACACATTTCAAAATGCGGAATCGAAACAGCTTTTCGCAGAAGACATAACGAAAATGTACACTAGTTTCGGGCTACCAGCCTTCTACGTCGTGACACAATTCCACGAACTCAAAGATGACAACGCCTACGTTGGCGGGAAGCCGGCCTCGAACAAACCATTCATCCGCGTCGTCATCACTCATATCGCTGTTCGTATTCCCGACGCTGATAAAGCCTACCTTCGAACTACATCGCGCATTGATAAGATCATGAAGCCCCATGTTCTTGATAAGGGTTATGACTTTGAATATCATGTCGATGAAACGGAGCGTCGGCTTTGGAAGATCAATAGCTTAATTCCGCCTCCGTTCCAGAGTGTTGAGGAACAGTTTTGGGTGCAGAAGAATGCCGCTCTGCCATATGAGGGCGCATATCCACCGGTTGATGAGGAAGTTTGAAGGTTGCAATTGACCAAGTGTCGAGGATAAAGTTACGGTGCAAGGACCGAAGATATCTAGATTGAATTGAATTTCCTCTCTGTTTTCGAGAAATTTGAGGCTGGATTTGGTAAAGCTATGCGCTCGGATCTCAGGCGTAGATGACACACATGCCCAGTCATGAGCATAGGCCACTGGGTTTATCGGGAAGGTTTGTATTTGAATCAATTTTTAATTCGGTTTGAGGATACCCCCTGTATGATCAAGTGCAAAAGTACCTACACGAGTACGTAGCTAACACAATACACGAATACTGAGAGGTTACATGATCTGTAAAAAATATATATAATAATAAACGACAGCTGTCGGATTGACGACGCCCATGAACGGACTTGATTGTGCATAGTTTTCCCTCAAGAATATTCATGAGAGCCATTCGAGTCAAGCGCCTTAGACCACTCTCACAAACCGTTCATTTTGCGATAGTGGTAGCTAAAAATGACAACTATTTCCCAAGAGATGGAAATGTACTTGGTTTTTAACGACCCCTGAGTGAAATTTCATTCTCGGTGCTCGGTACTGATTTTACATTGGCTGCCAAATGCGGCTCATCCCTGGCAATCCATTTTGGGTCAAGTGGAATTTCAGAGCGTAGCCCTTGCACGGACCCACCGGGGAGAAGATCACACCGAACAATCAATTCGGAATCCCAGAAGAAAATCTCATTTGGGTTTAAATAATTAAGAGTAATAATCCGCAAAAGCGGAAAAAGGCTGGGAACTTGAAGGTTTCGGAAACACTGGAATTTTCAAACGGTCTATCTTGCTTGAAATCGAACAGGCTATCTAATGTTTAATGTAACGCGATCTATATATACATATGGATGTCGTAATACAGCCATGGAATGCAAATGCATTGTACAATTGAATCTATAATGCTTATCAATCGGGATTTTAAACCTCCGCGTTGTTAGCGCAAGAGAATGCGTTGTTGGAGGCATCGTCGTGAATCGCCTTTCCAGAAACGTAAAGGCCGAGACCGCACTATTATCATAAATTAGCTGCGAACTTGATAACAAGTTTCTAGACGAAAAACTTACCATGCAACCACCAATCAGAACGATGCAGACGTTCAGAATACTGAGAGCGATCTTGCGTGGAGAAGAAAACCACTGCCCTTTGTTGATGTGCAGCCAGTACACACCGGCAAGTCCGTCTGCAATCGCTGTTAGTTTCTAGTGACGCAAATAAAGAAAACCAAAAGAAATGACTTACAGCTGAACCAACTGGCAAACAGAGAGCTGATCAAGCTCAGCAAATCGCTGAAAACAGGAATGGCATCGGCAATGATCCAGGCAATGATCCAACAGCTTAGACCAATCAGCACCCAGGTACCGTAGGAGGTCAGATCGCGACGATGCATGCGATCAGTACCGCGGAACAGGCGAACGTAAATATACTTCAATCCAACGTGGCCGTTGACGACACCAGCTCCAATAATGGTGGGGATGGCAATTCCATAGGCAACCTTCTTCAAGACCGGGCCAGCAGATCCCAAGGCCGGGGAAGTAACGCTTTGACCGGCATAGTAGTAGATGACGATAGCCGCAACGGTGTAAAAAACGATCTCAAAGGTCTGCAGCATATAAAGTGCCTTGGGGAAGTCACGGGGCTCGCGCATCTCGGCGAGAAGACCGAAGAAAGCGACGTGAGCGCAGTAGGCGAAGACAATGTTCGTGACGGCAGTGAATGCGTGGAATAGATCGGTATCAATGGTAGCTTTGATAGGGGCAGTCTGACCCTGGATACCGACACCGATCATGGTGATGATGACAGCGGTGAAAATACTAACGAAGGCTGAAGAGAGGGCGTTAGTACAACATTTTATTCAAATTGGTAGGAAGCTGAACGTACAAGCGCAAGAAATGTAGGTCATGTTCTTCATGGTACGGGGCAGCGAGCAGACCATACAGATCACGAAACCAACGGCAGTGAAAACCATGGTGCAAGTGCCGTGCTCGGTGATAGTATTCATCATGACACTGAAGGTCAAGATGTGGCTACCCATGATGAAGATCGAGAACAAAAGCTGGCCGATACCGAAAAGCTCGCGTCCGAACGCGCCAAAGAGAACCTCACCAGCATCGGCAAGGTTCTGGATGTGAGGATAACGTTGATGGAACTGTCCGATGACATATCCAGTATATGTGGCGAGAATACCAAGACCGATGATGAGGACGAGAGCACTGGAAGACATCAGCAACCGTTGGGAAAAAAAAGTATTGTCATACTCACGGCGCGAGTCCGAGCGAGGCGAGAGTCGCAGGGAGAGATAGAACACCAAGTGAAACGGACTCAGCGATCATAACTAGTTCAATCAGAGATATGTTTCTTTCAACCTTGGAAGGTACGCGATCGTTTCGTGATAATGTACTTACACATTCCAGCTTGCCTATAACACCAGGAATTAGATATCATGTTTATCAAAAAGGTTCATTGCATTGGACACTTACCACCATTCCATAGTCTTGTATTTCACCTCCGCGTTAGTCTCGTCGCCAAATGCATCCTGGTATTGGGGCATGTCCTTCTCGAACTCTTTTTCCTTCCATCCTGATCCGGCCTCCGAGTCAACGGGTTCCGGACGTGTGGGAACTCCCTCGATAATCATTTCGAAAATGTATAAGGTCTGCCGGATATATGTAAAGGGGCAAATCGAGGAGATGACGAAGAGTTAGAATCGGGACACGAAAGAAGAGATATGTATGTGTGCAAAAAATCTTGGGTACCCGTGGGTGTGGAGCTCAACGTCGTATGCGACAGCCGAGACCCCCGCGACTAACTGCTTTTTATGGAAGGTTTGGGGCACAAATTCCGGGGCTCGGGACTTGAATAAGGCGGGAGTTATCGGGCTTATCGGTAGTCATTCGAATTCCTATGAGCACATTCTATTATGGTGTGCAAACCCTTTGCGCAGGGTCCAATTTGGTCATACAAATGCAAAGCTTGGGGCTTGCTTGCGATTCTCCAGAATTAAGCGTCCCTTCGGTCCACTCCCGGGCGCGGCGGTGGATCTTAGCCTCCACTTTACTGCAGCTTCGAACCAATTGAAACTTCGGCTCGGCCATCCATTAGATAACAGGAATTCGGGACCCTCGTGGCTACCCCGACGGTAGCCGGAGATGGTGAATTTCCGATCTCAACAAGTGTACTAGTAATGCCAAGCGCCAAAAGTTCCCCTTTGACTATGATCGTGCGACGCTTTGAGGGGAGTGTATTTTCGATCCCGAGCGATTGAAGAGACAAAAATCGGCGGATATAACAAGAAGCTTCGGCAAACCTCTGCTAGTGGGAACGCACGCCAAGGCCGGCTCGGGATGGCTGGTCGAAGCAATAAGGAGGTTGATACATCAACCGTGGCCCGTTGCGGCTCGAAGCGCATGGTCGCCACTGACAGAAAATTTCTTTAGTCAGGGCAAAGGCACAAGCTTCAGCCACCACCTGAACCGTATGACGGGCAGTGGATCAGGAACCAATCGCCAAGCCTCGGGAATAAATTGTTCACATCTTTCCCGAACAATCTTCAATCTTTATGTCATTGAAATTCACTCGGTCTACCCCCGCGTTACCCCATTTGTTCTCCGAAAGATTCTCCACATACTAGTATTCGACAAAGCAGGAAACTTTTGGAGAATGGGTATAAAGGAGGGGGGGTTGAGCGAATGCATTTTTTATTGACTAATATGTACCAGTGTATTCTAGTATAATTAATTAGTGGGCAGCCCTGGAGTTCGAAGAGTATCAACTCCGACTCGGAGTCACTCTAGGGCTCTTTTGAAAACGACGCGGCCAATGTTGGAACACCAGGACTGGTACTCTCAGATTGGACGGCCAATATTAAATGCCTGAGTCATCCTGGGCAACGATATACTTATTCTCGTAAGTACTCCAGGTATCGCAGTTCTGATGCAAGTTTTTGTATTCGATAAGAGGCTTGATCTCATTATAGCGCTCGATGAACTGGATCGCAAAGCCCTCCTCAGTATGCCAGCCAATATGGCAATGCATGAGCCACGCCCCTGGATTATCTGTCTTGAAGGCGATAACCAGGTAACCATTTTCGGGTAACATAGCGGTGTCACGCTTTGGTGGTCTGGCAAGAGTAGTAATTTCGCCATCATATGTTCCAGTGCCTTGGGCCACGATTACGAAGTCATGCCCGTGTAAATGGATTGGATGAGGCACAGAGAGAGTGGTTTCAATGACAACATAGGTCCACACGTTCTTGTGGGGAAGTTCTATCACCCCGCTGGTGTTGGCCCATGAGTGGTGACCCCGATAGACCTCTAGCAGAGTCGGGTCTGTCCAGTCAACATGCATGGAGGTTGAATTGAGTTTCCATCGGTAGAGGCTACCTCCGTTCTTGCCAAGCGAGACGGGCTCCGAGCTGTTATAATAAGGACTCGAAGAGACACTTTCGGAGACAATCGGAGACAGATCCGCCATATTCTCGTCGGAACAGCTGTCGGTATAACTATGACCGGTGGTAGTAGGATTCGCAGGTTCATCACCATAGTATATGATTCCCTTGATATTCTTGGGTGATTTATTTTCGGAACAGGCGGTCTGAGGAATAGCCCTCATCCAGAAATTCTTCGCGATCGATGCCTTGTCGGCGCTGACGATGACGTCGTATCGTTGCCCTGTATATGTATATGCGTCAGTTCTTGTCATTCCCAAAGGTCACTGGGCTTCCTTACCCATAGCAAGGTTCAGAACATTCGTCTTATAGGGTGTTATTGGGACAAGGTCATTTGCGATGACTGTCAGGGTGTGATTGTCGATGGAGAATTTGAAGTGAGTGTCGCACGCAGCGTTGACCAGACGAAGCCGATAGGATGTTCCCTCGGCGAAGGAAGTGTTGAAACGAGTCCCGGTTTGGTTGGTTGAATAATCCGATCCAAATACGTTGGTTCCGTTGATCAGAGCGTTATCAAGCGTGGGAGGACCATCTTTCTGGGCAGTCATGAAAAGCTCATCCACAGTGTTGATATCCCAATCGTTCATGATGAGAACGCCTTTGTCCTCGTCGTAGTTAGCACTGGCCGGGCCATGAATCACAATCCCACCGAATAATCCCTCCCAAGCCTGTAAGCCTATGTGAGAATGGTACCAGGTTGTGCCGTATTGCATGGCACGCCATCTGTAGGTGATTGTGTTATTTGGTGCAGTCGGACACTGTGTAATTGACACAACACCGTCGTTTTGGTTGGTCCAGAACTGTCGGATTCCATGGAAGTGGATGCTGGTTCCATTTTGCAGGTCATTGGGGAGACTGTTGGTGAGATGTATCACGACCTCATCACCCCAATTTGCTTCAATTGTAGGACCGGGAATGGAGCCATTTATCGCAATTGCTTTTCTTGATCGGCCATCTGGTGCAACGGTCACGCGTTCGAGATTGAACCAGTATTCGCGAGTCACATTTGTGGTTGGAACGACCGTCGTATAATCGGTATTGATGCTGTAATCGCACCACTGGTCGCGTGTGCTGGCTGTGTTCCCCTCGCAGGCGCCACTCACTGAAGTTCCCGAAGAAGGAAGAACTGAAGCCACGGACCTGGTATGCGAGGTGAGGTCGAGAATTCTTCCAGCAGAGACAGAGGCGATGAGGAAACAGAGAACTGAAACTTCTGAATTCAATTTCATGACTTCGAGAAAGAGGAGTCAAGGATTCGGGACGACCAACAAAAAGTAGAAAAAAATAAGAAGAAAAATGATAGAAAAGGAAAATGTGAGAGAATGAATGAGTGACAGTAGTTGACAAAGATTATGCTGCCCTTGAAGGCAGTCTAGAACGAATGAGTGTGTCGAGTTTAATACAGGACTAGAATGTCCTGAAGGTCTCAATATGAACCGTCTTTCAATCGCTCAAATAACATGATAATGTGCACATCTTTCAACATGTAATGATCTACACCAATTTAAGAGAAATGACCTTTCGGGCGAATAGAATAAGCTATAGCCGGAATCATCCTGGCTTTGCGACCCACTGAGAGATAAATCTTTCGCTGTAAATAGAAAAGAGTTGGGCATGATAGGTCGAGTCACTCGTGAACGCGAAGCCGATGCGATCTATGGGTCTAAGGCCTGTCGATCGTGCCACTAAACGAGCTATACCTTGGCGGGAATGACTATCAGGTTCGAATTCCAACCTTTCAAGTTTCCACCAGATTTCACTAATCATGAAGTCTATATCTAATTCAATCCTTGACTTTCGCACGATCTGTGAGGTAATACGACACTATAGGGCTTACTACCGATAAACTTACGAAGTCAAGTTCGGAATTCAAAAATCATCAAGTACCTATCCAGTAACTATTTCAGCCTTGTGCTGATAGCCTTGAAATCAAGGTTAAATGGTAGCCCCGATTCTGCGCGGGACGGCTGGTTGGGCCCACCAAGCTTCTTTAGGGATAGCCCGAGCACACAACGTCAGCTCCGCGCAAGCCACCCCCAGTCAAGACCCACTGCTATAACAGATCTACAATGGTATACTCCGTAGTCCCCGATCAGAAACCAAGCCTGCCCAGGGAAGTTTCCCCACTTGACCCTACCAGCTGACGATGCATCGCAAATATCAACCCTTTTGCTAACTCAACATTGTGGGTCCTGCGGAGGATTCATACCGCAGGCCACAGGATTTCGCAACTTCTCTATCGAGGAGCCCCCCCGGAGAGGAATCGTTACCAGATTAGGAGTTGGCCTAAATTATGAGACCTAGCCTGAATTTCAGTATCAGAAGCTGAAATAATTCTCTGCAAGCATCAATCTTCGCCCCTGCCCGTCGCTTTCGATTTGAACTTACCAGATTCTCTTCCATTTCATGATGCGGGTGGGCTTCTTTGGGTTCAAAGTGCTCTTCTTGGGCTTTGCAGTATCCGGAAAACAGATTGCGTCGCGATCCTCCCAATCGGAATCATATAGCCTATATGCCTTTGGTGACAACATTGGAGGATTTCCGATGTACTACGCCGACGGTAGGATTCATCGAAGACAATGATATTTCTCCACTGACCATGCGAATCAGGCAATGCTGTGGTCGGAAACAAGACTCCCCAGAACGCAACTAATGTCAGTCAAGTTTCCTGTATGAATCGTTAATTATCCACCGTCTCTTCGATCCAAATTGACAATTTTTTAGTTACGCCTGGCGAGTCCGGCCCTATGATAGGTAATCCAACTTCCAATTCGACCACGGTGAATGGTTCGAGCCAGAGGGCCTTTCAAAATCAACAGTTCTATGTTCCCAGCCCAGACTCGAGCGATCACCAAGTTGGCTTTACCCAAAACGCCACCTCAAACCAAGTCACATCAAAATTCATCTGGTACGGACACTTTCTACTTGTTGAAAACGATAGTGGAGAGTACACATCCCTTTTCTACGCCAAGAAAACCGAGCAAGAGGATGTATTTTCCTTGCAGTGGAATATTACAGACGAGGATGATGAGGGTGACTATATCTCGATCAGTATGAGAGGTCTACCCCCCCTCAAATGCTTGAAAAAAATCCTATCCCTACCTTGGGCCTCAGCATCGACACGCCCTACTGTTTCGTCATCTTCTCTGACATGACCAAATTGAAAGAGATACAGTATCAACAGGCCATGAAAACAAGGTGTTCAATTTGAAAGAATTCGCATACCTAGGTATGGCTTCGAGGGTTTTCAAAGGCCAATACGGAGCGAATATACTAGTATCATTATAGTATGACCTGCCAGCGCCAGTGCTTCATCCACCACCAGCCTGATACCCGAAGCTGTATACACTATGTACCTCAATTTGAAGGCCGAAGGGTATCAACACCTATTTGTCTCCAGGGCTCCCCAGCTGCAGATGAAGGTGAATTTATGCATTCTCGAATTCTAGCCACTCCCCACTCAACGAACTTTATTCACAGCCGGCTGGGCAGCCACTCTATTATTATAGGATATAAATCCTCCACTTATTGTAGCCGGCATGGATTCACTAGTGTGAGGAGATGAAGTTATCCTGAAAGCGTAGAATGATAAAGTTCCCCAAAAGAGGCCACAACCTCATCCGGTGGGCTACTGCGACAGATCTCTTTACTAGGTTCCAGCCACCTTTTTACACCAACCGTGGATCAGAAAATTCGAAGGAGAAAATATGGTGGGCATCGTCGATGAGCATCACCTGCTTTGAAGTATTATCATGCATAAATACCGGCGTTTTTACTCGCCGGTTGGATGAACGCAGTCCTCGGAAGGGTGGCGTTTATGAAAAGGGGGCAGGCGGTAACAAGAGGCTTCTGCACGGATCCGGTGATAGTTGCCTTGTTTGTGATTGGTCAATATGTCGAGGACAGACAATCCCCCGCAGAGTCAACGGTACTGCTAGTATCGAACAACCCGGCCTCAATTCCAGCGGCCAATTATGAGACTAGCCTACTGTTACTCCGAACAAAGCGCAAGGTGTATCCCACAGATACCGGAAAATGATGATCAGATAGGTAACTCTTTATTTTTCTCCGCTCACATGTTCGGGGTAGGTATCGAACAAAACATCAAATGTGATTCCGTGGCGCCCGCCTGATGCATGCAAAGACGAACTCCATTGTGCAACGCAATGTTCCTCACAAACAGCTTTTTGCAGGCGCGCGATTACACATCTACATCAACGAGCTAGCGCAATCACGAATCGCGTCAAAATGAACCGTTCAAAGTTCAATGCAGCCGACGAGACGCTTCAGTCCGACGACCGAGCTGATTTCGCTGTCGGTGAGGCTTCTGGTGATGTTAAACATGAATTGAAACTCAATATCGGTGGTCGGGGTGCTACCCACCGTCGTCTGCATGACTGTCAAGTGACCATGATCGGTTTCTGCGGTGGTATAGGCACGGGACTTTTCATAGGCACTGGCTCTGCATATGCTAAAGCTGGCCCTGCTGGATTATTTGTCGCCTACATAATTGTCGGCTCAGTCCTGTGGTGTATGATGCAAAGCATTGCCGAATTGGCTACCTTATTCCCTACAGCTGGGTCTTTTCCACACTGGGCTACCCGCTTCATTGATCCCGCAGTGGGGTTCTCGCTAGCTATTTCCTACGGATATTGCTTTATGATTGCTATTGCCTCCGAAACGGTATGTCTACTTTTAATTGGACTTGAAATTTCTGACGCTCACTTTGTTAGTTCGCCGCTGCTTTGATAGTATCTTATTGGAGTGACATAACTCCTGCCGTGGTCATCACTGTCAGCCTTACTCCTCTTCTATCCATCAACCTTATGAGCGTCCACTTCTACAGTGATTCCGAAGTGTTAGGTGGCACCGTCAAGGTTGTTTGTTTTCTTGGCCTTATATTCGTCTCTATTGTTATCACAGCCCGTGACCGTATTGGGTTCCGCTATTGGAATGACCCTGGCGCGTGGACAAACTACAACGACATTATGGGCCCTAAAGGACACTTCCTTGGGCTTTTATCCGCCTTTTTCAACGCATCTTTCAGTTTTATTGGAATTGAAACCGTTGTCATTACAACCGGAGAGGCAATGAACCCACATTACGCTATCCCGAAAGCAGCACGGTATATCACCTACCGGATCGGATTCTTCTATGTTCTGGGCGCGCTCCTTATTAGTATAACAGTCGACCCACGAAATTCAGATCTTGTTTCTGGGGCTGGGAATGCCCACAGTTCCCCTTTTGTCATTGCTATTAAAGCAGCAGGTATATCAGCCTTACCCTCGATAGTGAACGCCTGTATTTTTGTATCTGCGTGGTCTGCAGGGAACTCATATTGCCGGATCGGGTCACGAATGATTTTGGCTATGACAACGGACCATCAACTACCACAGGTATTTGGAAAGGTTAATAGGAAGGGCGTGCCTTATGTGGCCGTGATTACAGCTTGGCTTTTCGGACTCCTGGCCTATCTGAGTAGGTGAGCCCGAATGTATTCTTGAAACGAAGGATTCTTGTTGATAGAACAGCAATAGGTCTGGGCAAAGGAGGTGCTTCACAGGTGTTCGCTTGGCTGTAGAGTCTGGGAACAGTTGCTGGAATCATAGCATGGGCAACTCTTTGCTTTTTTTATATTAGCTTTCACGCCGGACCGAAGGCCCAAGGCGTTAGCTGCGAATCTCTTCCGTGGAAGTCTCCGTTTCAACCGTTCACGGCATGGTATGGATTCATCGGTGCCAGTACCATCTTTTTTATTACCGGTTCCATGTTTTCCTCAAGGGAAATTGGTCCGTATCGACCTTTGTGGCTGCATACATTGGTATACCCCTATTCATCGTACCCATCATTGTGTGGAAGATTTTCTATCGCACCAAGGAATTTAATTATGTGATAAATTCAATATAAAGCGAGATCTTGCTGATTTCTACAACTCCAGTTTGCCTCTGCCTCGGATATGGACCTTTGGTCTGGCCGACTTGAAGGGGGAGAGATCGAAGAGCTCACAGCCCCAGACCTGAGGCGTTGCATGTGGAAACGTGTTTTGGATCACGTCGTCTGATTTCACGACCTATTTTAAACGACTAGGGGGGCAAAGCCTGGTTGCTCATATCTTTATCAGATTGCGTTGGTCCATTAAACTAGTCTACTGCCCCGGAATAAGCTCCGGATTGGGATTTATCCCGTTTCTCCCTGAGGCTTAGCTGCTTACACTGTCCTGATCCATGGCCTTCGTCCCTTACGGTTTTAATCCCTCTAGCTACCAGTATCTATTTAGTCGCATACGTTATATAGCCATGTTCATGGGTTTAAGCTCCTGTCACTGCAATAATATCTCTGGATGATAGTATCAAAATAATGCCGTAAAGGAATACAGCTGTTTGCGTTCGCACTTTTATTCGTGAATCATGTTCCCGAAGATCACATATAGTACGGAGAAATTTGAAGTAAGCACTTTGATATAAGATTTATCTAGCAACCTATGTACTGCTGTTATCTGCTACCAAATACACAAAACAGTGATCCCCGAATATTATTATTTGTACTTTAATCTTCCATAATATCTTTTTAAAATGTTGGGATCTCAAGCGGCTATGATGTACGAAGGAACCTTGGAATATGACTGTATTCTCCGAGTCTAGACGGACTAGTAAATCATTCCAAGATTGGCATCGAAATTCAAGTTTTGACATATCTAACAACCGGTAATATTCTCATGATCCATAGATGTGCCACTGGTCTAGTTCACCCTCAGCGCTTTATCCAAGTCATCTGCATCACTGGTCTCGAATGGATGGTACTTCTCAAAATCGACAATGAGCTGTTCATGCTCTTCCGTGCGTGGGATAATTCTGCACTTGTAAGGAATCGGGTGGCTAATAATTCCCGGAGTGAAATCCTGAGGTGGCTCAATCTCTTTGCCGTCTTTGCCAAGTGGCTTCTTCACATCAAAAACGGCCAGTGTGTTTGAGATGGTGAGGAAAAGCGAAGCGTCGGCGATTTGCCGACCGGGGCAAACTCGTCTGCCAAAGCCGAAACTTACTTCAGCAGGATCAAGCTCCACGTCGCACCCTTCAGAGGGGATGTATCGCTCTGGGCGAAATGCCCGAGGCTCGGGGTAAACCTCGGGGTCGTTGTTAAAAGACCTGGGAGAGAAATTAGCAAAGTTGCGAGTAAGAAGTAACTAATTTTCGATGCCACGCACCAAATGTTAGGAAGCAGCATAGCGTCTTTCGGAATGAGAAATCCATCCACAACATCATCCTCATCGGTTCTGTGAGGAACACCGAGATTTGCAACTGTATGCCACCGGAGAGCTTCTTTCGCAACTGCGTCGACATATGGCAACTTCGATCGGTCGGCCATTGTAGGGAAATATGCCTTGCCGAACACTCGGTCGATTTCCTCTTGTGCCTTGCGCTGAACGTCTGGGAAAAGCGCCATAGCCAGAAAGAACCCTTCCAGAGCGGCAACGGTCTATTTCATCATTTGAAGTTAGAAAATTGGTCAACCTCGGAACACCTCGATAGCTTTCTACATACCGTATCGGCTCCTCCACCGTATAGCGCGACAGCAGACCACTTGATAATCCCTTCATCTTCCCCTTGCTCCAAAAGCGTGGAAGTGAACGATTGTCGTTCTTTCTTCTCCTTCATTTGATATTTAGTGAATGCAAGTGGGTCCTCAACCAGCTTGGTCAGTGTCTCGAGATAATGGCGACCGATTTTCTTGAAATTTGCACCAGGAAACCAATCTGGGATGTATTTCACTGTGACATTCATTAATTGAATTCCTTTCGTTGGAAAATAGACTTGAGTCAGAAAGATTGGACTAACACGCAGGAACCATATCAACAAGCCATGCACCTGGGACAATGGCATTTGAAAACTGTTGAAGCGCCAAGTCGGCGAGGGTCACAAGGGGGTCCTCTCCATGAGGCTCAATGCTATAGCCATATGTGATCTTCAGAATGAAAGCACCAGCCTCACTTTGTTCATATCTGTTAGCGATGAAATCCAGAAGTCATGTCCATTGCTCAGAACATACGTTCGAATGTGGTCAACGAATCTCTCAGGGGTCTGAAGAACACGCCAAATGAAACGGCGAGTTTCGTCTTCCAAAAGACCATCGAACCGAGATGCAGAAGTGCGTGTTCCAATAACCTTTGCCATGGCCCGTCGGTAAGACCTCAAAAGGGCGGTGTTGTCTTGGCTTGAGGGGGCATTTCCCCATCCGGATCTAGATGACTTATTAGCATACTGCCAATCTGCTTTGTTCTGCGGTAGAAAGGGGATTGATATCCCGTGGGGAAATTGGCTTGGGGTTGATCGAACATCCCTCTTGTAGATAAGACAAGACTTTCACTTACAGCTCATCGGCAAAGACAAGCCGAGGACGAGAGGAATGCTTCGCGGAGTTCTTTTCCAGGATTTGAAGTGCCAGTTTTCTGTCATTGATTATGATAATTGTCTTCCCGAGAACTGTGATAGAGCTGAGAGGGCCTATGGAAGCTCATCAGAAATCTCGACAAACTTTATCGGAAACGGGAGAACAGACCATAAACCTCTTTATGTTTAAACCAATGAACGCATTCCTGTTGACCCGCAGGAGGTAGATCAAGCAAATTTCCAATAATAGGTTTTCCCTTTGGACCAGGTGGCAATTTCCCAGCCTTTTTGGTCCTAAATAGCTTCCTGAGGGCAAAGAACAAAGTGACAAAAGCTGACAGAACAGCCAGTTGCTGTGTGGATACCATGACGCCGTATAGGAGGCAAATGTGGCCAATATTGCAATAGGCGCCTTAAAGACCTCGTGTTACTTGAACAGAAGGATCGCAGAAGGATCGCAGAAGGAGACGCGAACGTGGAAGATAAATACGAGTGGGGGTGAGCCCTAGCTAAGAATCTTCTGAGTGGCGAATACAGGTTATTGCATGGACCAGGCAGTGCATGCAGCTAGGTATTTAGCTTTGTTTATTGTCTCCATACAATTTCGCTCTTTATCTCCGCAGTCATGAACTTCAATTTTGGTTCGTTAAGGAACGGTCCGTGTCAGGTCCAGCTGGTATTTTTGTGGGGCCAATGTTGATATTTTAATGTAACCATCTCGAATTCGATATTATGCTCGCTTCAATCCACTGTTAGAGCTTGTAGATTAAAGCCTCGGTATCAGGGTCTTGGGCCCATTGCTCTTTCACTCAATAATATTCTGCCAATTGTAAAATCCAAAGACGGGCTGGAAAATTGACTAAAGCTGCAAGATACGCTTGGCCAAAACTATGTGGGGCCGAGGCTATCTCGCGTCCAATCATCATGCTATATAAGATTTCCAGGGGAATTTAAGTCAATCTGATTGGACAAAAAACCCGCTCTAAACAGACTGCAGAGCGCCTCTGCGCCATAATGAAACGGCGACGCAAATAGTACGCTTTCTTCATCGGGAAGGTGTACGGCGTCGAAACTGTTACCAAAAAGGGACATGTTATGAAATCTTACATTTCATAATACAGAACTAGCCTACGATTTAATATGGACAAATATATCAAGTCTCAATAATATTTATTTGCAAAAATCAAACTAAATGTCAGCAATGTCTCCGTATTCAGATGACTTAACGTAGACTTTCTCAATATCGAACCGGGCCTGGATAAAATTGGCATACTGTCCAGTTTTCCACAAGGCGACTCGGGAAATCTTCTGCGTGCCTCTCTGAAAGGAAACCAGGACAAAATACGCCACAACCTTACGAATTTGAGTACTAGCATTGCCTTGAATTCCGGAGTGTTATTCTTCCAAAAATTTTCCTCGCGGGTTAGGTTGAGACGAGCCTTTGCAAATATCTTCGTTTCTGTATTGCTTACGTTAGTAACAAAGATGTACCGTAGAGTATGGAGAGGGAAGTGATCTTCGTAGGCCGCCTTGCTGATTTCAGATATGAAAGGACCAGAGGCGTCCTCACTTTTCATGATATCCTCGATAGAAATCAAGCCTCTTCCAACTCGGCCTTTGAACGAAATATCTGTACCTAAATCGGAATACATGCCAGCGGTTGTCAAATGATGACGCTGGTCTTGAATATTAAGATCATACATCTGAGACGCAGTGTATGATGAAGGCAAGCCGTTTGAGTGGGAATTGACCTCCCAGATGTCGGAATATAATCCCATAAGGTATTCATCTGACTCAACTGAATGGAAAAAGAGATATTGGGATTATTAATTCATGCTTGACGAAGTGCTCCCTCCTCCTGAGGCCCACCGTACGAAGGCTGCTGGTCGGCTGGCATGTTTCTGACTAGTAGAAGGATCGGTATATAGCTATATAGTGTTTCAAGTGGTAAGTTTCAAGTAGCTAATAACTTACCTAGGTATTGGTATGATCTGTTGCTGAACTCTGTATATGCGGAACGAGTGGAATGAGAGGCTCGATAAGCAGATCGGATGTGACTTTTATAATTATTCGATGAAAGACCGTAGAATTGACAACAAAGCACGAGGGGCCCAAAACTGAGTATATTTAAAAGAAACAAAGAAAGCGAAGGAATATGCCAACCTATCATAAATTTAACAATGGGTTGTTCTCTCCTCCTATTCAAAGAAATTGATAGGGCAAAGGGGAGACATAATTCTGCTAGTTCTAGATCAGTAGATACGTAACAATGGTAATGAATTCACCCGCTGTCTTGAAGGGATCTAGCGCAATACTCGGAAATTCTCAAGGTCAATATGGAACAAAGCAGTTCCTCGATAAATGGCTTTGAATTGAAAGCGGGTATCGAACATTTTCAAAAGAAATTGAAAGATCTAGGGAAGCGGTGTCCGGAGGGCAGTTTCATAAGTTAAGTCATAAGTTGAGTCTCCCGAAACTGAGTTTAATGGACTTGCAACCTGTGAAATAGCATGCGTAGGCTAACATTCTGGAGTTTCCTGCAAAGTAATTCCAATTACCTAGGTATATAACATTACCTTCGAGTGGTGAGTTCAAGGTATACGGGATACTTTAACTGCCCTGGAGGTGACAAGCTCAGTAAATACCGAAGAAAAGTTCAACAATCGACTCTACATATTCCGATTCTTGATGCGTTTCTCAATATGGTTTGCAATCCATTCCAAGTTCGACTCGTTGTTCTTCGCCGTAGTGTTTCAATCCTCGCCAAGTCAACATCCATGGAGTTGCCCCCTTTTAGTTGCTTGTTCTTTGTCAAACTAGGGCTTTTCTTTCAAAAATAAACGATCCTTGTGTTTTGAAATTTTATAAAATGGCCACCCGGGGCCATTGGGCATTGTTTGTTGGGCCGAAAATAGTAGTAGAGATTAAGTTTTCGATCTCTAGAATTTAGTACTCTGACTCGGAGTATCTAGACACCAGATATATTCAGGAGAGAACTCTTGAATAGAAAACACCATCTGAACTTCCAAAGTTGTATTTCAACTTGAACCTTAGAGGTTCGAAGATTGGAAGCATTTCCCCCTTTATCGTTCTAATTATGTCGCATCCCAACGTGGAGTCGTACTATGCAAGGATCCGAGATAACTGGACTCGATCTCTTTTGGATTGGAGTGATGTTCTGGCACAAGACCATGAACGTGTAGATGATGTTTGTGAGATACTCGACAGATTTGGCCCAGAATTCGATATTCTCAAAACCTTTGGCAGTAGCTACCCTGAGGCAAGTTGTTGTTTCATACATCGGTGCCAAGTCATTAGGTTTACAGTCGAAGACGTTAGCGACCTGCTCAAAGCAAAATGGGAATCCGTTTCTGACCTTGCGGAGGTAATCAGAATGATGGGCGTTCAAGTTGGGCGGCTCATGTTGGCTTATGAAAAAGATGGGCAAGACAGAACTGTAGCAGTCTCGGAAGGGAGGGTCCTGGCATTCCACATTCAAATGCAGTCAGATAATAGGCATATCTCATCCTTTCTACGCGACATGTGGCAACGCCTTCATTTCACAGTTGGAGGATGTGAATGCCGGCAATGTCGCGCTGTACGCCATCCTGACTATGCAAAGGATACACCTGGGCTCTACCGAGCTTGAGGAGTTCTTTGTGTACTAGAAACAATTTCTCGTTAAATCCACGAGCAGCTAAGCTTGCAACCTGAACACTCTAACTAAATGAAAAATGCCCATAAATTGTGAAATTTCTTCCACGTTGACTAGGGAATAACATAATTTCCACGCAAAATGTTCGAAGGTTGCCTAAAAATAGCTTTCATTTCGATTAGTAGATAAGTTGTCAGTGTAACTCCGGTGTCAGGTGTTAGTTATACATCCATGGATTTATTTTAGGAAATATGTGGCAATTAGACAGTTCATTCCAACGAATCACAACCAATCCTTCAGGACCGTTCCTAATTGTCGTCGATAAGCGATTTTCCCCGGCCCCACTTCGGATCCCCCGCCGACTTCAACGCCGCCGCAAATTTTCTTCCTTCGATCTTTCATCTTTTTCTTGTATCTACCACTCGAATCGCAAACATGGGAAACGTAAGAGGAATTCCCACGGCAGCGACACGGGTAGCGCGACTCTTCCTTGCGCCCCGTCTAGCTGCCCTGGCTAACGCACAGGCGAACTAACAACTTCTACCTACACAGGGAGCCAGAGCCCAACAAAAGCGCGAGCGCAACGCGACTGCCGGCAAGACTGCCGCCAAGTCTCAAACTAAGAGCGTATGTGAATCTTGCTGCGAAGCGCTTTCTTCCCTGTCTAATTATCCCCCGCTTGAGGGTCTGGTTCCGGTCGCTGATATATTTTACAGAACGAGAAGGCCATGAGCATCATCTGCCAGGTCTGCAGGCAGACTTTCCTGCAGACCACAAAGGCCCCCGCGTACGTGATTGATTTATCTATCAATTCTTGAAGGTTTTATTGCTAACGGACATTCTTTCTTCATAGTCTCCTTGAGCACGCCGAGAACAAGCACAAGAAGGGTCTGGCTGATTGCTTCCCTGGCGTCGCCGCCGCATAAAGTGCTGTCCCGAATGGCACCGAGCCTTATAGCATAACGCCCTTCCATAAAAAGCGTGATTTTTCCATCCATCCATACCCCCATTTTGAACGACAGGCCGAACGCGATCCGAACCCCCAACCAGCCGTACCCTGGCCATGCGACAGATACGGTGTTGGTCACACTTCACCGAGAGATATGCTTGTACTTGGAGCTGGCTACGCAAAGATAAATCTTAACGACTTAGAGAAAATGACAATTGAACTATACTTATATCATTGTCAATCGTTGCCCGCGCTAGTCGCAGATAAATGGATGGCAGCACCCTAAAATTGCTCCACCAAATCAATACCCACATCACTGTTTCCGCTTTTCTAGGCGGTTATTCCCATCTTAACAGATACAACCAGGTGGTTGAGACTTGGATTAACAGAGATCTGGATGTACCAGTAGTGTCAATGTGACAGTGTAAGTCTACCCTTTTATGAGCGACAGGAATGACCGATCGCAATGGCGGAGACCAGAATGCTGGTTTCATTTCCTTAAGCCTAGCATTGGGGTTTCCAATCCTTTTATTTAGTCATTATGGCTCTGGAATTCCCTCTTTATGACGAAATATGATGGCGGCTCCCTCGAAGGAAGAAGACAACTCTTTATCATATTACTACTAGTGTTATACTTGCTCATCAGGCCGGCGATCCGGGCCCTTGGTATCGAATACCCAGGTACTGTTGCCCCACACTCTTCCGGGCACCGAGGCCGGGCTATATTCCAGGCCACATCGGGAGGAAACGGTAGATCCACGTGTTAGTCACATATGAAAATCGATTAATAGAGAGGCCTGGACGCTAAAATGAAAGAAAACGAAAAAAAGAGGAGAATGTGAGGAGGGGTTGACCGGATCAACTTTCATGTCACCCTGCGCAGAACTCCCCCCGCGGACTACACCCAACAGAGCTATGGGTGCAATATCTTAGCTGCTTGGATAAATTCAGTTCTACTCTATCTCATGAGAACAAAAAAGGAACACAAAAGGAAAGACAGGTATGCTGAAAGAAAAAAAAAACTAGCGCAACGACATTCAGGCCACAACAAAAGTGAGACCAGTGTCAAGACGCCCCCTGAATCACAACAGGAATCACAGCAAAAATCACATTATTCCCGACCATTTCATTATCCCCCGTTGTAAATCATCGTCGTAATGGCAGGTCGTAGCTCGTAGCAGTGGCAGTAATCATCATGATCGTCATTGCCGTGATGCAGGCAGGAAATGGTGATGGTCAGACAAGCCGACTACACAATGATCTGGAATTCATTCTCATCCGTCGGTGTAGACGTCTCCGAGTCGCCCTTACCCTCTTGGATTTGAGTAGATTGATCTTTAGGCTTAGCAGGAGGATGCGAGGAAGCTGGGCGTTTGCCCGATTTTCTAGGTCGCGGAGGCTTGCCCGAATTCTCACCCCTCTTGTACACCCAGACATTTGGTGGTTCCAACCATATTGTGTCTCGGCGATCGGGACAGAGGCTGAAACAGTTGTGCGCTCTGTGCCATCTTGTCCGAAAGTATGCGCATTCGTCTTTTCTGCCTGGCAAAGCTCGCTCATTTCATACATGGTCTTCATCAGACACACTATCCCGGGGGTGATTGTGTTGGTCCTTGATTGGCATTGGATCGATTTGCTTCCGAGTGCCCTGACGAGGGATGTGGGTTTCAGTGTTCGCGACAGCATTATCGACTGTGGTGGCGTTGTCGGACATATCGATTATAGTAATCGCAGGGTGGGGTTAGAGATGAGGCTGGGGTCACCAAAACCTTAGAAGGAGATAGGAATGCAATGTAATCGTGTTATAGGTGAGAATTTGGGGCTTCAACCGAAGGGGTCTTTCTTGAATGTGATGTGAGAAGTGACAGAGGCGAGATACGTTGGGGTCACGAGGCCGAACGTGTATTTAGAGCATCTAGTGAATGAAACTTCACGGGTAAGCCTAGGCCACAACCTACTAGGGATGACTGAATGAAAGCACGGAGGAAATTAATGGTATGGTATGAGAGATAGAGGAATATGAAGAGAAACATGGTCCGAATGTGCTTCATGGGTGTTTGTGAGATGAGGCTGCCTGAGACTATCTCGGAAATCCAAATGGTACGTGTGGGTTATTCCCACATACTGCAACATCCAAAGGATCCGGAATCCTACTGAAACGTTGACTTGCGCACCATCTCATCCAGTCATGCTATCATGATTTGCTGTAGTCATCGTAAACACCATCCTAATTTATCCCTGTTGTTATGGTTGCGCCGGCAACTCTCCAGGCCAGGAGAAGATCATACCAATCGACCAGTCTATGTAGTCGAAGCAGCCATATTCGATGAGGGAGGAGCGAACGAACCAGCAGGTGTAGAAGTTTTTCACATGGCTTTCACTTCGTCGACTACACGATAAAAGTACATTTCCGTATAGTCTGAGGGCTCGCGGCCTTCAGTACCCAGTTTGAGGAACATCAGGTCCGACAGAAGTGAATTGAACTTCTCTACCCCATTCAGAAAGAGGATCAACAGGCCGTAGGTATTGTACTTGATTCCCACCTCTTTCACCATCGCGTATTCTGCAACAACGGCATTGATGAATGTCACAGGGTTATCATATTCAGCCGCTCTGATATCATTGAACGATGTGAGAATCCGAGCAGCAGAGTAGGGACTATGTCCCTCAAGCTGGCAAACCAGCTTCAAGGTGCACCAAACATCATCAGCGTACTTGAGATCTTCTCTGTTTCTTCTTCCCGTGACGCTTAGGTAGATAACCTCAGACACACCGCGGAATAGCCAGGTTGCGACGGTTTCGCTGCATGGCCGCCATTCCTCAACGAGTAGATTGTTGACTTGGAATTTGGGACGGGGTAAATTGGCGTCAATGAGGTCATTGAGATGTCCTCGCCGTAGAACACGTTCAAAATGGCGCAAACCCATTCCTTCCAGTCGCCTTCTCTGGTCAGAATTTCCTCGATGAGCGACAATCTTGCCGATTGCGGCAGGCTCGAAGCTTGGGTGATCAGCCTCCTTGCATTTGGGGTGGCGGTTGTCCATTCTGCGTTTATCTCGGCCTGCGTAACCTCGGGATGATCACTGAGCCTGAGTGAGCCCAGTCCAGAACTGCCAGTGCCAGCCAGTGTTGCTGCTTGCGGATGCGATTTCTGCCATGCTTGTGAGTCTTAGCGAAGCGTAGTTGTGGTTCGGAATCGTGAATAGGATAAAGATCGAACTTGAAGCCAAGCATGAAGGTGTGGCCTGTGAAAGCAAAAATGATGTAACAAACTTCGTTCTGATGAAGTGCTTTGGATATCGTGACAATGACGGATGAGCGCGATAAAAAACAAGTTCACGCGGCGTTTGGGGAAAGAGCAGCTAGTAAAAAGCTCAGCTATTGGCCGCGCTCGTAACCTATCCCAGAGAGCTGAATTTTGGCAGGAAAAAAGTCAAGGAGAGCGGTATGGTATGAGGGTGGTGAAAGGACCTCGGGAAGGGACTTATCTGAGGCTATCTTGACAAAATTGGAAGGTATACGTTGCCGCAGGGTGGATCCCGAGGTCCACAGCACTGAGCCTCCAGGGCTAAGGCTACTCTGGATAAACACGGTCCATACTCTAGATAGTACGTACTGACCTTGGAAGTAGCCACAAGCATATATGAGAAAATAGTAGCATTTAATTCAAGTTCCTAACTACTCCACCTGGGCAGTGCAACTTTATAATACTTTGGCAGATATACCTAGGTGTTTATAAAGTGGATACTACGACTACCAGTACTAGTAGGTATGTAGTAGTATTTTAGTAGTACCAGTAGAGGTAGTATCTGTACCTAGATAGTACTATACGGTTTTTATTTTCGAAGGGGCGCAAGAATCTCCGAGTCAGGCTTAGAACTTGAAACAGCCAAACAACTTAGAATACGTGCCGTGAATAGTACCAGTAACAACTCATGCCCAGGTGCCGATGTCGCATAATCTATACTAGTCCTGGAGTTTACTACCAGGAGGCAAGATAAGGAGAATATTCACGGAGAAAGTAACATCTGCCGCAAATAATCAATTTAAACCCGGGAAGGGAGTGTGTGTCTTTAATTTGTAGATGGCTCTAGGCTAGAAGGAAAATAGATCTTCTGGTATCATATAAGTAATCTTCTAGCACCACTGAGGAGTGAAAGCATCGTCTCTTGGGGAGGCGCGAGTTAGAGTTTTAAAATAGATGGAATGTGGTCTCCAAACGAGAAATCTTTCACCACGTGGCGGGAGAAACAATTCCAGGACGTAACTGGTCAGTGTACAAAGAGAATGCGGTATCTAAAAGGCAAAATTATGGAACAAAGTAGCGGTTCTCCGATAATAAAGAGGTCTTTCGATGGCAATACTAAGACTGGTATTATTTACATCTACGGAAGAAAGCATTACATGCGGTAGACAAATACCAACCCCCATTCCGAGACAATGTCAAAGAAGCTGAAGGAGACTAGAGGGTTATCCCGAGGCAAACTTGAAGGAATTTCGACAAAGCAAGAACCGGATGATTTACAAAGTTGGAGCTGAAAGCAATTCAAGTTTGAACACGTGCCGCAAACACTGCCGGGTGCCCAGTTGGAGAGTGTGGGGGTGGTTTGGAATCACCGGGAGCATCGTGAAAGATATTGAGAGAAAGGTCACAATTTGTTCTAGAGAGAGTCACATAAGAGATAGAGAATATGAGGTATATTGCCATGTACTCCGAAACCAACGCCATGGAAATCCTTGTTGCATGAAGCACCAGGCCGCGACCGCGAGCTCAAGCCGAGTTTACTCAAGACGATCTCCTTCCTCTCCTTTCCACCACAGCCAGGCCTTCTCACCCCAGAGCAAAGCCTCTAATATAGCACCGGTTACCAAGATGAGCATGATAAACATCTGAGTGTTCTTGCGGATGCCAAGTGACTCGAAACTCATGGCCAGGGGTGTTCCCCATGGCTTTGACGGCCAGTAGTTGGGATCTGACTTTCGTTGATCTTCAGTGTGTTTTGAATATGTCGTGCGTGTTGAGAAGGCCGAGGAGAAGATGGCTACCATCCGAGGATGACTCGCGCGTCTCGGTAGTGTGCGGAGAGAGCCGAAGCTTGCATGTGGGGTCCGGAGCTGGAGCCGTGACGGGATATTCTTCAGGGCAGATTGGAGTGGTCGGCGCAGGGCACCGATGGGTGAAGTCATGATGAATGTGAATAAGGTGGGCTTAGATTCTATCTCTTCGAACTCTTCTAGATTCGAGAAGGAGGCAGTGTGTATGGGTTGAAGTTCAGGTTGTGCAGGTGAGATTGAAGCGGGGGTTGTGTTTGGTCCAAGCGCTAGTCTCAATTAGCTGGTGGCGCTTGTCAGCAGGCAAAGACATCACACTTTCACCGCTTTTCTGAACATGTCATGCGAATAATATGATCAGCATATTTCAAGATTTGTGGGCAATCTTTATGAGGGTGGATATTGTACTGGAAAAGGGCCGGGACATAATGACAGTAATGCTGAGTTGAAGATGTTGTCTCATAAACCGGCAACAGCTTCATGATTCGACCGGAGATCTCCTCAGATTGTCGCATGACCATCCTGCAGAGAAACGAGAGGAGACGGTTTTTTCCAATACAGTCTCACTACCTGGACGCGCGGATGAGCGAACATGGATGCAACTCTCCGCAAACCCCTTCAAGTTGGAAGAAGCATATATTTCTCGAGGAATATTGACGGACGGGAAACCTCTTGAACGCCCAACTGGTTAAGGTTCGTCAAATTCCCGAAACGACATTCAGAGTCTCCTCAGAGCTAGACTGAATTTGGGTGTCAGCTAGAAAAGTTATTTACCCGATATTTACCCTCAGATAGAGACATGATTGGATCTTGACAATTAACCCTAGATGTTCCACTCGGCGCAGGCATGCAAGGCTCTATTGAAGACATAGCTTCAAAATCTTCTGAAGCTTCTAACACTTGCCAAAAAGAAGTCGAAATGAATTAACACACTCGAGATGGCAGGAACTGTAAAGTCACAAATAATTTGTATTCTGCCTTCGGGGGGGGTTGACTTTTCTTTTTTTTCTTTTCTTATCTTTTCCCTTCCACTGTATTGCTACAAACTGAAGAAGGGATGCTGCTTAGTGTGTTTCAAATTGGTTTACATATAGCGCTACTTCTTATTTATTACTGTTTCATGATCTCGTTGATAAAAAAAGCCAAGGATCATCTGGAACTAGAGAACCTCTTTGGAAAATTCCGTCTCTAAGGGGATTTCAAAATCGCTACCCCGACTCTCTGAGATTTCAGACAAACTTGAACGCCAAAACCACAATGCATCATCACATGGACGAGAGCTTTGAAAATCCTTACTTGCTCTTCTGCGCCTGCACCATCCCATTTACCCGTTCTGATCTCTGAATATACCAAAAGCATACCCCGTAAACCAAGTCCGTAAGAAGAAACATGAAGCAGCACCATAACATGAACGGAGATGCAAGGTAGCTGAATTGATCGGGCCAATACTGCACACGGAGATAGAACTCAGGGACCAGGGTAAGAGAGCCCGAGTAGCGAAAATACCTATAAAAATCAGCCAGGGTCTCATTCAAGAGAGTCCAAATCAAAGCACCAACCATAGAGTAAAAGAGAAACCCCGAGTACTACCTCGAGTTATGAGCTAAAACAAAGACCCAACGCTCAAAACAACTTGTAGGACAATGGCGATCATAAAACACGCCTTCGCTCGACCAATTTGCCCCGCAAGTAGGATCTGAGGCAAGATCGACATGCCAATCCCTACTGTATAGATTATGGGTAAATTTCGCTTCACGAGAGGAGCATGGTTCCACTCTCTCGAGCCATATCGAATAGTACAGTATGTCACTTTACTATTGGTAACGACGGCAAGCTGGAAGCAAAACGTCACTAGCCAGTGGTCCGTCGGGCATATAAAACCAAAAGTTATTTCCCGTGCTAAATTGAAACATTGGGAAATCAGTGGCATGGCGTAAGATCGATCTTGAACGGATAGCTTGATTAATCCGAGATAAACGATGAGCCAAGAAATGTTAGTGTACATGGTGTAGAACCAGAATGTATTTTTCCATGCTTGGAACTCAGCCGGGGTAACATGCAGATGTTTCTCATGTCTCCTCCCCTTTCCTTCGATCTTATAGGTTCTTATTATGATAAATAATAGTTCTAGCTATAGTTTTTTTAAAAAAATTTAGATTATCATTATAGAATATTCTCAAAAATTTGTAGTATTTTAAGAATTTTCAACACAGATATATATATTTCTATCACTAAAATATTTTTTTAATTTCAGACTTCAAATACTAGTTCCTAATAATAAATCTAGAATATAGTGCCTGAATATAGCCTCTAAAATGGAGAAGATTGTTGAGATATAATGTTGTAAATTATCATATTTACTGTGTGTTTTGGAGCGGCCGGAACGCATGGGCCGCCGGCTCGCTTGTGAAACACGTTAATACGTTTTCGAATTATGTTTTATCTAATAAATGTCACATTCTGCCTGTATGTAGATAGTTGTAGTTCTTTTAGCCTGCATTCCGCTTTCATTTTGCTTCGAAGAGGCCAGGCAAATGGAATCATCCGATTAATAAGTAGCTGGTCTATCATAAAACGTGATGTTCCATCCCAAAATCTGCTCCGAACAGCTGTATAGAGTTTGCAGACGATTTCGGGCTCATTTTATCTTCTGGCTGCTTGTGCTGGCGTTAATTACTCGAGGAGAGAGACTCGAATTGACAGCTCACCAACGGACAACTTGCTACTTCCAAGTTGACATTCTAAGCCTGAAAATATTGCTGTCTCTTGGTCTGGCTTCCTTATTCATGAATAGGGGCCAAAGAAACTGTCTTACCTACTACTAGTCATATGTCTGTTAATTGATGGGTCTGTCTATCCGAGTCTATAGTTACTAACTAACTATCCTAGTGGTAGTCTTAGATGATTACCCGGAGTATATAAACCCTGGAACCTGTCGGGAACCTTCAGTTGGGACACAAGGATTGATGAAATAAGATGGTTCAAAGTTTCAATATGCCCAGACGAGGCTGAATAACTTGATGCTTAGGCGAAATATCCTTGGTCATTAGTTAACTAGTGAAAGATGGGAATACGCGCTGGCTGTCTGTCAAGCAGACGGGTCGATCACAAGAGGACAAAACCACCACACTCGCAGAGTGCAGGAGGGTAGTAAACAAAACGTGACGCTATAGAGGGATGATAGAACGAATCTCAGAACCTTTCATAAGCAGTATATCGATACCTCAACCTCAGTAGCCTCAGTAGGACGTTTAATAAGGGGGAACATGCATGGTTGTTATTGATACTATCGAACGAACGCTAGTTAACCTCACGAAACAAAACGATAGCCTTGTTGCTAAGGCCTCAGTCACATGACTCCAGGATGCCGATGTTGAGGGCGGAAATCCCCATTACACTAGTTAATTAACTAACTAATCAGGCATTGAGGCCGTCATCACGCCATTTCCAGATAGCTTTGCTCTGATTCCAAGGTTTCCTACCCATGCTATTACTGTGTTTTAGTCCTTTTTATCCATCCATTCATAACTTCCTCAAATACTAGTGTATCGATGGTCATGTGTTCTTTCTCTGGTCAGTAATATTTCGGCGCTCTCCGGGCAATGCCAAGATAGCCTGGGCTAGATTGTGCGTCACGGTGTTTTGCCTCTCTCCACTTTCTACCCCGTGAAATATACCATGTCCAGCTTCGGTCCTCGTCCTCGGCGCCCATTCCCAGCTAGTTACTAGGAAATACCACTATCTAGGTACTAGGTGTTATTATGTCCGAATTTGCGTTGCATTGAGAATATGCGGTAAGTAGATTATAAAACCTTCTCAACTCAAGTTTTCAAAAGTTACTCGGGATCATTCATATTTGAGCCTTGGCATAGTAGTCCTCGGCTGGCTGAATTCTAGTATATGGCATGATTCCTGCCCGCTGGCTTGTTTCGCTTTTCTGCCAAGACTCATACTTGCTGAGAATCCCACATACACTTACACACCCGGGCAGTGCCTTGGTTAATATGTACCTTACCATTGACTCGGAAATATTTAATTTAAGTATTTAATCAATTTCTAACGTAGAGGCACCCCTCCTCAACCCAGGCCCGTCTTGGCTGTTGCAATAATCAATCCTTTCAATTCCCTTGACACAGATGGCCATGTGCTTGAAAATCGTTAGCTCTCAAGGTTCTATTGAGCTTAAAAGTCATATTCTGGATAGTATACTATTGTTTGAATGTAGCCTCTGATTCCCTCGATAGCCCAGGCTTTATTTCAGAGTAAGTTGCTGCTTAGATCCACAGTGATGCTAAGTTTTTTGTATATCAGAAACCCTTGGAACATTGCGCCTAGTCTGACTCGGAGTTCATTCAAACTTTGGAACTGCCCAAGCGTGAAAAAAGGACGGTGTAAACTCTGGAGAATGTAGACAAACTAGAAAGAAATGGAGATATTCGCAAAATGGAAAGAAAGGCCGGCGTCTAGGAAGCGTATAGCTATGGTAAATTTGATTCTGGGATGGTGTGTATAGCTTTCTGTAGACTGCCCATTTCGAAAATCCGCTTTCCTTTGAAGGGGAAGACATCTCCCCATGTATTTGCGGGGTCACTACTATACAATTCTTGGAAAAATTTGATCCCTCTGAGAAAACATCGTAGTTAGCTACGTACCGTACGAAAACCTGTCTTATTGCAGTTGATTTCTTAAAGTTATGTTCCAGAGGGTCGTCGAGTATAACTCAGTAAGCACTCCGGTAGGTAGTACTGTCAGATCTTGAAGTATTATTGTTCCTATCTGGTAAGTAGATAGGTTTGCGACTCTCATTCTTCGGGAATAAGTATCCTAGTACTACTAGTATCATATCACATCAACTTGTCATTGTCGTAATTACTGGCTTCAAGTTGGATATTCAGGCTTCCCGTTTCTTTCGTCACTCAAAGGCTGTGCATGGTTCCAAAAGGTTTATACAGATTTTAATGGAGCCCGAAGCAGAATTTTTACATTCAGCATTGTGCTCTAAATTGACTCTTGTCGAGCCATCCTTTTTCGCTTTCAGGGGGTTGATTCAAGTGTATTACGAGCTCTACTTAACATGTAATATGGAGCTATCACGGGCTTGGTAGACCTATTATAAGCCCGGGATTGCGCAGTCCACATATTTTAAACTCAATACTCGTACCATTTAGAACGCCAATTGCTCTAATCCCTTGATACATGGGTGTTGGACCCTTATGGGCATTCACTCCCGGGCTTGCCGATAACCTGACCCGCTGGCCAGGGCTTCTCATGTCCACAGACCTCCACTAAACCGATCTTCTCCGAGATTTATTTCAGTCAGCGTCAGCCTTGAGAGGTATTGATCTTACTAGGGCCCAAACTTCAGGATTTTTTGTACATCCCGGACGAACCACGGAGGCAATATTCCCCTGTGGTCGAGGTGGGCGACACGGGATCGCAGATGGGGCTTTAGCACACTATAATGGGGCTTTTCCAAAACTACACACGCCAATAGAAATGGAAGACCTCCACATTCAGCTCCCCATACCGCAAATGGGAAGGAGAGTGGATTGACTTTAGTCGATCTCATCTGAAAGAGGGAATAATTGAGGCTTTCTCTCATCTCCCAAATCAGCGCCACCAGATTCTCCATAAGGGAGCGGGTCTGTTCAAGAGTTATCTCAGCATTTACTACAGAGTACGTGTGGAGTATGTAGAATTTTCATTACCACCATTGTATTATGCTATTGTGCAAATGGATGAATCTTGGCAACACTGGGCTGCTGCCCAAAATATAAAAGCCTGGGAGTGCCAGATATCGGAATAGAATCTTATTATCATCCTTTTCATCTTAAATCCAGTCAAAATGAAGGTTTCTGCTTCCATCCTCACCTTTGTCGCTGCGGCGTCCGCGTCTTGCCTCCGTGGTACCTCACTTCTCCCTCGTTCCGCTGATGGCACCGTCGCCGCCAACTCGTTCAACTACACCAACACCGGTGGTCCCCTGAACTGGTACGGACTGGACTCGGCCAACTCTGCTTGCTCCAAGGGCAAGAACCAGTCTCCCATTGTCATCGACACTGAGGATATTGACTACGCCAAGGCTGGCGATGTTCACTTCCACGTCCCTCACTCCAAGTCAGCCAAGTTCGAGAACCTGGGCTCTGGCCTCGAGGTTGTCTTGACCAACGGTACCCTCACCACCAAGGACAACACCTACAAGCTGGCTCAGTTCCACTTCCACACTCCCAGCGAGCACCGCATCAACGAGGAGTACTACCCCATGGAGGTTCACTTCGTCTTCGAGAGCCCTGGTAAGTCTGCTCTGATACCTAATTATTGATGGGCTGGAGTTTCATCCTAACAATAAATAGCTTCCGATATTGCCGTTGTTGGATTTGTCTTCGAGCTGTCCCAGTTCGGTTACTCCACTCCTCTTTTCGACTCTGTCTTCGCTCACATCGATGACATTGCCACCCCCGGCACTTTTACCATGACCGACAACCTGGACTTCTCTGCCCTGACTGGCCACCTGAACTCCCACGGTATCTACCAGTACTCTGGTTCCCTTACCACCCCTCCCTGCTCCGAGAGTGTCGCTTGGTTCCTCAGCACTGAGCCTCTGCCTCTGAATGTCCAGAGCTACAATGCCGTTAAGCACATTCTGAAGTACAACGCCCGTTACACTCAGAATGCCCTCGGCCAGGACAACCTCCTCGAGGTTGCCGCCAAGGAGCTGAACTAAGCCTTGGACGCTCAAAGTATGTATTTGTTACTGGGGTCGAATACGGACGATTGGGAGTATTTGGGGTCGCTGATGACCCGGTGGCTGTTGTGATCAATAGCTGATTGATCCTCATTTGCTGTACATGTAATTTTTTAATCCATAATAGAATAACCACAAGAGGATAAATACCGTCTTGACCGAACATTTCCGACCCATGTACCGGTAGATTGGAGCGATGTGTAATGATGTGGATACTTGCGGAATTTCGCGATCAAAGCGGAGTCAGGAGAAAGAAGGGCTTGATAAAGACAAGCGTTTGTTTGGCTCTTACTAGCGCTAGATCCAAGAGGCAGAGTGGAACCCGAGATCGTGGACGTCCGGAAAACTTTTCATTTCAGCTCCCATGTTCACAGGCCAGAGCCCCTGAACATCTTTAAGGATACAGTTAGATTCGCTCAAACTCGATTTTATCCAAGTTCAATCCCTATATTTTCTGTAATATTCTGATAAAGTTGTTTATTACTAAGGTTTGAGCTTGTGCCCAGGTGATTTGTGGGAATGCAAGAATATTTTCCGAATGTCTCCATCTTCGGTTCCGTTATGCCGGGAATCATTATTTCGTACGTTCAGCCCTGAGCCGCAGATCCTACCTCGAAATGCAGGTACGAGATCCAGATCGGCATTTTCACGCCACTGACGATCCACAATATCCCGTGTGTGCACGAACTGGCTGACTACAAGACCGGAGAAGCCGGGGTTCTACACAAAGGGTGACCCCTCGGTAACGCGCGAACGCATGGTTCTCGGGTGGCTCGGATAGGTCTTTTGATTCGATAATCATTTCCCCTTCGCTCTACGCTCCTTTTTAGCCTCAGGGCCAATACGAAGTAAAATGAGAGCCTTCTGACCTCGGTCTTCCTGGATGAAAAGGTTATGTGTACACGAGAATTGAGCTCTCTGGAGAGGTGAGTGCACAAGTGATTGGGCAGTGAGTCCCTGTGGTTTCATTTTTCTTGCCCCATGACAACCATTTATTAAGCATGTAGCATGTACACGCTATTGCTGTGAATGGCGATTTGGTTGAGGCTAGAAGTCCATGATATTACCGGTCCTACGATAATCAGTTCCATCACAATATTGACGAGCAGAGCATGCTTCTGGTGTCCTAGAAAGAGCGGGGGCTCTCCCGAGGCATCTGGGAGCGTCCTGTTGTGGAACGCCCGTGTTTTCAACAAAATGTTAATTGGTAAAAACAAAAGAAATTGCACCAGATATAATGCTTAGACTGGCTTTCGTCGGCACGGCCACTTTCAAGAGTTAGCAAGCAGGGCAGTGGTGATCAAAACTTGGAGCATAGAGTATCGCCATGTTGAAAATCCATCGGTTTGGCATGATCTTGGATGGACCTCCAGGGCTGGTTTACCACTCCAAAAGTGGGGTGATTCCTACAAGGTACCGATTCTTGCAAGGTCCCCGGGGTATTTGAGGTCAGAAGCAATAATTTTGGACTACATTCGAAATTGACGAGTCCAAATTCACATTTAAGTCGCCAAAGAAGAATTTTGAAGTTGGTTGAGTTTGGGAGATCTAGTACTTGGCACCTAGGCAGGCCCACTTGCTGGCATGCCGAGCTTCAACAAGCATTTTGAAATATTGTGTGCTTGCATCTTTTGATAGGAGGGAATTCCGGTTATATTTTCCATGTCGCCAGCCTCATCAGTCACCCCCAGCCCACGTTTTTTTTTCAGTTTGTGTCACCTAGAATCTGGGTTAGACCCTACACTATGCGTCACATCTCGAACCCGGCGCCAGTCAGACCACGATGCCCCTATTTTCAGTCGCCAAGCCTGGCACTTGTCGCACTTTCTCTGCTTCAAACCGAATGTTGAACAGCGATCGATCCCAGCTATGACCAGTTTTCATCAAGAATTGACTCCGTGAAAATTCTCCGGGTCAAAAATTCATCGTTACATTGGACGACTCGCGACTGAGTCCGGCATGGAAGAGAACAAAGGAGGAAGCCAAGAGGCCAAGAGACGTGGGGCACCAAGATCGGCCTAGATCGGCCAAGCTCAAAGAAAGTGCATTCTTTGCGAACACCCCTCGCGTCAGCATGTCAGCAAGTTCCCCTTGCCAGACAACACACAGGTTGTGATCAATCGCTGTTACACTATGTCAGAGGGTCTAGGAATTGAAGAGCAGGATCTGAAGGCGCAAAACCCGCGCTTTCTGCTCCGGCAACCTCGTGCACTTCAATGGTTTGAGCACGGTCGCTTGATCAAGCGTCATGACGAGGAAAGACAAGCTGGTCAGCACACCTTCAGAGAGTGCAATCGCACTCGCGGATACGCTATCTGCAAATTCTGAACATCCATCACTCACACCTCGCACTTATAGGTCGCTTTGAGCTCTTTCTCGATTTACTATATGTCGCGATCCTATCTAACTTTGCGGATTTCCTCGCGGAGGACATTTCGGGCGCAAAACTTGTCAAATACATAGTCAGCTGCCCTCAAACGCGGAGTAATCTCTTCCGATCGTTCTGAAACTGACAGCAATACGTCTATAGTTAGTCTTAGCTCCATCGTGGCACATATGGAGCGACATACGCGAATTGATGAACTCGTTTTACAATGATGACCTCCTCCAACGCCTATTGATTCTCTGGTTAATGGCCGTGCTGGTCGTTTATGGGAACAATGCTCCACTGGTTGACGAGGATATCGGCGCTATGCGCTCAGCAGTCGGATCCTACATGGTCGCCCGCGTCACGAGCAATCTTGCGCATCTTGTCTTCTCTTTCGCAAGCTATCACCACCGTCGGCAACAACGGCTTTGGGTGGTTCTGTCGACTATATGCCTTTGTGTCTATATTCCCCTCTACTTCGAGGATGTATCGACTCGAGGCAAGATCGCGGCTGCTGCGGTCGCGATATCGCTAGAGCAGATCACTTGGGTTTTCTGCTATAGTCCGGCGGCGAAGAAGTTGCTTCGCGTGAAGTATTCAACTGCTGTGGATATTGCACATGAGATTGACCGTTTTGCAGCGTTCTATATCATCGTTCTGGGTGAATTTCTTTATCTCATCGTCAAAGGCTCAAATGCCGCCATTGGATTCAATGAGGGCCTCCTGCGTGCTATCTGGACTTTGATCATTGCTTTCTGCCTGAATTGGCTTTACACACATGCCGACGGGTCCATGGAAAGTACACACCCACTGCGACACAATATCTACACTGCGTTTTCCTTCGCCGTCATACACTTGCCACTCATTGCGAGTCTTTTGGCAGGTGGACACGTCGCAGCGGCTTCGGTAGCAGAAGAAGACTTCGAGGACGCGCAGCGGTGGTTGCTTTGTGAAGGCCTTGGTGTGGGAATGATGTGCCTTTATTTCTTTGCACTGATCCATGCCTGCCAAGATGAACCAGGCACATTGTTGATGACAAAGGTGAGTTTGATGCTGCAACAAAGCCTTGCTTGGTTTCTAATTTCATTTCAGCACGTTCGTATCATAATGCGCCCGATCACCGGTCTCATCACTATTTTACTTCCACTTGCTCACCATCTCAACGCCACGGAAATTCTTTCGATTATAATGGCCATGTATGTCGCCTGCTTGGTTTGGGAAACTGTCGGTTCGCTCAAAAAGGGAGCTTGCTTCTTTGAGCGATGGAGAGACACCGATTATCCTGAAATTCACCAACAGGAAGTGGGGCTTAAAGATAATGAGGCAGCGATGCCTGAGTCGGGGTAAAGCCGAATATTGCGGCAGTTATATGACATTTGTGGAAGCTTCACGCTTCTACATGATGGATAGAATGAAGGGCAGGATGGCTTTAGAACTGAGAAGGGTCGATTCCTCGCATGCTTTGTCGCGAAGGTGTAGATACCTAATCATTAGTAGTTTATTTGATTTTATGATTTGATTTTTTCATCTCCTATCTGTAGCTCTACATAGCCACATAATGCTAGCAACGAGACAAAGCAAATATCCCGACATTTTTGATAATCGGTTTCATTCTTCCCTTTTATTGGGGTCTCTTTCACGTTCGACATCAAACAGGCTAATTGTTGGGGGATTTATAGTGATGAAGACAATACATCAATGGGTTTGATGGATTGAAAATTGTCTTATATAGGCTTATTCTACTTGCGTGACTTTTGACATCTCAAGTTTCGTTTCTTTAAACTTAGACATTCTTAAAGGGGGATTATAGCTTTAAGTTTGTATCCTCGTGAAGAGTTTTGGTTGTTATTGCATACTGTATATGGGTACGAGACCTCGGTTATTCAATAACTGAATAATGACTGGGATTTAGTACTGTATGGAGAATAACGCTGCAACTCGGTCATCTTGGTATTTGCGTTCGAGAAACAATCAGAGAATGTAAGTTCTGCCGGCGGATACACTGATTGAACCAGCCGTTAGTTCTTCCCAACACACAGTCATAGCTACCCTTCGGGCCGGCCTACGGTCAACGAGTGTGATCCTGGCGGGGGAGTTTGATCGCTATAATTTGACTTCGATTGGTAGTCACACCTCTCTGAGATTGACTGAAGAGGTATGTGATTCAATCGTTTTCTTTAAATCCAATTATTCAAACACTTGTACCTGTCTCTCTCTCGGGGGGCTGGGGGGAGGGAGTGACATACTATGCTCTTAATCACCCGAGAAGAAAGTCCACGATTGACGAGATACGAACCGAAAAGAGCTACGTATCAAATTCCATATCTACCACAAGAACTACCGATAAGACCATCGTGTCACATAATGGGAATTGAACATCCAAGCTGGATAAAATCCGGTCACCAAAACAAAGAAGGCTTTTAACCACACCGAGTGCAATTTTATTTACGCTTTCGTATTTACAACTTTGACCTGCTTGATAATTCAACCACTTTCTATGGTGGCGCATAAACTTTTATCGACGAATATTCCCGACGGTTAGGAAGTAATTGGACAGAGGAAAACCTAACTAATATACAAACAGAAAATTTAGCTCGCATAGAAGTCTGGCGCGGAAAACTAGGTCCTGCTTCGCATGCGAGAAGACCGAGCTCATCCATGTAACATGTCAAGTAAAAGAGCAACTGCTAGGCCATGAAGCTGTTTTTTCAATAACTGTCACGTTAATTCCTGTGGCTAAGTTGCGGGGGTACTCTTTGACCAGGGATGAAGATGTGAAGAGCATGTGGAAGAGGCCACAGTACCAAACACGCAACAAAAGTCACTATTACCTTGAATTCATCACTCGACCTGCTCACCGAACAGATTCGACAACTCTACCAGGAAATGTGTATGTAACACTAGTAGTGAAATACACGTCAACAGTTTGATACGACCCACCACGAGATAAAATTTACCTTCGACCCGTACAAAGAAGCTCCTGAATCCGGATCATATCGACATTCAGAACGGCGGCCACTAAATTGTTAGATTTCATACGGATAATCCTGACCCATTCAGTAGTTCAATTCTCTACAGTATTAAATCGCTACTAGGTTAGTTACAAAACCGATTCTCCACCAATCCGACAGTGTCGCAGTTGCTAGATAGACCCCGCCAAGAGGGAGTTCACTTTTAGCAACTATTTAGAACCGTCGATATTGTTAGCTTACGCCATCTGCCGAACTGGATCGTTGAATTCTGCTTGATGATATCGTTTTATCAGGTCGCCTAGATTGGATCGATATCGACTTTCATGTGAGATCTTTATTCCAGTGTGGATGAGACAAGTTTTCAACCCCTACAAGCTCCAACCTGGGGGAAAAAATGTCCAAGAGAATTCCTTGTGATATTCGAACTCCTTGTCGAAGATGGAGGATTCGGAGTTTGCGGATAGACCTTCCTCCCTGTTCAACCGGGGTATGCTGGCCTGACATGTCTTAGCAAAGCCTCAATTGATTTCCCAGAAGATCCGACCCAACGAGAGATTTCCCAAATCACTATGCAGTGAAACACTTGGTCTTAAAGACCCAGTTCATGACTTGGAGTAATTCTTATGCCTATCGTTAGAAACCTGCAGAATGACTAGCTGAGACAGTCAGTACCTAACAATTCAGCAATCAATACATATTAAGGCTCTATTGAGAGTTGATATCTTAATTCAAGGGTCGTTACCAAAACATAACTTCCTGCTAGTGTCGTATCTTCGAAAAGAGGTTTCCTTCACTTCATGGAAATACAGACCAGCGACCGGTGCCAAGACCAAAGTCTGGCGATATTTCCGAAACCAGATCCGAATCTATTTGTCAACTAGGAACATCATTTGATCACGACGAGTTCCAAAGGTTTCAGCAAATTTATGTTCAAAATATGGACCGGCACCGCACTTATTCCCAGAAACTTCGTCATACACAGCAGGGGCCAGGGGTCAGCACTGCTTCTAGTAGGAAAACGTGCACATGAACGAGGACGGAGTACAAATAGTGGCTGATCATTACTGATTCCCATATTCGGCACAGATACTCTCCAGGAGCATCAGTCACCTTCACATTCGTTGATCCTTTGAGCCTAAAAGTCATAATAATGAAGATTCTCAAAGTACTGTCATTCACGCCAGGCGCCTTGGCCAGTGCTCTCTCGGCTATTCATATTGATTCCAGAAGTCTATTAGATATTTACTCAGCCGCACAACAGGAAAGCGGGATTCTTCAGGTGGCTCATGGGGGTGATGGTACATACTTTCATTAGACAAAAACCAAATGCTAGTGCTGACAACAGACTTTACAGAGCGTAAGCAGGCGGACCCTTTGTTCGATGCATTTGCCGCAAAGTTCCCTCGAGTTAAAGTGAATCATACAATTGACCTCTCGAAGTATCTTGATGGCAGAATAAACCTGGGTCTTTCTCAGAATCAGCTATATGCAGATATGGCTATTCTTCAGACATTGCAGAACTTTGACACCTGGGAAGAGGAAGGTGTGCTCTTAAATTACAAGCCACCCTCATTTGACATGATTTGGCCCTGCTTGACAAGTGTAAATGGCGCCTATCTCCCTGTGTTTGCAGGTAAGGTTTTTTGTACCTTGTCTCATGTCTCAATTCTGAAAGGCCTAATTCTGACCGCTTGAGATTATACAGCTAGCTTTGGATCATTCGTTTTCAACTCTTCGGCGATCCCGTTGGTAGACATTCCTCGGTCCTACGGAGATATCTTAGACCCGAAATGGAAAGGGAAGATTGTTTTGACCTATCCAAATGATGATGATGCTGTTTTATATCTTTTCAAACTCATCATTCAGCAGTACGGATGGCAATGGATAGACCAGCTGCTGGCTCAAGACGTTCACTGGGTTCGGGGAACTGCCACGCCCGGAGAAATAATGCTGCGCAATAAAAGCCGAACAATTTCTTTCACAACTCATCCTCCCGCCGCGGATTGGGTCAGTGTTCCACCCACCTCCGACAGGTATATGAGCTGGACACAAATTAGCGCTATCTTCAAAGACACAAAGCTACCGGAAACTGCGAAGCTTCTCCAGGCATACTTGATTTCGGAAGAATATCAGCTTACCAAAGGAACCTCGTCTATCAGGAGAGATGTTGGAGCCACTACCATCTGGGACGTAGAAAATACAGATTATATAACTTTTCATCAATTCATGGAGAGGCGAGACATGGTCGAACAGTGGCGGTTTATGCTTGAGGACAGGATCGGAACAGCTCAGGGCTTGAGCCCACTTATTGACACTGTATTTTAAGATGACAGAAGGAAGCTACGGTATGATGATAATGGTTGGAACAAAGCAAGTATCTACGGATTGTAGTGCTATATGGAGTAGATAAATACAGTAAATGAGCACAGCCAGAACAGGCGTTAAAGAGAGAAAGTGCAGTTATCCACCCGTCACTAAAAGGCAAGAATGCTGTAGATCAGAGCGCGTGTAACGCAAATGAGAAACTCCCAGCTACTTTCATCTCCATAGAGAGTATTCGAAAAGAATGCGCAAGAAATTTTCAACAAACGAGCTATAGATAGATTGCAGATTTCAGCGCATGTAAAGATCAGAAGAGAAGAGATCTCAACCTTGTGGCACGGGGGCTGCATATATATAATAAGAAGGCATTTTATGAAACAAGCCACTTAGTAGTGTAGTAACCTTAGAATACCACCTAAGCTCAGCATTCTTTCTGTTCCAGCTACCCAAGAGACAGATAATAACAAATTCACAGTCACGTGATACATTTCCTAGTGTTCTAAGCTCATACATTACCATTGAAAGCTTCAAAGGGCCGTGCCAAGTATAAACTACCTATTCCAAACCTACATTATTACATATAAAGCAAAATTTTCTTCATTACATACTATTACAAGTGTGACGAACCTGGCCGCTGTTGCCTGAGTCACCTGATACGTCACGTGCCTAGACACCAGTTCATGTACGATAGTTAGACCTTGCCAAAGCCCGGGCCGCTAAGGAATCCCGAAGCCTGTGACTAGCGGCCTGCAGGCCTAAGTTTTAGGCCCGAGCTCGTGGGCCTACAGCGGCCAGGTTCGTCACAAGGACTCGATCCAGCCAGTCATACACCACGATAATTACAGCTGAGATGACATATACAGAAAGTAACCATGTATGGGCTGCAAGGAGACGTTGCATATGTTAGGACATATACTGGTAGATCAGTGACAGTTGCCCTTTCGGCTTAGCTGCCGGGCGTTAATAAATTGTGTGTGTGTGTGTGTGTGTGTGTACTATATCACTAAACCTTCGTCATGACATGCCACCCGGCCTTATAGACCCGACTCGCAAGTACAGCAGTACCACATATGGCGAGAGCCGCACCACCAAACGATTGAAGGGCAACCCATCCGCCGTGGTGCAGGATAGCTCCGCCCACTGGAGTGCCAATAAGGATACCAAAGCTACCGGCTGCAGTGATCATTCCCATCCGGACCCCAGCAACATCGAGGTGGGGGCTGAGTTTGGCGATAATGCTGAACGGTAGCGTCATGAATGCCCCGCAGAAAAAGCCGTATAGCGTAACAAAGATAATCAGACCAGCGTTGTTGTCGATGCCGATCCATGCAAAAGATAGAGCGGCTAGAAGAAAGCAGGTGGGTATGAACATATTCATGGGGCCTGTTTTGTTTGCTGCATACTATTGAAAAGAGTAGGTCAGAATGGTACCACTTGTCTGCGGTAAGTTAAGATAATATCATGTGAAAGGGAAGACAACAGAAAAGCGCATATACATTGGGCACAATTCGTCCTAGCACCGATCCTGCGTTGAGAGTGGGTAGTAGGTAAGAGGCAAGCTTGGGATGCATTCCGTGGTAAGTCGCATTTATTGCCACGTAGACTAGCGGCATATATACGCCAATGAATCCGAAAAATGCTCCAATCGCGAAGAGGAAGAACGAGGGCTCTTTACAGGCCGATTTATCGAATAATTTACGAACAGTTGATGGCCTGGGTCGGAATTTCATAACAAATATAGAAACAAGCAGCGTGGTTAGCATGATAAATGCCATGGCCCGGGTGGACCAACCAAAGCCGACGGATTTCACAAGCTGCTGGAAGATAATTGGATAGAGGACACCTCCTAGAAGAAGGTCATTACCATGGGTTTGTCTTCAAGCCATTAACATGATGTCTGAATATAAGAGCTTACCAAGACCGCTTCCACTCCCGGCGACTCCCATGGCGAACACAAGATGCGATGAAAAATATGTAGGCAGTATCGCGATTCCAGGAACGAAAAGACATGCCCCCCCCGATACCGACAGTAATACCTTGCGCGAGAACGAAGTGCCAATATTCCGTGCACAAGCTTACCATTATCATTCCAAAAACCATTAGGAAGGTGCCCACTACCAGCAAAGTGCGAAAATGTCCATGGTCGTAAAGTGGTCCGGCAATAGCACCTCCAAAGAGAAATAAAAAAGTTTGAATGGACCCAATCCAGGCAATCTGGGAGGGGCTGTGCCCTCTTAGCAGATCGGTCTCGTAGTAGGTCTGAAATGCACCGTAGGTGTTAACTATACCCCTGGTACAACGATAAAACGACAAATGTTAGCAAGAAATTGGCAAGGGACATCAAACCAGATCCCGCTTTACACTAACCAGCAATTGAACATGAGGCACCAGCTACCGGCGACTTGCATCCAAGCAATCCACCCTTCATTAGAAGGCGATGGCGGGGGAGAACTTATTTCGAGTGGCTCAAAAGATTCCTGTCTGCCGTCTGTCATGGTTTCAAGCTTGGGAAAGCTTTAAGAATGGCGACAGAAGATGGGAAACCAAAGCCAGTGGAAATGGCGGCGTACAGTTGAAAAAACGAGTTTGAGACTTTAAGTATGGGACTATTTCTCAGCCTGGAGGACTGCCTCGGAATTGGGAGATCTTGTTTCTTCTAGAATGCCATGGAGCATCCCAAGTTTCCTAGTATCACCTGATCGCGTGATTCGTAATCAAGAAGCTACCCCAGGGATAAATCTCCTTCCCTCATTAGCTTTTTTATGTGCCTTTGTGAATATCAATGCTTTGTTTACATCGCATATCGCATCATTCCATAGTGCGCCTATTCATTAACTGTATCTTCAATTATTCAGTTAACATGTGATCTGGTTGGTAGTTGTTGACCGAAAGTAGAGGAAAATACCGCTAGACCAAAAGAATGCCAAAGGCATCAGTCTGGCACTAGTCACGTATTTCCTTATCCCGACAATAGCTATGACACTGAATTTACTATAAAGAGGTCATTCTTTTGTAAAGAATCTAGAAGAGAATTTTTAAATACTTTTAAAGTGAGCAATACAAATTTCAGTACGCCTGATCGAAAGTGACTTTACTGGAGGGCAGTACAGTAACAGTACCCAGTAGTAAAACTAGTACCAAACTATGTCGCTGGCAATTGACCACACCGCTTTCTGTCAAACGAAGAGTGATATGTGTCAGACATAAAAAATACTGGAATACTGGGTTAAACCAGTGCGTGCGCACTTTTGGCCTAGTAGCGTATTTTTGGCCATATTCTCGGTTCAAAGAATACGCAAGGTACACGTGACCCGCTGGTCTATCCTTTTACTCTCGGAATAGCTTGTGACCCATTTACTATAACCAATCACTGGTACTTCGTTGTCTCTATTATTTATGTTCGTACCCACACAAATTTGGATGTGCCCGAGGATGACGAAGAACCCCCCTTAGCTAAGTTACAATGATACATTATACCATGTCTTACAATACTAATTCTCCACTGATACCGACATTGACTCATGATTGTCAGTATAAATTGACTACTGACGTGTACGAGTATGTAATGTGTGTCAAGCGCCATGAAGATTCAAAGATCGGTACAGCTTAGTCGTTTGTTTTACCCTTAGTTAACGTAATTCCCGCATGGCCGGGCCACCTACCCCCATTAGAAATTTTCAAAATCAATTATCTCAACTATACCCATTAATTCAACTAAATATAACGGTTTTTATATGTATTAATCCTGTGACCAGTCTCCTTACACCCACTATACCTAGGCGGGGCCCTGGTAGGTGGTGAATTTGCCTGACTAGGCAATCTGTCCTGCGTATGTAATACTACCTGATCAGCTTCTACCGGCTGGTTTAGCTGATCAACTAGATGTAGATCCTCTTCGACGTTTAAACCCTCTTCATAAGGTATCTTTTTATTTAAACGATTGCGTTTCTTAACAATCCTCTTGTTTGCCGTACGTAGATCTGCGTTCTCCTATGTAAGTAATATAGTGTTATGCAGCGCTTTACAGTGGCCCTTGATAATGTGATCTAATATATTCTTTGATGGTCTTAGAGAGCTCTTTAACCGCCGGTGTAGTAGATCCTTAAGTATTGAAACTTGCTTTTGTAGTTGAACAATGGTTCTAGATGTTTTTAGTATAAATTGGCTAGATCTGCTGCTTGGCTGGCTGCTTAGTAGTATAGGTGTTTGTAGAGAGATATTAAGCTTTGAAAGTACTCTTTCTATATTGATTGGTACTAGGCCACTAGCTCTAAAGCTATTCTGAATAGTAGATGGTTTTTGGAAGGCCTCTAGCCACGTATGTTAGTAGTGTTCCAAAAATCACACTTGTCAATATAGTTATATCCTATATGTGTAAGATCACTAAAGAAATGGCTATATGCCCTCTGAATTGCTATAAAGTAGCCAATATCAAGTAGTTATAGTAGATGTGAAGAGTGCGCAGGTATACAAAGAGGTATTAGATTATTTTCTGTGTAAATCTGGTCATATTAGGGTATAAGATAGCTACCATGGCCGTCAAGAATTAATAACTGATCGTGGCCGTGTGTATGTATTAATAGGATAAATACCTTTTGTAGCCAGTGTGGACTAATCTCGTTAGTAGTCTAGCTGTTATTAGAGACATTAAATCACTAACCTTTTAGTATATTATTAAGCCAACTGGCAATAATAACTTTGCCCTTAAAGATCATATATAGCGGTAGTAAGTAGCTATTAGTGTAGATTACTTTAATAGTAGTAACCCATTTGTGATATCCTGGCTGTAAGAGTTATCCCCGACTATAGTATTCACCTCGCGTTACCACCTTCTACAAGGATACAAGGCCTATTGTAAACTCTGTCTTATCAAAGTTGTAGATATCCTCCGCTTGTATCCCGTGTTCATCAACCAAACTTTGTACGGTCACAAACCAGGGTCGTAGAGCTTTAGGATCTTTATTTAATACACTTTGGTAGTCGTATCGTACTGAGAATCGTGTTTGAAGCTCCTCACGACGTTCAACAAATTTTAATGGCCAGTTCTTGCCAATAGTAGGCGGAGGTTGGGTACTGTGTATAGCTAGTAGGATATTCGCCATCTCTCCTATAGTAGCTGGTCTAGGCACTGCTCCAAGCGTATTCATAGAGATAATCCAATTGACAAGCGAGCCCTCTTCTATTTTGGTTAATTTATAGCGATTTGGGCGCTTATCAATACGTGCGACTCGGCCGCCAGCGCGATATTACAGTGTTGAACGTGGTATTGCGTATAGAGTAGCTGCTGCACGAATAGATTTGATGCGGCCGTTTTTAGGATCATCAAGGGCTAATAGGATCTTACCCTCCTGGCTAGCTAGTTTCTACAAGGGTTCAATGCGAATTGGTGGTATAGTAGGTAGTTGTAGTTGGTTTGTTGGTAGGAAGACGCGATTTTCGATGGGGTGGCCCGGTCAAACGGGTGGCCCGGCCATGCGGGAATCACATTAGTTAACTAATGCAGTGAGGGATTTATCTATGCACCTGATATCAGGTGGCCTATCTAGTCACATGGCATAAAAGCCCTCGTTAGCAACAGTTTCAATCAACAACCTTTGCTTGCTTACTTGACTATCAGAGATTCTTTTATTGCGACCCGGTTACCCTACTTCAGCCCTTGCGTGGCCGATGCTACGTGGTGGTGGTTTGTAGGACTGCCTCTTCGACCCGTCTGCTTAGGTGGACTCGCCATCGTGCACTCCCTATTTCACTAACTAGTTATGACCCTTATAAATTGTATGATTGAGGGGAAGCTACAGCAGTTCATTAGACTCAATTTTCAACCTGAAATATACCACTAGCACTCTTCTAGACACTGTTGTTCAGCATTTAATCGATCCTGCGCCTATTTGGCCACAGAAAACCTGTTTTTAAATCTGTAACCAGACATAAATAAATAATCCTCTCGATTAGATATCCTCAATACTAACTAGCATTCTATTTCCAAAAGTTGACACTCAATTATACCTGTCAATGGATGTTAAGTTCGGCCCACCCTGCTCTCTGACAATAATGATCTGTCCGGCATTCTGCGTCCGACCATCCGGCAACTACCACGGGATTTCAAGTCGCAACAAAAGAACAGTGTGACAAAAATCAAGTCACATGCAAAGAGGCCTGTGATACATTTTTATTGTAACACAAAGTCTGGAACCCCTCACGAAGATGGTACGATTCTATGGGTCATATCGTGCGTGAGATGCTCCCAGACAAATGGAGCTTTGGTTTCCGATTTCTTGAAGTTTTTCCAAGAATCAGTCTTTACATTTCCAAGTGATATGTACAACAGATTGACTCAAAAAAACGTCTATTTCCTCTTTTCTATCTATCCTCGTCTAGTTGACAGCTGCCAGCCTGCCCCTTAGCTCAGCCCTTTACAGCAACCGTGGCTTTCCTATTTGTCATTACTCTTTTCCCTTTCTTTTTCTCTGCAAGAGATAACGGATTTGCCTAGACTTGAGCATAGCCCACACCCCAAATGCGGGGTAATTTTAAGTTTCCGTTTCACCCGAAAATTCCTAATCTTGATAACTCCGAATGAAACCTAGATGATATAGAATAGTTTCTAATAGATGATTCTGTCTTTGCGAGATCTGAGTGTTAAAACTACGAAAGATATTAATAACTTGGTCGCTCTACCGACCGGTGTATAGGTCTAGATCGGCCTGCGTCCACAGAACTTAAGACATGACAGCACCTACAAGGTCGCTCTTCGATGGTGCGCATCATGGTAGTGTGATTGGACGATGCCGCTGACTGTATATAGTTTTCGGAAGGCCTGGAGGCTTGTGTAACGTAGCACCAGGTCTCTTCCCGCAGGTTTTCCTCATCCCATCACGAATATTTTCTTAGTCAGACCTTGAAGGTTAGACTTGAGTCAGAAAATTCGGACCAAAGGGTACAGTGGCGTTGCAGTAGTTTGAAGCTCCCGGCAGAAAAAGAGATAGGTTTGCCCCACGAAAACCTCTGTTCAGCAAATGGTATGTAGTTGAATAAGGGGCTTGTGCCCAGCTTGGTGGGCGGTAGGCCTAGTTTGGCTGGCGGTATAAAAGGTGGTAGAAGAGGGAGTTTCAAACTACTGCAACGCCACTGTAGTATCTGTGGCGACACCTCTGGTTGTAGGGACGTCTGAAGGCTTGTGTAACATAGCATAAGGTCTATTTCCCAGCTTTTCTCATCACGAAAGTTTTCCTAATCCGAATCCGACTTCACATTGATAATGAGAGTAATAATTGCATAATTCCCGACTGGAAGTCATCTTATCATGTACATAGAAGTACGTAACGAGATAGCACCATAGATTCCCGCCACTGCTGCGCTCCGGAGGCTACTACTGCACGCTCAACAATGCTCATTCCCCTCTAGACGCCATTCTATGTGGTCAACACGGTAGATTGCGTTTGAGTTATGAGTTCGCTGATTTCGCAACTCGAGCTGGTTTTGTGTAGAAAGTGGCCTCGCACTACTGAAGCTGGATCGCCTGGAAGTGCTGCTTCTGATACAATCGAGGGCCAGCTGGACCAGAATCCGGTAGCAAGGCAAACATGCGGCGACTAGATAAACGCCGGGCTCGACAACACTCCATTGAAGAAAGGTGACAGATTTCCAGGTTCCGTCAGTCAAGGGGTTGTTTTCAAAGAAGGCGACACAACGGCAGATACTGGTGACTATGCCACTGATGGCATCAAGTTAGCACTTAATAATCAAGTTTGAAAAAAAAGATGCGAGGCTGATTACATGCTGCCCGTCATGAGAGTAAGGGCCAGGCCAATCTTGATATGCCTCGGGGCCTGGAGCTTCCAGACGGTCGGCAGGGGCAAGATTAACATGAAAAAATCGATAATAATATTCGGTAAGGTTCCCCAACGGTAGAATGAAGGTATATTGATACAGTTGCCGCCCGGAATAGTCTTATCCCACATATATGCTAGAGGGATACAAACAAAGCCACCAACGAAAAAGACTGCCACTGCGTACGAACAGACAATGCTAATCAAGGCGTAGCAGGCAATCCGATGCGCCTTGGACGGTCGGAAGATGCGCAGGTAAAGTGTTAATAGCATCATACGCGGCATGGCACATGCTGCCGAGTATATGATCGGCGTCGCCACGAGGATCTTGGCCCAAGACACTAGAGCCGCTGGATCCATGGCTTCCACACCATCGAGATGGTAGCCCACGCGGCCTAAGCGAATGCCCACTATGGGTTGCCGTTAATCGGGTTGTTGTCGAGCCGCTTCTGAAGAAGGCGCGTATAGACTCACCCAACGCTACGGTATTCTGACCGAGGCAGAACAGCAGGGCAGGAATAGCGAGGAGATCATCCAAGCCAAATGGCTTTTTACTAAGAGAGAGAGAAAGGAATCGGAGCGATACGGTGATGATATCGATGACGGTGAAGAGAATCACTATGTCACGTAATCGATCACCCGAGTATTGGCGTAGACGCTCAGGCGAGATGAGAAGCTCTGGACTGGCAGACATGAGAGGAGATGATTAATCGGCGAGAGCGGGCTCAGGGCAAGAGATTTCGGAATCTAAAAGTATTCATAGCGCCATCGACACCCCACGCTCGGAAAATAACTAACTACACGAGACTTTATAAACATGGCATTTCCGATTGAGATGAGTGAGCTATAACCTGACTACATAGTCTTACTGTCTTCGGTCTGTTCTTAGTCGTCCCCTTCGTCAGCACTATACTCTTCGGTAACAAACGCCTGGTGATCCGTGATGAGAGCTCGTCAAGAATCGCAGGTACCTTTCTACTGTGGAACTGTCGTACAGTTTCATCTCAGCTGCAGTGCATCCATGGTTACTCTTTTTGGTCGTCATACGGGTAGCAAGCAATGCCGAGTCCCTGGCCTTCGGGTTCATGTATCCATCACCTGGTTCGTTGGTCAACATGTCACATCAACTCGGTGGCCGCATGCACCCAGGCCTCTTGCCTCTCCCATCCACCGCTCTTTCGTCGGCCTCGCGCGTTTTCATCATTTCAATATTGACCCTCGGTTTCCACAAGCCCAGCGCTCTTCACTTACCGCAGATACTGCTTTTTCTTCCACTATCTCACCTTCTCCCGTTCGACTTGGATCCCGAATCATGTCCACCGAGCAGTTTAGCATCCTCGAGCATGTCGTTCCTGCATGTCATATCCGCGAATATGCAGGTAGTACTGTGGACCAGGAAGACACTCTGGACTTACACGTCAAGCAATATACCCCCCGCACCCCAACGGAGTCCGCTACTGCCGATGCAATCACCATCATTGCTGCCCACGGCGTGGCTTTAGCAAAGGAGCTGTATGAACCGTTATGGGACGAGCTTCTGCTGAAGAGTCGGTCGCGTGGAGTCAATATCCGGGGTATTTGGATTGCAGACTTCAGCAGTATGGGTAGGAGCGGCGTTCTCAACGAGACGAAGCTTAGCATGGATTGTGAGAGCCCCTCTCCATCAACCGTGTTCAGAAACTAACTAACCCTTCCGCTAGGCTCCTGGATGGACCACGCGCGTGACCTTCTCCTCTTGGTGAATTACTTCCGTAGCCAGATGGTCCGTCCACTCGTCGGCATCGGGCACAGTTTCGGTGGCACGATCATGTACATGCTTCCCCTTGCCCCTCGCTTCGTATATTCACTAAGACCGTCCAGCGCTAACCTGGCCTACATCCACCCTCGCCTTTTCACCACCGTTATTCTCCTCGACCCCGTCATCCAACTCACCCCGCCCACCATGGGCTTCGGCACCGACCCTCCCGGCGCAATCAACTACACCCTCTGGCGGGATGACATCTGGCCCACCCGCACTGCAGCCTACAACGCCCATCGCAAACTACTCAAGAACTGGGACCCTCGCTGCGTCCACCTCATGCTCCAGTACGGCTTTCGCGAGCTCCCCACTCTACTCCACCCGACTCGTCCGCCATCGACAAGCATCACCGATTCAGATATTAAGCAACAGGATACTGACACTGATGACACTCCGGTCACGCTCACAACGACAAAGCAACACGACCTCCTCGGCCAAATACGGGAGAATTTCTCGTCCCGAGACCCAGACGACCGAGTCTCCATTAACCGCGCTACCCATGCCGATATGGACCCATTAGCGGCATTTATCCCCCTGTATCGTCCTGAGCCCCGGAGCACCTTCTACCGGCTTCCCAGCCTTCGCCCGTCTTGTCTTTGGGTGTTGGGCGGTGGGACATTTCTAAGGCTCGATGAGATCCGTGAAGGCATCAAGGTTTGCGGTGCCGGTGTTGGAGGTAGTGGTGGAGTGGGTGAGGGATGTGTGAAAGAGATTCTGTTGCCCAAGGCCGGGCATTTATTTCCGTTCGAGAATGTCAGTGGGGCGGCGGAAGCGTGTGCCACTTGGCTGGAGGATAGAATTGGAGCATGGAGGGTTATGGAGAGGGAATGGCAAGAGAAGAGACAGGCGATGGAAAAGAAAGGTCATCTGGTTCTATCAGAAGAGTGGTACAAGCACGTGAGGCCAATTTCTGGGGGAAAAAACAAGCTTTAGAGCAAGTCAATGAAAGACTGGTGTGACTTTTACCCCCCAAAAAGAATATTGCTTTAAATGCCATATCGGTCATGTTTTCCAGCCAAGTCGAGGTACCAGCTATGGGCAGCCACAGAACTAAGTTGCTTGAAAATCTACATCATCAGCTCATCCCCTTACCACCTCTCGAAACTGTAGCACAGGCCCCTTCTTTCCAACAATAAAATTATCCCTCATCTTGTACTCCCTGTCCCGACCCACTCCCAACCCCTCCGTCCCCGGCGCCAACCGCAAATCATACATCCACAGCACCCGCGCAATGCTAATCTCCAGCTCGACGATCGCCAAACTCCTCCCAATGCACGCTCTGGGGCCGAGACTAAACGGCACAAACGCCTTACGCTGGTGAGTCATAACCTCCGCACTCACCCCCCCCCCCGTTCTCACGTAGTAACCACCGACTCGGATCGTACTGGAACGGCCGCGCAAAGTACTCCTCGTCATGGTGGAGCGCGTACGTGGGCACACCGAGCACCGTGCCCGCTGGGAAGAAATGGTCCTCGTCGAGGTAGAGTCCCCCGGGAAGAACTTCGCGGGGCAGGTCCATTGGGATCGGGGGGGCAGAGACGCATGCTTTCTTCGATGCAAGCACGCAGGTAGCTGTGGGCGGAGAGTGTGAAACTAGGGACGATGGATTCAAGGGTTGTAAAGGTGCTGCGGATTTCGGTGGTCAGGCGGCTTAAGATTGAGGGGTGGTGTGAGAGGAAGTAGAAGGTGGCTGTAAGGGCTGTATTGGCTGTGTCGGAGCCTGATGTTGACTTAGTCTATATGCTGTTTCTATTTGTGAAGGGGCGGAGGAGCAATCAATGCGAGCCAAGGGGAGAAAGATAGGACAAAAGAAATGTAAGAAGCGCAATAGATGTAGGAAGCGCAGGGACAAGACGCACCGGCTCCCAGAAGCAGAGTCACCTCTGAGATTAACTCTTGTTGCGAATATCCCTCTCCAGTATCTGGGTCGCGAGCCTTCTGTAAATAGTAAACGATATCATGTCGGTTGTTCGGATTCGACCCTAGCCGAGTGGCCAGCTGCTGCTGCGAGAAGGCAATCTGACGCTTGCGATTGGCAGCTGTCCCCATGCGCATGTATTTGTCGATCCCAAGGCGACGCAGAATGGGCATCTGGCCACAGATGTTGAGTATGCGAACGTTCAGCGCCATCAGCGGGAAGAAGAAGTGGTTCGCAGTGCTGAGAGAAGTGTTGTATGTGCTTCCAAAGCAGATCTCGCCCAGCGCATCGAATATGACACATGCGCTCCAGTGCACCATATCTTTGGGGATGGACCAAGCCTCCTCGTGGCCACTGCTCACCCCATTACTTTGAGTCTCCCGGTTACGCATGGCCTGCGGATGCCGGTCGCCGAGGGCAAGACACCAATCGCGAATGGCTGATATGATAAGTGGCTCCATGCCTCGAAGTGCCTGACTGGAAAATGCTTGAGACATCACCCGTCGCTTGCGGGCGTGGACTTTGCGGTCGATCGCATTAAAGATAGACACATCGTAGAAACCTTGGTACCACTGGCTTTTCTGCACGTTTGCTTGGAAGCCATAGATAGGTTCGAGGGCTTGTACATCCAGGATCGAGACCCGGTCCGGTCCAATTCGCACTATACGCCCGTGTCGCCGATGTAGTCGATATAGATCTTCATGACGATCACCACGTATGGCATGAACGACCGAGTAGAGGTTTGTGAGCTTAGCCCAGAATGGACCTGGATAGCGTGCCAAAGGGTGGAGCCAAATTTGGTAGAAGATGTAGCTGGAAAGCTGAGGAAGTCAGAGGGGACTATTGCAAATTTCCACCCAGCAATGAGTCTGGGCCACATACAGCAGCGAGGAGAGATGAAACTATAAGTTGTCCCGAAAGGATTGTGTGTAGGAAAACAGGAGAAATATCGGTCGACATTGCAGGGAGAATTCAAGACCACGCAATTGTGATTGAAACCAACAAAATTGGGCCGTATTAAACAGACAAAGGAATGTTTTTTTTTTATCTGCCGAAGTAATAATGGTTATATCTAGATCAAGAAGAACGTGTTACTGTACTGTGTAACTCTGACAAGAATTTACCGCCGAGGTATATTTCCTTACAAGCGGGGTAAAGCTTCTCCAGATGCAACAAGCTGTGTATGGAAGTTTCACTGCAGTCCGGGATTAAATGAGGCCTGCTTCCAATCAAATACCTGATCTATATCAAAAACTCTGATAATTGCCGCAGGATGGTCATCCCGCCCCTGTTATTGCTGGGCACAGATAGGAAGTATGATGGCATCAATGGCTAGAACTTGGAGGCCTTACAGGAAGATCGATGGTATTTATGATGTCGTTTTCATTGGGCAGTAGGATATAAAGTAAAAGGTATAATTCAATCCACAATGCAATTGAACGATCTTTTGCAATTTTTTTCTGTTTTCAGCAAACTATGGACTCCCAATATCTCTTCCATGACGCCAATCTGCTCGAGCCCATCGCTATCGTGGGCCTATCCCTCCAATTTCCGGGCGGTGTCAGCAGGATAGACAGCCTTTGGGAGATGATCCAACAGGCTCGCTGTGTCTCCAAAGAGTTCCCCGCTGACCGTATTAATGCCAATGGCGCTTACTGGCCTCAGGCTCCAATCAGAGGAGGTCATTTCATCACAGACGACATAACCGCCTTCGATGCTCCTTTCTTCTCCTTGTCGGAGGTCGAAGCTGCCTCCATCGACCCACAGCAGAGGCTGTTGCTGGAGATGAGCTATATTGCGTTTGAAAACGGTATCCTTGTCTTTCTCATTCTTCTTTGATTTACCCACATCGTTCGTGTCGGGGCGGGCACAGGCTAACGCCTCCAGCCGGCATTCCCATCTCTCATGTCGAACATTCCAACACTTCCGTCTATATTGGATGCTTCACAGACGATTACAGAACCCTTTACAAAAAAGACCTACGCGAGAGCGCCCCCTACGCAGCTACTGGTATCACCACTACCCTCAACGCCAACCGCATTAGCTGGTTCTATAACCTCACCGGCCCCAGCATCAATATAGACACGGCCTGCTCAAGTAGCCTGGTGGCGCTGCACCTCGCCTGTCAAGGATTGCAGAGTGGCGAGGCACAAATGGTAAGAGAAAATCTATGTCATAAGTTTATTCCACGGTCTATGGAGATAATGCTAACTAAGAGACGGGCGGAAAGAGTCTGGTCGGCGGCGCCAATCTCCTTCTGGCCCCTGATTTATTCCACATCTTGTCTGATATGAATATGCTCTCGCCAGAGAGCCGATGCCACAGCTTTGACGCGCGCGCGAATGGCTACGGCCGTGGCGAGGGAATTGCAGTATTAGTGCTCAAGCGCCTGGACCGTGCCATCCATGATGGAGACACCATCCGAGCTCTCATCCGGTCGACTGCCTGCAACCAGAATGGGCACACACCTTCTATCACTCAACCCAGCCCCTCTGCCCAGGCTTCGCTGGTTGATAAGTGTTATGCTCAAGCTGGCCTGGACAAACGGCGCACGGCGTATGTAGAGGCTCATGGTACCGGCACGCCTGTGGGAGACCCCGCTGAGGCTGAGGCGCTGGGGCGAAGTTTCAGGGACTCCCGGCTACCGGGGGAGAAGCTCTATGTGTAATTTCTGACAAATTTCTACTTTGATTTGAGTCAGACAGCTAACCTCCTGCAGTGGCTCGCTCAAAGCCAATATTGGGCATTTGGAGGGAGCTAGCGGGATTGCGAGTGTCATTAAGGCGATTGCGGTATTGGAGAGTGGGGTTATTCCTCCGATTGCTGGACTCCATGTTTTGAATCCGATGATTGACGAGGACAAACTGGGATTACAGGTGAACTAGCCCAATCGTCCCCCTTCTTTCCCCGTCGTTCTCTTTAAATTAATGAGAGGAAATTGAAGACTAATGAAAACTAGTTTCCGCGACACGCCGAACGGTGGCCAAAGGAGGGCTTACGCCGCATTTCTGTCAACTCCTTCGGCTTCGGCGGGTCAAATGCCCATGCCATCCTGGACGACGCTTATCACTTTCTCCGGGAACATGAGGTAGACGGGATCGCGCACTCGCCACATAGGCAAACGACAGGAAAGCAAGTGACTCTCTTAGATGGCCTTTTGCCGGTTCTTGTCATGAAAAACAAAGAAAACATAAGCGAGCACAGCGGAGTGGGCCTTAAATGTATGTTACTCCCCCTATCGTCAAGAGACGAGGCTGGTGTTCATCGAGTCATCGAAGCCTATGGTGAGTATTTTGCGAGCCTCGCACCTGAAAGCACCACGCCGGACTTCCTCGACGCATTATCATATACTCTCATTGAACGTCGTAGCTGGCTGTCGTGGCGAACATTTGCAGTGGTCACCCAAAGCGCACAACTAGAGAACTTTGCCTCGCTGATGCCCCCACCTCGCCAGTCCCTAGCTAATCCAGAAATCGTATTCGTGTTCACGGGGCAAGGTGCCCAGTGGCCGCAGATGGGCAAGGAGCTGCAGCATTATGCAGTTTTTCGCTGCCATCTCGAAGAGTCAGAGAGCTACCTGCGGTCCATTGGCTGCGAGTGGCTGCTCGTCGAGGAGCTTCTGAGACCAGATACAACGAGCCGCATTCATGAGCCGCAGATCAGTCAAGTACTCTGCGCAGTGGTCCAAATGGCGCTAGTCGACCTGCTCACCCATTTCAAGATCCGGCCCAGTATCGTGATTGGCCACTCATCTGGAGAAATTGCAGCTGCGTGAGATCCCTCTTCTTTGTCCCCTTGCGCACAAAAAAGAATCCCAGCCATATAGCTAAACAATCCGTGAGACAGATATTGCTGCGGAGCAATTTCCGCTCGTAGTGCTTGGAGAATAGCCTACTTCCGAGGGACCCATGTATCAACTTTGAAGGGAACCGGCGGCATGCTGGCAGTTGGACTGGGCCCAAGCCAAGCCGCAACCTATTTGACCAGCTCTAGCACGGGCCAGCAGACTCTCAGCATTGCCTGTTACAACAGTCCGTCCAGCGTCACTATTTCCGGCAACGTGACAGAAATAGAAACCATGAAAAAAGAACTAGACCGCAAAGAAATCTTCGCCCGTAAGCTACAGACGGGCGTTGCCTATCATTCAGCGCAGATGGAACATATTTCTGACGCCTACGCTGGTTCTATTGACACAATTGAGCCAGGGGTAACTGCGCTCACAGGGCCAAGTATGATATCGACCCTGTTAAGCAGCCCTGTTTCTCCAGAGACTTTGCAACAGGCAGCCTATTGGGTAAACAACCTACTATCGCCGGTGCGCTTCGCGCAGGCCTTCCAAAGACTCTGTATTGGCGGAGTGCAGAAGAGCATTGATGGAATCCATTTTCCCGTCAGGAATATTGACATTTGTCTCGAGATTGGTCCTCATCATGCCCTCCGCGGACCAATCCGAGACATTCTAGTCGCACAGGAGAAAAATATGACTTACTTATCCACATTGCAGCGGGGATACTCTGGAATAAATAGTCTGCTGCAAGCCACCGGTGAACTCTGGTGTCTGGGACAGTCTCCAGACATGATGCTGGTGAACAATGAGGGCATGGAGGCAAAAAAAAACAATATGGTCTCATTGACTAATTTGCCAGCGTACCCGTGGAACCATACACACAGCTACTTCCACGAAAGTACGGTCAGCAAGAACCACCGTCTACGTTCAGGGCCTCGGTCCCCTCTCCTAGGTGAATCAGCCGCAGACTGGAACTGTCTCGAGGCGCGTTGGAGGAACATCATCAAGATCTCGGAGCATCTGTGGGTCGAGGACCATCGAGTAAGCCTTTGGCTATGATAGTTTATCAGAGTAATATGTAGCTAAACTATGACAGATAAACGGCGCTATTATTTTTCCAGCCGCGGGGATGGTGGCTATGGCGGTTGAGGCCATCAAGCAGGTCTCCCAGGCGACGCGGCCAATCATAGCCTACGAGCTACGCAACATCAATCTGAGCGCAGCCTTGATCATTCCAGACCAGGAGTCCGGCATCCAAACTCAATTCTTCCTTCGGCGGACCCAAAGCAATTGGTCTGGCTTCCGCCTTTGTGCGCTTGTAAAAGGAGGATGGGAGGAAATCTGCCATGGAAAGATCCGGATCTACTATGAATCTCCGGCCGATGACTCTGGTGTTGGGGCAGCGAAAGCAACACAGAATCATCTTCAGGATATTCATAAGATATACACCAGCATGCACTATGACGAGGGAGCAAATGTGAACCTGCCCATCTTCTATAAGGAGCTGCGAGAATACGGACTTGAGTTCGGACCCGCATTTCAAACACTCCAGACGGCACGAGTGATAGGCAACAAATCAGCTGCCCAAATTAAGGTGTACAATGGTGCCCCTGACGAGTGGGACTATGTCGTTCATCCATGTACGCTGGATGCTCTCTTTCACATGCCTATGCTTTCCCTCGTCTGTGATAACGCGCACCGAAAGTCTACGGCTATTCCGTCAAAGGTTCACCGCGTGTGGCTGGCGGCGAAGGGGTGGAAACCTCCCAGCACGAAAGAGGCTATCCATGCAACCTCAATAGTAGTATCTAAAGCTCGTCGCGAGGCTGAAGTTCAGTCAAGTGCTCTAACTTCGGATGGGTCTATGCTACTAGCAGAGCTGGAGGGTATCCGCTTGACTGTGATCAATGATATGTCGACAACCAAAAACCAGGAAGAGTCGATCCAAAATACCCATGCATGGAAACTTTTATGGCTACCAGATATCGACTTAATGAGCAAGCCGGAGATAAATCAGTGGTGCACTCCTGTATTACAACATAATGACGACGAGCCTTTTCAGTTCTACGAGAAATTGACCCTTTTGCACTACCACTATCTCAACCAGGTCGTTCGAGCAGCTTCATATCATGACCCCGCTGCATATTCAAAAGCGCCGCATCTTCGGCAATATCTACACTGGGCGATGGAGCAGATTCAGAAAATGGGATCCAGTGACAATTTTCACTTACGCTCTTCGCTCGAGGACTGCAGCACTAAGCCAAATCATATGGATCAGCTCGAAGACTGGCTGGCGAATACTAGTCCCCAGGGGAAAGCACATGTGGTTGTCGCGCGCCACTTGCAGCGGATCTTCCATTCCGACATTGATCCTCTGGAACTTTTGTTCGCTTCACCTCTTCTTGTGAATATGTACGCCGAGTTTGGCCGCCAAAAAAACATGGTCGCGTTGTCACGGTACCTGCAGCTATATTCCCACAAACACCCCGATGCCGCCTATATCGAAATTGGCACCGGAACTGGCGGCTCAACCACACCGATCCTGCAGTCGCTCGCGGGTGACGATGACAACCAAGCCTCCATGACAGATGTCTCATACAGTAGTTTCACAGCCACCGATATTTCAGAGACGTTTCTCAAGGCCGCTCGGACACAGCTCGCACGATTTCCCAATATATACTTCAAAACCCTAGACATTGAGCGACCAGTGGTGGATCAAGGGTACACATCAACTTCATACGATGTCGTCGTCGCGGCTAATGTCCTGCATGTCGCTAGTGATCTTCTTAACGTGCTGCATAATGTTCAACGTTTGTTGCGGCCAGGGGGAAAGTTGGTTCTGATAGAGATTGTTAAGCCGGATATTGGCCGAAGCGGATTCATCATGGGCTTGCTTCCTGGCTGGTGGCGCAGCAGCGAGTCATACCGAACGCAAGGGCCATGCATACAAACTAAAACCTGGCACTCACTGTTACAGGCTGCAGGCTTTACAGGTGTTGATCATGAGTTTCCGGATTTTGATGGTAATGGCTGTCATGAAATCAGCGTGCTAGTTAGTACCAAAACCACCCCATCAGCACCAAGGGCAAGCGTGGGTTTCCCACCGGTCAATATTTTCTCGTGGTCAACTCCCCAGGAGGCGCAGTCCCATTATACAAGCACCTTAAACCACCAACTCCTGCAAATGGGCTTAAGAAGTAAGGTCATCAATATCGCCAATACCAAACTCTCCGATACCGACGCGAATGCGCTCGCTATCATTGCAGTTGATCTCGAAAAGACAAAATCATATCTTGACTTTCCAGACAGCGACAGCTTCAGAAACATCCAGCGCGTTTTGCGAAACGCCAAAAACATAGTGTGGTTGACTCGAAACACAGGTGACGGCTCTTCCACCCCTCAATATGGCCTGGTGAATGGGCTTGGGCGGGTTTGCAACACCGAGCTCGAAGGGGTCAAGTTCGTGCTAGTAGGCATGGAGCTTAGGAATTGTGATTTCGCACACCATAGCCATCTATTGGCGCATGTTATTCAGCAGATGCTCACCGACGCGTCCTGCTCATTTGAAACGGAATTTGAGGAGCGAGAGGGACTCCTCTACATCTGTCGGCTTCGTGAAGATCTTGCTGCGCAGGAGAGAATCGGTCAGAGACTCTCCCCCGAAGTTAGCACGTAATTTGGCTTGGCGAGATGCGCCTCCTTTGAAGCTAACAACGAAAACACCGGGTATTCTGGAAAGCTTATGCTTCACTGAAGACTATATGCACTCGACACCCTTGGCAGAAGATGAGGTTGAGATTGAAGTCCGGGCTATCGGGCTCAACTTCAAAGACTGTCTCATTGCTCTCGGCCGCGTTCCCTCAGATACCTTGGGTAGTGAATGCGCTGGTGTTGTGATCCGTGTTGGGACGGCCTTCCAAGACAAATTCCGGGTTGGAGATCGGGTTTGCATGTCCACAACTGAGACCTTCAAGACTTATGCCCGGAGCAAGGTGCAGACCGTCTATCGACTCCTTTCGAGTGTCAGTTTCACGGAGGCGGCGGCAATTCCGACACAATTTGGAACAGCTTGGATGAGTATAGTGAATATTTCTCGCCTTCAAAAGGGCGAAACTATCTTGATCCATGCGGGAGCCGGAGGTATTGGCCAAGCTTCTATTCAGATCAGCCAATATGTTGGTGCAGAAGTTTTTGTGACAGTGAGCTCACAGAACAAAAAGCAAACCCTCATGACCGAATACCAGATTCCAGATGACCACGTCTTTTACAGTCGTGATACTTCCTTCGCTATGGGCATAAAACATGCTACCAACGGCCGTGGCGTTGATGTGGTGCTAAACTCATTAGCCGGAGACAGTCTCCTGGCATCCTGGGAGAGTCTAGCACCTTTCGGTCGATTTGTTGAGATTGGTAAAAAAGACATCTTGGAAAACGCGAGTTTACCCATGTTGCCATTTCATAAGAGTGTCACATTTTCAGCTTTTGATGGATCCGTTTGGTTGGCTGAAAGGCGCGATGAAGCCGAGCGTGTCATCGCAACAATTATGGATCTATTCGAGAAGAATATTTTCCACTGCGCTCGCCCGCTTAACCTGTATCCCATTTCTCACATACAGAAGGCTTTCTCAGAAATCGCCAATGGAAAAAATAGCGGAAAGATTGTCCTCGATGTGAGATCAGAGGCAATTGTGCCAGTAAGTTTTTCGATCTTTGTCCAACCTCTACATTTTTGCAGGACATAAAAATGAATGGAGAGCAGCCCTAAAATTTATAGACTACCTTACTTCGTACTGAAACGTATTCTTTCGATACTCAAGCTACGTACATAGTCGCCGGCGGACTTGGCGGCATTGGGCGGTGCATCGCGCGCTGGATGGTGGAACGAGGGGCCCGTAACCTCATCCTACTCTCTCGTTCCGGACCAAGCACGCCTGAAGCTTGCAGCCTACTTGAGTCTCTTCGAGCCGTTGGTATCAGGATCGAAGTTCCAGCCTGCGACATCTCTGACGTAGACGCCCTCCGGCTTACCCTAACAGAATGCAAGAAATACCTCCCCCCCCATCCGAGGATGCATCCAGGCAGCCATGGTTCTACAAGACACACTGCTGACCAAAATGACCCATTCGCAATGGACAGAAGCCTTGAAGCCCAAAGCCACTGGCTCCTGGAACTTACACCTCCACCTTCCCGCAGACCTAGACTTCTTTATCCTCCTCTCCTCAGTCTCGGGAATTGTGGGCCAACGCGGGCAATCCAACTACGCTGCCGGGAACACCTTTCAAGACAGTCTTGCACGATACCGCATTCACCATGGCCAGACAGCTACGGCGATCGACCTGGGTGCAATGGTCGATGATGGCTTTATTGCTGAGAACCCGGGTGTACGCGACCGACTTCTTGCGTCCGGCACCATGTTTCCCATTACAAGAGACAAGTTTCTCGCTATCTTAGACTACTATTGTGATCCTGCGGTGGCTCGCCGCCTGACTGTTGAGACGGCGCAGGTCATCTTTGGGATCAAAACGCCTGCGGCGATGCATGCGAGCGAGCTGGGTGACGAACCGGAGTGGCTGAGCAGACCGGTATTCCGCTTCTTGCAACGAGCTTCGCCGAATATTACCGAGCGAGACAACGAACAATCACGCAGCAGCGAGAGTTGGAGAAGCAGAGAAGAGAGTTTTAGAGCGGAGTTCTTGGTTTCGGGGTCGCTTGAGGGGGCTGGTGACGTCGTTGCCAGGGCACTTGTTGCGAAAGTGGCGAGGAGTCTATCTGGAGTTTTGGAGGAAGATATGAATATGGACAGGCCAATTCTTGGTTTAGGAGTAGATTCGTTGCTGGCAGTCGAGATTCGGAGTTGGATTTCGAAGATCTTTCAGGCGGATGTATCGACCTTTGAGGTCCTTGGAGGGGCTAGCTTTGTGGCAGTTGGGAGGATGGCTGCGGGTAGAAGTTCCCTGGAGGCAAGCAGGAAGCTCAGTGTTTAGTTAAGTTCATTAACTCCAATACTCCAATATGAAGATTGTATCAGGAGGCGTAACGATTACTATTACAGACCTATAGAGCATTGTATCAATCTGAGATGTTATCTGAGTCCTAAAACGGAGGGGGGGGCGCTCTAGGCAGCACGATCGTGACGTGTGGGTCGAATGGGACGGGGATATGGCCTGAGAAGCACCACCACCAACATACAAATATGTAGGTTTAGGCACACGAGGACACGTAGTGAGTACGATATTATGTCAACCTGAGAAGAGGTAAATTACCACTATCTCAGGATCAGCGCGTTATCAGCCCCGCCCACATTGCCATAGTATATGTATGGTAAATCGGGCTATATCGGAGAGAGTTTTCTCATAGCATGCAGGACGTTTCAGATATATCACTACGATCACAAATTCCAACAAGATCGTAGGATAAACACTCATTTTAGACAAGAATCAATCAATCAATTGGGACCCTCGATAGGCCATCAGCAGTACGAGCCAATATAGATGTCACCAGATTCGACACAATATCCTTTTTTTTTGTATAGTAATCGGGGTGTTCTTGGCGAAGCAGCCCTGTAACACTTCGGCACGACCCACGGGTACCCATGGGTACCCATACCCAACCCATCGATGGGTTAGGTTTTGGGTCCAAATTGTTGGTTTATTAAGTGATGCTTCAATGGTAATGTTATTGAGGGGAGTTGATTGTGCGTTGTATTGCATGTCTAAGATATAAGTGAAGTGAGAGGTAGGTAAATGTATGCACGTAATCCCAGCCTCACTATCATCTCAGCAACCGGATATTTCAACACAAATCTCCGACCCATATTGGGTGTAAACGGGGCAAACTACGAAAAATCTCGTGATTGCATAATTAATGCAGATTTAGCTGTAATTTTAGGTAATCTAGTTATATGTAAAAGAACCTAGATGATGATGATAATTGATTCAAATTAATTCTATTATTCAAATTCTAGTACTGCTCAAAATTATTGTCCTCTCTATGTTTACGCTTCCTTGTACTGTAGACATACGTAGCTGAGTCCCATTCTCTGGTACATGTAACTCTGCTCTTATTTGTATTGCTTTACAGGACATTCTTCCTGTGGAACTTTGAGTCCGACTTTTCCGGTCAAAAGATTTATTGGGCTTTGTGTATTTCAGCTGCGATATTATCTACCATCCTGGTAGGCCTTTTCTGGAGCAACAGCCTGCCACTATGGAGTCAAATTCTTCTTGGGGTCACTTCGACACTCCAATCACTACAGGAAGTAGGTTTCAACTTGCAGAATGAGCCGATTATCTAGCTGATCTCTGCCCCGTTCTTCCGTGTCATATGTCAGCAGCACAATAACCCACTTGTGCCGCAGCATGTAGAACATCTATCTCTTGTCGATTTCTTTATTTCTACCATGTTGAAGATAATAGTTACGTTTTTCGGAATATTTCTGCAAGATAGTACTCATTACGTAGTCCTTTTCCTTAATTTCTCTGATTGCTTTGGCATCACAGCGTGGTATTGGTGGTTAGGAGGATTTAAAATACAGACAAAGGCAACTCTGCGCGGAATTATTGCTTATTTTGCCTGTTTGTCTATACTGTTGCTTGCCGTTGCTATTCTAGGCACAGTTTCAGGATTCTGGATTATAGCAATTGAGGTAATATCTTCATATTTGAGCTTCTAGTTCAAATAGGCTAACATATTCCAGATCCAGTTGATATTCAGCTCGACATGCGCAATTTCCTTACAGTTTATCCCTTCGTAGATACGAACAGGTATTACTTTCCGTGGTCCGACGTAATTAAACTGATACAGGATGGATCGAAAACTGTTTCACCACTTTGCCTTTATAGAGTTGTTCTCAAACCCTAGTCCGAAACACACTAATATATTTCCGATTCAATTCAATTCAAGTCAATTCAAGATTCAATTATCCTAATTCAGCCATACTTTCGAACGTATAGCTATGTAGGCGTTCCCTCCATTGGGAATCAGAACCATCCTAACGCCACGCCCGTAGTAATCAAAGACAAAGGAGATACGACGTATTGCTATATTAAAAGAAGTATTAATCCCCATAGAAACGGTAATGAGACGCCCTCAATGAATGTAATCGGCTACTGCCAGCTCACGCAGCGCTATGCGGCCACGTCCACCTCCGTATTCTTAATATTTGGTAATTTACCATAGTTAAAGCTATATAATTAGAACACTATCAAATACAACTAGTGATATTTAATATCTTGCATATAATTTGTGCAAATTTGGGGGCTAAATAGGCCAAATAGGCCAGCCCATAGGCCGCCAAGAAAACCCATGGGCCGGCCCATGTACGGGTCTAAGCATGGGTCACGTTAGTTTTTGACCCACACTTGGCTCTATGCCCGCCATGTCTACGACTTCAAGTTGTATAAGTATGAAGACGACTCAGAAACTAAATCAACTATTCCAGAGACTTCCCCACCAAGCTCTGCCGGCGCCAAAATTATCAGCAGCGACGATGATGATGATGGAGGAGACGAAGAAGAGAAGCGAAAATCTATCCCTAGCAGGAGGCTGAATAGTTACGGTAATATCCAGGACATTTTACACGACTGTGTCCAAGACCAGGACTGCCAGGCTCAAGGTATTCTCCCTTGAATCGAAAATTTATACCGAGAATCTCGTGGGTTTGAGTTAGGTAGATTCAATTCGTCCCTAATTTCAAGTGTGCTCAAGAAATAATCCGCGAAATGGCCATCTCTTCCCGAGGGCTACATTTGTGATGTCATATCCATGGTTCACAATTTCAAGACCAAGAAATTGAACGTAGCCTGCGGGGATCGAAGACTACGTCAAAAAATACTCTCATTTCTGATGGAGGGCCTGAGCGAGAAATATCGACAAGCCTTTTCAATGGCAGAGCTTTTGCTTCGAATTGAAAGAATCAGTTCGTGTATCAATCTGACCTACTGTTTTAGCTCCCCGATCGCCCCAGCATACATTACCTTACCTTATCGACAGGTATTCTACCTTATACAAGTAGATCAGTGAGAAGTTTGCCTCGAATATCATACACGCCTTAGGGGTAATTGAGTGAAGATACCCACACAATATTGACCTCTTTCACCTTGTTCTTACTAGCCCATACACTATTAGCATGTTCTGATATTGTCGGGATATATCCTTTGGTCAGCCTTGAGAAAGCATTCCTTGTTTGATGTATGCATACCACTTCCAAGCCGCTGAGTTCGCCGCTCACGCGGTCACAAAATCACATACCCCGTTGCCTTCCGCGACGCCACCACCTATTGATACCAAAGAGGTGGTAATATACACATCCTATGATAGCTCATGCCGGTCCCCTTTGAGTATTCACATATCCGAAAAAGGGGGGGAAGGGTGTCGCACAGAATCGGCACAAGGACCCGCTGTGGTTGAGGAGGATGGCATTCAGTGTTTGGAGCATTAAGTCTTCAATGGAAGAGAGGTAAGTTCCATTTCGTTGGATCTATATGTAACTGGCTGACTGTAGATCAATTTGATCAAAATTCTCGCAGTAATTGATGAAAATTCTATCTAATATAGTATCATTCTACTGAAATCTGTTTGAGAGTAAGTTGTAAGACTAAAAATAGTTGTTGTTTTACTAATATGTTGAATTAAGTCTGAATAGTCAGATAAAGTCAGTAGTATAGTATACAAGATGCCCTGACTTGGCTATCTACTACGGAGACTTGAAAAAAAAGTATGATGGACTAGAAAAAGGTTCTAGTGTTGCAAATGAATTAGGTAATAGTCGGATTATACCCCTTGAGCTATAGTACTATGAGGTTCCCTATTTCCTTACTGTGTATGATAGGCGTGGGAGTGATGCTTATTTTTAGTGGCTGATTGTCCTATGAATGAAAAAGACTTATATTCTGCTAGCTACTAGTGAATATGGTTCTCCTACTTCTGATGTTAATTAGATGTATTCAAAAAGCAGTGTGGTTTTTTCCTGTTTCTAAATAACTGCTTGTTAGAGTCTGCTGATATTTTTTATTGATAAAGTGTAATTGCTCTGATCTCGGATGTGATATTATTCCCTCATCCTCTTGAATACTGGACTGTTTTTTGTAGTATTTTGCTTGGTGGTTATAGTGCTTCTGGTTGAATTAATACATCTTAGGTCTGATCACTGAACTTTATAGAATCCAAAACATGTATAAGCCTATTTAATTGTATCTTTGACAACATGACTCGTTCTAGAACAACATTAATCTTTGAGGTGGAGTACGAAATTCGAAAAGAGAAAAAGAATTTGGTTCTACTATTAAGTCGTTCCAATAAGATTGAAGTGGATACTAAAATTGCGGTCTAACTTAGGTGGTGAATCTGATTTCGATCCATGATGTACCACTCAGACCTTGACATAGAATTCTCCACCGTTGACTGTTTTGCACTCCTCGTCAACGTTATCAATAGGATCAGTGTAAGCGCCGCAGCGGTACTTGTTTCCTGATGCGAGAGTAATTGCACCGGTGCCCATAGGACCCTCGATAGCTAAGTCATAATTCTCGACATCAGGAGCATCAGTGGAAAGGAAAAAGTGGTAAAGGGTATCGTCACATGCTACTGGGGCTTGGGGTGGCACATCGACTCCTCCATTCATCCTGAAAATCGCAATTAGTCAGCTCTTGTTATTTTTTGCGTGTATATGTTTGAGAACTTGAGTCGTAGGAACAACGCACCAGGTAGTATGACAGGTGGTGGATCCCAGGGCTTCACCCCAAGGATTTCTTGCAGTCAGCTCGAATGTGAAATCCCAGGTATCACTCTCAACAAGATGCTTGAGAGATAGATTGCCGATACTATAGGGATAGCTATAGGGTGAAGCGGCATTTGTAAATCTAACCATCGATAGAGCGAGAGTAGAGAAGTAAGAAGACTTCATATTTGTAAACTGATGTTGATGCTTCGAGGGAGCTGGAAGTAGCTTGTTGAAATTGAGTGTGTTGGTAGATTTCTACTTGTTGGGAAGGGAATCAATGCAAGATAAATACTATGGTAGGGAATTTTTGATTCTTTTATACGATTTTTTAGGTAGAAAGTCCTCTTAATGTGATAGGTAGTAGTACTGTCTGGTCAGAATTAGAAGTTGTCTCAGCTTGGATCAGATATATCGAGGTCAATCATTGCCACTTAAGGAATTTGACCAGGAAATCTCAAGCATGATCAGCCACCTTCCGCTAAGGAAAAAATTCTCCAAAACTCAATTTGCTTCTTCTGGTTTTTTGGAAGACGAGTTTTCGTATTGGTCTGATAAATCACTCAGGAATAGTCGAAATTCCGGGTTTTTGAATTCAGACGATGAGTAGAGAAGGCTGTGTATGAAATCTCGACTTCAGTTTGGAATTCACTTGCTGAACTACCTAGATCACGAAGCAAGACAGATGAAAAATGCTATAATCATACCAAACTCAAGGTTTACTACATACTACACTGAAATAATCTGCTACCTTACATTAGTACTGATACAGGAATTTTATCCACCGCGCGCACACACCATCACCACCATCTCACAGCCCTTTTTTCACTTTACTATTCTTATCCACTGCATGTGTGTACTACCACTATCTTATAACGCTCTTTTCACTTTACAATTTTCATCCGCTACCCACACACATTATCACTAGCGTATAATCCTTCTTTTATGTTCTAGCTCTGCTAGTAGCTGTAGTTTCGATTGAAAGGGTTCTGCAGTCTCCAAGATAGTTCTTTCTTCAGTCGACTAAGCAATGATGATAATTGGTTCCCTCGGTATGTACTGCGTATACGGATATCCTACAAATAGGCATCTATGCCTATCTATTCTCAGCATGAGGCTATGAAAACACCACCTAGGTAATTTTCTTGCGCTCGCATTAAAGAAAGTCAATAGAAAGCGGAGACCATCCTCTGGATGAAAGCAAGACGCAGTGGAAAATTTCCGAGCTCTATATAGATGTCAATAATTGATCTCGAGACTTTCAATTTTTGAAGTAGATTTTGCTTATAATATTGGTATTCGTACATGATTTTAGGTTTTAGGTGAGTTTTTTTTTCCCAGTCTGTTTTTACAGTAGTTATTCTCGACCACGGAGGTCTAAAAACGGGTTGGGGTTGGAATTGGAGGTTTTTGATGGGGTGCGGAGCTAGTCGGTACGCACCCTCGGGTCCGGGAGGACGCACCACGAACCAATCATTACACGCAGGAATGGAAGCAGCCCCTGAGTCTACAATAGGGAATCGAGAGCTACTTGAAAAAAAACCTATTTTTCGGAATGTGCCGGCCGGGCGACAAGATATCCCTCTCACGAATAAAAACTTCTATAATTATTCTTCGGGTCTCGTTGGGCGAGAACTTTAGAAACGGGCGCGAAGCCATACCTTTCTGCGTTCAGGCGTCAGTAATTATGACTACTTTCAGGGGAATGAATCTCGGGATAGCTAATTCTCAAGCTGCTGGGTTAGATCTCGCCTCGTACAATGTATGGTCGAGTGCTCACTGTATTCAGCCTGATTAAAGCATAGGTGAAGATCTCCAAAAAATTACCAAGCCCATCCCCCCACGGATACAGTCTCAGCTTTGCTTGATCAGGAATTCCAGACAAAGCACCTTAAAGTACAGTACTACTAAGATTAAGATGAATCTTTCAGGTCTCATAGTGGCTGGCTAGAGAGATGCGAGCCTTTCATTACAGCCTAGAAAGCAGGAAGTGAGAAAGCATCAAACTATATTCAAGAGGAAAAGTCAGTTTACTGGTACCGGCTGACTTTCCGCAACCCGGATCGTGACACCACCGATACAACAATGCAAGGTAACCCCAATATCCTCAGCGGAAACCGTTTCAACAACCGGCCGAATGGTCGGGAGACAATAGCCGACGGGGTTTTTGCACTTGCATTACTTAAATTGCCCGCCACCATCCAGGTACAGTCAGAAAACCAGTCATGGACATTCCAAGCTCCCGCAGGAGCCAGTGCTTGGACGGCTACTCCGTACAATGGGGGAATATATGCTGACTGTGCAATTCCGAGGGGATTTGGAGGAAAGTTTTGCTTCTGTAGCTCGCAAGCCGCGCATCCGGGCCAGATAATAGTGACCAAATAACTATGCTTCATGTATTGCCCAGGAAATACAAGTGCGAACGCCCCATTATGTAGCAATGTAAGTATGTGGCTAAAGTGTCTTTGTGAACCAGTAGTTTTGAGTAGTTTAAAAGTTACAGGGGCCCATTAATGGCGAAATTTGTTAATACAAGGAAACTTTGATGTAAAGGGACGTTGACGGTAAGTGTCTTGAGGTCATCAAATACTCAATATACAAGGCTTCATTCAATAGTGCTTCATAGTCGAGTAAAAAGTGCCTGAGGAGGGGGTTGCATTTTCTCCTTTCTTAACATCAGGGCAGTCTCATGTAAAGAAAAGGGCGAGATAACAATCTCAGGACTAAACATTAAAGCTTAGTATTTCGTGAGCACTCAGGGATCCAATATTTTCAGAACGTTAGTTGTCTGATTTCAACAGGACTATTTATTTGCTCTTCTGGCTTCTTATGTCCCATAGTGATTTTGCATTGGTGAGTGTTCCCATAGAAGAAAAAAAGAGAGACAGTCCAACTGAGCTAGAGTAGTAATAAATTGAAAGTTCATTAAGAAGAAAAATAGAAGGATACAGAAAGCCTGAAATACAATTATCGTGCATTTGATACCTCTCAATGAACGAAAATTGTCTCGTTCAATGCCTCCCAGAAGAAATACGGGCTTGCCTTGATGACAACTAAAATTAGCATATAACCTTGGAAATAAAAAGGTTTATCAAAGAATTTGTCACATACTCCAACTAATGAGGCGTGGGCTACATTCAGCTGAGCCATTCCCCGCTCCATTGAAGATGGAATTATAAGTTCAAAAGTCTGAAAGGGTGACTTTTTGTTTTCATGGTATGCTGGTTTAAATGGACCACTGTAGACAATCGCTCCCAAGCATGCATCAGGAGCCTCACAAATTCCAGATGGGCAGCTGGAAATACCAATTGCGATACCAATTTCTTGGGATCCAGTCAAGGAGTTCTAAAACTATGTTATTCCAAATAATGTTGAGCAAATCGGTTTAGAGGCAGATATCACTTACAGGGCGCTCAATATTCACTATCAAATCATCCCCACGGGCCATACTTTGGCCAGTAGATTGTAGGCTTAGCTGAATACCCTGACAAAGAACAACACTCGGAAGAATGGCAAATTTTATGAAAGATGACATCGAATTGGATCTGATTGGGATCCCTGTTGAAAGACTTTCGTTCTGCGACTAAGCAATGGAGAAACAACTTTTTGGGGAGATGGAAGCGTCATTTTAAAGGATTGCGTCTCACAAGGATTAGAACATCCATTAACCAGGATTAGCTAGCATGTCTCAGAGGCTCTATATTAGATATTTCAAGTACAGAAGATGCACGCATTCTCATCAACGTGATGGTCTAGATCACCTGCAAAGGGGGATCTAGAATATGCACAATAATCCACAACATAGCCAGTTTAAAGCAAAAGCACGAGTCAGGTGTCTGGTTCTTGTACTTATAGAAATGAATTGATTCAGGAAGTCCAAGCTAGCTTAAATAGGATACCCTTTCCTCTAGTGCTCCAGGATGTGATGTGCTTGCATTATTGAGCGGGATAAAGTCGATTTATGAAATATCATACTCAGAATTTTGTCTAGAAGTGGAATTACATGGTATGCGGAAGGTGGAAACCTAGGAAAGACCGGAAAACCCCGGAACTCAATTCTAGCAACCTAGTTAGTTGTCACACTTGATCGAAGATCTTTCGTCTTTCCTGCATATTAACTACTCCTGATTACCAACGCGTAATTAAACATTTTCTGAGGACTCGCCTTCTCAAATCTTGTCTGGGCAATCCTATAAGCTCAAGGAGGTAAGCAAGGTTCGATGCAGGGCGTCGATAGTAGTATCGGTGGGTAATTCCCTCAGTTACATCGAAGTTAATGCAACACTATCTAATTTTAACGTAGTGTCTCTAGATTGAACTAAGAGCTCGCCAAAACATGACATAATACTAGAAGTTCATAAATGTATTGGCATATCTATAATTATTGGCTAGTACTATGAAGGTAACTCCCTTTCATGTATTTTGAGGTCTGGAATATAGTATTACGCTTATTAGAGTAAATCAGCGCCTGTGGATGTAGCCCTGTCCTCACGAGATGTTATGATCGCGACCAGGTCGGTCTCATTCAGTCCGCCGATCGGACCTCAGCATCTATTTAGACTGCTTCTACATCTTCAATATCAATTCTATTCCCGTAGACTTTTTAATGGGAATAACTTTTATGGAAGGATATTGATATAGTTGATAAATGCATGAATATCCATTGATCCAAGAGTCCTGTAGCTTATCAAGTTGCGATGCAAATTCTCAGGATATCCAAACTCCCCTCAACGCCGGAAAAAAAGTTTTCTTTTCCTCCTCAGGGTGCGTCTACTAGTTTTATTGTAAGTATAAGTGTACATCGAGATGTATTTCTTATTTATGGATGTGTGGGGCCGTTACACTTGCACTGGCAAGGTTTTGGCCTCCTAGGGTTTGAAGGTCACAGTTACGTTCCTAAAAAGTCTAGACTCTTCGAACTTCAGGTGCACGATCAAAATTTGTCTTAACTTTGTATAGTGTTCCTTTTCATCTCCAGCATGTCACACTTGAATTCCAAAATCAGTTGGTGTTCGACCGTTGAGCAGCATGAGACTGGCAGAAAGTAAGGAATCTAACCGACGATATCCTTTAAAAGCGATAAGGAGACAAGATGGAGGAGGAAGGATATATCAAGGAGTACGATGACTTTTCTTTGGCAAAATAAAGTTCTAGGAATTTGAAGATGGCTACGAGCAGTTCAGAGCATGTCTTAATTCTATTTTACCCATCTATTCTAAAGTTCCAGGTTTTCGCAGCTAGACAATCGTGACAAAGCATGGTTCGAAGATGGGACAAACTTACTATCAAGGGTGCTTTGAACTCAGCTCCTGTAATTAGCGTGGTGACCTAATCCACCACGTTTAGGAATTTTAACTTAGTATTCTTCGTTATCACTCGCCTCCTCCAACTACGATTTCTGCTCTGTGATGCGGTATACCAACTGGGAAAAATCTCTCGTGAGTTTTTTTTTACGAATGGCCGGTGGATTTGTATGGCTGGGCCTATCCTACAAATCGGATATCCCCTTATGGTAATCCGGTAGAATTAATCGATTTGTCTAGTTGTTTTGATTGTGCATCTCTCAGGCCTAGGCTTTAATATTATAATTTTAGTCTATCCTTCATAAATAGCGAACCAATTTCCAGGAACAATGACAGTTCTTTGGCAAGCAGCCCATACGAGCTCACAACACACTTTTTGATCTCCTAGCCAGCCATAATTTAAGGCAAACGATGGAGGGCAAAATTATCGATGGAAGTCATTGTCTGATCGATGAAAAAAGTGAGGTTAAACAGGAGTAAAGAAATCGATTGGGGAAAGATGAAGTAGGAAACTTTGTGTCAACAAATAGGCGAGCGGGTAACAAATTAATGGGGGAAGGGATAGTATGCACAGCCCCTATCAGATTTGATAAGTACTCTAATTCAATAATTATCTGCTTATCTGGTCGAATCACCTTCTTTGAGTTACGAGTGAACTGAGCGATCCTTGATCCCTTCGATGGAAAGCAAATCTAGGCAAGAAACTTGTAGGTTAGCTAATTGGTATCATATCTATTAGATTTATCTTTCCAGGAATAGCCGGCTTAAATCCGAGGTTAAAGACCAAGCTAAGATGTAGCCTTCATTATTTAGACCATATCGGGGAAAATAAATTATCTATGTACGCCACTGGAAAAACATAGTTGATTATCACTATTATTCATGTCTTCCCAGTAACCACCAGTTCTAGAATATAGTAAAATACAGTGGCTACCACTGTATTTTTATCAATATGGTATTCTGAAGTTTTTTTTTTGAACTCAGATATTATTCGATTACAAATACTGTATGTTGACTAAACATCTAAGGATAGAGGTTCGGTGTCAAAATAAACCCCGAATGTTATATTATCTAGGTATCTTACCTATCAATATAGATCAGTACGCGTCAATAAGACGGGTTAACAGATATCACACAAGAGCAAACTTAGAGATCAAAGGTTAGCAGAGCTCGAACTTAAATTGGTGGGGTCATAGAGAGAGAAGGGAGAGGGGAAGTTAAGAGGGGAAGAAGTTGTGAGAGCGATATACTATTATCTTTTAAGGTCAAGATAGTATAGGCTATTTTAGAAGATATGTGAATTCAGATAAAATATACTATAAATCTTTAAAAGATACTGTATTAATACTTTATAAATATAGCATTTATACAATATCTTTGACCTATACGATGTCAGCTAATGTATCCTAGATATAGGGATTCCTGGAAAGGTGTCCGATGCATATAAAATGCATCGCAAGACCGGCGTAACGGCGAGCTCAAAATTGAGAGTGAAATCTATCGGGATGAAGCACAATATACGCGGGCTAGGCCAGATAAATGTCCTAGCAGATTGGGATTGAGACAATATATGACCAAAGTTATTGGTCAAGCTTAAAAGTACGCAGGTGTTGAGAATTCTTGGTGCATTAATTCATGTTAGGATCGCCGATATTATGACTACCTCTAGCATGTCCAATAAGCACGTTAGAATTGATATTTGTTTTGCGTAGCTTGTATTCATTTACAAGGGAGACTCAAAGTCCCAGCAAGCCGGGCCAGAGACGTTCAAAGAAATACCGTAACGAAAATTGGACGAATGCATCACGACATGCTATAATGACTTGATTCTCATCGACTGCATAAAATTGAAATCTTTGCCAGGGCCAATATACTGCTGATATGGGAGAGGATTACTTGATATACCCCTATAATACACTCTAAACGCTGTTAGTAAAGCCTCGACCCTTCGGGATTCTAACAGGGGAAGGATCTGATTTTGCGGGTGTTCCTTCAGAAACCTTGAAGCCTTTGTAAACCTGCTATTTTAGAAGCACTCGAGTGCGCATGCGGATATTAAGTATTTTATACAAGTGAAGCCAGTGTTTATGAGAAAGACATTTATATTGTATCAGCGCTGACTTATCACCGTGAAGATTCGATAGATCTTTGACGAATGGCGTGGATAATAATAGCGAGAAGACAAGAGAAAAAGGCCAAAGACTGGATATTGGTTGCTCACAAGGAGGAGAAGTGGATCACTAATAACAATTCATTGTAAAATGGATTCGGCGGCTTCCTGTGAATTTCTCGTCCCGATGAGTTTCAACAAGGTGAGCCAGTGCTAAGAATGCGTTTGGCTTCCTGAGCATATGTACATCCATTGTTGACGTTTGCATCGGAGAAACCGGCGGACCACATCATGACACCACCGAACGCAGAATTTCCCTTATACTGACTGACTAGGGAGGCAAGAGCGCTCGGTTGGAGGTAATATTGCGAGCCGCTCGGGGTCCCCGTGGCACCAAGTGGAGATGCCGGTACACCAAGAAAAATCTTGGCGTTCGCAGAAGGAGTATTGGCGACATTGGTAACCCATTGATCGTAGTTGATAGCACCGTTGACAGAACAGCCAGGGTTATTATAGAATTGGACCCAGAGATAGTCAAATTGAGACTTAGTAACGATTGTCTGCATATTTGGTTCTGGAATAGGACATTGTGGTGCACCAGTAATGTAGTAGGTATGCAAGGAGTCCGATGCGAAATTAGAGCGTAACTTGCTAATGAGATACTGATAGTATTGGTTGCCGCCGCTTGCCTCAATATCGAAATCCCAACCATTGACGAAAGTGTTGCCAAATGGTCTGGGAACACTGCTGTTCCCAGTATTACCGTACGCTTCCCAGAGATTCTGGCCGATTGTCTCGGCTTCCTGCTGAGATGACAGTGAATATGCACCTATTGCGCCACCCAGCGACATGATCACTTTGACACCATTTGATTGGCATTTTTGAATAGCCGTGGCCAGGGCATCGCATTGCTGAGGCTGACCAGATGTTGATATGGAGCATGATTGGCCAATTGAGCCAGATGGGATAAGGTGGCCATTCCCATATTGATATAAAAATGCCAGAACAATGATATCAATTCCAGATCCTGAATCGCAATATGTGGCCAGGTCGTTGTTCTCAACGGTGCCACCGCCGTTCTGACCCCAATAGACAACATTCTGAGCTGCTGATCCGCTCGAGGAATATTTGGAAAGCTTATATGGTGCCGCCAATACGGTCGCTGCCACA